CTAGCTTGTAGAACAATACCACCAGTAGACAAGTTAAAACTTGTCCAGAAGAAAGAAGAGCTAACCAGTTAAGATAAATTAAGATTGAGCTTGAATACAGCAGCTAGCTTAACATCATCTATAACAGTACTAGTCTCAGCCTCGGATATTATAGTCTTTTAATCATGCAGTTTCTCTTGCGCTTTATATTCTCTTTACTCTTACTTCTTAAGCTTCTCCAGCTCCTTGATTTTCTTTATGTCACGAGCTATGAAATCGCCAGCTTGCTTTTATAATAACTGTTTTAATTTTTACAATCAAAGAAGTTTTACTAGAATGACTTCTTTCTTCTCTTCAATGGAATTTTGAGCCTTGACTAAATATTTCTACTCAGTGTTAAAAAAAGAAGGATCAGGCATTTCGCAATAAACACTGTTTTTTCTAACATATTTATTACAGTAATCAGAATTTTTGGATTTAATACATACTTTGTGAAGGCAGATACAGCGCTTACAAGGAAAAATTGCCAGAAAATCCTTATTCTTGATTTGCCGATAGAGGCTCTTCTTACAAATAAAAGAACTAGATAATATAGTTAATAACCTGACTGAATTTGGGAAAAACAATACTAAGCACTCATCTCAAGAGGAAAGCACTGCAGCTTTATATTCCTTGAGAATAAGAAATCTTGAAGGAGGAGGAGTGATGTTACAGACCCCTGCTAGCTGAACGAACTAATAAGGCAGACACATCAGATAGAAGACCACACCCGGAAAAGAGCAAGGACTCTTATTGAGTAAAGCCTCAATACGAGCAACCGAGGAATAGGAATGGTCACACGGCATGTGACTACAATAGGAATGTCACTGACATGCTATAAAATGTCAGTACTACGCCGGGGATGTCACCAACACGCTATAGAATATCAACAACATAATATGACATGGCAGCGCCATATCAAAGAATAGGATATAAGGACACTCTTTCATGTACTTAGCTAGTTCTGTTCTTCGTGCTTAATAACACTGTCTTTAAGTAACCATATATTTTGGTAAAAGCTTAGTGACAATACTCATCCGTACTTACTTACGGATAGCTGCGCGGTACTATCTGGCCTTACTTCTCTTCTTCTGTTCAGGACCAGTTTTCTTTAGATAGTCATCAACCTGACCTACCTTGATTCAGTTCACAGGTACGTATCGGATAGAAGCTAAGCTAACAGGAACAGGGAGAAGCGATCCTAGGGTTTGACACTTATAAAGAAGTTAAAGAAGTACAGGTAGAAAGAACCGCAGCAGCACATGTTTAAGGATATTAAGGACTGACTTACCACATTACTAGTACTTGTACAGCATGATCCAGAGAAAGAAACCACTATTAAAATTAATATATTAAATTATATTATTAATATGCGCATGACATAACCAGGAGAAGATGAAAAATCTAGATTAATTATATTTTATTTGAGAAAGTTAGTTCAGATAGAACTTAACTACAACATCCATAATAAAGAATTACTGGCTATTATAATAGTATTTAAGCAGTAGAGGGTCTATCTTAAAGAAATAAAACATACTATTATCATAAAAACAGACTATAAAAACTTAACCTACTTTACAATAACCAAAGAATTGACCAGAAAACAAGCAAGATAGGCTGAAGTTCTATAACAGTATGATTTTTATATTAATATACTATAAGAAAACAGAAAATAGATATACAGATGCACTGAGTCATAGACCAGACTATAGAATAAAAGAAAAGAATATTAAACTGATCATTCTGAAGCAAAACACGGATAGATTAATCCGCTACAATAAAGCTAATCTAGCAGCAATATTAAAAATAGGCAGTAATCTAATCAAATAATTAACTAATATTATTAAAAAAGATAAGATATTTTAGAAAATAAGCAGAGACTTACTAGATAAGATCATTATTAATAAAGATAGATTAGCCCACTTTCACAGATTAATCTTTGTACCAATCGCTATAAGAACAAAGATTATGGCTAAACATATAAACTACTCAAGGATTATTTAGAAATTGAAAAGAGTACGGAACTAATCACCAGAAATTACTATATTCTGAACCTCAGACAAAAAGTACATGATTATGTTAAACAATGTAAGACATGAATTAGAGATAAGTCTGTAAGATACTAACCTTATAAATAAATACAAGTACAGAAGACACCACAACAACTATAAAAATAGATAATAATTAACTTTATTAGTTTACTACCTGAATCACAGAGATATAATATTATTACAGTCATCACTAATTATCTTATTAAATATATCTATCTTATACTGAGTAGGATGATAATAACAGTAATATAGATGATAGAACTATTTCTAGAAAATATTATTATAAATTATAATATACTAAAGTATATCATGTCAGATCAAGACAAGTTATTTATCTTAAAGTCCTGAAGATTACTTACAGATCTTATAGAAATTAAAGAATGAATGATAACAGCTTACCATCTATAGACAAATAGATAAACAGAAAGAGTTAACTAGATAGTCAAGCAATATCTGAGACATTATATTAATTATTAATAAGATAATTAGATAAATCTGTTACCAATAGTACAATTTTCCTATAATAACACTAATTACTCAATAATCAGTGTCTTATTATTTTATACTAATTACGGTTATCACCCCAGATTTCTAAAAGCGCTATTAGAAAAGTAACTAATTATTAATATAGCTAAAGATATTATTATATTTATAGAAAACACATATACTCAGTTATTCTGAGATATCAAGTTCATGAACTTGCAAAGCAAGATTTACTACAATCATCAATACAGGAGACAACCTGATCTTAAAAAAGCAGAGAAAGTGTTCCTACTCTGGAAACACATCAAGATGAAATGACTAAGCTAGAAGCTCAACTATTATAAACTAGGACTATTTATTATCAAAGAAAAGAAAAAGCTAGTTAATTATAAGTTAAGGCTACCGAAATCAATGAGTAAAATTCATCCAGTATTTTATATCTCATTACTGGAACCCACACCAAAGAACGCTAGAATCGCAGAGAACGTGGAGATTGATAATAACACTGAATAAGAATACAGAGTTAAAAGGATCCTGGACCACAAGAAGATCAGTAATAAATCATATTACTTAATAAAATAAGAAGAATATGATATCTCAAATAATACATGGAAATCTATCAAGAATTTGACAGGCTGTTATTAGCTTGTGAAGCAGTACCACTAACAGATAGGTCGAAGTTCGCCCAGAAAGAAGGGGAACCAACCAACCAAGTCAGACTAGGGTTGTCTGACACAGCGGCAAGTTGAGCAACATCGTGCTTGTCAGCCAGGCGCTCCAGCTCCCGGAGATCCTCAGCACCTGGAGAATCCTCTTTATCTAACTGCTCCAACATATTCGAGTCGTGATCTAACATCCACTCACCATGATCCCTTAAGAACTGTTGTTGCTTAAACAGGCGGGCCATCTTGGCAGAAATACAAGCCTGTTCAGCTAGGGCTTCAGCAAGTTCGTTTTATATCTCTGATTAATTTTATTTTAACTTATTCTACTTTCTATCGCTATAAAATTGTTTTTCACATTTCCGACCATAATGAGTATAAGTAGCATAATTTCGACTTTTTGAATCCATGATATAAGAAATGTCTTTCAGAAAGTAATGTTTACAGAAACTCTCAACGATACAACCACTCTTATAAATCTCATTAGACTGGCGAATACGCTCCTTCACCCAGTCACGATTAATATGATAACGAGACATGTTAGCCCATTCTGGAAAAAAGAGAACTAAGGAACCCAGTCAAAAACACAAGAGGGACACGCACCTTTATGTTCCTTAAGAACAAGAAACCTTAAAGAAGGGGGAGTGATGTTACAGACCCCTGCTAGCCAGATTACTAGCGAAGCGGACTCGTCAGGTAGAAAGTATCAGCAAGGCAGGTCTCGGACAGCCAGCAACTCTTATCGAGTAAAATCCCGGTTTGAGTGACACCAGGAGCGGCCTTACGTCACGTAATTGTCTATCATTGAATCTATTATTAAAGGTATACGCAGGGTATACGGAGATCCTGGATCATGATTAGATCAACCATTGATCAACCCCAGACAGTATATGATATGGTATACGGAGGATAGGATATTTAAGAACACTCTTTCATGTACTTAGCTAGTTCTGTTCTTTGTGCTTAATTCAGATTTACAAAATCATCTTTAAGTAACCATATGTTTAGAAAGCTTAGTAACAACACTCATCCACACTTACTTATGGATAGCTGCACGGCACTATTCAGCCTTACTTCTCTTTCTTGATTCAAGACCAGTTGTCCTTAGATAGTCATCAGTCTGACATTACCTTGATTCAGTTCAACGGTACGTATACCAGTGAAGCTAAGCTAACAGGAACAGGGAAGCGATCCTAGGGTTTGACAGGGAACAGACACACAATGAAAAAAGGATTAATAATAATAGAAAGTAATCCACCCCAACATCCGCTGCTTTATAATGCCTCAATGTTCACTTATATGGGACGTAGCTAATAGACATGCCATCGGCATCCAACACTGTGCTCCTCCCACATATTGAAAGGATTAGACCGGCGGCTGCTAGAGAAGCAAATGCTGGAGACCCTAGTACGGGTGGCAACCACTGGAGCCAAAAACTATATAGAGAAAGCACACGGGGGAGAGGCTATAGATCGGAGCCATCTCCAATGAGACTGGTACCCCTGGGAGTGGAGCCCGCTTCAAAGTATCCACAAGCTGGCCACCCGAAGGCAGGGACTGGCCAACCTGGCGAATCTGGAATACATCCAGCCGTACAATGCAAGCAGTGAATAACTATAGTACAAGTTTCTCTGCTAGCAGTACACGCACAATACTAATAAAATGCTTATCATTATAGCTTCTAGTAGTGTTTCTAGAAATATAAGACAGATAATGTCATATATAATGCCTCCTTGAAGTATAGGCTTATATAATAGTCTTTCAAAAATGACTTAGTCTCTCAGCCCTATATACTATTACTTAACTTCGGTAATATCTTATAAGACCTTATACTTATCTCTATCTCATACTCTTACTTTACTAATTCTAGCTTACTAAATTTGTAAATGATGATCAGAGTTATAGATACTACTATTAAGAGGTTAGTTATAATCACAGTCATCATTGCTATAATTAACCAATCACCGCCCTGGACTATGTATATATTAATTAATATACTTACCAACCCTGCCATAGGATTTAAGAATATTAATCTAGTAATTATAAGTCTTTAGCCTTATTAATTATATTTAATACTTATATAAATAATTTATTAACCAGCCAGATATAATTATTTCTTCTCTCCCAAGAGAGCCACATCATGAGAGTAACACCTAGTACAAGACAAGAACAGGATATTTCAAGAAGTAGTAGATTCCTAATAGCCTTAATAATAGATTCTTTAATACTATCCTTTATAACATCATTATCTAAAGTTTTTATTTTCTCTTGGAGGAAGGTAAATGTTCCAGAAATCACTAGATATCCAGCTAGTAAAATTTAATAACCAGTACCTGCGAGGATGTTATAAAACCATAAAATATAGTCTAATTTAAGAAACACCTGCATATATTAAGTCTCAATAGCCTGGCATAAACTAACTTGATAGAGACCAGATTCCTGATTAACTACAGACCCCTGCTAGCTGAACGACTAGTAAGGCGGACTCGCCAGGCAGAAAGCACCGATAAGGGCAGCGCTCGGGTAAGACCGAACTGTTATTGGGAATTACCACCATGATGCCTGGAACGGTTATACATTATATAACCATAATAAGCATGTTACTAACAAGCTATAACATGTCAACGCTACGATCAGGACATGATAATAACATAAGATAACATACCAGCGGTATAACATATCATAACAACGATATTAGAAGAATAGATATATAAGGACACTCTTTTATATACTTAGCTAGTTCTATTCTTCATGCTCAATCCAATCCTTTAACACCGTCTTTAAGTGACCATATGTTTGGAAAGCTTAGTAATAATACTCGTCCATACTCATTTATAAATAGCTGCACGGCACTATTCAGCCTTACTTCTCTTCTCTTGTTCAAGACCAGTTGCCCTTAGATAGTCATCAGCCTGACACTACCTCGACTCAGTTCGACGGTACGTATACCAGTGAAGCTAAGCTAACAGGAACAGGGAAGCGATCCTAAGGTTTGACAAACTCACTGTTATTTTTCTATATAATACAATCTCTATAAACTGATTCTTGGTATTTGCAGGTAAATCTTGGATTATTAATGTCTCTACTAAGTAGAGACACTATAATTTCTCAGAGCTTATTATAAACTATATTCTACTTAATTTTACCATATCTTTTTAGCCTTACATTCAATTTAAAAAATTAGATAATACAACAGAAGAACTTTCTTTCTTCATGTAGATATAAGTAATGATCTGATTAAATAATCCTAGTTAAGGATTTTATAGTTTCTTATTTTATTATATTTGTATTTTTCAAACATACAGTTCTTAACTATGGCAGCAATCATATTCAGTATTATATTTATAACCAGAACTAATGCTGATACGGGGAATAGTACTCTTGTAAGTCATCTGTGTACCAGACTCCTTATTTTCAAATTCCGTGATTCAGTTTTCGCTTGCTTACATTTGCTGGTATACAGAATATGTACAGACCAATACAGCTTGAAGCCTGGACTAAACCCAATTACCAGAGTAATACGGCTTTCACGAACTTTACCGATTCTGTTTATGGATGAAATCTATCAAATGGTTTAATATCTTGCAGTTTCAAACTCTCACGCGTTCTTTGTAGAAAAGAACAACTCAATATCTCTGTAACTTGTAGCTTTGATACTTGGTATACAAACAAAAACCAACTCTCTAGAAACGATTCTTCATGCAAAATATTTATTTAAACATACTATACTATTAATGAAAGTGTAGAATGCCATAATACGCCTAAATTCACATATTATCGGCTTTGGACAAATTCTGGTCTTCCATAACCTCACCAAACAAAAGAAAGTGGTTTGGTAGTGAATTTCTGCCTGGTTTATAGATGAGGATTATATAGCATATATAAGCCACTGTATGGTCTTTGCGATCTTACAAATCACCTAAATCATATCAACAACCAACCAGACTTTCATTATCTTAAACTACAATTCTTGACAAAATCACTCGATACTTTTCTACATTCATCATCGGGATGTGTAAGAACGTGCTCCACTGGAGCTATTTAAACTTCTTTATACTGAAAGCTCGCGAATGTCTAATATACAAGAGTAGCTTTATAGAAATGTATCTAGCATTACTTGTACCTTCAAGCCAAGTTAAGCCACATTCTAATACTCCATTCAAGAGGAGATTACGCCCCAAGATCATGAACTTCTTCTTCACGGTGGCACATCCTCCAACATCGAACGGCTTCCCTCTCGTCTTCAACAATCTAAGAAACCACCGCGGAGTATGAGGAAACAAGTTGAAGACCTAACATATGAGGTTAGCTACTTGAAGGCCGAGCTGGCATGGCACACAGAGACAAAGGGTGCCTTGCTCCATTTCCAGGAGCAAGTTTACCAAACATTTCATCAGCTGCAAGATGCTCTTATCCAGGTCAACATTCGTCTACAAAATGCTGAGCATTGATATCTTGGGCTATGGGGGCTTGACCCCCGCGATAATGAAAATGAAGGAATGATTTAGATAGAAATCCTGTTACTTTATCACTATCGCTCCTACTGTAGAGATATTTGTCTAGTGTCCTGCTTTAGCTTAGCCAATGAATTATCTAGGTATAAGATCGTATTCCTTTTGCTGTAGGGTGCAGGGCCATGCTGACAGTCACCTCCATTATTTTCCGCACCTGCCTGACCTCCGTGTATGTCATTTAGCTAGAAATCATTATCCATCGTCCCTCAGGGTGACAGGTATGTTCACGGACTTCCAGCTCGAATCCCTTGTCGAAGGTTGGTATTTCTAGGACTAAAATAATTCCAGTTAGTATATCCTATGACCTAGCTATTATGTAGACTCACGTACGATCCTTGCGGGACATTCCAGGATGTCACGAACATGATAATGTTTGTAGGACATCGGTCATAACATTGGATGGTTATCTCAACTTCCGTTGGAACCGGATTTCTGCGGAACAACTTTATGCGGATTTTATAGCAAAGCCGTCTTGTTGTGGTCCATACGCTAGCAATATCCATTGCTACGATGCAATATGGTTGATCCCTGTGCTGTCGACTTCTCGTAAACCCAGATAATCTCTATTCTTGCAGCCGTAACGCTTCGCAAAGTCATCCTTTGTGATTCATTATGTGTCTATGATGCAAAATACCTATATATAATATACACCTCGACCATTCCAAATCACGGAAGAGAAGCACATCATGATCTGCAACCAAGGTGGGGTTGTCCATGTAATTTCGTCTCCTGCTGGCTAAGGCTGAAAATTATAGGTCTTTTAATTAATTCCTGATCGATGTAGACTCCCAATATTATGTTTGCTGAGACTAATCATGACTATTCTATTATCAGACTCGGTAATTTTGGTTACGTCAGGGTGATATGATAGGTCTCTCCATCATTAGTCCGTACTGCGGTATATTAGTGTGTTTTATATGGCTACTGCCTTTAGAGGAAAATAGAACCCGAAAAATGATATGAAATATATCTTGTAGTGGTTTTAGATTCGTGATCATACCCAGCCCCAGCCTCAGTAGTACTCATTACCTCTGTCTATAAAAGGTAGTCTATCGCGCTGTGATGGGTCAATAGTAGTATATCTTAAAAAATCTAGCTACTTATTTGTCTTTCACATTCTACCATGTGGCTAATAGTTTTTAACTTTTTGTGCTCAATCTTCACCTTTATTATTCCCGTCTTGTCATTCTTACAAGTATAGTATCCGCTGTTTCACTGGTTTATAGTCTATTGCTGATAGTGTGTAGGTTCAATATCTTCAAACGCCAGATAGTGATAATAGCACATTTGGAGGGAGGCCAGGATTCAATAGAAATTTTAGTAAGTTAAACAAGACCAATCACTTCATCATCGATTGGCAATGATAACTAAATCTAAATATGGTAATAGATACTCAATATACACCACATTCAGTTGTGGACACATCTACTACAGCCTACTTTTGCAGTGAATATGAAAGGCAATTAATTCAAGTTAATCCATGGGATAGGTTGAGAACGGTTCCGGGGTCAGTGATTTATCCGTCTTATTCCACCGAACATCTGCCTAGAAAAGATCAAAATGGTGTTGTTCTTTGGTAATGGATGACGGCACAGAGTAGCCCAGATGATAGAACTCTAGCAGATGTCCTTCAATCTGGTAAATTACTAGGGGCTTCTCCACCTCTATCTGCTACCGAAAAGGGTATTCCATTCAATATACCCGTGCAGGCCCAGGTTGGCAGATTATATACTATTTACTGGATGTGGAACACGACAACTGAAGTTGAAGGAGGCTTTTTGGTCTGTTCTATGACCTTTTCCACATATTGACAGAAGCTTAGTTCTATTTCCAGGTTTATACTTCCTGCTTTGACATTGAAATTATCGAAACATCTGGCGACAGCCCCACTACAAAGGGTGCTACGTCCGATGTATTATCATCTACCGCACTCGTTTCAACGTCTACTCCGTCCAATTTGACGAACGATTTCCCGACTACAAAGAGGACTAAATCCAGTTTACTGTCACGTACCAGAGTCGTTTCGACATCTGTTTCCTCTTATTTGACTAGTTATATAATGCTAAACTCCTCTGCTGTTCGACGGCCGACTTTCTCAGGATCTAGCCAGTTATCTGGGGAGACGGTATGTCCAAGTATCTCAGGGCTAAATATCAACATGACGAGCTCGCCCAGCCTCAGATCCCCAAGTATAGCCATGACGTCAAAGGCTGATATGAATAGCTCATGCAGCTTATTACAAACTACTACTCATTCAAAAACAGGCATGATTACACAGAGTATTCTGGGCGGTTCAGAATCAACAAACAGGCCATTTATTACGCCTCCCTGGCAAAGAAATAGTACACTTCCGATATCTATAACAGGCATGAACCTACCAACCAGTCTCTGTTCAACCCCACGTATTGGTTCTACCCAGACAGTGAGAGTAAATACAGGCAATATGACTGAGTTCGATCCTCCGTCGCTCGATTTGTCTATTGGCGATGCAGTGATGTTCTACCCAATAAATGGGAGTTTTAACTTATACAACACCACCCTTGATGAGTCATGTGTAGGTGTTACCAGACTTGGTGACGATATAGATGGCAGTGTTTTATACAATGTCACCTCTTCTAAGCCAGCTTGGTTTCTTGGGCTCCAACACGACGACGGTTGGTATTATTGCTTTCCTGGATCTCATTTCGCCCTCAATCCAGGGAACGAGAGTGAGCAGTTCTCTAGTACGATTCGAACGACATCTTATATGTCTATCGCACGGCCGGATCGCCATTTGTCCACTACAACAGTCGTTGTTACGGATACATTCTCCGGCACAACTCTAACAACATCTTATTTGACAATCGCGGAGCCGTATGCCCGGACGTCCACTACGACACTGGTGGTCACCGAGTATTGAGCTAGGACATTCAGGGAATGATACAGAGGTGCCCGTAACCGGATTCTATACCCTGTATAGAGAGGCTTGTTTTTGAACCCTATTCACATGATACGTTATACTGCAAACGGACTACTGGTAAGTTGTTGTTCCATTCCTTACCTGCGTTGGAGAATCGGAAGCAGTAATTAAGGCTCTACGAGTAAGATCTCAAAGAGAACGGAAGAGCTTTCATTGCTTAATAAGAGCATGTCATCACTGCAATCCCATTGTTTCTGTTGTCCTGCCCCCACGCATTCCTCCCAGTATCCCTGTTGACAGCAGCGCGCGCAGCATCCCCCCAGACAGACGGCAAAGCACTGGGGAAACGTCAGTATATAGTTAATCAAAGGATAAAAGAGAGGGCAACTTACTGAAAATCGCCATTGTCGTTCCGCAGCAGTCTCCTGACCTCTCAATTTATCGTAGGCCTCTTTGATCTCCAGCGAGATATGGACCATTTTGTTGACGTCCTCCAGAATGGTGAAGACGTGTTTGGTCAGCTTGGCGGCATATTCAAGCAGTTTCAGAAGGTTGTTGGGCGTGACGTAGGCCTTGTATTTTTCATAGAGAAAGTAGCCGGCCACGAGAATGAGGAGAAAGGCAACATTCATGGCGGAGAGATCGGGCATGATAGCCGTGGTGGTCGAGGTTGTGTCGGCGGAGATGGTGGTCATCAAGGCAACAATGAGAGAGAAAGGAGTTGAGGAAGAAAGAAGCCAGAGGGGGGAGAAGGCTCCTATACAGCAGCGCGCCGGTCTCTACTCGGGCCCGTGAGGAGGGCGAGCGACGCAATACCAACACGAAGCTGAAGCTATTCAGGAGGGCCAGAAGCTAAGGAAGTGAAGGCGGAGAAAGAAAGCGGCAGAAACGAAGTCACGTTATTGGTGGCCAAAAGAGCCAATGAGAAGACCGAATCTGTAAAACTTATGGACCAATGAGAAGCCTTGGAGCCGGGAACTTTCCTTGCCAGGACCCAGCCAAGACTTCAGAGAATGAAATTAAAACTCACCGCCTTAAGCAGATGTTCTGCCAGGAGCATTATGAGCCATCAGATGTGATTAGGAACTTTCTTAAAAATAGTTCCGCCACCACCCGCACTGAGGGGTGACTGTGCAAGAACGCCAGGTGCTGATACACAATGGACCACAGGCGTAAGTACTGAAAGGTTGAGATAGGCTAAGATGATCCAATCGGCCAGAGGTGCCTGATCCCTAACTGCTCACTTGCTAAGTACATAAATTTACACGGTCCCTATTTTCTCGTTAGAATCCTAGTATGTCACCACTTCCACCTCATAGCCCATTGGCACTACCAGCCCATTGGTGCGCAATGTCTACCTAATACCAATACCTTTCGAACCAGAGCTAACCGAAGGATCCGTAAATTTAAAGTAGGCTACCACAATGTAGAACTTTTAGCATAAGATACATCATAATATCGGAATACACAAAAGTCAGTGATGGCATCACATTTCCACCGGGCACTGTCGGACAGAGAGGGAGTTGAAGTACCGATGAACGAAATTGGATCTCTTTCTTTTATCGGCACTGGCCTCAAAGCTCTTGGAACTCGAAATTTGAATAGCTGTATTGGCCCATATTCCTCCGCTGCCTCGGCCTTCGCAAGATCCGTATACTTCCATCAACTACTCGCCCGTGCGGGTCCTCGTGCCCACTGGGTGTTTGTTACGTCTCGAATTCAGGATTTGACCGCCAAGCGAAGAAGTCTGTTGGATCGGCCATGGCGCTATCACCATTGTCATTACTTCTCTCACCTTGCCGCGGTGTCCACGGAGTTGGCGCTATCCGGCGGCCTCCTTAGTCGCTTCGTCAGTCAACTATTGCCTATAATGCTGCTATGTGATAGTATCTATCAGAAGCGCACCGTGAGTCCCTCATCCATTGCTTTATTCGGAGCTGCTATAATCACCTCCCGGAGATATTGTCCCGACTGCCTGCCAGGGTATTGCAGAGCTCGTTGAGCCGTCTGGTTGTCAGCAACGATCACTGCCTGACCTATTCGATGCCTCGTGATCATGATCAGGGCTAGGATCAAGTCTTCCCGGGGTTCAGGGTCCCGGGCGGTAACAGGTCGCTGCTCATCCTCTGAAAAGTAGCCCATCGGGTAGACGGTTGGCTCGAAGCTGCTCCCGCCGCTTGAGCTGCACGTCAGGCTGCCCGTTTCTCCTTTCGTCGGGAACTGGTAGGCATCCTCTGATTTAAGTGCCGGCAGTGGGTCTAAGGTCATCGGGTTGGGGTACGCGACTGGGGAGAAGCCGTGGATGGCAGACCACGGTGCGTGGGGCCGGTGTAGAGGTAAGTCTGATATCGTAGAGTTGAATGCTGACTCGTAGAGATACGTAATTCTCGATGTTTGCGAAGTCATGAATTCCAAAGCTGAGAAGAGCGGTATGGGGCGGAGGGCCCTCGGGGTTCTCAGACCTTCTGGGATACGTGCTGAGCATGCTGTGCTTCGTCTTTATCTGAGTAGGCGCTGCCGGGACTCGCTCCGGGTGATTAGGGGGGATGGCAGGTCCACTTGCTAACGGGCCTGCCGCGGCGTCACGGTGGGGCCAGGCTTGCGGGGAACCGGGCAATCGTATCTCTAGGAGTGACGCTGATATGCTTGGAGCCGTCAAGACCGGTATTGATGGTATGGATATGGCTGATATGCTGGATGGTCCGGAGGAACCTTCTTCCGCGCACTCGGGGACGCGTTACCAGTCGACGCGTTAGAGCGCCTGCTGTCTGGTTAGATATCAGCGTACCTCTCTTATACAGCAACAGGTATCCCCGCAAAGACGCCAGGCAGATCTCGCCACCTTCCTTAAACTGATGTGATTGTAGCTGGCGTTCTGCCTCGGTCAGGAAACCGGCTCCTTTTATGCGGACATCTCCGGAGACTATGTAGGCTCCGGTATATTGCAAGTTGATCCCGGAAATTGCATGATCAGTGAACTAGATTGGTTACTAGCCTAGGAGGGCCGGCCGGACTTACGCATGCATTAGCCTCTAGGTATGGGCTGTAATAGTCGGACTCAGTGTTACATATGGCCATGTGTTTTACAGAGATATGGCTGTCGAAAAGGCAAAGAAGGGATAGTCCCAGAGCAGGTAGAGGGAGACCAAGTGTGAGACAAATTTGTCATCGTCAGTGATGGCGGTCCATGGCTTAGTAGGAACAAGATAAGCGGCACTGCCGCACAAAAGCTGGCTGTCCATAATCTGTGTTGGACAACGACCCAACGTCTCGCGAGCAGGAGATGTTCATGCAACTTAGGAAGTAGCCCGGCCACCCACTCCGTGTCTGGTAGGGATACCGCACCGACACCGCGCCCGACTAGCTCAAGTGACTGAACCTGTCGGTTGGCGACACTCATCACGCATACGTCCTGGTGTCCGAGTCTGACCAGCTGCGCCAATTGATCGAAGAGCAGAACACCCTGGTTGACGAATTCGAGAACGAGTCGCGCCCCAACCTTACCCCGCACGACAATGAACACGGCCTCTGATCGCCCCAGTAGCTGCCGGGTGTGTCGGACCCGGGGGCAGTTTGACGCGACCGAATCGAATTGGCAGGAACGGGCAGGGATAGCAGGGACCGCCGCTGAGGGGGCCAGGGGCAATCTGGACGATTTAAAAACATCATGTATTTAGCAAGGCATGAGGCAGATAGGAATTGAAGACACACAGTGGCCGAACCGACCCTATACAGGTGTATGAAGACAGGAACCTCTCTGACATATTATGCTCAGGATAATAAAGTGACATTTATCTCCTGGTTATAGTAGAATAGGTATGACAGCCCGCGACCGGTAACAACTACAAGTAGCAACCAACCCCCTAGGCACTGGCCATGCCTGGAGTTTGGGACTTGCGCTGGCCTCCGTAGCGAGGCTCACATGTGGCATCTCAGAGTCGTCTGTTAGTTACTGAGGACGCTTTGTAAGTGTGGGATGAGGCGGCTCTGCGGGGTGGGCAATCTATCATAGATTAGAGGGAAAGGCAGCACAAAGTCGTAAGTCTGTGGATAATACCGAGCCTAATCTCATCCTTATCTTCTTGCACTAGATCAAGGCCATATGTAGCTTGCGCGCCATTGTGTTGAGAGAATGGTGAAGACGATGGCATCACGGGCGAGTGATGAGGTTTCATTATCACGTGTCTGTAGTCACGTGATATGTCACACTACGCCATGCGTCATCCATCCAGAGGCCGGGCATCAATTTCTGATGCCTAAATACCTTTCTTGCGTCATATACACGTGTGTTGATTCTTCTCGTTTGTGTTTTGAGGCTGAGCTCCTATCACTATCAACCATTTACAAGTGATACATCTCTCTCATACATCAATAAATACTTATCTTTCGCTTTTGTTGTTTATTGATGCTCCGCCGTTAAAATGGAATCCTACGAACTTCCTCCCGAGGCCGAAGCCATTCGTAAAGATATAAGGCAAATGGTGTCTGAGGCAGATACAGTATCGAACAAACAGGATAAATCGAATTCGATAACAATAATGGAAGACGAAATGGGAAACAAGACTTATTTGGGAGCCTCACTGACCGAGGAAATTACCCGGTTAATAGAGATAATGCGGATCGGACGTGTCTGTACCTTCTATAATATCGCTGGCAGTTGAAATCTTAAACTAATTAGAATCTAGGGTTGGGGATACCGTTTAGTGAATTTTCGCCATCATTCCGTACTCCCAATTAAACAAGGGCAAGGATACTTGATCCCACTATCTGAGCAAATCATGACGGCTCCTGGAGGAATATTACAGGAAGGGTTTTATAAAATCATCGTGAATGAACTCACAATCAGTGCTGGCGCAATTGCTATATTCATTCTTCCCTACGAATTGTGCGAACGATGATTGCAGCTCTCTATTCTTGTAAAATTGGGAATACACAACGACTATGCAGATATATGTGGATTAATTCCCAAGAATAGCCTGAATACATGACCATGTTATGCGAATCAAACATCTCCGTATGGATATTGAGGCTGTAGTGGTTTGATATGCCCATACAGGTTGAATGGAAACTGTGCCCTTGTCGCAAGTCCCCCTTCTGAAGAAGTGTATGTAGATTGCAGTGGCTGTATATTTTCAACTAGGTTGAAACCATTATTGTAGGGGATCGTCTGCATACTTCCGGAAAAGATCGGCTGCATATCCGGGGGGAAGTCTGAAAACGAAGATTGCAGTGATTGGAGGTACTCATACAGATTGAATGGGGTTGTTGCACTTGCTGCAGGGCTCTCTTGTGGAAAGATGTATAACGTAATCCACAAGCGAGTGGGCCGGCGCACCCGGCCAAACATGCCTCCATGAAAAGATGAAGCTTATATAGTCCACTATATCAACAAAATAACGTGTTTAACTGGTGTTTTGACGTGTTGGACATCTTGTTCTTATATGCCCAATTGTTCCACACTCGCTGCAGCGAGATGGTGCCCGGCGGCGAGGCTGTTCCTCGCCTGTAGCTGATTCTACAAGCTGACTTCCACCAACTTGATCAGCCTCGCAAGTCTGTTTGAACGCGATTTTAGCCTCTTCAACAGTGACGCCGTTAAGGCCGGCCATTTGGCGATAAGACCTCTTCTTCTTAGTGTTTTGCCTCTCTAATCCAGCCCGTAATTCGTCGACTTCCTGCTCAAGCAAAGCAGCCCGGTTGAAGGCGATTTCGCATCCTTTTATAACATAGGATAACGCTGCTCTCATCTGCGAAGATGGGCTAATTGTACGTTCACGAAGAAGCCTTTCAATAGTAGTTTCATGCCTCCGCAACTGCCTTGTATTCTTGGATGTTTTTGGCACTGTTGATGTAGTAGAAATGCTGCCGGTTAGAGTAGGCTCACGGAGCTGTATAACCAGCCTATCAAGAACCTCGTCTGGCTGGAATGGAACCAATCCTGAAGCCTTAAAGACGCTGCGTATAGTTGATTCTTTAAAGGCAAGAGAACGTACATCTGGATATATATTGTTGGGATCCCCGATGGGCTCCCACGCCGGTAGGCAACGTAGGGTCACGTGACCCTCTTCCCTACACCGCTAGTTAGTCCATATAGATGGCCTACGAGGCCCCTAGCTACATCATCATCCATCTCATTCTACACGGTTGAATCGCCTTAGTAGCCACTCCAACATATATCCAAGAAATCAACCTTATTAATATGGTGGGTGCCCTGGCGAATCAGCCGTTCTATTAAGCTTTTGTACGCTTGTTTTAATGGTGTAAAGTAAGCAATGTCGAGCAGTTGACAAAGATACGAAGAATGCGGAGGCATGCAGATAGGAATAATACTGTTTTGGCTACATATATCATCGAATTCCGGACTCAAATGGGAGTCATGTCCGTCAAGAATTAGAAGGCTATATCGCCCAATCCGCCGGTTTTTAGTAGAAGGAATAAAGTGTTCACGAAGCCAATGTAAACCAATCTTATTAAAAGTCCAACCATTTGGCGATAGATTTATACACCAATCAGATGGAATAAGGCCTTGATACCATGCCTCTATATGAACCTTTCCCTTGAGAATCAAGTACAGCGCCAACACCACACCGGCGGCGTTGATACACTCAATTGAGGTCACCCATTCGCGGTTGCCAGACTGTATAAGAAACAGCTTACCTATACAGTCAGATCTTGTGATTACACGCGCTGTAGTCACTATATCCATAAAAAAGCCTGTTTCATCAAAGTTCCAGATATCTTCATTGAGAATACTGTATTCCTTTCTTATGGCTTTAACCCGATCGAACCACTCATCTAAGAGCTTGGAATCTTCACATTTCGCACGTTGAATATAATTTCTTCGAGAGAATTGACTCTTTAAAGCCGGTGTACGCTTAACAAAGTAGTATACCCAGTTTTCGCTGACAGAGACTGCGGAATTCGAGGCATGTTTTTGAAGAATAGATGCCATATTCCGAACATATGACGGCCGAGGATGAAGCCCACGCTTAACAAGTGAGAGTATCCAGTCCTTTAAAGCCTTTTCTTCAAGAAGAGTCAGTTTCATAGACTTGACACGTATATCTGAACGTGATTTGACTCCTTTAATACGTCGTTGCAGAGTTGAACGCGGAACATTGTAAGCGCTCGCAGCTTCGTTTATATGCGAAATTCTGCCACTTTGAATAGCCTCAACAGCTAGGCAGATACGGCCTTCTTGTTCCACCAAAGATTTTGACGATTGAGGCATGTCTGGTGGAGTTGTTGGTGGTTGAATAGCTTCAAGTTGAAGAACGCGAGAATAACGCGCGCGCCGGCCCACTCGCTTATGCGGCCCACTCGCTTGTGGATTACGTTACGGGTTGCAGTTGTTGTGTGGTGGTTAGAGATTGTACTAGTGGTGTAGTCACCCTCGCTCCAGGATATGAACTGCCTGGACTCGGGTCAGATCTAGACAGAGAAGTATGATCTGATGTATGAATATGCTCAAGGTAACGAGTCGATAACGCGGAACTATTCGTAGATTGCTGAGTATTTGAACGTGGTGAGCCCCTTGATACTTTAAAAGGTTGGATATACGATGTCCGGTCTATATAGTATCTGTCAGCTGATCTTTCGAAAGAAGGCTGGGAGAAAAAACAGGGATTTACAGACCTGAAAGCACTCGAATTATCTCTGAATCTTGGGATAATGAATCTTTTATCTTCTTCCACAAGATCTTAAAGAGGTTGTTTGGAAACTCATCCCAAAGATTCTTATTTTTAATGTTCGTTATACCTCGATGTCTCAACCGTTCAAGCTCTTCCTCTCGGTTAGGGCCAGATAATGGGAGTAATCTGATACTACAAAATGGTCAGTATAATGAGTAAGCCGTTAGTCTAAATACTAACTTTTCATTGTGAACCTCCGCAGGTAAAAGAAATAGATTGCCCAGATGTGCATTCGTATTGACACCATCGCTCCCAAGATCCTGGCATAATGTGTCAATCCTTTTCCCTTCTATGGCCCACTTGTTGATCTGATTAGAGATACTGTCGATCTCCCCTTGCACTAAGCCGGAATGAATAATGGTTTTTGCCAAAAAACCCAGGCAACTAGAACGACTGTATTTAAGGCATAATGCAGTTTTCAAACGATGAAATACCACCTTGATAAGTCGGGCGCGAATAGTGTCTTTCCTGCCATTTGATAACTGTGTCAAGAAGCTGTATGCTTGAGCAAGAGGTGATATCGCCAGATCGAAGAAGCGGTTGTTGTCAAAAAAAAAATAGAAGTGGATTGTCTTTCCAGCGAGGATCAAGTGTCAACTCTGAATCTGTGATTATTTTGTTGTTCGTCTTAGTTTTGCCAGCATATCGTCTATTCGGAGCCCGGGTTATCGTTCTCTGGGCCCTTTTGGGAAGACAAGACCAAATCGATTGTAGTGATCTCATGAGCTAAAAGTGGTCAGATCAGTTATGTTGTCAGTGCGGAGGAACGACCATTGTACATCTGTGTTTCCTGAAAGATTCACCTCAATTTCACAATTTCCAGTACATTCAGCTTGAGCACAGGCCCTGGAAAGGGTCTCGGCGATTATTTTGCCCTCAGAAACACCCATGATGGATAGCAATCGATGCTCTGATGGTCGTGTCTAGGAAGAGGGGGTTCGATCTCGGAAAGGCCGGTTACTGGGTCACATGCTCCACCAGCTCCCCAAAATGGCGTATTATTGGCCGAGCTGATCCCCACTACTGTCCACATGACTGCTGCCTATATCAAAGTTGTGAGACGATTACTGCGCATCATAGGAAGTGCCCGCTTCCTCATTTTTCTAAAATATTATAAAACAAGCAGAGGAAGTTGCAGTATCAAAGTAAATAGGACTACCAATCCAGTACTTATGGAGAATTATTCTATTACTTACAATAATATATTCGGAGACAAAAAGATACTAAGATGTCTAATAGTTATAGAGAAATATTTATAGAAGATTGCTAGTACACAATATAAAGCTTCTTATAAGATATTCTGGAGATGCAAGCTAATATAAGTCACGTCATAGTCGAGTCAGTCAAATATGGTGATAACTGATCACTCGGCTAAAAGGACGTGTATCCAGCCAGATGCTCCCATTTTAGAGAGCATCTGATCTCCCTTTTCCTCCCTCCTTCAGGCCAAGTGGTCAGTGGATTTGAGCTGCGATCGTCCATTTTCCCTAACAACAGTAGGGTCATTAAAGGTAGAGATCGGTAGACGGCGTTGCTGACCATCCTGGGTCACACGTTTGGTAACGGATTAAAGAGTTGGTGTAGGTTCGGAAGATGGCAATACAGAGTTTTGACGTACTTGCTCAAATTGATCCAGAGAAGTTATAGGTTGTATGTTTGAGAATGAAGGCTGGTATTAAGAAGTAGCACAGATCACTTCGCGATCCAAGAAGCAGGGTCGAAAAGTGAAACACCTGGGGGGTAGAATGAGACATAGAAACCTACGCAAGTGCCCTGTTCCTCTCATATAGATGCATCAGCTGATTTATGTATAAACCCACCCCGAAACAATTCCCTACAGAACTCAACCGTGTTAAATATATTGATTAACTTCCCCCTCCTTACTCAGGTATATGGAGCTCACTTGTGGCTAGTCAAATATGGCAAACTATACAAGAAGACAACAGAAATGGCATTCCAAGTCATAGTAGACTACACCAGGGGATTAATTCCAAAGGAACACAGGAATCTTCTTTCAACATGACGTGTAAGTTAGATCAGCAAGCACAAGAAGATTGGAAAATTTTATATAAAAATAAGAGCCACAGTGCATGCAAGATAATAGTTACAGTCATGGAGGTTTTGAAACCAACTTTCCCTGCAGAGACAGTTGCTTCAATGTGCGCTGCCGAGACTCCATAAGCCCCTTCCCGACATGATGTTTTCTTAGCTCCCTGTGCGAGTATGCGAAATGCTCGAAATGAATGTGCTCGATTTCATTCGCACCTGCTTCCTTTCTTGTCACTTTGCATCGCACATCATATACAACCTCAAGGCCATGTTTCTTTTCCTCAGTTATCCAGTATTCATAAGTGATAGCCTCGTCACCTTTTGTCTCCCGTCGGTTTTTGAGGTCTTCAACCCAAGGCCGCTCTCGAGGCCGTTTTCGGACTAATATGCCAAAGCAAGCTGCTGAAGTCCAACGGAGGAGCTGTTTTGCTTTCAATGAAAAAGAAGAGGGGCTGTCTTGTTCGTTCCCGAATGAGGACATGGTATGCTTGTTTGCTGACATACGTTGGGGCGGCACATATTCGGATTGGCTTTCGGTTTCATACATTGCAGTTATTGTAGCGCTTTCCTGGAGTGACAGAACGTTCTCTTTTGGTAAGCTAAAGACCTTACACTGGAAGATGCTTATAGAGCCTTACCTACCTTGGACCAAGAAGAGAAGATTGATACTCGTATCAACAATAAGAAGGCGGCAGGATGTACATTCCAGACAGCAAGAAGTAAGAGGACAGTTAGGTGGAAAGTGGTATTGAATAAACACCAGACATATCCCAGGAGAGTGCACTATAGATATAGAAAATAGGGATAGCAGGTCTCCACAGGCTGAAGTCCGGGAGAAAGGGCTCATCTAAAGCCCCCATGATAGAAGAAGTTATTAATTAGACCACCATGAGTATTATACATGGATTACCGATACGTAGAGGGGAGCTATCCATACCAACCAATACCATATATCTACATTTCCTTTGTACTCACTATACGGAGTACTGATTCCCTAGTCAGCAATACAATACTAATCTACTTAAAGTAATTCCTTTGTCAACAAAAGATGTGCTCTAAGGAGTATAAGATAAGCTCTGCACCCTACCAGACCCAAATATTTCAAGCACTAGTTTATTTACAGCACCTTCTTTGTCAACAATGAAATTACTCTAAAAAGTATAGCGTAAACTCTGTGCTCAGTCCCGCAGCAGTACAAGGATTAGGCCGCGTAATGCGGAAACCAAAGCCCGGAAAAATGGGCTGGTACACAGAAAATGTTCCAATAAACGTTAACGTCAGCTCGCTCGGCCGGCCACTCGCCGGTATCTGCAAGCATATCTATATTGCGCTGAAAAGAAAAGCAAGTTTCAGTGCTTTATAGAATTGGCTCCGGCTGCTGATGAATGCAGCCAGCAGTTTCTTGATCTATATCACAAATACTGGTGCGATGCATGGCATATCAACACACAGAATACCTACACCATATTAAACAGCTAGTTATGCCGCACTCAGCAAGAGCGGGTCAGGCGGCACAGAAAATGGGGCGGCTGTCACATTCAGATTTTGGGTGCTTGGAGCCCGTGAGCGACTGGAGCAGAATGCTGTCAATGACCACTTCCGTAAGCACTTACTCCATTCATAGTAATATCTTAGTTAACAATAAAATTATCTTATGTAGCTTAATATCATAAAATTACTACCTGCAGGCTTCCAGCCGCCTGTCCTATTCTAATCTAGATAAGGACAGATATATAGATTATTAACTAGTGATAGCCTGATAGATAATCTTTTTCTTAACTTCTTTAGTAAAGCCAGAAATATTATTCTATCCATTATTCTCTCTTTCCACTGCTCTAAGAGAATACTGGAATATTTTATTAGATACCACTATCCAGCATAAATATTATTGTATTGGGAACACTTCATAAATCACAGTATTAAAACTATATATACTTAGATATAGGGACAGCTAACAGTATATAAGTAGTAGTAAAAGATGCAGGTCTTTAATATCAGACTATCAAAAAAAACTAACATCTATTTAATTCTTAACCTGAACCTCAGTACCTTCCCGGGTATATAATATCAAATAATGAATCATGAATTAGAACCCTCTAACATATTAAGAGAGCTCTACTAATTCTTCTACTCTAGATATAATATCTTGCTTGATCTACCAGAAGATACTACTAAACAATGAACACTAACAGTAATATATATCATGAATAACTATCCTACCGGTTCTTCAACAGCGCTTCCTGACTTGTCCTTTATCCACTATTGTGCGATTGATTTCCTCAACAACAGCAACCCTTCCCGGTTTGTCCTGCCATTTCCGTGGAGTTTGGTTAACTCCGATCTGTTGGGACTTAAGGTCAGCAGTGAACCAGCACTTCGAGTACCAGCACGAGGCCTGCACCAGCATATACTGGTCTAGAACAGATGTTGTGGTCTGAATTAGATTTTGGACTGCAAAAACAAGATCCTGGATTAATTGGATCCTTGCGTAAGCTAATTTGTTTCAGTATGTTTTGGCCTACTCAAGCCCAGTCAGCTCGGTCATACACCTGTTTCGGTTTGGATTTCCTTATTTGTTCTGGTTGGAGGTCCCATTCTGAGTATGTCCTACAGTAATCTGATCAGTAGTAATCATGATACAGTTAGCATTTAATCAGCCTTGCTGTGTCATTAATAAGCGTGAGATCTAGCACCAATGCCTTTCCAGATGCATTGAGAGACCAGAAAGTTGGTTAATCTAGGAAAAGACACTATTAGAGCCCATGGGTTTGGAAGAAGTTAACCAGTTCCTCCGCATGTTGTATAAACTAATAGTAAATTTAATAATGGCTCCATACCGGGTAATAACGGTTCCTGTCACCTGCTAAGATGAGTTTAGTTATTCAATAACTTTTCTCTGTCTGTTTTTTAATGCTTGTTTAGATTGTATCCAAGATCTGTTGAGCACTGGTAGCCTCGACAGCTTCGTACAATGCGACTGGTTGAATATAGACAGAGAACACCAGATACTGTAGTTCTGGAGTCCAAATTTTGATGTCTACAACATTCAGGTAGTTGCAGTGGATTTGGCGGTGCAATACAGTTAAGATCCTCCAATTTATATAAAGAAGGCTGCGGATTCAGGCCGATTCTTCGGCATGTGTCGGCCGGTAGAGTCGCCATGTACTATGGTTGATGTGGGTGTGGTAGGCGGTTGTAGGTGGTTCTTGGATTAGAAGAAGATCGAGATTCTGGCTGTAGTGGTTGTTGATGAAGGCTTCTATGCCTGCCCGGGATTTCATCATATTTAACTGTAGGATTTGGAGACTTGTTGTTATTAAAAAGACCGAGGATTCAGCGGTGCCTGGCATGTTCGGCCACCTGTCAGATATTCTCTATTGCAGTCTGAGTATCTGGGCCTGATCCCTGGGAACCAGTAGTGCTAGTCATGCGGACCCGTGCAGTATCCGCACTTTACTTGCTCTTTGCATGACCAGGCTAGGTGACCAAATCCCTAGCAGTGCTGGCATCGTTTCTTTTCTACCCGATAAGGCTCTACACTTCCAATATACCTCTGTCCAACGAGCAGTCTATTGTTAATGATCCATTCTGCTGCCTCCGGTGAATCTAACCAGATCTTCATGAAGACTGATTTGTTTAAAGATATTTCTCTCTTCTTCAGCTATACAATATCTTTAATCTAAAATCTCTTCTCGGAGATATTATTTTTCATTATAATATTCTTTACTTCCTATTTCTTATTTTCATCTAGTTCAAAATCCTTAATCAGGACTCGATAAACCACAATACTAAACCTGGGCTTTACTGCTTTGGTCTTGTTTCCTGACTCATGCAGCCACTCAGTGTTGTTCCAGGCGGTCTCAGCGGATTGGGTATCCCAGAATCGAATAACATAGCCTGTTTTGGTCGTACTGACTCCCACGACTTGCACGTTTTTGGTAGTCTCTGCATTTAGCAGAGTGGTTCTGATGTGTGTATTCGCTGCCTCGGTAGATAGGGCTCTTGAAAACCGGCTGTTGTTGATATCCTGATCGGGGGTTGGTGTGGTACTGATCTGAACACAGTTGAGTTCCTTTAGAGGCGCGGGACAGTTGTGCTTGGATCTCCTTCTATAACTCCTTGTTCTGGGTCTGTAGAAGATACTGCTCAGCTTTTAGTTCCTAGATCTCTATCCTCACTCTTCTAATTATCTCAGTCTGTTACTTAAGGGCCTCATTAAAGCTGGTGAAAAACTGTCAGACATTCTGGTTAGTTATATATCTGCTTTTGTCATCGCAGGTTACGAATTCAGTGTCAATGATTGGCTCATTCTCTTCTGTATCTAGACCTCGTCTGCAGTGCTTTCTAAGAAAGGGGATTCTTGGGCGAAAGTCATATTAAGAGAAAATCAGTGATGTCTCATGTATTTATAGGCTGGGGTTCAGTAACCTCTTCAAGCAAGATCATTATCAGGCTGGGGCTAGTTCCTGCTTGGCACACAACAACAGTCTACCATACTGGCTCAGGGATTTATAATATATTAATATTGTCTACTTGTTTCTGGTTAATCTCAAGATAGTACCCAGCCATCCCTCTATTACAGCTCAGAGGGATAGTACAGATAAAGTCAGAATTGGCTTCCATGTTTTACCCAGAGTAACTCTGTCGAACCCTAATACCGAGGATGTGATGAAACAGTCCAAACCTAGCTAGTTTATAAATCATGCTCTCGCAGTGGAAGAGAAACGTAATTTACTTGACAAGTTGATACACCACGGGGTGTACTTGACCTCCGGGCCACACGGTAAACAGTGGACGTATAATGATAATCACGAAGTAGTTCTTATTAATAGTCTGGACAAGAGTAACCTAAAACAAGGTATATAGTTGAATCCGCCCCCCCGTCAGAGGCAAATAACCATTAATCTTAATTCCACATCTTGGGTAGAATTTCAACAATGCGATATTCTTGAATGATAATCCGCCAGTACTACACACTTAGAATTAGTTTTAGTGGAACCCATATGCGCGTGGTTTGAGGCTTTTACTACATCGATTTAGTCCCATGAACTCGCTCAACCTTGGGATATTTTGTTTAAACATGCTATTTTGATACTGCTTTGCATGAATGAACAATATATATGATCAAAAAATTTGATATATTGATAATCTAATAATCAATCCATTAGCTAGAAGAAGAAAAGGTCATATTGTGTTGCTGTGTAGGAGGAAAGAACAGGTTTAAACAGGGTGGCTGGCCGTCACCGCTTCCCGAAGAGGAAGGAGCAAGGAGCCCGCTACAATGATGCCTATTGGGTGTCAACAACACCCATTGGTAGTGGAAGGGAAACCTACCTGGGGCCCAGAATCTCGAGAATCAATCAAGGTCTAAACAATGCTGAATTATTAGTTACTGGGTGGTCATCCCCCGCATTCCTTCTCCCCTTTACGATTCCTGCGCGCAGTTAACCAGACACGCAGCTTATTAGTCAAAGGACAGAGTTATAAGGACCAAGGATACTAAGGCACCCCTTTCATTTTTCACTATATAGTCTCTTAACTGGATAATTCATGGTGGTTAGCTATGGCATTCCCACACAGACCCCCCGCCCCGATACAATAATACATACAACAGAATCATAAGTAGTCCCAATCATCGGCCGGCCTAGCCGCTGTGGTTTAAAGACGGTCAGATACCACGTGATTTTAACCCCTTCTCTCAACCCCCAACGCTCCTGAAGTCTTCCTGCACACAAAGAAGTCCATACGTTGTATACCACTTACTGTCTGCCATGCGCCTATCTAAAAGTAAAGTGATAGTTGACATTCTGTCCGAAGCCTGTAACAAGGCTGAGCAAACTGGGACAGTTGATGTTATAGCTTTATCTTCAAAGCCAGAGGTACGCCAGTCTCATAATATTACCATATAGACTAAGGCTAGTCAGTTTGTACGCTCCCTTTGTGGGTTATGGGTACATATCCCTGAGGAAACAAGGTCAAGCATTTGTTGTCAGTGAAAGAAGACTAGCCGTGGAATCCGGCGAGGAAAAAGTTAATAGCTGGGTATGCCAGAGATAACTCTGCCGCAGGAGTTGCTGGCTGATATATCTTGCTGGATAGATAACCCCTCGTCATTCTTTCAAGAGGGGGGCGGTGTGTTGGATCTAAGTGCCTCACTTATTATTAGAGCTTATCAATATCTTAACTAACTGGGTTTGCGGACGAAGGTTGACAATATTCGTGCGCGCTTTATCAAAGTCGTATTTCACCGACTAAAGGAAAGATTAAGTCGGGGATATATGTGCTCGAACTTTGTCGACGATGTAGTGGCAATCATATCAAAATCGGGTGTGGTTAAAGACATCACGGACGACATCAAATCCAAGGTCACTAGCTGGACAGATGCGGGCAAGAGGATCGATACATTTTGTCAAAATATTGGAAGTTCTGCCGGCCATGAAAACTCGCATTTAGGCAATCTATTCTGCCTACCAGATGATTGTCATGATGAGTTATGGGTTACAATATCACAGTTTAAGTACTGAACTTGCTGACGAGTTCAAAGCATAAGACTCTTAGGCGTGACAGGGCCGGATAGAGACCATGAAACCCAACGGATCATAGCTCGTGACATACTGGAGGTACAGGACAGAGCTAGGTTAGATAACCTGGCGGCTAAGGTATTTGATGTCTTATGGAGCAAGGTTAATGCGTCGATTAATGATATAATCAATAAATCACCGGAATCGGTCTTAGGTGAATAAAATTAATCATCGCGGAGAATCCAGCTAATTGATATATAATAGGACGAAACCTACAACATACTCAATCCGTCCGAAGAGAAAAGCAGACACCGGGAGAAGTCCGAGAACTAAGCACATCAATACATAGCGATGAGCTTTCACCGAGCTGCGACCCGGTTGTAAATGACGCAAGCCTTGATTCTGCAACAACTATCCATGCGTCAGCAACAAATGCTTCAGCAAGGCCACATGTATCTCCAAGCCGTTCCTATGACAACACCGCAAATCAGCTTCTGGACGGATTTGACCAGCAAGATGAACAAACCTCGATCAATAACACTGACATGGACAATGGTCATGACATAATACAGCCAATATCACCGGCCCAATCACTCACTCCATTCAATGAGCAGACTCATGGGAACATGGGAAGCATGATAAACGTACATGATACATTCCAACCAATATTGCAGACCCGACCCTTCGCTTCATTCAGTGAGCAGAATTACGAGAACATGGAGACCATGGTAAATGTACATGATATGTTCCAACCACTTCTACCCATCGACAATTATGGCTCAATTCCCGGACAGGCTTCAACCCACACCAACATGGTCAATGTTCACGACATTCTTCAGCCAATATTGCGAGGGCCAGTCGGCGAACAAGTGGAAGCGCAATCCCAGACTGATATAACGAACATCGCCGGCGATATTAATCAACCAACAATACAAGCGCCAGCTTCTACCCTGCTGAATCCCTGGAATAATGCAATGACAATAACCGGAGTTCACGATGCGTTTCAAACCACCGCATCCTTTTAAGAGAAGAGGTCAGTGGATACACAGAAGCCAGTTAAAAATGACCGCTTAATTATTCCAACAATGACATCTAGCTAGAACATGCATAGCCAGAATCCCCCCAAAATCCCAATTATCCAACCTGTCCATGCTGTCCGAATTTTATCATGATGTTTTGTTTTCCTTCGACATCGTCGCCCTCAGGCGTTCGGGTGTTCAAATATAATGTCATCTCGGTACAACGTATATAGCTCCTGTTTTCGAATTAACCTGCAATTGGGGTTTAGATTCAAAGTAAAAGTAAAACCCCTCTTGCGATATTCCCTCTTCCGGCACTGCGCCGCGTAGTGTCTTCTCGGAAAGTGGAATAAAAAATCCTCTCTCTCGTTTGTTTGTAACAATTGTGGGGACTGCAAAATATAGCAAGCAGTAGCCCCAGTTCTACTAACAATCAACGTTATTTCCGTTTTATAAAAGATGTGAAACATACTTCTGGATCTGAGATGGGCAGCTGCCCTGAAAGTAGAGAAATTTGTTTTGCAAGTACATCACCTCCATATGTTTTATTACCATCCTCATCGATTTTGAGGATTTCCGCAGGTTTCTCAACTGTGTGCTTTGATAATTCCGGGATCTTTTCCTTTATCTCAAGGCGAATATTCTCAGCGATAGGTGGGAGTTTCTGCGGCCTCATTCTCACAAGTGTTGGAAGTGATCGGTATATTCACTAATGTGGTAGGAGTTGTCTAGTCAGCTAATGACAAATATGAACTTCTTGAGACGAGCTAGAATACAAGCACACACGTTTTTAATCACAGTGAAAACATGGACCGTGACATTTCAACCAAGTCATTGACGTTGACAACGCGATGGAGGGGGAGGGGCATGAGGGGCACCCGGATAAAGAGGTTCAATGGCCATTGGGCACTAAATCCCGTGACCGCGCCCCCATCTTTGCTCAACTGAGGTCGTGACCTGCGGACGTACGGTCGCCCACTGCCAAGGCCTTGAGAAACGGTAACAGGCAATATAGGACAGGTCACGTTACAGGAAAATTGAGGAACCAATCAAAAGCCGAGGCTTGGGAAAGAAACCTACAGTTCCTCAGCGCTAACGCGCTTCGTAAACAGCATGGTCGTCGACTTCACTCTCCTGTTCCCGCAAATACGGCGATTGAGTACGGCGTTCCCTGGATCTCGGAGACCCTGACAGCAGTGAAATATGATCGATTGGCACGCTTGCGTCAATGCTATAACTATCAACAATATGGTCATATAGGAAGTGTCTGCCCTAATAAGACAACCTGTGCGTACTGCGCGGAGCATTACCAGACTTGTGAATGTCTGCATGGGAAGGTAGGGACACTAGAGGAACTACTCCGTAAAGTATGTTGACTATAGGGGCATGCTGGTGGCTTCTGGGTTCTGCCCCTTTTGCCTGGGCGATAAGGGCCAAAAACCGGAGCAACGATTCCAACAGTGGTAGCCACAGACCTGCACTTCCGGGTTTTGGATGTTATGTCCCGGCTCAGCGACGCATCTTGCGACATTATAGTCGCCCTCGCAGTCTGTGGCGGGCGGTGATAGTAGCATATGCTGGGAATATCCATTCTAACATCATTTCATGTTTATTGGTTGGTCAATCACTTTTCTTTTTCATATTTGTCTTGCCCAGGCTGCGTTGGTGTCTTTATGCCTGAGGCATGAACATGCTTCGAAATAATTATACTCCTGCTATTTATCTTAAGAAGCGGATTACCAATACATCCGATACCGACTCGGATCGTCCTACCGCCTCAAGCACCCGTGCAGCGTCAGTTCGGCCAGGGAGTGTCCTGGATTCCTATCTGCCTCATGCCTTGCTAAATACATGATTGTCTAATTTTCCCCATAGCCCTTGGCCCCTTGGCGGTGGTTCCCGCCATTCCTGCCTGCTGCCCGTTCCTGCCACTTCGATTTGGTCGCGTCAAACATCGCGTCAATACTCTCTTTGAAGAGGAACCTCAACAGCTAGGAGTCTGGTAACCGAGCCTTTATAGGTGCAAATCAGACAGCAAATCTACCGCCTTCGTCAAACTACCAGGGAAAACCAGCTTCCAAACATAAAGGATCACGTGGGATTCACAGATTATATTGTAGTCAATAAACAATCAATAGCTCCTGGGAAACACGAACAAATTTCTGTAGACTTCCCTATTTTCCAAACTTTCTCTCCAGGGTTTGATCGTGCAAGGACTTTAGGCTGGAAAGAAATTGCCTTCTTTCATCAATGCTACCAACCAATTCCGGCTCCAAAGCCGCTAGAATATCCTCGTATTATCTTCTCTGGTTGGGATCCCTAGCCCGCTTACATGAATTCGTAAGCAGAACTGTCAATTCTTCAGAGAATGGAATTTTTCTCGCCCAGAGTGCGTATTTTACTGCTATACTCGCCACTTGGGGACCTATCATCAGGTCTGTAGCATGATCAATAATCATAGAGAGATTGATATAATCTTGTTTACTGAGATCCTCGTTACTGAAGGTTGCAGGGTGTTATTCTTGATGCCAGACACTCCAAAGACTAGATCCAAACAGGGGTGCAGTATAGAAATTGCCCCCTACAGCCAGTGTATCGTCTGGAGTAAAAACGGCGTGTGGAAGACCCGGTGGCATAACCCTATTACCAGTCAGTATTGTCGTTATATTTACAGCAAAAACATACAATAGATCACCAGGTTTTAGTTCTACTTTGACCATCCGCTTTCATATTCCTCTGGGCATTGGCTTCCAAGAACACCTAGTAGAAGATGTTCATTTGAAGTAACATGTCGAGGAAAATACCAAATTTTCCGCCCATGGAGAATCATGATATATGTTAACTATCCAGCAGTATCAGCATGGATTTGCGATATCGCATTTTTACTAGATAGTAAAAAGAATTCGCGTAGTTGTTTAGTCCAGGTCGAATTGGTCTTTGCCATGCCTCTGTCATTATGGGTCGCTGAGCTCAGTTGTGAAAGCGAGGACAAAAGACTATGGAGAATGATAGGTGTCGGACAGTAGTCTCCACGGCGATTTTCAATATCCAAAAAGTTTAGTGCGGTACGTTGGTCTGCTGGTTTTTTGAAATATGCTATTACATCATGAATAGCCATTGCCTTTGTTCGCTGATTAGGATCATCGATAGTATAATCATAGACATCTAGCTTCTCAGTTCCGGCTTGCTCAAGGTATTCAACAAAGTCGTATACCGAGACGCGTTCACGGGTTTGGAAAGGGTTATGATGAGAGGCATGACAATAAAGAAGAGAAACTATGAAGAGTTGCTGCAACCATTTATCAAGTTCTGCAGAATCTTGGACCGATATAATATCATCTGTGCGAGACAGATGCCCAATTGTGTTCGGAATCGCAGTAATAATCTGGCTTTTTCTTTATAAGGCATCGAGCTCGGTAATTATCTTGACCAGAGAACTTTGACGTGTGTTTGGCCAGCTCGCATATTTCTCAATCTGTTGTAGGAAATCAAATAGCTCTTTGCTGGAATTGTCATGGTTAAAGTCGATTGAATAATCTCCCCATCCAATATCAGTCTGTAGATCATTTATAAGACGCTTTCGCTTGCGAGATTCTTGAACACTGTTGTATCGCTTGTTCTTTTTGTCTTCGATATCCATGCTGGGTAGCCGTAGAGTTGGTAGCTGTGGTGCGAGTTACTACCCAGTTTGGAGGTCTATCCGTGTCCAGCCAAGATTTCGGGGAATGAAATCAATACTCACCGTCTTAAACAGATTTTCTGCCAGAAGGATTATGAACCATCAGATGTGATTAGGAACTATCTTAGTGACTCCCACATAATGGCTAGTGCCGGGCATCACTAGCACCGTACTCTCCTAGCAGCAGCTTATAAATGACATCGTCAGTCATAGTCTTGGTAAGGGCGTCGGCGACTATGTAGACATATCCAGGATCCATGCCTTTGATCCTGTCTCTCTACTAGACAGAAGTAATAGCTAACCAGCATCTCCAAGGAACATATTGATTGACCAGAGTATAGAAATATGGCAGTAACACCTGGTTTCACTAAAGACAGAGAGAAAAAGGTAAATCATGGTTTAGTGGCCCCTTCTCGTTTCCCTAGTTCCAGTCCCTTCATCAACCACTCGTCATCCAAGAGCTCAAGAGCTGTCGGTCGGCCAGAAGGGTTCCATTGCAAAGCCCGTCGGATCCATCGTAGAAACCCGTCCTTGTCTTCCCCCCTGATGTTAGCAGCTAAAGATTCGAATGTAATATCAGGTATCGGGGCTAATCCTTTCCAGACGCCGGAGTCGTCCCAGAAAACAGAACTGAGATCGCTTCGTTCACAAAAGTTAGGTGGTGGACAGCCTAAAAGTGCAACCAGTTCTGCAAGATGGACACGATCATCAAATATATCATCTGAATTTATGCCTTTGATGAGTGTAGAGGAGCTCACGATGTCCCATGCCTCCAGAATCCAGATTAGCATACTATCACAATCCCAACGAACTAAACAACTGTTGAATGAGTATAATATACATACAATCATAGCGACACTCCAGATATCAACTTTATAATCCCAGCTTGCTCTTAAAATCACTTCAGGCGCCCTGTAAGGATTTGGCATAATATCGTCGTCATTCTTCTCATTACTGAGCCGAGCTTCGCCAAAATCGCTGAGAAGTGGTAGTCCGCTTCCAGGAGGGAAGCGGGAAGACTTGTAGATTGTACGGTCTTGAAGCACTTTTCGTGGTGATGGCATTTTAATCTCCCTTTCCTCAAATTTAGAAAGCGCCTCTGGCTCTGGTGTAGGAAGAAGCAAATTCCTTAGTTGAAGATCTATGCAAGTCAGCCTCTCATTATAGTTAGAAAGGAAAGCAACACGTACCCGTGTGGATCACACCAGCTACAGAATGTAGGAAGTCCAACACACCCAGTAACTGTCGGATAAGAGGTTTCATATCCTCAAGAGTCACTGCTTTTCCAGGAATCCAATCTAGCAGCTCACTCGCACTCATCCCTAAAGGTTCGTGAACGAGGCAGATATGTTGACCGTGAGGACCCGTAATAACAAAATGATCTAATAGTTTTCGAATATATCTTCTACCTCCATGCTCGCACTTTATGGAATTCAAATGATGATAGATTTTCAGTTCACCAGCTCTTTTCTCACCTGTCACGTATATTTTCAAAGCAACATAGCTGGAATTTCTGTTTGACATTATCAATAAATCCCGAGAAAAGTAAGGTAGATTGAATATACTCACATCAAGTCACGAGCAAACCATACAGTGGACGTGACTCCGTAGCCTAACTTAGCTAATACCTGATATCGACTGTTGAGTATTTCTCCCTGTTGGACTGGATAATATTTTTCGGCTTGATACGTAGGTAGTGTCTCTTCTTCAATACAGAAGGATGAGTCAAGTAACTTAAATCCAGAAGATGGAAAATTCTGTGGCTTGGATGCCCACTGAGAAGAGGACATCGCTGTTCGTTGTAGATAACCTTCAGTTGTTTTCAGGGCGCGAAAATGTAACGGGTTAGGAGAGGAAGAGAACAGTGGTCGCTTTGAGGATAACCAGGTTAGAGAAGCAAACCAAGTGCTGGAGTATCTTGAAGATCGATACATAGGGGCACCGATTTTGGGTGAGAGAAGTCAAAAACAGGCAAAATGCAAAAAGAAGCGAAGGGGAAATAAGGTGGTATTTATTCCCTCTGCCAGAAGAAACCGGGTGATACACAGCCCCTAGCTGGAAGTGAGAAAGCCATTGGTGGATCACGTGGAATTGAAGCCTTAGGCATAAAAGAGCCTTTGTCAGCATTTCGTGCAACACCATGAATTAAAGTATTTCTACTTCCTATATCTCACTGGAACTAAGCTAATCCACTAGATGTATGGAGTTTGCCTGTATTCAAAACCTTGCGATTATAAATAAAGCAGGAATTCACAAGTCACCCAATGTCCAGAACCGGATCCCTTTCCCAAGCCCTGATGGAAGGAGCGCTTTGTTCCTATGTAAAACTATCTAGCTAGGAATATAGCCTTCGATATTAGCCTTCGCAATTTTCTCAACAAATCCAGCCTCTTGCCCAGCACAAGAAGCAAGAATTTTCCAAGTTCTATCCTTGTGGATATGAATTGTACCGACACGAACTCCTGTACCAAGGAGCAATCCTACTGTGACAAGAAGGTTTTTATCTTCTTTATCCTTAGAAGAGAAGTGAGCTTTGGAGCCCCTAAGAGAGAATGTTAGGCTACTGCTTCAATGGAAGGACGATAATGCCTACTGAAGATCTGCAGTAGTGATCTCGGGAATCTAGAAGAATCAGCCCCAGCCATTCTGTGCTTGTGATCAATAGACTTACACGTTCTTCAATCGAATTGCAAACTGCCCTTGTTGTATCCATTCAAATAGGGCCATCGGCGGCGCCGTTAGTGACCAACATTTCGTCAAGAGGGGCTCCGGTAAATCTAAGCAAGGAAGCAGAGGCACTCTGAAAGCCCCTCACAATATTGCGGCTCATAGTAAGAGTAAAGATGGAGACTTGGTTTTTGTAAGCGCCAGTCGATGAGAATGGGGGAGAATGTGATTTTTGCTGGTCTGGATATTGTGCAGGCACTCTATGCCTTCCGATTTATACGCTCATACGGAACCCCCCCTCAAACACTGGTAGCCTAGATCACTTCCATAATCAGGTCTGTGCGCTGGACGACTTGGCGCATGACCTATTCCAACTATATGAGAGCCAATAAAAAACATTAAACGGAATTTGGTACATGGATGTATTGTTAGTGCACTAAGTTCGGGAGTGTGTTATGCCTCCAACCTTGGCTTCAGTACCTGTGCGTTACCAATTAGGAAAGAGTCACGCTAGCTGCGGCACAGCATATTGTTGACTGACTTTCTGACAGCATGGAACTACAATACACGACTCTTTAGATAATTCCACAGCGAGGCTGAACGCAGATGTTTCCAAGCTTGAGGCGTTATGATTGACGAATGATCTTGCTCTACCCATCTGTAGTAGGGAGTGAAGATAGGGCGGGGTCAATTTAGAAGTTGGTTGATCTTTCTTCATTGGCCAATCCTATTGACTCAACTTACTTGTGGCTATTCCATATCTGGCAAATCTCTTTGGTACCAAAAAAAAAGATCGGCACGCCATTCTACCCATTGCAATCCCTTGCAACAAGCAACTGCTACGACCAAATCCTGCGCATCGGACGGACACACCAAGGGCCGTCGTGCGTGGTACTATAGACCTCTCGCATCTAAACCTCTGGAGCGTGAAGAAATCGGGACCAACGACAGGCCCAATAAACAAAAATTCCTATCGATGTAGCCTCCACATTAGACCTAGTCGAAACCAAAGATAGCTGTCTCACATATCCCTCTACTTTGTTTGACTGCTCGAGATAAGTGAAGCGAAGCTCACGAGTCATTCAAAATGCCAGCCTCGTCCCGAGACATACATTGGAAGTTGGTATAGACCAGATCGGATCTCTGAATTCGTCTTTCTCCGACCGTATCCTGCACAGACTATGTCGTGGCGGTGTTACCCGAGCCAGAAGTCCCCTTTAAACGAGGTCCGAATTCCTGCTCCCACACACGATCGGGTCGAGACCATACCGGTGCAGAGCCGCCAAAGATCGGACTCCTCTCTCCGCCATGGAATAAGGTCAGGAAATCAGCTGCTGCAGAAATGTTCAGCCCATGTGGGAATCTAGCTTCCTGCCAAGCGCCATTCGAGATGAGTCTAGTACTGCTGACTTAGTGCCACGAAGACTGACATGCAGGAGATCGTCTATCTTGCAGTTACTAAACCTCTGGACAAAGAGCAGCTGTCTCAGTTAGAGCGAGCGGAAATAACTGACTTGGTTGTTTCTCCAGCTGGCACTACAAGCAAAGTGCTCAGTTATGAGCAAGTGCCATCTTTGCCTGGCGGACCTGAGGCGCTGGCTGAATTTCTCAGTTCGTACCCAGCTAAATCGCGTCCGCGTTGCAAGGATACAGAAGGACCTGCTGACAGACTTTTCTCATACGATCCTACGCGTCCTCTTTCTCCGGAGCCCAGCAGACCTCCAGATACTACTTCTCCACTTACCTCGGAGCCTCATTCCACGCAGCTAGGGTGGCGAGGATGGTTTTTAGGAGCTACCATCTTAGCACCCTTGATACGACATTACTTGTCTACATAGAATCAATGTCCTGGTTTTTTTCTGTTCAATATGAATGTTCTATAGTTATATATTGTTGGAGTGGCTACTAAGGCGATTCAACCGTGTAGAATGAGATGGATGATGATCTAGCTAGGGGCCTCGTAGGCCATCTGTATGGACTAACTAGCGGTGTAGGGGAGTGTCACGTGACCATATGTTGCCTACCGGCCTGGGAGCCCATCGGGGATCCCAACATTATATATATATATTTTCGAAACCTTTCGCGAAGCTATTCGTAGAAATACTTTCATTAAAGCAAAGGGCTAGATGTTCAGATAAAGCTGTTATAACAGACTACTATATACAAAGAATAATTTCAAGACAGTTTTCCTTTCTTTGACTCTTCATACTCCTTATCTTCAACTCCATTTTCACTGATCCAATTCCTTTTTTTGGCCGTGCAGTTGCGGCGTGGTTCTTCGATTGAATGGGCATTATGGAAATAATGTCTGAGATTTATAATGTTCTCATAGACTCTATTCTCGCAACACGGATGAGGACAATGAATAGATTTCTTCTTGTCAAGTCCTGCTAAATGGTTATTGCTGATGTGATTAATTAGCGTGGCTTTTGATAACCACTGTTGAAATCGTTGCTCTGGATTCTGGCCCTTATCACCCAGGCAAAAGGGGCAGAACCCACGAGCTACCAGTGTATAACGAAATGTAAGTAGGCCACAACGTGGCTGAAGATGGCCTAGATGGAAGGAACAGTGCTCTCTCCAATTTTGTTCAGTATCGAACCATTTAGCACAGAGATAACACCATTCAAGAAATACTCTGTTGGTTTTTTGATGTGCTTGTTTCCCATTCTTGTATTGTTGCTGATATGGTGCAGCATTTCGTGACTTGCGTCTGCATTGTAATGTGTTGGGATCCCCGATGGGCTCCCACGCCGGTAGGCAACGTAGGGTCACGTGACCCTCTTCCCTACACCGCTAGTTAGTCCATATAGATGGCCTACGAGGCCCCTAGCTACATCATCATCCATCTCATTCTACACGGTTGAATCGCCTTAGTAGCCACTCCAACATAATATATGTTTTGACCGACTTTGTATGTCGATGCTGTGATCATTAGTTTATAGAATATAGTTAGGGCTTTTCACATTAAACATACCTGTTAATTAATTTTGAATATACTGAATATTTTCCATCCATTGGTGATTCTCCTGGATAATATGCCACTCTTTCTTTAGAGGTGCAAAGACTCAGCATATCTTTCATAAACTGACGTCCAATAGTACTGTCCATTGATGCCTCAGTAAAGAGATTGGCTTGTAAGCGTTGTCTCTCTGGCATGTACTTACAATAAATAGAAAATAAACATGTAGAATCACGCTCCGTGAACTCTGTACCAGTAATATATTCACTATAAGCAGATTGCCACCAATTACGAATGAATTCGTGCGTTTTGGTACGGCGCTTTTTAGCTGCTTTAGTGTAGAGTTTTGCTCGTTTGTAGACTAGATCTCGATGCTCGTTCGGCTTTCCCCCTATTTCTTCAGTTAGTCTTTCAATCTCTGTGTACCAAGATATCATTTCTTCGTCATTTTCAAGCTCTGCAAGGGCTGCGGCATCAAGCTTTGTTAGCGCATTAGAGTCACGGTGGTGAGCCATGCTTTCTTTAACTTCCAGACATTCATAATCAGGCTCCAAGTCCCAGTAGGATGCCTGAACATCAGCGCGCTTGAATTTAGATTGGTACTTGAGAAATGTGTACGCGTTCTGATGATCCAATGCCTGGCTGCGAATCGTCTCAGATACAGTTGCTAGAAAATAGTTAGTAATAGAACTTATAGGAGAAGAGTGACATACAATCTAGCGTACTTCCCACTCTACCTCGAATTCCATGGATTCTCAGCCTGTCTCGAAAATGGTCCCGTCGGGCTAGAGATATGAAATCATGGTGTATTGATGAAAATGTGAGACCGCGGGAAGGGTGAGGCCCATTAGGATTCACCATGCGAAGTACCGACAAATCCTTCACATTAACATCCAATTCTAGAGTCCATGACTCTCTTCCTTTAGGCGGGACTTTTGAAAGCAACTCATCCACGGTATGAATTCCTTTGAAAGCATGATCTGCAAGGCCTGCAACTGCAACCCAGAAGACAAAATTTCTTGCAAGGATTTCCTGCTCTGGAATCCAATTTTTTGGGGCTGTTATTATTAACAAAGTCTTAATTAGTATATAATACTTTAAATATCATATAAAGTGCTCACATAATCTTATCATCATTATAGCGATCTCCTTTGACATATTTCGGATCTATAACAATCCATCTCTTGATTCGATTGTCCTTGAACTGGATATTAAAGTTAAGATTCTTCATTAAACATAAGTATACGGTTTCATCGGATCTCTAAAGGCTTTGATGCATACCTTGTAGTAGAGACATTCATTGCTATTTCTGTAGGAACTGGATTCAACAATAGCATCTGCTCTAGTCTCTGAAGCTGAAAATAATGAGAGTGCAAATGCATCTTGGAATCTTGAACGTTCATGAGTATAGTCATGATCATTAGCCTGAAACAGGCGCCTTTGTAGCAGGTCTAAATCTTTTGCTGTAACATGAAACTTCTCTCGATGTTCTTTTTCAAGTCCATACTTCGGTGTAAGTTCGTTTCGAATGTACTTTATAATATTAGCAAAGGACAAATTCGGGATAGTAGGAACAAACATTATAAACATCACCTTTAACTGAGTCGGGTATGGCTCTAGAGGTCGTTTTCTGCAATTCAGCGATCAAGCAGGAAAAATTGTTGCAGACACTATACTCAGAGGGGGAGTCTCCTTCACGCAAACAAATATAACTCTCACAAAAGAGTTTCAGAACTTGGCTGGGTGGGTCCGGCTCTGAATCTGAGAAATATCGGTCTTCTGGCTTATCATCAGCTTTCTCATATATCCATAGTACGTCACTTACAGTGTCCAACGATCAACAGCACGTTGATACCGCTCCTCCGTAGCAGGCGCCCTTTTCTTAAAAGATATCACATTTTCCTTTTCTTTTTCGTCATCCTGATACTTTAAAGTAAAACCTCTGGCTTCTCCAATTTTGCGGAGTTCATCAACTTTTCGCTGTCTCTGCTCCTCCTTGGATAGCATATCACGTGACATCTCGGCGTTGTAGAGAGTGGCTAGTCAGATAGTATAGCAATAAGGACACGAGAAGCAAAGTTCAGTAATGGTCAAGAGAGTGAGATGCCTCTCAATTTATCTTTATAGAGTGTAAAATTTTTCTGCCTAAATTGCTCACCCTGCTCACCCTGCTCACCCACAATGTTAACCCACACTCACCTGCACTCACCCTGCTCATCCGTGACACAACGAAGCATCACCCAACTCACCTGCACTCACCCCTTCAACTAGTGGTATTCTCGGGTAAAGCAGCAGCTATGTCAGGGCTCATTGACAGTTCAACTGCATTTAACCTGTGGCTTAAGTACGGCTGAGCGGACGGGAAGCCCTGTTCTCCACACCCTGTGGTCGTATGTACTGTTCTTCTTTTGAAAAGGGCTGTTATAGAGCTATTTGTATATTTACGATGCTAAGGCCCTCGTAATGTTGAAAAGAAACCCCGATCTTTCGCGAAGTTAGGGGAACACTGCAGAGTCCTCGGTTTAGGAGCTATTCTTGTTATCATTCGGCAACATTTCAATCCCGCAGGCATTGATTGTCATCGCGGGGAGTGATGCGGACCGAGGAATGTCATGGCCACGGACGAAAATCCAGTGGGATAGTTGAATGACAGGAAATGTGTGGAAGCAGCATTTGTGAAGTTATGAGGGTGTCAATTACTCCCTACCAGGGTATCTAATGATTTATAATACGCACGGTATGATAATCTAAGTATATTGTTTGAAAAAATCATAGATTCTTTTGGAGTTGAGGAAATCGTTTTGTCATCTAGCTTCCCATTTCTACGCCATCTAATCGTATAGATGATAATTAATTGCGATGACAATGTGGTGCGCCATAGACATAATAATGAGAGAAATATGGTTCACATATGTAGACAGTAAACGTACAAAATTGCAGATTATCCATTTACAATATTGATTACTTGAATTACCAGGCCAAAAGCCCAACACGAGACATTCGTGTTAATTTTGGCTCAGATTCTATCACTGATTGGCCTTCGGAAGGGTTCGGAAGAACACCAAACATAAATCTCAAGTCCTGTCTATGAATATTATATAAGAGAGGCAGAGGAATTGACTATTCTACTTCGTATTCTGAACATATAAGCCCAGAGTATATTCCTCAACTCACAACCATCTACACAATGCCCGCCACCACAATGAAGCAATGGACAATCACCTACCCAGACAAGAACATCTCCGGCATGCGCATGTCCAAGGTCCCTCTGCCCAAAACAGGACCCCATGAAGTCCTGGTCAAATTTAAGCAGCAGCTTTGAACTACCGCGACTGCGCAATTGCTAAGGTGAGTCAACTGCCCTACGACAACCTCACTTCCTATCCCTTTCCTCAAAGCCAACTAACCAAATTCTCAAGGGAATCTTCCCCTTCGCACACAAATAGCCCATTGTCCCAGTCTCCGACGGTGCAGGCGTAGTTATCGAAGTCGGCTCCAATGTCAGAGAATTCAAACAAGGTGACAAAGTAATGACCATATTTAACCAGGGTCATCAGTACGGCGACATAACTCCTTATGCTGCATCCACTGGAGTCGGGGGCACAATTGATGGCGTGCTCCGTCAGTACGGTGTCTACAATGAGTCCGGACTTGTGAAAGCCCCCCGAAATCTGACTACCTTGGAAAGCAGCACACTTCCAGGCGCGGCACTTACAGCCTGGAATGCGTTGTATGGGCTTAAGCCTATCAGGCAGTGGGTGATAGTTCAGGGAACTGGAGGTGTTGGTGTCTTTGGGCTCCAGGTATGTATTTCCTGATTCTCATTGTTCTGGGGGTCGTTGCTAACGAGAAATATAGCTGGCCAAAGCTGCAGGAGCGACTGTCATTGCTACCACGTCTTCAGAGGAAAAGGCTTCACGGTTGAAGGAGCTGAAGGCGGACCATGTTATTGATTATCGCGATCAGCCAAATTGGGGTGGTGTTGCTCGGCAGCTCAGTCCGAATCAAGCTGGGGTTGATTATGCTCTGGACATTGGGGGTACGGATACATTGGAACAGAGTTTGGAGTGCATCGAGATGGAGGGGATAATCAATCTGATTGGTTTTCTGGGTGCTGGTGATAAGCCTCAACCGGGGATTTTGGACGCTTTGAACTATGTCTGCACTGTTAGGGGGTTGTTCGTGGGTAGCCGTGCTATGCTAGTTGATACGGTGCAAGCTTTCGAGGGGAACAATATCCGTCCTATGATTGATGGACGGATTTTCGGATTCGAAGAGGGGAAGGAGGCGTTTGAATATCTGGTAAGTTAGCAGGAGTATATGGTGATGTGAGATGCTAATGTTTGATGCAGGCAGCTCGGAAACATTTCGGTAAGGTCGTCGTGCGGGTTGATTAGGTAAGGCCTAGGAAATGGCTTGAGAAACAATTAACTTTAATGAAAGCAAATATGTTCATCATGCCTGTCAGTCTGTATACTAGTGCCCTCAGCCTAAAATAGCAACTATGTTAATGAAGTGGCTTAACCATCATATCACAGCCACACCCGGTTGGCTGCCACAAAACCCACCGCCTTTCTATAATGGACTCCTCGTCACGGGCTGCATTCTGCCGGCACGATTCAGAAATGACAGGCGGTGAAAATAGGTAGACGGTGCCGAGGAGCGACGGTCGCAATGGCTCGAGTGCTCTAGAATCAACAAACAATTTCATGGTCAGTTCGAACAGCTCTGGCTGCCTTACTGCTTGCCCATAAACGAGCTGTGCTAGACATATCTAGGCTCCCATTTCAGCTTCCAAGGCTCGTATAATCCTTCCACTTCTGATCCTCTCATCTGCTAAAAGCGTCCCTGAGCCTCCTATAGGCACCTGCGGTGTAGAGGACCCTATTATCGATCCACTTGGGTCTTTTAGTCTGCCCGGAACAATGGTGCGCCGAGATATGAGATGCTTAGTGCCAGCCATGCGTCCCTCATTGGTGTGTTTGCATGGACCATCTCCGCAGTGCTCATCCATCTGAGAAGGATCAGCTTTGGCCCCCAAGTCCATGGCTGAGTGATTGTTTTTCCGGTCGCTAGCTCCTCAGCTCAGCAGCGCCTCAGCGTCTCAACTCCTCGAGGCTGAAGGCCATCTTTCAATGTCAACCCAAAAGGACCCTGATAGGAACCTATTCACCGTCACAGCATAAAGAACAATCTTTGACCCATATAATCCGTCTTCATGTCTTCGGTCTGCCATGGCATGCACGATGGTGTGATTCAGAACATCCAAGCCGACCTTGCGTGTGGTGTCACCAATTCCACCCACCCCTATGTGACTTGCTGCGTCAATGGCGACTACTGCTTGAGCAATTCGATCTGTGTGAATACCAATGCCAAAAAGGGCGATTATTATTATGCGGCGGATTGCACGGACGAGACTCTTGAAGATGCTGCTTGCGGGACGCGATGTGGTGAGATTGATCCCATTGAGGCCGCTGCAACGGTCGCTGACATTGCTCTCGTAGGAGGTCGACTCAATGCCGAGATCGTCTATACATCCGACGGATACTGGGCGTGCTGCGAAAACGACTCTGGGACGGTGAACTGCTCCAATCCGTCCAAGGAAATCTGGGCTGCTCCGGCCCCATCGAAGCTCGCGACAATCCAATATCTCCCACCTACAGCATCGGGCACACCAACATATGCGGTTGCCACTTCCGCCTCTACCTCATCTACCTCCACTTCCTCGTCCAGCTCTACATCGCCTGCCACTTCGACCAGTTCGTCTTCAAGCGGCTCGAGTATCGGCGCCGGTGCGGCAGCCGGTATTGGTGTTGGGTCTGCAGCTGGAGTCGTCATAGTGGCGGCCATAATAGCGCTTCTATTCTTCCGCCGGCGGAATACGTCGAATGTGCTTGCCCAAGGGCCAGCTGGATATAATGGTCTTGAGGAGACGTGGTCGCAAAAACAACCGGCCGAGGTTCATCCTGTATATGAGTTGGATCGGTCTGCACAGCATGCCGAACTGGATGGACTGCCCAGATCGTAGACCCGCACAGATAATGTTGTTTCGGGATGCAGTACTGTTCCCCATGATATTCTCTGATCATAATAAGACGAATACTAATGCAGAACAGAGACACCTATATCATGCCGTGATGCACATACTACCTGTCATCCTTCTCAACACACAATACCCGACAGACTTGACGAAACAATGTGAGGGTTACTTATCTCTCCTGTACATAATATCGATAATATCCACAAATATACCTTTTCTCAACCCACTACTCTCATCTATACCCTCCACATCCCTCCTCACCTCCCCAATAACCCCCTCTTCAAACTCCCTAAAAGCCCTCTCCATCCCCACCTCTCTAAAAACTCCCTGCACCCGCTCAACCCCCTCCCCCTCCCCTTGGCCATACCACTCCTCCAACACCGCCCTCTGCCCTGCATCCACCATCTTCAAAGCCTCCACAATCAACCAACTACACTTCCCATCTTTGATATCCCTCCCCACCTCCTTTCCCAACCTCCCCCTCTCCCCAAAACTATCCAAATAATCATCCTGCACCTGATAGTACATCCCCAACCGCACCGCAATCCCCCTCATCCTCTCCAAATTCTCCCCCGTCGCCACACCCCCCAAATACAACCCCACCGCAACAGGCGCATACACACTATAATACGCTGTTTTCATCCTCGCAATCGTCTCACACTTCCCCTTTGTCAACCCATGCACTCCCCCCTTCCCATCTCTACCCCTAGAAGAACGACTAGTGACGGAAACCAAATCAACCATCTGCCCCAACTCCGTCCGAAACACCACCTCCTGAAACAACTCCACCACATCAACATACCACCCACTCTTTCCCTTCAAATACCTCTTCAGCAAAGAATACACAATACTTTGCAACAGCGCAGCATCGTTAATAGCCTTGAGCCCGACACCCGGAATAGCATGCCAGGAGGGTTTCCCTCGTCGAAAGGTATCATGGTCTTCGATGTCATCGGGGACGAGGAACGAGGCTTGAAGGAATTCGACCAGCCAGCCGAGTTTTGCGGCGAGGGTGTATTCGGGGGAGGTGAGTGGGCGGGAAAGGGTGCGGGCGTAAGTGTTGGGGATGAGCAGCCCGCGGAGGTGTTTTCCAGATGTGGTGTTGTGGGTTATGTTCTGGGTCAGTGTTATTGGATATACAGTAGGTGGTTGGACTAAAGTAGGAAGCGGGGTACCTTGCGGAGCCAGCTTAAAGCTTCAGGAGGAGTATGTATGCTCTTCGCATAGCTGAGCGCGTCTTCGAGAACAGTGGGGAAAATGGATTCGAAGCGGTCGGGATTTATATCCATGGTGGGGTGCGGTATGCAGAGAGACAATCTGGCCGTCTTTTGGTTTTTTGGCAGTCATTCTAAAATTAGAGGCGACAAGGAATGTTTCTTAAATATGGAGACTCGTACATCATGTCGGATAGGCTCCAACTGACGGAAATTTAATCCAACCGTGTCTCCACCCCGCGGAAGTACATTCTTGATCTTATTAAACACTGTTCATTTCCCACTTTATCTTCAGGATGGCGAATAAGATCTTCTGGAATCCAAGAAGGTTGTGTCTTGGTTTCTGGTTTGTGTTACATAGTCACAAAAGTTGGTTTTTGATTTTACGGGTCGGAGACCGGCTTTCCATGGCTATTGTGGGGAAAATCAGGGCATGCTTTCCCCGTCCTTGTCCGCGGAAACATTCCTCCTGTTGGGGGTATTTGCTGCATGCGTGGTTTGCCTTGCTTGGCTCTCGGAACTACTCGTTAATCTCATTGAGTAACACGTACCCGGGGGAACATGGCATCAGTACTTAGACATGTTATTCCCTCTACACTAACTACAATACACATACAAACTCTAATAAACGATCAATGATCCAACATAATACAATATTAACCCCCCCCCCTGAGAAACAAAATCACCCCCCTCAGAAAGATAACCAATCCTCCTAAACAGGCGGCTCCTTCGTATACCCCAATGTCCACTCCGCAAAAACCCGATCTTCATCCCTCGGTTTATGAAGCGCATAGCATAATGTCGCATCCAAATGATCCGAAAAATCAACATGTCCTGTACCGGCCTCAACAATTTTCTTATAGTTGATAAAGTCGCCGGGCTTGGCATCACTGGGGAAGAAATGCAGCTGTACCACGGGCTTTACAGTGATGCTTTGGTCTTTTTTCGCCACTCTCTGATATATATCATTAGCATCTGGATATGGATAAAAGAGGGTGAGGGGAGGGGGGCGTACAGATGCACACGCTGCAACTTTCTTAGTCGAACCATCTGTCTTTCCAAAGCCGACCACGTAAGCGTTGCCGTCTGCGTCTGTCTCGGGAAAGTCGGGCCCGGTTTTCACGATGAATGCACCGGGGGTGGGGGATTTTGCTTGGGTTTGTTCTAAGGTGGGGGTGCCGTTGGAGGTGATTGAGAGGTCGAAGACCGCTGTATGTTGGGTTTAGTATCTCCGCCTTGGTATGGTGTGGAATGAACATACGTGGCTCCGAATCATCTTCTATCCACGCCACTACAGCGTTTTCGACTTCCACCCGTCCGGTCTTGGTATCTCCGTATTGTCGTCCGACGACTGTGCCTTGCAGTTAGCTTACCGTTCCCTCCAGTTGATACATCCTCATCAATCTTAAAGAATAATGAAATACTGACACGCATAAATAGGCCCAGCGGTATGAACATCCCAATGATCATGATGTTCAACAAAACTAGACACCCAAACCGGAGTCTGGAAATCTTCATCGTTATGGTCGGGAGGAGGTGCGAACATGATATAATTCCGATCCTTTTTGCTGTTGTTCAACAGCTTGAACCAGTGAACTTCGGCGTCGGGGTCGGTCATTTTGATGTGGGATGGTTGGATGTAGTTGTAAGGTCGTGGTTTGGTTGGGAAAATGATGTTCTTGGAGTAAGGTATATGTATGGTCTTTATACCCAGATGATGTCGTGTCATCATTTACCCCTTGCAGAGACAATGCCGGTTTCGTTGGATGCATGCGGAGATAATGTCCGCGGGGTTGCGGGGGCTGGTAATCTACGTCATCGGAGACCGCTAGATTGTGGTGATTGATTGATTTCGAACTTTCTCAGTCTGTTGATTGAAAGGAAATAGTGGAACTTTGATTTATTGGAGATCTGGACTGTCATGGCTTCGGGGTCATGTAAATAACAGTCCACGACATGAACTGTATAGGGCCGACGGAAATTCTCAGTACCCGGATTACTGTGCTAGATCTCAACATTTCGGGAAGATCTAAGACATTAAAGGAGTCAGGCGGGGGGTTAATTTAATTAGTTGGGTTTATACGATTTGGAGTCACCAGCGGGTCTGCTCTCAATTCATTATTTTGTTTTTCGTTATTTTAAGTCTTTTTTTTTCATTCTTTTTTCATTGCTGACTTGGTGGGGTTTTGTGAGGAGAGATAATGAGTTTACTGGTGGGCTAGAGGGTCATGTATGGGATGATGGACCTATAGCGACAGAGCTAAGTGTAGTATCACAGAAATGCTTAGCAACTTCAGTACTATCTCCTGAGACAACAAAATACCATACTAGCATCCTGTCACTCATCCGATCATCACGGCACTAATCTCCCACAACGACAACATATATCATGCCATGCCAAGACATAAAGGTGTGATATTAGTTAGCCACTGTCAAGAATCCATTATTAAATACCGGCCACATCCCCACCATCCACCAACAGAAAACAAACCTCCACCACATAACCCATCAGATCTACTCCTCATCAGGAGGGGTATTATCATAAGCAGTATCCCACACACCATCCCCCTTACTAGGTCCTGGCCAGCGGGAAGCCCCCAGCCCAAGGCATTGCAAAGCGCCTTAGTAAGCAACATGCAACACACTTTGACCGCATTTAAAGGCCTTCATCAAGCGCTATTAAAAAACTCCATCAAGCGCTACTAAAGGACTCCATTGAGCACTTCTAAATAGCTTCGTCGAGCGCCCCCAAAGAGCTACTAAAGATCTTTATTGAGCGCTACTAAAGGGCTCCGTTAAGCACTCCTAAATGACTTTATCAAGCACATTGAAAGGGCTACTAAAGATCTTCATCAAGCGCTATTAAATGCAGTACTTAATTCAGACCTACAGTCTAAATATAGACTGGGGGGCCTTCCCCCCTCCAGACCCTCTCTGAGATCCTTGTTAAACTGAAGCGGTAAGTACTGGCAATATAGTTTAAGTCATGTTATAAGTGAATCAAACAACCAATCAGGAAGCTAAAAATGTACAAACTATCAGACCACTAAGAAGTCTTGAAGCTGGAAACTTCCCTAGCAGGACTGAACCTAGTATTGCTCAGCGCTAGCGCGCTTCGCAAATCATCCAAATTATGAATAACAGTACAAAGACTCGCGTCCTTAGTATGCACCCCAAAATTGATGTGCGCGGGTTTACCCTTCAAATCATTATAATCAATCAGGTCGCCTGGTGTGCCTGAACTGTTGCCAAAGTATAGCTCGATGATGGGATTCACAACCTGCTGGGTGTTGGGATGAATGGGGATCTATATCCACGGGCGGTGTTAGCCTCCGGGCTTTGGGAGTATGGCAGATAGAGAAAGGGGACTAACAGATGCACATGCTGTGATGTCTCCATTCGGACCATTGCGTTTTCCAAACCCAATCACGTAGGTGTTACCATCGTTGGGGAGGTCCTTCGTGACGACTGTGAAGGATACTGCGTCGTTGGATGGCTCTCCGCTGTCTTGGAGGATAGGATCACCGTTGTTAAAGGCAAGGTTGAATATTTCTGCAGTCGAGGTTAGTGTTTCGAAGGGGGTAGTCTGGGGGTGGGGAGGGGGGAGGGGGTGTATTAGATACAACTACCTGGGCCTCCGTTGACAATTCCTGAATCAGTCCAAGTGGTTATATTTACGTGGTTGTCTGTTTGGGTTCCGACTCCTGGAAACGATGCTTATCAGTATATTTCCTTGACTGGGTTCAAAAGTTCTATCAAAGGGAATACCAGCGAAGATTGGTGCGGTGGTATGCACCTCCCAAGACGTCTCGTTGGCAATATCATTGCTTACGATCCAGATCGGGGTATCGAAATCGGTGGTGGGAGGTGGTGCAAACATGAGGTACTTTTGGGTTGCGCCGCTGTTGTTGATTAGCTTGAACCAGTGAACTTCGGGCTCGTCGTTTGCCATTTTTTGGTGTCCTTGTGCGATTGGATTTCATGGTTTGTGAGGGGAAGATGGATGGTTTCTGGTGGAGGGAGGGATGTTGCAAGCCTTGATATATGTTTGTGGCAGCCACATGAAGTTCTTGATCATGAAGTATTACGCTAACGAGGTAGTGGAACCTTGTCATGGATGATACTATTGAGTATATTCGCAGTTGCCTGGATGTGGCATGCACTTGGAATCAAAGATGTGTTCCGCAAGGATTTGTATACCAAGCTGGCTGCTATTGGTTATCATGTTTTATAAAACTTGTTTTGTCAAGCATCTTTTGCTCACGTCGCTGAAAACGTATTTATTGCGCATGGCATGGATGTCTATGACAGCGATGCATCTGGAAACATTCGAAAGTTCCTTGATGGTATCTGGCATATGCAACGTTACACAAGCTGGAATACCTTGCAAATAGATTATAGCGGCTGCTGTTAATTCATTGTGGGAACCTTGACAAGTGTGTGATGAACTGGTCCTTGACGGCCAACTGATAGGGAAACAGGATTTTTCCCATTCCTATTACTGATACATCGAAAGGGTGACATTGGTGAGGCGCTAGAGTCACACTCACTCCACAATCAATCATACTCTATGTCTACCGCCTTCGAAAACCAGCTTGTTGAAGTCTACATCAGTCTAAGAACCTGTAATAGTGATCATTAGTAGTATTTTGCATAGGATTAGCCGCAATTGAGAGGCTTCGTACTAAATGTCCTACAGTAACTGCTTCGAGGCATGGTAAAAGATCCCGAGATGGGCTCAGTATAGGTATAGCTTTGCTGCTATTACTGTAAAATCTCCCGGTAAGCTACCTAGCACGATTTTCTGGAGGTATACCCGACGGAACTATACTTAGATATCAGTTATTAATGTAGGAGACTAAGATGAGGTAGTAGGGACTCAACGAATTTAATGGTGCTTGGTGATCATTATTTTAGAGGAAAACAAGATAACAGTATTGAGCAAGATGTTGATACGCTCAAGTATAGCAATCTATATGGGATACTTCTAGTGTGCGGGAGGCTAGATCTGTAGGTATCATCAAAGGTAAATATCTCCAACTCAGGAGCCGCGTAGGTTACATAGTTTGTTGATATTGGGTAATTTCAATTGTGTTCCGGGAGATTTGTCTCATCAAGTAGGTTTGGCTTCATAATTTATAATCATGATTTTGGATGACGTTATAACTGATGTGCATGCAAGTTAACATCTGAAAAGGATACAGTCAGTGACTTCGGAAACGAACGGCACTGTTGGAGTATTAACACCGCGCTTATAGTATTTAAGTAACTTAGATGCCAAACTTATGAGCGTAAACGACTCTAATGATAATATCTAATGAATGGCAGTAAAGTTTATGAAGAATTAGATTACAGAATAACCTTCTTTCGGTAAAACAAAATAGGTGTAAGCGCGTATTTCTAGAGATGCAGGAGTAGGCACCACCCGAGGCATTATAGCAGACCCGCTAGTTAGGAGGATCATTAGTGTAAGCAGTATGCCACACAGGATTCCCCTCTTCATCCGTTTTATTAATAACCGTACAAAGTGTCGCCGCCCCCTGATCCGAAAAATCAATGAGTCCGGCTTCATCCACAACGTTGTCGAAATCAATCAGGTCACCTGTCTTGAGAGCCGGTTTGTCTTCAGAAACCTGGTGATTCTTATAAAAGTACAGCTTGATTATAGGAGTTACTGTCGCTTCGCCGGTCTTGTTCGCGACAATCTGGTTGACATGTGTCAGTAATAGAGAATCGATCCAGATATACGCAGGCCTTGGAATTAAAGGGGTACCACTCACAGATGCACACGGGAAAATCTCCCCACCCGGACCATTTCGCTTCCCAAAGCCAAACACATAAGTACTACCATCATCTTGAGGGAGCTTCTTAATATCCACTGTAAAAGCTCCCAGCTTCGTGGATGTCTTTCCACCGTCCTTGATGTCGGGGAGTTCATCGCCGAACGATACATGGAGCGTTGCTATACTCAAGTTAGTATTTCTCAAAAAGCGGAATTACATTGTACACCGCTATTAGGTACAACTCCCTGGAATTAACTGATCATTCTCATCCTTCTTCGCGAGGTACACTTCGTGTGATTTCTCGATTGCGATTCTGGTTTTCTTATCTGCACTCTCGCCGGTGGTGTATTGTCTTCCGGCCCATGCAAACATGGGTGCCGTGGTATGCACCTCCCATGAGTCCTGGTGGGAAAGCGTGTTTGTAACCCACACGGGAGTCTGGAATTTGGCGTCGCTGGGAGGCGGGGCAAACATTATGTAGTTGTCTTGGGTTGAGCCTGTGTTGTGGAGGAGTCGGAACCAGTGGACTTCGTCTTCGTTTTCGCCGGACATTTTTGCAGTGGTTGTGATGGTGATTTCTATGAAATAGAATAGGATGATGGATTGAATTCCTCTCGTGGGATGTCTCAGGATTTTATATCTTGGCTATGGGAGTATACTGGAATGAGCCTATCATTATTTTGTCCCCTCTAGCTTAGCATCTATACAGTTACAGCACTCAAATTAGACGTCTTCGGGGGTGTAGGTCAGGCTGAAGTCCACGGAGATTTAGGTGGAATGTGGTGATGAGTAACATTCTTGATTGCTTTTAGAGTTTACTCGATCTAAGACTGGACTGCAGATCTACATAGTTCCGAAAGCATGCATAATCCCCAGCAGCTCAGCAGCTAATTTTAAAGTTAGCGACTCGGCATGAAATCCTGCTGTGTCTGTCCCAAAGCCTTGGGACCTTGTGGTATGTTTTACACAATAAAGTATCCAATGTCAATCAGACACTAAGCAAGGTTGCTAAACCATCAAGGAAACGCATCATAAGTCTCCTCACCCCAACACGCCCCCTGCACCTCCACCCCACTCACATTCTGCTCTGCCCTTCCATCAGCCCCAAACCTTTTGACGAGCCCCCCATCACCCGCATACGGATTAAATACCTCCCACCCTTTCCCCTCCAATCCCCTCTCAGGATCCCTAGCAAACGCAAGCAAATAATCCTGCATGACCTCACTGGTCTCCTTCTCCAATTCCATCCCCTCTCCACGAAAATCCGAATACGTCCCAAAGTTCATGGCGAGATCACTCGAATGATATGCCCCCATCCAATGGAACGGACTCAGATTCGTAAAGTTGCCGGCGTATTGATACCGGTATGTCTTCCGGCCTGCGTTGTGGCGCACGATACTGGTATGGGCGGTAACGCATAGCCAGTCATTCAGCGTTGCGGCGTTTACACCCGGCTGCCAGGGTCCGGCGGTCACATTGGTACTGGGGTATGTATAGAGTGCAGCTGCTTCGTTGGCACAGTTGGACATGATAGCGGGGGTATTTGCGATTAGACCATTTGCTGCGCGGGCGGGATAGTCTGAGAAGACAATTTTCTCGTCTGCGATTGGCGTGAAGACTAATGATGGGGTGGTTTTAGAGTCAGAGTACTGGCCGACGAAGTTCTCGATGCGATTGACAGAGACTTGGCGCATGCAGTCGAGCTCTGCTGCAGGGTTGGTAGGGAAATCGCATCCCATGTGTTTGGCGACAAATGTGAAGTTGGTGTGGGCGTGGTCGGCGTTGTCAAGTGGTTTTATGGCCGTTCCGGATTGAGAGAAGGTGGCTCGCGCGATGAGATTATCGTGCCAGGCGTAGGTGTGGAAGTCGGTGGAGATGGACCCGGCCGATTGGCCCCAGAGAGTGATGGCGGTGGGATCACCGCCGAAATGGTGGATGTTTTCATGGACCCATTCTAAGGCGGCGCGTTGGTCGAGGATACCCAGGTTTTGATCGTCAAGGCCGGCGGCGTTGGGGAAACCCATGATGTTGACGCGGTAGTTGATTGTTACGACGATATGGCTTTGGGTTCGGGATACCCATGAGGCGGGAAGTTGGTAGGGCACGTTGATGCCCCCGGTTTTGAACCCGCCACCGGTCATGAAGAGGAGGACGGGGAGGTTGGAGGTGTTGGCATTGGATGGGGCCCAGATGGCGAGTTGGAGGCAGTCTTCGGAGCTGGCTTGGGCCATTAGCCCCGCTGTGGTGTTCTCGTTGCCGTCCCATATGAAGAACTCGGGGACGATGTTGCTGAAGACGGTTGGGTTGGAGGAGACATATTGGGGACAGGAGGGAGGAAAGTTGGTTGCGTAATGGGCTTTGTTGGAACTGGGGAGGGTTGCAGGTGGAAGCCATCGACGGGAGGCTACAGGGGGTTGGGCATAGGGAATGGCGCGGAATTCACGTACGGAGGGATACTCGGGATTGAGGAGGCCAGTAAAGATGCCAGTTCTGGTGCGGACGGTTAAGTTGGTGCTTCCAGCCACGAGGGCGGAGAAGAGAAAAAGCGCAAGCATCATCATGATGGATGCCAATTTCTACCTCTTTTTCCTCCACTCGATGATGAATTTATGTGTCTGGGGATACCCCGCATCTCAGATGGGCAAGTCTCCTGCTAACCGGATGTAATCACCGGCATCGCAAGAACCCTTAGGATTCGTCCTGGTGGGTCTACGACTACAAACCCCGTCGGATTCCGGGTTGAGAGACGGCATCTGGTAGATGAGCACCATTCATATGCCATTCGGACAGGTTAGAGTACTGATCTGGGCTGCAGAACTCCTGCCGATCCCGGGATATCCGAATGACCCACTGTGAATGCGGAGGGCTTCCAGTTCCGAGGATACTTTGCTCGGTATTCCCGATGCCGGAGATCATTAAAGAGCAGAATGGCCTGCGTTTTGGTTGAATTGGCTTATTTTTAGGATGTGGAACAGGAAAACCAGGTGAATCCAGCATGCTTCTTCAGTCCGTCAATCTCATTCGAGATGAGTCCAATATCTGCCATTTCCCAGCCTAATCATACATGCAGATTTATCGATGACATTGGCCTATACCTGTGTCCTGTATCTTGATCTGGTCGAAGCATTGTATATCATGTAGTCGAAGGGTTGCATATCGTCCAGTCGAAAGAGTGTAGTCCATTGTGACCACAACATAGAGCACCAGCCAAATGAACTGTCACACCCATGCCAGCTACAAAAGAATCTTATTCAAATCAGTGCACTATGGTTGCGGAATTCACTGACTATATGCCTTCTGTGCAAACACACACTCGTGACGCACGCTAATAGCCGGGTTAGCCGAAGGTCAGTAAACCGTCAAGTGGCCGGCATCACTTCAGCATCATAATCCCACACTGAGTATCCTATCTATCTAAATCTTGTGTTCCATCTCTCGGCGTTTCTTGTATCAAAGCACATATTCTCACCATGCTGCCCCGCATCGCACCCCGCGTCCGGGGCCCTTACACCCCCCTTCCCCGCATCACATCTTCCTTGAACTCCGTTCACTCCAGTGGTTCGATTTCAGTCGTGTCACACAAAGCCACCTCAGGATGGAATCACCAGCCGTCACAGCAGACGCGTCGTTTCAGCGAGTCAGCCGTTTATGCTCCACAGATCAGAGTCATCAGTGTTCCTACTATGGGGGACTCTATCTCTGAGGGCACCTTGGCTTCTTTTCACAAGCAAATCGGTGATTATGTCGAGCAGGATGAGGAGGTTGCCTCTATTGAGACAGCTAAGGTTGACATCGCGATTAATGCATCAGATAGTGGAAAGATCACCAAGTTCCTTGTGAGCGACGGTGACACGGTGACGGTCGGACAGGGAGTTATGGAGATCTCGCTGGAGAACCATGACGCATCGTCTGCCGTGGAACACAAGCCTGTCTCTGTGTGCACTGAAGTGAAGCAAGGGACTTCTGAACCTCAGCCTGAGAGCAAAGCTCAGACTGTAGCTGAGCCTGAGTGCACATCTGCCCCAGCCGTCCCTCAAATAGAAGAGCCTACTGCTGAAAGATGGGAAGACCCTGAGCCTGTTACCATGGGGATCCGCACTGAGCGAAGGGTATGTCCCCTCCCAGTACCTCTGTTACCCTTGCAAATCTAATCAGACGCAGGAGAAGATGTCCCGTTTACGCCTCAGCATCGCCGAACACCTCCTCGATTCCCAAAACACCACGGCCTTCGTTACCACTTTCAACGAAGTCGACATGACGAAGGTCATCGAGTTTCGCAATAATAATAAAGACCATGTGCTCGAAAAATGCGGAGTCAAACTCGGCTTCATGGGTCCGGTTGCCCGTGCGTCTGCGCTCGCTTTGAAAGAGATCCCAATCATCAATGCCTCTATCGAGAAGAACGATACCATCATGTTTAGGGAGTACATTGACCTCAGCGTTGCCATTTCGACTACCAAGGGATTGGTCACTCCGGTCTTGAGAAACATGCAGGACATGGGTGTGGTGGACATTGAGAAAGGGATCGCGGAGTTGGGAAAGAAGGTTAGTTTCATCCCTTCTCCAGGAACGATCTGACCCTATAGGCCCGCGAAAACCGATTGTCCTTGCGCGACTTGCTCGGAGGCTCGTTTACGATCAGCAATAGTGGCATCTGGGGCTCGCTGTTTGGAACTCCGATAATCAATGCCCCACAGACGGCGGTGTTGGGTATCTATGGAATTCAACAGAGACCTGTTGCTATCGATGGCCAGGTTGATATTCGCCCGGTAAGCTCATTCGAACCGGTTGGTGTGAAGTGCTAATGATGTAGATGATGTATACAGCTCTGACGTATGATCATCGCCTGGTGGATGGGCATGAGGCGATTATTTTCTTGACCTTGGTCAAGAAGTACCTCGAGGACCCGGCCAGTATGCTGATCGAATGATTGTCAATTCAACCTTACTACGCTTTATAAAGCGCTTGATTCTGAATCTGCTGAGACATAATTAATATCAAATCATGTACACTATCTTCCAGCAATTCAGTACAATCTTCAATCTCATTACATCATCGAGTAGAATAGACCGTATGCTTTTATTAAACATCTATCGTGATTCATAACACATATGAGGCTAGTCCTTCCCAGACAACGCCGCAATCAAAGCCGCACCAATGCCCGAGCCATCCTCCGCCGGAACAAACGACACCAAATCCTCACCTTCCGGCCACTCGAGAATCTCCCGCAAAGCAGCCACCGCACGTTCCTTAAACCGGAAGAGTTTTTCGAACGTTGATCCGTCCACTCCAACTCGGCCTTGTCGGATGCCCTCCTTTTTGCAGATCGCGGCAATACCACAAGCATACAATCTGGCCGCACGCTTACACACAATCTCTCCCAGGAGGCAACACACTCGCAGCTCCTCCAGTGTCGGCTCGATACCAAACTCCTCGTTGAGAAAGGTGCGTGTCTCCGCCATCGCGCTATCCTCCGACGACCCATCCTCTTCCATCTTCGATACGCAGGATGACTCCATGGAATGGGTATCTCGGAGACGACTGAGGTCGCCTCCATCCAGGAATCCCACCTTCTCATGCAGATGGACGATGATCAGCCGTACAATTTCCCCGACATACAGACCAGCCACCATTTTCTCATATGTCTGCTGGCCCGGTCGCGGCGAAGCCCGGTCGATTTCCAAGTCGAATTGACACCGCGGAAGAATCTTATGACTGTTATCGAATGCTCCATACTCTGTATTTATAGCCACCAGTTGATCAGGGGGCAGATTATGCTCTGCAATCTTCGGCACCCGTCCACACTTTTCCATATACGCTGCATTGCACCCCGTGCCGAAGATACTCCCTATTTTAATCTCAGGATCTTTGTATGCCGACGCGATCAACGTCCCGGTGGTATCGTTGACCAAGGCAACAATATGCACCGGCAGATTCTATCGAATCAGAACTGCTTCACAAACATCAGAATGACAACTTACCCTCGCCTCGAACGCACCCTCCAGTTGCGCAACAACATCTTCCCCCTCCACCCCAGCAATATCAAATCCCTTCGTCCAGCGCTGCAACACACCATGTCGGATATGATCCTGCATCACCGGATAGGAGAACGTAAACGCTAGTGGCAGTTTCTCGTCCGGACGAGCCAGATCATGTTCTCGCAGGAAATCCGCCACCCGGTCGGCAATGTATCTCCAGAGATCATCCGCATTGCCGGTCTTCAACTCCCCAGGTAATTTGAATTTGCTCTGGGTGATTTCGGATCCGCCTTTTTCTTCTGTTAGGATCACCTGGCAGACGCGGATGTTGGTCCCGCCCATGTCGACGGTGAGGTATTGGCCTGTTTCGTGGCCGGTCGGGCAGCTGGTTACCCAGGTTACGTTCATTGGCTGGTTGGTTAGTATTTTGTATTCGGGGAGAAAAGAGGTCTTACAATGTCGCTGTCGGAGTTTCCCAGTCCTGCGAATTGTTAGTTTGTGTTGTGGTGGCTGGCTGGGCACGGACCTTTTTCCATCTCTTGCACAAAGTGATCGGTGATGCGTCGAAGGGAATCCCCATCTACGGCAAACATTTGCGCGATGTGTCTAACTTCCTCTGAGACTTTGTCTGGGATTCCTGCGCTGCTGTCAGCTTGGTTCGTATGGCGGTGCCGAGGATCATACCCTTTGGGAAGTGGATGCCCACTTGAGGAGCTCCTTGTGGTTCTTTCATTGTGACGATGTGTGAGTGACTGACTGCAGAGAATGATGAGCGCGATGGTCGTACGAAGTCATTCATCTTCCTTATATAGAGGGGAGGACGTCAATGCTCGCTTCTTACGTATACAATCCGTCTTATCGGACCACCATGAAGCAATACCAGACTATACCCACCGGGATCAATACCGACCAGTCATATTCCCGCTCCAATAAACTACACTCGGTCCGAGATCGACGCTGGATTCAGGGTTCTGGTCGGTTGCTTCAGTGTGACGTCGGCCCGAGCGGGTCCGGAGTGGTCCATTCCGATGCGTACTTTGCTATTGTAGTGAGCTTATCTGGAGGCTCTTATAATGACAACTTCACGTAGGAACATAGTTCAACAGGTGACTACATGCTGTGCCAAAAGACAGGTCTAAGATAAGCCTACGTCATGAAGAACGGTCTGGAAGGGGATAGAAGAATCCACATCTTTTCATCGGAATAATGCTATCCCTATCCCATGGAAGGTCAGACTAAGCGCCATTCCACCTATCATTGTCCCGAATACGGCACCCAAATGAGTATGCCTCATCCCACTTCAACCTATTCCCACACAAAAAAATACGACACTCATACTTTTGCCTTAAACAAACCAAACCAAGCCACCTAACCAACAAAACCCCTCTCTAGGTCCGTTGCTCCGGAAACTTCCTATACAAATCCATCAACCGATCCATCGGCGCAGCCATCAATCCCACCACCGTTTCAAACGGCGGCTTATCCGGCGCCGTGGGATGACTCCTCGTCGGAATGAATCTCTTCGTCCGATCAAACGACGCGACCATCTTATCTGACTCATCCCTATGAAGTGTTTTTTCGAGCGCAGGTAAGTCCTGTTCTTCTTCCTCCTTAATATGTGTAGCTAGATTGGCCCAGAGCTCTTTGATAGTCGGGAGGAATTCGGGGGAGGTTGGGGAGAGACTTTGGAATTTGTACAGGAGGTCTTTTACCTATTCCTCTCCTTGTATTAGCTATTTCATCTTGGTTGGGTATACTGGGAAGGAAGAGGGGGAAAGGGTGGTAGCATACGACTTTATGTTCCACTCGATCTTTATCCGCCATATCTCTACCCCGGAAAAGATGTGTCTCGAGGGCTGGGTAAACGACGATTTCTTCGCTGATTGAGTGTCGGGCGAGGTCCCAGGTGAATTGGTTCTGCCAGCGGGATTTTTCGTCGGGAGACTTGGCGGCGAGGATTTGGTTGTAGTTGTGTTCTAGGACGCGGTGGTCGGCAAGGATGGCGTCGGATATGAGGGGTTTGAGGGGGGTGGTGCTGAAACAACGGGGGGTCGAGTGTAAGAGGGGGCGGGAGAGGGGGGTTCGGAGGGGGTGGTACAGGAGGCGAGAGGAGGGCATTTTGTTTTGTTCTTGTTCTTTGGGATAAATGATTCTTGAGATGGGTCTATGGGAGCTGGAAGAGTAAAAAGGTAGTACGCTTTAAATAGTTGCAGTGTGGATTACCAGGAAATGACGATTCTAGATTATGATCCTGAGATTCTTCCGATATCTATCTTCTGAATTTTTCATAGGTTATAACAGCCAATATAAGTTAATTGAAGTATCTTCCGAGTCTCCATGACAACTCCACGGGTAATACTCGCCACTAATCGATGGCAATCATGATTGTCAGACACGGATGAGATCTGACATTCGGGGCATACTGTGATTAAATCTACCCGATTGGTCGATCTAGATCGAAGCACCTCTTTAAACTTTGTATTTCGGGTGACTGATGCCATGAACCTAGGTTATTGTCATGATGTCAATGCTTACTCGATAGATACTAAATATAGACTTTATCCCCAATACCATTCATGCTCATTAAACAAACTATCCCCATCGCCAAATGCCAACCGACCTATACCTTCCCCTCTTCGTTAAAAATCACTCCAAACCTGATACTCCGGAAAATACCTCTCATGAATCCTCCTCGCATACTCCACCACAACCGGAAACCCTCTCACAATCCCCTGCGTCTCGGGACACCTACACCAACACACACCATTAGCCTTAGCCTACCCTAACATACCCAATCCTCCTCCACCTCCACTTCAACACAAGTAAGAAAGAGAAGACTCACGCAGTACATATCACCGCCCCAACCACAAACCCAAAAACCGTCGCGTCAGCCTCACTCGGCCTATCACCTCCAAGCAACCAAAACGGCCCATCCCCATCTTGCCTGGTGATCATCTCCGCCCTCGCCTGAACAAGCACCGCATTAATCTCCCCCCAAATCTCCCTTTTGAATTCTTTTCTCTCCTCATCGGAGTATCGTGATGTCCCCTGTCCGTGTAACGTACTCACCTGCTTTCGGTATATGAGCTGTCCAACGATAACTTGGAGGATGTAAGGCAGAGAGGAGAGGATGTGGGCGCGCATGGTGTAGTAATTGCCGATCCATTTCTCGTGGCTCTGCGCTTGTTAGCACCTGTCTTTTTACACCAAGTAGTTCATCGACTGAATAGTGATGGCTGGATGAGTATGTGGGTGTGCTACCTGGAGGAAATAAACCCGATCTTCCAATAATGACGTGATACCTCGATCTAACATCCTCTCTTTAACTCCCAGATGGGCATTTAAGTCATCAAAATTCCCCTCTTCAATATATCTCCGCGTAATAAGCGTTGAATCCGAAAGGATCTCTGTTGTCGATTCCCCAGATGAGGTTGGTTTTTCGATGCGAATATAGGGTATCTTTCCCCTCGGCGCAGCGCGAATAGATCCACCTTCCGTGCTGTAGCGTATGTCCGAGAACCGAAACCGGGCTTCCAGTTTCGTAACGAAGGGTGACCAGGTGTAGATCCCTGGGGTGGGGAAGCCGCGGTAGAGGGTTATTTTGGGGGACATTTTGAGTTCTTTGTTGGGCTTGGATGGGTGGTCTGTGAAGTTGGGCTCTGGGTGTGTGGATATATGTATGGAATTTGGATCGGGTTTTGGAACATCGATAAAAGCCGGGGCGCGGATTGCGGGTTCTGGAGCGGGGAGCGGGAGGGCGCCTGAAATGCTGCCTATTTAGATTGATGGATTATTATTTGCCAGCACGGACGCTAGATCCATCGCTAGGCTGACATGTCAGCGCATTTTCTGGTTAGGGATGGGTTGGATCCTTCGGTGTAGGAGTTATTTTGCTGACTGGATTGATCGGTGTTCTGTTGATTATTGTTTGGGTAGAATTATTGAGCGGTATCTCGTTACCGAGTTTGATGGCACGATTTCGACTGCAGCATAGGACGGAATACCTCGTTATATAATACCTGTCTTGGACAGGACAATGTAGTAGTACAAGTTGGAAAGAAAATGCCCAATCAACCAGGCCTCAGATTCAAGCGATTACAGCCGCAACAACAGCAGCAATCACACCAAACGGTCCATACGCAAGAGCGCTGGCGCCGTTCTTAACAACTCCACTGCTGCTCCCAGAGGCCGTGCTGGCAGTAGTCCCATTACCAGTTACAGTTCCGTTGGCCGATACAGTCTGGTTCGTCGCCGTGGCCTGCGTGGCAGGGATCTGTTCCTTGTATGCCACCAAAGTCGACGTAATAATGCTGGTCGCACTCATCGATTCCTCAATACCGCTCCATCCATCCCATGTGGACTGGTACCACCTCTGACCACAAACCGTTCCACTATCCCCGCCTGAGCACTGCTTCGCCGCGCCAACGGCAGAGCCCTGTAGACGCGGAAGAATCTCCGACGCCGTGTATGGCGCCACAACGCTCACAAACGCGAGGTCACCCGCAAGAAGACCCTTGTAGGTGGACTCGGCATCATTACACACATGGGTAGGCTCACACGTCACCTCCGACATGATATTGCCGCCGTATTTCTCCGGAAAGAAGGTGCTAAACGTCGTGTTGAGAAGTCCGTCCAATCCGGTCTTCCATTTGGCTGTCTCTCCATTCGTCTACTTCCGTTAGATGTATCGCACAGCATAACCCGGTGGTCAACTCACATAATTGTACATATACGCCGCACCGCTCACATACGTTGCGTAGTTATACGTCCACTGGACCTTGCTGAATGTCGAACAATTCTTATCCGTCGTCGTCGTATCCGCAACCGTCCACTCCTCATCGATCAGAGAATTGACACTCCAATCCCAGACTCTCTCCGCCCAGTCCGAGTACGTCTGGTTATTGGTATACCGCGCCAATCGCGCAGCCAGCTGAAACAAACCACCATTGCTGATCGCGTTCTTGTACGTGTATCCCGCTTCGTAGGGCCAGATCTGCCACCGGAGACCTCCACCACAGGTATTGCTGTCCCAGCGCGCGGCTTGCATGTCGAAGACGCGTTCCGCGAGACTCGCCCACGAGGGCATGTCGGTTCCCTGAGGAAAGTCCAGCTCCGCTGCGGTCATCGCCGCCAGCGCCCAAGACATTTGGTCGTCGTTGCCCATGTATGAGGACCAGTTTGAGGGCATGTAGTTGTCGTTGCCGCGTTGGAAGTATAGCCCCTGGCTGACGGCAGGATTGTTGGACGCGTCACCGGTGAAATACCAGTATTGGATCATGGTGTTGAAGAGCGCGCCGCCCTCCCACCACGAGGAGTTGAGGTAGCCTGGGATTTGGCCGGTTTGGTTGCCGGTGTAGTAGGACATGGTGTTGTAGGCGACGGTGGCGGCGGCATTCTGGATGGATTCTGGGTTAAATTGTTAGAGGAATGTCAAAGCTACTACCCGTAGATCAGAAGAGAAGTATCCATAGTGTTTCCGAGGCGTAGAAAGTAGAAGATGTCAACTGGGTATGATGGAGGGAGTCGGGGTACCTTGGCTGGTGATGTCGAGGTCGATCGCTGTGGCGCTACCGGCCAAGGTGGCCGCCGCCACGTAGGTGAGGCGAACCATGTTGTTAGGGAGGATGTGGGTGAGTAATTAGATTGGGGACGGGGCGAGTCATTTCCTTATAGGAAAGCTGCAGCGCTGACTCTTAGCAGTTAGACTAGTGTGGATGAAATTCTAGCATCGCAGCCTTAAACTGGAAGAGGGGTAATCGCCCCCAAGGGGGCTTAGACTGGCTGGAGGGGCTGAGGGTGGAGTGAAGAAATTCAGGGGACTTTCGCGATGAACTGCTCCGGAGGCCCTGTATTGGATAGGTTTCAGGGCCCGGGGACGCTAACAGGCACAATTGGATGTGATTGGTCAGTGAGGGGCGTTAATTTCGGGTTTTCGATGCCAAGCCCGGGCCGCCGGAGATGATGGCCAGTTCTCACACAAGGTTCATCATTTGATATCTTAAAGAATTTATCCGGAAGATATCATTTCCTGCCAAGCTTATGATAGATGTGTACAGCGTTAGAGTTTTAAAATCCCTGTGTCATATTTCAATGCAAATGGTTGGACCAAATTCATTATGGCTGTTTCTGTATTCGGCTAAGTTCATACAAGTCTCATTGAAAGATTATTAATAGGCATCTGCACAACCACAGATACATCTACTATCGCTTTGATAAAAACGCATCAAGTCTGGTGTTTCTGGAATAACATGTCTTGCTGGAAATTCTCTGTGGTTTTTATTTCTTGGGAGAAATAGTTCAAGTTACAGTTCAATTTCCATGGAGTGTTTGTTGATCTTCTTATCATTGTTGTGTATTCAGCTGAAAGTGTTATACAGGGTGGAAGTTAATAGCCTGCTTATTTAGTAGGCTTGAAGGAGGCAGAGTCTATCCTAGCCAGGAGATTCAAAATTTCTTTCGGAAGATGGAGGTGTGCAGTCTATATACATTAGAACCAATAATAATGGGCGTCCACGTGCCTTGTGGTATTGGGCGCGACTCCCTTCTTTAATCAATCTACACAAAACTGTACATCGCACAGAATACCCTGTCATACCATCTCGATCACTCAATTTCTCATACAAATTGACGAATCCAATATTCCTCTCAGAATTGTCGGACTTGATGAGAAATTCTACCGCTTCTACAAATCTCGGTGCAACCGCATTCCCTCTTCAGTCTAGCACAGTTGACGCTAGAGTTGTAATATCTTTACATCCTCTGATTACACGCACATCTTCGGATTTCACAATGATTAGCCTATGGAGACTTCTCTGGAATTAATGCAGCTTGATCATTACATTGATTCTACAAGTCTTTCGATTTTCTTAACGGTGAACCGCTTCAGAGGAGTGTATATCATGGAAGAATGCTCAAATACGCCCCAGTATTCAGAGCGATGGGTGATTTACACAGTTGTGAAAGGAAATAGCAGAGAAGGGGGAATCACAGATTATTGATGATAATGATAATGATAGCAGCACTTGGCATTATCCCGTCACAGTCATCATCACAGGGATGCAGGATTGACCAGGATGTGATCTAACGAACCTCAGTTCATTGCAAACAGTCGGTAGGCTGAATTGTCTATGAACGGACAGTATTTCTTGAAGTGGTGCGTTTTGTGCGACTTTCGGTTCAAACCTTAATTCTAGGGTCTAACAGTTTAAACTATAGATGATGGGGGTTTCTCTCCGTCTGGATGAGTTCATGATGCCAGCCTTCTTTCTTTTTCTCTGTGTTCCCTTCTCCAGTCAGCATCGGCAGTCATCATTGTCGGGTACGAAGGAGAGTCGCACCCTGCTACTGAGGAGTAGATTCCTCATCTCGAACGACCCATTTCCCTCTCCTCAATCTTTGGTCTTGGTGGCAGGGTCTTCGGGCATTGTTCGCATAAAGCCACGATGTAAAGCACTGCTTTCACTTTCATGCCCACCAAGTAGGCCACAATATCCTCCGAGTGGGAACGTGGCCATCCTGAAAACATAAGGCAAAGCCTAATTGTGGGTTTTGTGTTGCACATTCCCCAAACAAACCCCGCATGTCTGCGTATCATCGAGAAAGGTCATGCTTCTAGACAAGGATCTGCCACAAACGGCGCTGAACCACGGCATAAATCGACATTTTTAACCCAGAGGTCAGTCTCTTCCACATGAGTCAGACATTATACTGATTACCTGCAGTTTTTATTGACGGAGTACCTCTAACACGCCCTTATTCACAATGTCCCCCATCGTGCTCTATATCTTCTGCTTGTTGATCTATGGGAGGGAGGCAACTGCTTCTACCTCCACTCCATCAGAGAACTATTCCAAAATATGCCCTTCAAAGGATAGCACTGTCAGGACCCTTGACGATGGCTACCGTATTACGTATCGTTGTGATAGCTTCCCATCCACCTACGACACACAAGGAACACCGGACATCGATGACGCAGATGAATGTGGACGCATATGCCAGAAGACAGAGGGCTGCCATGGGGGCGTCTGGAGCCCCGTCCAGCAGATGTGTTGGACCTCTACCGAAAAAAATCCTCGTCTTATCCCTTATGAACGCCTAATTTATTTCGAGCACACGGAGGAGACCGTCCCACATAATGACGAGGCACAACAGGAACAAGAACGATGTCAACTCAAACTCAGTGGTTGTCAGGTGGAAAAGGATCTCTGTGAGAAGAAAGCTGAGACAAGTGACACTCAGCTTACAGCTTGTCGGGATCAGATAAGCCTGGCTGATAAAGTGTCCGAGTCCAGCGCGGCTCAATTGGCTGCTTGTGAAGTTCAGAAGGAAGTTCTGGATAAGAATGTCCAGGCGAATGCGGCTCAACTTCGGACATGTGAGACCCAGAAAGATGTGTGTGACAAAACATCCGGAGCAAGTTCAGCCCAACAAGCGGCGTGTGAAGCACAAAAGGCGGCGTTGGAAAAGCAGTCAGAGGCCAGCCACGCACAACTCGCGACATGTCAGGAACAAAAGGGGTTGTGTGACCAGAAGTTCGCCGGCGTTACCACTCAACTCACCTCTTGTCTGACACAGAAGGACTTGCTGGATAAGAGAGTTGCGACAAATAGCGCTCAGTTGTCTACCTGCGAAACGCAGAGAGGATCGTGGGAGGCAAAATCCACTGAGTTGGCAGGACAAGTCAAGGCATGCGACGCGGCAAAGGAGGTTTTGGATAAGAAACTCGGGACGAACACTGCTCAATTATCGGCTTGTGAAACACAGAAGGTCTCATGCGAAGCAAGGTCAGGCGATTTAGCAGCACAGGTCAAGACCTGCGAGGCAGCGAAGGAGACGCAAAAGCAGGAATGTGCGAAAACAGCCGAGGGGAAGATCAAACCCAACTTATATACCCTTCGGGCTCGGCACTGCAACAAATACCTTGATGTGAAAGATGGTGGCAAAGCAGATGGAACCAAGGTTCATTTGTGGTATGTCTTTCGAGAGGATTTAACAGTGGCAGACTAACATTGGTCCAGGGAGAAAGTAACAACGCTCAACCAACGATACTTTGTTACTCACGCAGGGAATGAGGAATATCTCATTCGTAATCAGGGAACTGCAACCTACATGTCTGCCGGAGGTAGGTCCCACCATTGCAGCAAGGTCTCGATCCTAACTGGAAGTAGCTTCGAAAGGGGGCGATCTCACTGCAAATAACCTCCCTATGGACAACAAACGGATCCGCTGGAAGTTTGTTCCACTCGACGACGGCAGTGGAGCATATCAGTATGTAGCATGCTACCGGTGCTCTTATCAATATGACTAATGTTTGTCTCCGATAGTATCTACAGCGTTGCTTATCCTGACGAACTCATCGATGTGAGCGCAGAAGGCACTGCTAATGGGAATCGGATCATGACCTGGACAAACAATAATGGCAAGAATCAGCAGTTTTTCCTTGAAGCTTTGTAGCGTGGTCAAGTCAGTGTCTCTAGTCTGATAGGGATTGCCTGGGGTTTTGTGCATTCATGTTCTCCAAATTATAATGGACAGATATATTGGATTTCAAAGGGCCAATCAGAAGCACATCCATCTAGCTCATTCAGAAGTTACACCCTGACAGTCCACAAGAAGTGCACGGGAATCTAGTTACTCAAAGCAGTCATAAAAAGCCACCGCTCGGTGCTCAACAATTACTACATCATATTAAGTTTCGTGTTCTGTAAACTCTAATGTTTTGTGTTGCGTGGTGTAAAGTATATGTGTTACAGGTTCGGTCAGCACGGGGTTGAATAGCATCATGGTTGGGCTATTTTGAAATTCCTCGTCGCACACTCCTCGGATTCATAGCCTCCGCATGAAGGATCAGCGCATCCTAACCCTCGACACGAGTATAGAAAACGATAAATTCCTGAACTTCAACTTAATCATCTAGCTGCTTGCAACATCATCAACTACCAAGACCATTGGTAATCAGCATGGCAAACGCTTTCTTCGCTCTTTTACTGGAGTTCCTGGTCCTCTTCATTCTGACCCTGGACACTTCTGTCCAAGGCGTACCCCTTGACGTGGAAAGCCAAACCCCACTCTTGGACACTGAATCACACATAAAGTCCCAATCTCAGCCTCCCAAGGGTATCACTCTCGACGATATCTATATCGCCCACGATGCCAGTGGCAATCAGAAATGTTGTCCACTGGGAACCATCTTCAGCGGCCGAGATTGCATCTTCCCCGAATCGCGTATCTGTCCATCCGGACTTGTTCTCATCGACAATGCTTGTGTGACTCGTGACCCCCCTACTTGCCCTCCAGGACTTGTATTCAGAGGAAACGGCTGCATCTCTACGCAGCTTCCAGTATGTCCGTCTGGTTCCATCTTCAATGGCAAGCTTTGCGTCTCGACACAGAATCCGGCCTGTCCTCCAGGTCTTTCCTACAACGGTGTCAATTGTGTGTCTTCCACCACTCCAACATGTCCTCCAGGTCTAGAAGTCCAGGGCCGGCTATGCGTCCTCAAGCAGTCCCCAACGTGTCCATATGATCTTCATTTCGATGGTAAAAGCTGTGTGGGCTCCAAACCGCCCACATGCCCCCCCGGAACGATCGTGATGGAAGGGCTATGCATCTCAGATAACCCTCCATCTTGCCCTCCCGGTTTTGTGTTCCAAGACAAGATCTGCGTGCACGCTGCAAAACCAGCATGTCCTTCGGGATCGGTCTTCGATGGGAAAGTTTGTCGATCAGAGAATCCACCTCTTTGTGCTTCTGGAACATTCGATGGAAGGGTGTGTCGCTCATCAGAAGCCCCATGGTGCCCAGTCAATTCACAATTTGACGGAATCGCTTGCGCCACGTCTGAGCTTCCCTCTTGTCCTTCCGGACTAGTTCTATCGAGATCCCCGACAGGAGATGCAAGATGCTGCTTACAGGGTCTTACCTGGGATGGCACGTTCTGCGTTCTCGTCCCTAAGGACCCCAGCTCATGTCCCCCTGGTAGCCGGTATGATGGCTACAAATGCGTCTACACTCCAACTCAATCCCCATCCTGTCCTCCTGGTACGACGTCAAAGAACGGTGCATGCATCTCCACCAAACAACCCTCCTGTCCTCCCGGGACGACCTTCAGCGGAAACGCTTGCCTGAGCTCCGAAATCCCATCTTGTCCTCCGGGAACCACCTTTGACGGAACAAGCTGCGTGCATCAAGAGCACCCAACCTGCCCTCCCGGTTCCACCTTAAGCGGACGAGCATGTGTCTCACAAAACGAGCCTTCCTGTCCCCCAACCACCACATTCAATGGCCAAGTCTGCCTTTCCACCGAGCGTCCCACGTGCCCCCCAGGATCAACCCAAACCGACAACATCTGCGTCTTCCCAGAAGCCCCATCCTGCCCCGAAGGTCTAATTCTGAATGGCGAAAGCTGTGTATCCTCCCAACCTCCAACCTGTACCCCCGGGACAACCTTTGACGGAGCTTCCTGTATCTCAAAAGACCGCCCCAGTTGCCCTCCAACTTTCACCTTCGATGGTAAGAGCTGTGTCTCCGACGACCATCCCACCTGTTCTCCAGGAACCACCTTCGATGGCCGATCCTGCGTCTCCCAGGCAAGACCAAGCTGTCCCCCTGGCACATCATTCGATGGTGAACGTTGTACCTCAGCAATTAATCCCTCCTGTCCAAGCGGTATGGTTTTTGATGGTAAGACCTGCGTGTCAAACACCAGACCGACATGTCCCCCTGGGACTATCTTCGACGGACGCACCTGTGTGGGCGATGCACGCCCTGCTTGTCCCCCCGGGACTACATTCGATGGTACGACGTGTGTTGCAGATGATCGGCCTAGTTGTCCTCCGGGAACAGCATTTAATGGCGATGCTTGTGTGTCTATCACCCCGCCTACCTGTCCCCCGGGCACTCAACTCGATGGCACCAAGTGTGTGTCTACTTCCTCTCCGTCTTGCCCACCGGGTCTCTCGATGGTAGGAAACACCTGTCAGTCTCTTGATCGCCCTGTCTGCCCATCCGGCACGACCTTTGATGGTACGCGATGCGCCATGGGCGTGGCCCCGGAATGTTACGAAATGCATGTTTGTCCTCCTATTGGTACTGAGGGACTTGTTCGGGGATAAGTCAGTAGTATGGGTTTGCACCAGAATGTAAACATTTCAGTCCGTGTGTTATGTTGTAAAAGTATAATTTGACTTCAAAATTTATTATATCTGGACATTGCAATAACGCCCGGCCGAGTGTAGTTTCACCGCAGTGTAAACAGACTTCCCGATCGAGCGGAGCGGATCATCCCGATTCGTCATCCCGATGGCCATCGGCTTATCCGAAAGAAGTAATTCCCCGACCCACTGACTGAACCCTCAGATCCGATACGTCATGAGTTGTTCATTTGACTTTGCCAACTTGCCAGATAGATATTATCTGTCATATTGATGATATGGAGTACGGTGAGGGTTTACTTGGTCGATGATACTTACTTAGGTACTACTACCATGAACTTTTGCACACCGATTCAATTGACCGTAAACATACACCACACTAAGCAGTAATACATTGCTATACCAAATGAAATACACTCCATAACACAGCATAGTACAGCTACTCGACATACCATCCATCCATCTATCCAACACCATATCAACATTCACTCCAAAGCATACAACCCAACCCAACCAAACCAAACCAAACCAAACCAAACCAAATTCCAACCCCTAAACCCCCGGCGCATGCTCCTCCCCCTCAGGCACATGATCACTATTCACCAAACTCAAAAAGCAATTCCACCCTACCACCAACCAATTAGCCCCCAAACAAAGCAAAAAAAAAGACGCAGTCCCCCAAAAAGGGGTAAAGAGAATCAAGACATACCAATATTAACCACATTCACCACCAACACCCTATACTGCAACGGCACCAACCAAAGATTCCCCGCCTGGACCATCGGCCAAAGCGTCCAATTCGCCTTCAACGCATCCCAATACGTACGCTTCAATTTCTCCTGGGGCTTCACCCCCTCCATCACCGACATACTGGTCAGGAACACCCCGATCATGGTCGGTGCGCAGAGGAGTTGGTCGGCGCTGACGCGCGCCGCGAGCGTCTTCCCTGGGGTGGAGAGCTGGATCCGGTTTTGCATGAATTGGAACCATTTTGTGGCCACCGGGCCAAAGATTGCTTTTTTTTTTTCTTTCAGTATTGAGTTTTGGATGGGGGATGGGGGATACGTAGGTAGGGGATAGGGGTTGGGATGGGATGGGACATACCACCGCCGTACAGGGCCATTCGACCAGATCGGATAACGTCATGGTTAGAGAGGCCTTTTTTTTCGATGGCTTGTTGGGCGAGGCTATCGCCTACTGCGAATAATGTCTTAACGTTGCTTTGTTAGATTTGATTGCATCCTATGCGATGGGATGGGATAGGCATGGCGTACGGCTGTAGTGAGACTCTGCGTCAACATGGGACGCTGGGCGAGACATCTTTGGTACCTGGGTTCTGATCTTAGTATACTACTATTTTTTGGAATATGGGGAGGTATACCAGGCCAACATCTTTGCGATTGGTGGGTATGGAATTGCTGAATGGGGATGAAAGAAAGTGAATGAAGTTGGGGACTGTTTGGGTTTCGGGGGAGGAATGCTGGCGCGTGTGGCGGGTAAGTTGCCGTTTTGGGTGGTCGGACCGCCGTGACGCAATGGGAATGTAGACCGCCGGGGTTGTTGTGGCTTGGACCCACTGCGATAACAGGATGCATGTTGACTTGTAGTTGGGGATTATGTCATATTTCATGATGGGTGTTGGATGCTTGATGGGGTTAGGAGAATTGATTATTATATGTTGGAATTTATCTACCTTTTTAGTTGCTCCTAACCAGGGATATGTTAGATCTTTGTCATTATATATATGGCTAACGTATACCTCTACATTGAAATGGGAAGAAATCATGTTTCTATATTATATCCACTATTCTTGGCTTTCAGCTCTATTGATATGGACTTCTTCATTGAAAGTGTGGAGGCTAACATCCAAACGTCAATCTCATCTCCTGCTCCCAATCAAAGTTCTCTAGAAACGCCATAAAATCCACATCCTCTTCCAGTGCATTCCCCACAGGCATACTGTCCACCACGACCGGAGCTGGTGACAGCACCCGATCCAAAGCCTGTGAGATCACCTTCTGTCCCTTAAGGCAGATCTTGTAGTTCCCTTCTTCCTGCCGAACAAAGGTCTTGAGCTGCGCCACAAAGACACTCAGTTTTTGGATGATGTCCGATCGAGGAAACGGCGTGGTAGATGTCTGGAATAGGTTGGATTGAGGCTGGGAGCGTCGGAGGAGCTCGGTGCAGAGAACGCCGGCGGCAGGGAGGCCGTTATAACATAGCTAGGATGGTAAGTAAGCCAACGTGGAACTAATTCATTCCGTACTTACGTCCCAGACAATCGATGGATGTATGCGTCCTGCCCGCGTCTCCATAGACACCATGTGCAATAGAATGGTAACGATCTCCGACGCCTTGGCAATCAAACTATCATTGCCCTTGCCGGTGCGTTTGAAAAGGGTTTGCAGTAGCAGAAACTCGTGATAGAGAAATTCCAAGTGCAGAGATGCGACAGCCGGGTGGTCATTCTCCTCTGTCCACTGGAGGTATGAAGGCAGACTCCGCCGCAGTTCGTCCGACTTTCTGCGGGTCTTCCTGCACAGTGTTAGCAAGCTGCAATCATGGCGATAGACATACTTACTGAACCTTCTCCTCTAGACCGTCTACCTGATTACTGAGTGACACCTCCAATACGTTTTCTTGATCAATGCTGGCGATCAAATTGGCGCGAACCCTGACTCCTTTGTCAAGACTGCCATCAATGTTCCATCCTGCCGAATCTAAGCGTTGGGTAGCGGCTTCGCGAACCTCAGGCTCCGCAACGATCTCGTCGTAGGTCATATCTAATGGGTACTGGATGTTGCAATACCGCCAGCATATCCGTGGAGGTCTGCCTAGAAACGTTGCGAGCTCCTTGTCAATGGCATAAGCGCCAACCATGGTCCGCTTTCGAACCTCGGATAGGAAGAACGGAGTCTTTGTGTCTGTCCCGGGTTGGTGGAGCCCCAAAGCGAAGACGGTCGTCGTGATTTCACCCAGCATCTGCCATGGTCTATGGTCTTTGCATGTCAGCCGCTTGATCCGGACTGCAGGGCCAGGACATACCACTACTTCCATGCATACAGCAGAGAAACACTGTATGCTGTATCAGTGCCCATGCCAGGGGGTCACTGAGGGTCCCGAGATGATTGCAGAACTGCAGACAGGTTTCGCTCGCCTGGATGCATATTTGTCGCAAGCCTTCTTTGCTTGTGACATCATCTGTCTCCTCTAGGCCCAGACTGTGCGGGGGCACCTGATAAGTCGATGTCCCTGTGAGGGCGAAAAGAAGGCTGAGCACTTCCCACCGCGGGGTGACCGTTGCGAAATACTCCGACAGACGCATCGAAGGATGAGTCTCGATGGGGGTCAGAGTATTCCGGAAGAACTCCCGGGAGAGATCCATTAGGTGGGCGTACTTGTTTGTTGCGTTCTGAGTTGCGTTGCGATAGATGTCACCTAGGACCTTGAATACTTCTCGCATGAGAGGAGGCCCAAGGACCCATCCGGGTGCGATGGCGAATCGCTTCTCCATCACCTCCACATACAGCGATAGATTTTCCAAGAGAAAGAGAACCTGAGCCCCCCGTGCGACCTGCTGAGGGTCGATTGGGGTCGACTTGGGTGCCGAGTGATCCACAGGGTCGGGTTCGGCATTGTCGTCAAAGGCCCCTGACCAGTTGGTGGGACCCAAGAATCCCGTGCCGGAGAAGGGTAACTTGGTCGGGTTGGGAAACTGAGCTGACCCCAACACACTGATGGAGGATGATGAGGCTGGTGAGATACTCAGACTTTCCCAGGCCAACGTTTTCGCAGGCATCAGCGTTCCATTCGAGTCATTCTTGGTTGCCTTGAATCTTGGGCCCTCGCGCGGTCTGGTCAGCGGGGCTGGATGGTAAACACAGAGGTCCGATCGACCCCGACGAACACAGCGATTGCAGACCGGAGCCGAATGATCGCATCGGAGCTTGGACTTACGGCAAGGCTCGCATGACGACAATTGTCCATTGCGACGGGGCGCAGACATGGTGAAAAGGGGCAAGGTGTGGTGAGTCAGTGTTGAGGCGAGTGAGGTCCGTAGTCGAGGTCCGAGTCCGAATGGTCGGAGGAGGGAAGGAAGGCGAGAGAAGGAAGATTAGCAGATAAAGAAGGAAGATAGTGGGTAGGCAGAACCGTTAACCGTAATTAGCCTAAGGGAATGCTTGCTAGCGTTGGATGGTAGCGCTGAGGATTCGAGGCTGGCCAGTCCGATGGCTCGTGCGCCACTCCGAGGGCCGACCCTCACCATCCACCCTCTATACAACTTGTATATAAACCTGTATAGAAAGCTGGGTATAGACTCATCAATTCAATCCAGCATCAATCAAAGCATCAAACAAGGCTTTCCAGCAATACATCCAATTCAACCAATCTTCTCATACCACCACCTCCAAACATCATCATGCCTCTTACTACTCCGCTGAACGGCCTTTACCGGTCCTTCAAGGCCAGACATCTTGGCAAGGTTAACCACGACGAATATATCAAGACTGCGGATGACTCCTCGTCCATCCTCAGTGATGCGACCACGGTGGCTCCTCGAGAAAAGCCCCAGGCTGGAAAGACGGCTTCTCAACAGACCCCGGACAGCATGGACTACGGATCTACTCGATACGGTATGCTTCTGGTTCATACCAATATACTGAGTGTCAAACTAATAGTATGTAGGTATGCGAGGAATGTCCACGCGCGCATGAGTGCTGCTGCTCCCACCCTTACGACGAAAATGACCACTTCAAAACTACAATGGCTGCGCGAGGGATACATGGGACTTTGGGATTCATCTAATACTTAATGGGGTTGTAATATAGAAGGAATTGCTTAATTTGACGCGTTATCATTTAGAACCACTAAAATTGAGCTGCCTGCGCGGCCCAGCGGGCATTAGGATTTAGAGAACTGCTTATTGTAGAATGCCAAACTCGGAATTTAATTCCAGAGACCCATAAACTCAGAAGCCACATGGTAAGTTCGTAGCTAGTACGGAAATGTTTACCGGGTGGGATCAATACTACTGCACTGTGTTCTGGGGGTCAGGTTGCTGTCCGTTCACCATTGCTGCCAGACGATGACACAGCACCTACTGTCGGGGCGCCTTGAAGAAGGTTCGGAATTGGTGGCATCTCCTCCGGATGCAAGAAATATTGAGCCTCGTGGATGGAAACGTACTCTGGTTGATTATTGATGCCGAGGAATCGACAGAACTAACTACCAAATACTACTGTTCAGGTCATTCTAATCAGAGCTCATCACCTCCAAGAATACTGAACTCTCCTTGATCCTCAGCACCATCCTCCACAACATACCAGTCCTTGACAGTCGCAGTACCGTTCGCAACTGTCTCCCACAACTCCTCAGTACACGTCCCCGGACTCAGGACATAACACTTGGGCTCCGGGGCCACCGGGGGAATATTCTTGATACTCCACGTGTCGAGCGGTCCGACCGTCTGGAAATCATCTCCAACCGCCAAAAGTCCCGTAGGGATATCCTTGTTGAACGTCGCCCGCATGAAGATCTCATACGCCGCCACTGGTTGGTACGAAGGAACCTCGTGGCCTGCTTGATAGACGCGGGTGAAGCTGTAGTTTCCAAGCTGCCGGGTCTGGCCGCTGACCCCGTCGGGCGTGAGCAGAGGAGAGTATCCAGTCTCTGTGAATTCGCCAATCCGGGAATAGGGAACTGCTAGACTGGCCTTCTCACCACCAACCCAGTTGCAGGCGTAGTCGCGATCACCGTACATCATGTGCACCTTGACCCCGCTGTCAAGGAGGTAGCCGATTGCATCGAGGAAGCCACCCCGAACAACACTGCGGATGTTAGTGATGCGACTCAGCTGGGTAAGCGGAGAGGATTGAGGCATACTCATGACTGTTCAGGAACTGCAGGGCCACGGTATTGGAGGCCTCGGTGAAGTTTACAGGAACACCAAGAGCAGCCAAGACAGACTCCTGCTTAAGGTAGCCCAGCATGTCTGTATTCGATTAGAATTGATAAGCGAATCATTGGGTTGGGACCTTACGCTTTGCAGGAAACGGATCGTTTTTCGTGTGGGCAATATCGTACCAACCGCGCTGCAAACCAAAAATCAGTACAAAATACCAGCTGGAAGTCAAACACATACGTTTTTGGTGTGGTAATGAGTGATGGGTCCATTTTCATCACATTCAAGGGAAAGCGTTCCGCAGATTTCGGTGATGTTCTTCGAGGAGGAAGGGTCTAAATCACGCTCCTTCAGGGCCGTTTCACAAGCCTGCGCTCGGTCGCGGCAGCCTCCTGGCCGCGTCCAGTTGTACATCAGCTCCTCGTAAAGGGGCTGGTCAAAGATTTGGAGGCCATAGGTCTAAAAGGTCAGAGAATACGCATCACTCTGACAAAGCAAACTTACGTTGTTGTAGGGCCACGTAATATAGGCCTCTTCTTGGATCACAACATCCATCAGGCCATTCACAATACCGAGGGTGTCAAGATGCAGATACTGCGATCCCTCTTCGGCAGTCCCCGCCGCAATTTTGTCGTTCTGCTGCTGAAAGAACCGAAAGATACCCGGGCCATAATGGCCTCCGTAACTCTCAGCCCAAAGACTGATGCGGTCGTCATTAGGCTTATAGTGAGGGAACTCGAAGAACCAGGTCTGGGCGAAATGCCACAGAGCGTGAGCCGCGAAAGCGGTTCCGTTGGCAGTCTGCGAGAGCTTCTGGCTGGAAAAGGTGCCAACTTGGTGGGTAAGGTTGGATTGAGGAACATCGGCAGAGAAATCCCCAGGGAAAATATTGATGTCACTATCATCTATAATTAAAGTGCCATTGGTGGGGACATCATATGAAAAGCCAACCTGAGTTGGCTGATCGAGAAACAAAAGATTAACCTCATTGTTCCAGCTCCAAGGGTTATTAATCGTAGTCTTCGAGTCTGCGGCAATGGAGCAGGGACCCAACTCTTCCAGAAGACCCATGAGCGAGGAGCCACCTGGTCCGCCATTCAGCCAAATGGCAAGAGGCGCATTGGTGGAATCTTTGCGGGCTTCAAAGAACCAGAAGAAGCTGCATGATACTTAGTCGTAGCTCGCTTTCAGATATCAGGATACTCACGTGTTAATGGGATAATCTTGTACTTCTCCTCCCTCGGAGAGGAACCCCGGAGGGAGATGCACATAGCCCGAATAGGACCGGACGCCCGGCGTGGTTTCACAAATGCCAGGCTAACAATCAGCAGTGATCGAGTCAATCATCATGAGTACACACCTCTTTGAAGGATAGAGACACATTCTCATGCAGCTTGGATTGGAGCACTGTGATTCCCTCGGGCTTGGGAGGGAATTGGGCGGTGGCTAGGCTCAAAAGGCCACCAAGCACCAGACCGGCCAACATGACGGATTCTCACGAGTCTCGGTTGATCGAGAGACTGAAGCTGATATTTTCGCTCGAGCAAGACAGCATCTCACGAGGGAATGCGCGCCAGATAAGCTGGCTGATTGCGGAGTCGGCATTAGCGCTTATCGGGACCCTACTTCGGAGTCCGTCGGCCACAACCGATGGCGTTTTTGACGAACAAATGGCAACATTCCCTGGCTGGAAGGAATCAGGCAGCGTCCATTTCCCAGCATCCAGCGCTCTGGTTGGACGGTGTATTGGGCCATATCAGTCTAGGCTGCGCAATGCTTGGCTGCAATAATGAACAGTACTCCGGACCTTGAGGGACACTACTCCAGATTGGGAGCAGGCAATTCCGAACTCCGAGGAACAGAGCCAAAGATATGCTCCGGACTTCCAGTCCGGTGTGAAGTTGACATTCAATCTGTGCTCTGGACAGTACACCTTCTTAAGAGCCTTCAGTCCGCCATTACCCTCAGCGAAAAATTGTTGGGACACAGAGTCTTCGTTCTGTCTGTTCTCCAGATAGCCAGCGGATTTCTGTTTTGGCCTACTGGTATGAACTTAACAGGTTATAAGCCTAAAAGCTAATTTTATCTTATTTAATATACTTACACGTGATATATCTAAGCCAGGACTATATAAGATTATAAGTCTAAAAATTAATTTTACTTCATTTAATGTATTTACATATAGTTAATATGTTTAAACCAGGATTATATAAGATTGTAAGTTTAAATCCGGGTAAGAATAATCCGAGACTATAACAGACTGTATAGAGTCAGAAAATCCACACATTTTAAACAGCCAGTCTAAGGAAGTAGTGTTAAAACACAGTCTTCATTCTGTCTGTTCTCCAGATGGCCAGCGGATTTCCGTTTTGGCCTACTGGTATGAACTTAACAAAAATTTCTCGGTCGGACAGGCTAAAGCCGGGGGAGGGTGGGCCTATCATTGACGGTTGATAGCTCCGTCGAGCTCCAAGTTGGATCACGTCTTAAGATGAAAACCATGTAACCAAATGGTCGGGTGGTTCAGCGTTGTTGTATACCCCCAAGCCAGGAACGTGCTGGCTTGTTGGCTCTGGGGAAGGCTGCGTAAGCCGACCGACCGACAGCTCGGAGTATTGATTTCCCGCGCCATGGACATGTTTCAACCCTCATCCCATGCGTTACATGTTTGACAAGGCAGAAATAAGTGCGACGTGGAGGAGGCATCGAAATTGGACTTTTCTCAAGGATGGAACTCGTTCAATGTCGCCGAGTATTGTTGAGTGGAAATTGAATGCTTGCTCGAGTATCACAGCGAGGAACCTGCCACCAGTGCACCACATTGAAGACTTATCGATAAGCAGCGAGTCTCCGCATGGACAAGACCCTGGCCGAACCCTGGCTGGCAACGCTCCACCATCAAGCCGAAAGAGTGTTGACGACTGCCTGATTGGTATGCTGCCAATGATCGTGGTACCCAATCCGGTTAGCGTGTTCGAGATTAACAAGCGATGACAGTGGAAATGTCTTGAAAATCTTGGAGGTCAGAAATCGGAGCATTGCCAGCGGTCCAGGATCTGGCGCCGGAGGGGCGATGACGCGGAGGGGCGAGGCTGGACCAAAGGGCCGCGTGGCCTGGCCGAGATCGCCTGTTGCTGCTATCTATAGCCCCGGCTGCTCTGCGGGCATTGACAGCTAGGAACAGGCTCTGGCTGTATCTAGGAGAAGTGCTGATGCAGAGGATGGTCCGGCTGGTAATCACCGTGACAGATGCAGGGGAGAATCGTGACGGTTCTGCGAATTGAAGACGGAAGATGGAGGATGGGATCAGGAACACGAAAAGGCGGCTGACGACGGGCGGGCGGGGTCCACTCCACTCCAGCCTTCACCTGCCGCCGCTAAGCTTTTTTATTCTCCTCGCTGTCCTCTTCTCTCCTCGTCCCCGTTTCTCTTCATTTTCTTCCTCCAGCAGCATTCTGCGGAGCCCTCTTTCGCCCTTCGTTGGTCTTCTTGGTCTACTTGTATCTGTCATCCCGCGAATTCTTGTGCGCGACCTTATCATGGCTGCCAAATCGCAATTGCCGATCGTCAACGTCCCCGTGTCTGCCGAACCTCCCAAGGCCGCCCTCCACCCGGCTTTCTACATCGCGTACGCTTGGTCGCCTGTGAAGATGCTGTCCTTTCCATTAATGCCTCTCTAGGACCTGGATTGCCCTCAGTTCTGGTGTGATCATCTTCAACAAGTGGATTCTCCACACCGCTGGCTTTAGTGAGTGAAACTTTTCGCGCGATCGCGTCATACTATGCGCATCATGCACTAATCATTTTGCTTTCTCCCGCAGGTTTCCGTACGTCAACACCTATCATAAACCGAAAAGGCCGCAATAACTGATGTGCTATAGCTCTCTTTCTTACGACATGGCATCTCGTCTTCGCCACCATTATGACCCGCCTCATGGCGCGATTCACCACCTTGCTCGACTCCCGTCACCAGGTTCCCATGACTTCGCGCGTTTACATGTCAGTCGGACCGTCCTCACTGCTGTTGAACTCCGTGGCTAATTGAGCTGTTACAGGCGGGCCATTGTCCCCATCGGCGCATTCTTCTCCCTCAGTCTGATTTGTGGTAACCTCGCATACCTCTATCTCAGTGTGTCCTTTATCCAGATGCTCAAGGTGATTAGCTCGGCTCCCTACGAAGAATGCCTCTGACGTATGTAGGCCACCAACTCCGTGGCGACGCTGCTCGCGACCTGGGCCATGGGTATTGCGCCGGTGAAGCTGAGCCTGCTCGGAAATATCTCGTTTATTGTTCTGGGTGTCATAATCGCCTCCATTGGTGAAATCAAGTTCACCATGATCGGCTTCATTTGTACGTTCCTTCCTTGTTTATGGCATGGCTGTTATTGACTTCGACTAGGCCAGTTCTTCGCAACCATCTTCGAGTCAGTCCGTCTGGTCATGGTGCAGCGACTGCTCAGCTCTGCTGAGTTCAAGATGGACCCCTTGGTTTCGCTGTACTACTTTGCTCCCGCCTGTGCTGTCATGAACGGAATCATCACTGCGGTGGTTGAGCTTCCCACCCTGCACATGTCGGACATCTACCAACTTGGCATTGGTACTTTGTTCGCCAACGCCGCCGTGGCGTTTGGACTGAATGTCGCCGTCGTCTTCTTGGTGCGTATTCCGAGCTGCCCTGAGAACACCCTAACTAACCGCTGCTAGATCGGGAAAACCTCCGCCCTTGTCCTCACCCTGTCTGGTGTGCTGAAGGATATCCTCCTGGTCGTCGCCTCGATGATGATTTTCCGCGATCCAGTCACCCCTCTCCAGGCGTTCGGATACGCCATTGCTCTTGGTGGTTTGGTTTACTACAAGCTTGGAAAGGATGGAGTGAGCAATCTCCTTGCCCAAATTCGGTATCAGCTGTGTGGCGGTGCGCGTCCCCAAAATTAGTTGGCTGTAAATACGATGGGTGGGACTTTTTTGTTCCGTATTTAGAACGTACATAGAAATGGGCAGGGCCCCAATGTATCTTCTACTTTTCTTTGCTTGATCAGACGCAGTTAGCGTGACGACTCGACAAAATCTATCGGTATGCCAGGGACATGGTCCGAGGCCGAACTCCGGGGAACGGGGTCCACCCCGGCGCTAGACTGATCGGGGGCTCCGCTTGCGGAGTCCCGGATGACATAAGCCGGCCTCCCGTAACGTAATCGGTAAGCGAGTGGCCACGGCAAGCGAGTGGCCACCCGCGTCCACCAAAACAGCCTTCCATGAAAAGATGAAGCTTTTATATACTATATATCAACAAAATAACGTGTTTATTTGGTGTTTTGACGTGTAGGACACCTTGTTCTTATATGCCCAATTGTTCCACACTCGCTGCAGCGAGGTGGTGCCCGGCGGCGAGGTTGTTCCTCGCCGGCAGCTGATTCTTCAAGCTGACTTCCAACTTGATCAGCTTCACAAATTCTTTTAAACGCGTTTTTGGCCTCGTCAACGGTGAGGCCATTTAGACCAGCAATCTGGCGATGAGACCTCTTGTTCTTGGTGTTTTGCCTCTCCAATCCAGTTCGTAATTCATCAACTTCCTGCTCAAGCAAGGCAGCCCGGTTGAAGGCGATTTCGCATCCTTTTACAATATAGGATAACGCTGCTTTCATCTGCGAGGACGGGCTGATTGTACGTTCACGAAGAAGCCTTTCAATTGTAGTTTCATGCCTCCGTAATTGCTTTGTATTCTTGGGCGTTTTTGGCACTGTTGATGTAGTAGTAATACTGCCGGTTGGAGTAGGCTCACGGAGCTGTAAAACCAGCCTACTAAGAACCTCGTCCGGCTGGAATGGAACCAATCCTGAAGCCTTAAAGGCGTTGCGTATAGTTGGTTCTTTAAAGGCAAGGGAACGTGCTTCTGGGTACGTATCCAAAAAATCAATCTTATCAATATGGTGGATGCCCTGGCGGATCAACCGTTCTACCAAGCTTCTGTACGCTCGTTTTAACGGTGCAAAGCAAGCAACGTTAAGCGGTTGACAAAGATGTGAAGAATGCGGAGGCATACAGATAGGAATAACGCTGTTTTGACTACATATATTGTCGAATTCCGCAGTCAAATAAGAGTTATGTCCGTCAAGAATCAAGAGGCTATATTGCCAAATCCGCCAGTCCTTGGTGGAAGGAATAAAGTGTTCACAAAGCCAATATAAACCGATATCATTAGAAGTCTAACTGTTTGGTGATAGATTGATATGCCAATCAGAGAAAAGAAGGCCTTGATACCATGCCTTTATATGAACTTTTTTCTTAAGAATCAAGTACGGTGACAACACCACACCGGCGGCGTTGATACACTCAATTGAAGTCACCCATTCTCGATTTTCTGGCTGTATAAGAAACGGCTTGCCCATGCAGTCAGACCGTGTAACTACACGGGCTGTGGCTACTATTTCCATAGCAAAGCTAGTTTTATTAAAGTTCCAGATATCTTGATCAAGAATACCATATTCTTTCTTTGCAGCTTTAACACGGTTAAATCATTCGGTCAAAAGCTTTGGATCTTCGCATTTCGCACGTTGGATATAATATCTTTGAGAGAATTGATTCTTTAATTCCGGTATATGTTTGATAAAGTTATATACCCATTTTTCACCCACGGAGACTGTGGAATCCGAGTCACGTTTTTGGAGAAGGATTGTTGCTATATTTCGAATATATGACGGCCGAGGATGAAGTCCACGCTTTATAAGCAAGAGAATCTAATTTTTCAAAGCCTCCTCTTCAAGAAGAGTTAATTTCATAGAATTAGCACGTGTATCTGACCGTGCTTTGACTCCATTGAGACGTCGTCGCAGAGTTGAACGCGGAATGTTGAAGACGCTTGCAGCTTCCTTGATAACCGAAAATTCACCATTTTGAATAGTCTCAATAGCGAGGCAGATACGGTCCTCTTGTTCCACCAAAGAATTTGACGATCGAGGCATATTTGGTGGAATTGTTGGTGGTTGAATTGCTTCAAATTGAAAAACACGAAACTGACGCGCGCGGGTGGCCACTCGCTTACCGATTACGTTAACGTAATCGGTAAGCGAGAGGAACGCGCAAGCGGGAGGAACGCCCACCTCGTAATTCTGCTTTATATACAAATTTGAAGTCAAATATCAACCTTTTTACACCGTTCAAATCGCCTCTTCTTGGTGTTTTACTCTCGCTGGACACCATTTCCGTATATGGCCAACTTGATTACACGAAGAACAGCGAGGTGGCGCGCGGCGGCGAGGCTGTTCCTCACCGGCCGCAGAATCAAACCGTTGGATTCCTAGGGCTTCATCTTCCTCACGAGCCCGGCGAAAAAGCTGTATAGCTTCATGAACTGTAGCTCCTTCGAGGCCTGCCAATTAGCGATTACTTCGTTTTCTCTTCTTAGTCTGGTGTTTGTCTGCAGCCCGTAAATCGTGATTTTCCTGTTCAAGTAAGGCTGCCCTGTTTAACGCGATTTCGCAGCCTTTAACAATATATGATAATGCAGTTCTCATTGACTCCGGAGGACTTCGTGTACGTTCATGCAGTAATCTCTCAATTGTAGTTTTATGCTTCTTTAATTGCCTCGTGTTCTTAGGTGTTTTTAGTATAGAAGAAGTGGTAGTTTGACTTCCAGTAGGAGTAATCTCTTGTAGGCTATACATCAGCTTTCCAAGTATCTCGTCCGGCTAGAAAGGCACCAAGCCGGAAGCTGAAAAGGCGTTCTGTATAGATGATTTCTTGAAGGCAAGTTCTCGGGCTTTGGGAAATGTATTCAAGAAATCAATCTTATTAATATAGTGGATTCCTTGGCGAATTAGCTGTTCAATCAAACTGCTGTATGCCTTCTTTAACGGCGCGAAGCAGGCAATATCCAAAGGCTGATAAAGATGTAAGGAATGTAGAGGCATGCATATAGAAATAATATTATTCTGACTGCAGATTTCATCAAAACAAGGTGTTAAATAAGAGTCATGTCTATCAAGAATTAGAAGGCTATATTTCCTGACTCGCCGTTCCTTAATTGAAGGAATAAAGTAGTGTTCAAGCTAATGTAATCTGATCTCGTTAATCGTCCAACAGTTTAGTGAGGTATTGATCTTCTAAGAATGAAATATATTACTTTCATACCAGGCCTCTATATACATCTTTCCTTTTATGATGATATACGGAGGCAGGGTCCAGCCTGAGGTGTTAATACATTTGATTGATATTATCTACTCGCGATTTCCAGGCTGTATAAGAAACAGCTTGCTCATGCAGTCAGATCTTGTTACTATCTTGATAGTAGCCATAAAGTCTATGGTGAATCCAGTTTCATCGAAGTTATAGATATCTTCATTTGTAAATCTGTTCTCTGATATAGTATTTTTAATACAGTTAAACTATTCTTTTATAAGTCTCAGATCTTTGCAGAGGGCTTTTTTATAATCATATCGGCGAGAGAAACGTGTCTTTAAAGAGTCATGGTGTTTAATAAAGTTGTATATCCATTTCTGCCTTATTAAAGCCTCATTCAATGTCTCCAGCAAGGCTCCTCGTTTCTGGATTAATATAGATGCTATTTTATGAATATGGGAAGGCCTGGGGGGAAGCCCTCGTGTATTTAAGAAGAGAATCCACTGTTCTAACATCTTCTTCTCTGGAAGAGTTAATTTACATGAATTGGCATGTATATCACTTCATGATTTGACTTCTTTGACGCGTTTCTAAAGAGTGGTTTGCGGAACTTCAAAAACACGTGCTGCTTCTCGTAATGACGGAATTTGATCATTTTTTAAAGCCTTAATTGCCAAGAGAATCCTGACTTCTTGTTCCTCATGCTTTTTCAACGATATAGACATTTTGGTGGTTGGAATTGTTGATCAAAGACCTCGCGTTTTGGTGGAATGCGGAGATCACGAGGTGGGCGTTCCTCCCGCTTGCGCGTTCCTCTCGCTTACCGATTACGTTAACGTATTCGGTAAGCGAGCTGCGCACCTCACGCGTCTTAGCTCCAGTCAAAAACCTCACTCAATTCAACCAACAGCCATGCCTCCAAAAGCGCGTCAAAATGCTAGAAATCAAGCTGAGCAGGAAGGGAGGATTCTATTAGCAATTTCAGCTATTAAGAATAAAGATTGTCCATCTATTCGTCAAGCAGCACGATCTTATGCTATTCCTGAATCTACCCTACGTACAAGGCTCCGTGGAGCAACCTTTCGAGCAGAAACACGCGCCAACTCTCATAAACTGACTCAAAATGAAGAGGAATCGCTTATACAATGGATACTATCACTTATTCAACGTGGAGCACCTCCCTGACCGTCTCATGTATAAGAAATGGCTAATATTCTTCTTGCTGCCCGTGATACTACACCTATTTAATTAGTTGGAGAGAAATGGGTCTACAACTTCGTCCAAAGGCATGATGAATTAAAGACATTCTTCTCTAGACGATATGACTATCGGCGTGCTCAATGTGAAGATCCTAAGATTATTAAGGAGTGGTTTAACCGTGTATAAATCACTATAATGCAGCATGGGATTGTACCTGAAGATATCTACAACTTTGACGAGACTGGCTTTGTTATGGGTCTAGTAGCTACTGCTCAAGTAATTACTAGAGCTGATTACTATGGAAGGACATCTCTCGTACAGCCAGGGAATCGGGAATGGGTTATTTCTATTGAGTGTATTAATGCCTCTAGATGGGCCCTTCCATCATGCATTATCTTCAAGGGGAAGGTCCATATAGAAAGCTGGTATCAGAGCGATCTACCACATGACTGGAGGATTGAAGTTAGTTTAAATAGCTGGACTAGTGATGAAATAAGCCTTCACTGGCTTTAAAACCTCTTTCTTCCTGCTACTACTGGCTGTACAACTGGGAAATATCGTCTTCTAGTTCTTGATGATCATAGCAGTCATTTAATACCTCAATTCAACCAGATATGCAGTAAGAATAATGTTATTCTTATCTATATGCCTGCTCATTCTTCGCATTTATTGCAATCTCTGGATATTGGCTGCTTTTCACCATTAAAGCGTGCATATGGACACTTAGTGGAGAAGAGAATACGCCTTGAATTTAATCATATTGATAAGCTTGACTTCCTTAAGGCTTTCCCTGAGGCTCGTACAGCAACCTATACTACTAGCAATATCTGCAGTGGTTTTTCTGCTACTGGGCTAGTTCCATATGACCCAGAGCAAGTGCTCAGTCAGTTGAATATTCAACTAAGGACCCCAACACCACCAGGCAGTCAGTCAACTCATTCAGTGCCTAAGACACCCTACACCACCAGACAGCTCGAAAAGCAGGCATCTATAGTGAGAAGAAAGCTCCAAAGACGTGTACAAGAGCAGGAAGGCTTCCAAAGCCCTACCTCTTCTTTAGAGGTACGGCTGGACAAGATAATCAAATGCAGTGAATTAGCCCTAAATGAGGCAGCTCTTGCGCGTCAAGAAATTCGTGATTTACGAGCTGCAAATGAGACGCAGCTTCAAAAGAGAAAGAAGTTTACTAAGCAACTCACTGCTACAGAGGGTCTTTCTATTCAGGAGGGCCAGAAGCGATTTCAGCAGGAGAATCAGGTCTTTGAAGCTCAAGATACTCTATCTAGAGATCCAGAGCTTTCTACAGTTGGGCCCCGTGTACGCGCTCCGCCGCAGTGTTCTAATTGTCATATTCGGGGGCATACTAGGGTTAGATGTCCTAATCCACCTAGTAATTAGTTTTATAGAAATGCAATTGGTTGGTTGGTAAAAAGGTGCTTGAATCTCACCTAGTCATGGAAATCGGGTGGAAGTGCGCAGCTCGCTTACCGAATACGTTAACTAGTTATCCCCAGCCTTGTGGGTTTCTACAATCCTGCTCTGCTGGACCCTTCCCAGAATCGTATCAGCTCATCCTATCTTCTCTTCATCTTAGGCCACGGCCCGCAACAGTGTCCCCCAAGAGAAAGCGCTCCCGTGACAACAAAACCACACCGCCGCGAGAGCAGCTTCCAGACTGCGTCGAAGATGTCGCTACGCTACCCGAACCGAATTCCATCCGGTCACACTCGCAGCCGTCGGACGAGCACTCCCCCGAGGACGCTACAAAGGCATTTAGGAGCTAGGAGTCATGGAGACACTATGTGAGGTCTGCGAGTCACTGGGTTACAAAAGAGCCACACCCATCCAGGCGCTCTCCATTCCCCTGGCATTGGCAGGTCGTGATTTGATCGGCCTCGCAGAGACTGGCAGCGGCAAAACGGCAGCGTTTGTGCTTCCGATATTGCAGAAATTGATGGAAAAACCACAACCTTTACACTCCCTAATACTTGCGCCCACCCGAGAACTCGCACTACAGATCTCTCAAGTCGTCGAAGGCTTGGGCGCCTTGATCGCCGTCCGGTGTACATTATTGATCGGGGGAACCGACAATATCTCGCAGGCTATCGCATTGGGAAAGAAGCCGCATGTTGTGGTTGCAACTCCTGGACGTCTCCTTGACCATCTGGAAAATACAAAAGGGTTCTCCCTGCGACATTTACAAATCCTCGTCCTAGACGAAGCCGATAGACTGTTAGACCTAGACTTTGACCCGATCTTAGACAAAATCTTAAAGAGATTGCCAAAAAGAACCACATACTTATTTTCTGCAACCATGTCCAGGAAAGTTGAAACGCTCCAGCGGGCAGCTTTATCGAATCCTGTGCGTGTCTCGGCAGCTACAAAACGTCAAACCGTCTCGACTCTCCTACAGTCGTATATCTTCGTTCCTCTCAAGCACAAAGATGTTTATCTCGTTCATTTCTTAACAGAAAGAACAGGGCAGACGGTGATCATCTTTACTAGGACCGTGCATGAAAACCAGAGGGTATCTATCATGCTGAGAGCCCTAGGTTTTTCTGCAATCCCTATTCATGGCCAATTGTCACAGAGTGTACGACTGGCATCGTTGAATAAGTTTAGTGCGAAGTCTCGAAATATACTTGTAGCCACAGACGTGGCAGCTCGCGGACTCGATATACCCTTGGTGGATCTTGTTGTCAATTACGATTTGCCCGGTGACAGTAAGACTTATATACATCGGATCGGCAGAACAGCCCGTGCTGGTAGAAGTGGTGTTGCGGTTTCCTTCGTTTCACAGTACGATATTGAACTGTGGCTCCGTATAGAGGGAGCTCTGGGCAAAAAAGTAGACGAACATGAGATATCGAAAGACGAGGTCATGGTCTTGGCGGAACGAGTAGGGGATGCCCAACAACTTGCGGCGCGTGAAATGAGGGACCTCCAAGATAAAAGGGGTAATTCAATCTCCTCACGACGCAATAAGAACGGCAAACGAGGCAGGGAAGACATGGATCAGGAAGAAGGCTAGGGTTCAGTCCACCATCCTCCGATCCGCGATCATTTGACATGTTCTTGTCTAACGACTAACGACATGAAAGATCTACAGAGGTGTAATTGCTTTTTATCATTCTGTTGCCAAATTAAATCCAGTTGACCAGATTACTCATTCTAGAGAATAACAAAATATCGAAAGAATATGCCCCTTCAGTAGATAGTAGCATCCTCATCCATCTGGATCGGCCGATCCTTCAGGATCTTCCTTTCCCCGGATCAGGTACAGCACATCTCGCAGCTTTTTGAAAACACAATATGACTCTGCCACCCTAAACAGCTCCAGCAACTTCGGCCACAATGCATCCGGGGTGCTAATGTCCCGAAATATGTCCAATCTCTCTTGTATATCCATGGCGTTAACGATCCTGATCATCGAGTCTTCCATAATTCGGTCCCACTGGAATCGCTTACGCACCTTACAGGCCACTTGACCATGAGAGAGCGCAATCGATTTGCCAATTCTGCTCAGCATCGAGAGACCATTATAGCGTGTCTGGGGATTGGCACAAGATCCACACTGGCTGGTAATATTTTCAATGGCGGCTATGATTTCTTCAACTTCACCCGCAACGTCGTATTGCTTCGACCCACTCAAACGCTGGTAGGTGACGTTGAGATCTCTCCATCCGGACCTGGATTCGGAATCGAAATGAATCACCCGGTTGCTTTCCTGTCGGCGGATCGTCTCGGTGGTTTCTTCCAGCATAGCACGGACATCGGGGTGTTTCTCGATGGCTTTGCTGACAATCTCGGAGAGTTGCTTCTTGTCGAGGTTGTTAACTTGCTACATGGTGAAATAATGTGTTCGAATTATTTCAATGAGGATTTCCTGCTGCTGCATGGAGTTGAGTGCAACTACACCGCGGTAAAACAATCAATAAAGAGGGTAGTGGATAAAAGTGGGACAGATTGTCTCCTGTCACGGGTCTCTCTCTGCATTGCAAATCTATACAATGTTGTTGGGGCCTGATGGATTCGATGAAATGACTCCATGTTGGACACACTAGCAAGTATTTCACAATTCCTACTAGTGACCGTTTAGTATTAAAAGCATGATAGATCTACTCCGGTATTCGTTGTTTGAATACGATCATCATGTTGTAAAATACCGCAAGTGTATTGACCATTCAGTCAAAACAATAACGGGGCGCGACGCGTGCTTGCCGTTGGTGAGATTAGCACCGTGCCTGAGGCTGAAAGCGGGGGTCGTCAGCGGGGTCCTTCAGCGGCATCACTTGAAGTGAACTCAACAATCATGCTGCAATATTCCATCTGGATGTGATCGTCAAACTGTCTGCCTATCTTTGATCCTGAGTCTTAGGGGGGAAATATGTCTGTCTCATTATCTACGTGCGATGCCTCCCACCCACGTCCTGCTGATGCTCCCCTCACTTTATATACCTCCACTCACAACATCCCTAATCAAGTATACTGCAACCGAGCTGATGTCCATCCTGGCTGGTATCCCAGATCTGCCCCGTTAAGATCAAAGCTCGTTCCATTCCCCGCGTCAAATCCACTCTCATACGCACCATAGCTGACCAGTTCAATGTTCTCCAGATAGGCACCCGCATCCGTCTGCGCCCACAAGCTAAGTCCGATAGTATTCTCGGCGCGGTTGTTGATGATACCAGGTGGGATGGGGAATGTGGTTTGCGGTCCCAACACAGGAACATATTTCCCGTATTGGTAGCCGTTCACGAAAAGCTGTATGCGCACTGGCTTGACCGTCGATGGGGAGGTGAACTGGACACCGACCGGGACATCATAATCCTCAGGGAAATCGAGAGTGAAGGTGGTTAGGTAGAAGGCGACTCCTACGACAGTTTGTTAGATGATGTGGGGGAAACAAACGAGCCTGCGCATAAGGTGATCAACTCTTACCAGATTTATTGAGACCGTCCAGAGGTGATCCATCCGTCCAGCCGTCAGACTCGTTGGTCTGATACCCTGGAAGATGCCAACCTTGACGCTCGGCTAGCAGGCCACCCTCGTTCATTGGTGCTCTGACGGGGTCGAGCTCATAGGCTCCTGAGATCTGGTTAGTTCGGTGTTATGACAATCGGGTGAAAGGTCTTACCAGCGGCACCTCCTGCATTCCCTTGGATCTTCCAACTCGTGAAGGTACCTCCCTTGAGCGTTGCTCCAAGAAGGCCGCGAGGGTTCTCCACGCCATCAGCAGTCGAGGTCTCATCGTGGCCGGTATAATCGATCTGAGGGGGTGTTAATAGAATGGCATCGGTGAAAGGCTTGAGTGCGACTTACCACGACTGTGAGAAGATTGTTCGTCTCCTTCAAGGTTTGATTGGAAAAGCCAAGGTCCGCGGTGGAGGATGTCTCGGAAGCATCGCCTTCAAATGTGGCAACGAGATCACCGTTTAGCCAGACGTTCCAACCAAAGGCCACGCCTCCTTGCGCCGTCAGGTTCGCACCCGTCACGTTAGTACCGTCGAACCGACCGCGATAGATCTTGATTCCGGTGTAGTAGCTATAGTCGGATGCGAACAAAACTGGCAGACTCAGTGGATCGACTGGGCTCAACGTGGTCGTCTTGTTGCACACCGTCCATTTGGAGTCGTCATAGGAAGACTGAAGCTCTGGCAGGGAGTCGCGAACTTTCCATCCAGTCAGAGTGGGAAGGTCAATTGTGCTATCAGCGCCACTAATCGACCCGACCAGGCTGCCGTATTCAGTCTTGTTTACGGCAACCTCCTTGCCGTTCCAGGTTACTGCAGTCGCGGAGGAACCAGCGAACACTTCCACTATCGTGGCATTATCGTTATCGCCTATTAGCTCCACAACGCCCCCTGATAGACTGGCGCTGCGTACTAGGTACGGCCCAAGCACAAATATTTGCTGCTCCGCTGTGACATAGGGATCTGTCGTGGTCGGGGCTGCCCAGAATCGGAACGCAGTCTCTGTTTCCAGGAGATAGAAGATGGCTCCGTTGGAGAACTTGACTACGCTGGTACCACTACCTTGCGTATACGTGTATGTGGTAGTCCGATTTCCAGAATTGCTGGTCAAGTTCACCGGAACGCCGTATTCCTCGAAGGTCAACTTGGTGGCGTTCTTGAATGCGAAAGAGGCAGTCTGTCCGACGCGCGCATAGAGCACCACAACGTCCGTGTCTCCAAAGGTTCCGTATGTTGCGATATCAGTGGAGACATATAGAAGCGTGCTGTGTCCGAGTGGGTAATCCGTTGTTATTATCTTACTCTGGCGGCCTTCCAAGTTGATGTTCGGCAGGGTAAAAGCCCCAGCAGAAGTAGTGACGTCCAAGGAGAACGTGAGATCTGTCTGGGAAGAGGTGGTGGCTTGTTGGACGACATAAAAGCCAGCAGTCGTGTTGGGGTTTCGCAGCACCCACGTGTATGCCGATGTGGTCGATGTGTAAGAGGTACCATTGCCCTCCATTTCCACACCCAGGAGACCAGATGATACCCGCGTGAACAGGCCAATGAGTTTCGTCTGGCTCAGCTTGTCCCTAATCTGCCTGGTCTCACTGAGAGGGGCGCTGTAATCGTCTGCGACCGGTAAGCGTGGCTCCATATGCGGAATGCGATGAAGACCTACATGATGTGTACACAACGGGTGCTGCCAAGTGACCCCAGTTTGTGCCCCCGTACAGCATATACAGGTTCTGGAGTGTTACTCGCTGACCAATGTTGTTCTTGTAGTATAGATCCGCAAACTGTGGGCTCAGCTCACTCGTGCATTGGTCATAGAAAGCGTCGGCACCCCAAGGAGAATACCAACCACCTTCGAACTCGGGAAAGTACTCGGGCTGAGTGAAGCTGGTGTTCTGGAACCATTGATAATAGTTCCGGACGACGGTGAATCCTGTGGAAGGATTGGTACAACTGGTGCCTCCGGGATACGAGTCAAGACCATAGACATTGACTGCGCCACCAACATCTTCATAGTCCGTGGACCAACTTCGAGAACGCTGGCCTTTCTCATTGCTGCTGAAGGGAACATCCACGCCGACAGCTCGGAATGCTTCCTCAATCTGCTCCATATACTCGACCAAGGTATTGGTCGCAGAATGGGTTGTCTCCTGAAGCTCATTTTCAATTTGATTGAGGATGACCGGACCACCGTTGGTAATGGAATTGGCCGCGATAATTTTGCCAATATGTTCGATCCAAGGGGCCCACGCCTGGTGGTATGTCGCGTCACTGGTTCGCAACTTGCCACCACTTCCGTCGCTCAAGTACAGAGCAAGACCACCTCCATTGAACTCGGCGTTGCAGTATGGTCCGGCACTAGTCAGGTTAGTTATATCCAACGCAAGACATTGGGGAAAGGTCTAACCGTGCGATGATATAGATTCCGGCGTCTTTCGCATAGTCAAACAAGCGCTGAATATTGTGCGCGCCTGTCTCGAAGTCATACGTTCCGTTAATTGGGGAGTGATAATCCCAGAAGAAATACAAACTATATGGTTGCGATATCAGCAATCACGTCATTAATCACTGAAGAGTGTTGAGAAAAGCGGGTCTGACCTAGCAGCGTTCAAACCATGGGCGCGCATCTTCTGAAAAACATCCAACCACATTTCTGGAACCGGCAATCTGGGATAGTGAAATTCTCCGGAGTACACAAACAAGCGATTTCCATTGACAGTCAAACTATAGGGGTCCCAGGCAACCAGATCGGTGAGACCATCTGTGGTCGCCCGGATCTGGGCGACAAAAATCGCCCAGCATGACAGCAGAAACTGCAACTTCATTGTGGAAGAAGGCTGTTGGAACAGGCGCAATGCCCGAGCACTTGAGCCATCTTCCCACTTTTATATATGCGATTACACTGCCAAGTTCGCAAGAGCAACGTCCGTTCGCCTAATTCCCCACCATTTCCACGCGAGGAACCATGAACAGGATACGGAGAATGGCGCGCATGGTTCATTGCAGAATTGCACGCATATGCAGGTGCAATCACGACAGTGCCCCTGACTGAGGTCCATACGCCGGGGGATTGGTGGAAGAAAAAGATTAATGGCACCATCGGGCAATTTCACCCCGATCCTGGTCACGTCAGGAGACCAGCCATGTCCGGTGGGATTGCGGGGTAATCTAGGGGTGCAGAATGCCAGCTTGGGTCCGCTGCGCATACATACTTTGCCTATGTCTGTTGTATGTGATTAGGCAATCAGGGGAGTAAGCACCAAGTGTTCGTGAGAGCCGGATTTTACCTTTCTTCAAAATTTGGTTCCCCGCGGTGTCCGTCAAGCTTTCTGCGGGAAACTATACGAAATCGGCTATTACCTACTACTCTATAAGACATGTATACTGCCCTCTGATGCCACCCGGTCGCAAATATTGTGTTAATGTGTTGTTCTTTAGGACAGAGGCAGTATGGTCCGCACTGAGCAGACATGAGGGCTTAGTAGACCGCCACGACACTTATGAAAGATCGCCAAGCAACAATCCATCTGCTCTCATGAGGGTTGAAAGAACTTCCAGTCAATCAACAAACCAAGGATTGGGTATAGATGAGGCCAAACGACAAGGCACGACTCCTGATGCTTTATGTACCCAAGGTGGAGTCCGGTAGACAGGCATATTGACATGGCATCCATGCGGCCTCGGAATGCAACGGACCAGACCATGACACCACTGGACTAAAGATAGCAGTGGATCCGAAAGTCGGTCAAAGTTTGCGCGGACCAACACCCCTTTTGGGACCAGCCTCGGCTCAACCTTATCGGCGCTTATCACTAATCGGCCCAACGCCCCACGGCAGGTTTTTCCGCTCCGCCTTTTCTTCGTTGCTTCTGGAATCCTAGCTTGCTCCTGATCCTTCACGCATATAATTTTCTTTCTTGCTGTATACATCTTTCCTTCGTTAATTTATCTAATTCCATGGAGGCCATTCGCTCGTTGGCGTGCTCCCTGTGGGGGTCCGTCACTTTCTGGAAAGCCGCCGCCATTTGCTTTGCCTTGCTCAACCTAAAGACTCTCCCCATTGTGTGGCATGTACGTGTGGCTTCCATGATGTCCATGGGATCAGATCAGCTAACGGCTTAGATCCGCGTTTATCGCTACTTCTTCAAACATGGCTACCTCATCACCCCCGCCGTCGAACAGCCCGCCCGCCCCTGCACCGAGGTTCTCGAGCCCGTTAGCATCTTCTCCCGCGCCCCCATCATGGAACTCGACTTCAACATGCACAAATCCAACTCGACCTACTTTTCCGATCTCGATGTCTCCCGTACCGCCCTCATGTCCAACATTGTCGTCAAGGGTGCCGCGCTCCTGGAAAAACGCCTGCACGCACAAGGAAAGAAAGGATTCCTGGGTTTCATTCTCGGCAGCGTCTACACCAGCTTCAAGCGCGAGATCCCGGCCTACACCAAGTACGAGGTCAAGTCGCATGTCGCCAGTTTCGATCAGAAGTGGATCTACATTGTCACCTATTTCCTGAAGCCGGGCAAGGGAAAGAAGGGCCAGGACGACCCCGAGGTTTTGAAGAAGCGTCTCTATGCTGTGTCTATTAGCAAGTATGTCCTCAAGAAGGGCCGCTACACGGTTCCTCCGAAGGATGTGTTCGAGGCTGCGGGATACACGCCTTTCCTGTTCGATACGGCGGAGAATGGACACGCGACTGGGGTTGAGAACGGACACGTCAATGGAGATGCTGTTCAGCGGAAGGAGGCTGCTTCTGATGTGCAGTCGGATGAGTGGGAGCGCTTGAAGGCGGAGATTGATCGGGGGTTGACTGTTGTGGAGCCGATCATTGCTCAGGAGGAGAAGCTTATGGAGGATTATGTTCACAAGATGAGCAAGCCTGGGTTTGCTTAGACGTAATGTGTAGTACGATAGACTTTTTCGGGAAGGATAGAATTATAGATTTGTTGAATAGATTTTTTTTTCCAGTCGGCCGCATCAGGAAGAAAACGCAGTCGTGTGATATCAACACAATCCCATCCAAGATTCGGCTCTAATAGGCAATATCAAAGGCAAAGCTCATGATGGTATCTCTTATCAATTGCAATGATTCCGTAAACTTGAGATGTGGGTTTTGTACCAGTGGCTAGTGGTGATAATATCCACCCTGTGGTTGCATTACTTGTCCAGATTTATTCATCTTTCTAGTCGCCACTATGATCTGGAAATATCTTTTGACATTACTTCTTTCTGAACACTCATGGACGATGTCGTCTTAGAATCAGATGAGCAGCAAAGGCCAGAGCGGAGAAAACAACAGCACCCGTCAAGAGATGACCACTTAGATTCTTGGGATTGATCTATGTTGTGGTTAGCAACTGATAGCATGTGTAACAATCGTTGACTCGTAGCTTACATCCTTGTCCCGTTCTAGCTCCGTTTTGCGAAATTGTTCTTCCTCATAGAAGACCTTAGTGTCCTCCCCCAGCTCGGCATAGTACTCCTGAAGCTGTTTAACTTTGGTCCTGACGAACTCCTCACGCGTCCTATGCATCTCAGGCGTCGCAGTAAAGTTGTACACTCTCTCCGCTATCGTTTCGCTCGAACCCCAGCAATACTCGTCAACGAGATCCCAATATATCATATCGACGGACGGGACCATCCGACATGCCAGGTTGAACCACGCGCTTCTATCCCGGATTGACTGGCGCATTCGCGCCGACAGTCTATCGTGTGAAGAGGGAATCCCCTGCTCTGCTTCCTTCTGTTCCAGACACTGCAGGAACACATCTGCCTTCGGTAAGTACTGGTCAAAGAAAGTATCGACTCCCGAATTATAAATAATCCTATGCGGTCGTTCGAGCAACAACCACCACGGGATACTGCCGGCGAATTGGGCGGGCGCTGCGTAGCAGAATTCCCAGTCAATCACACCGGTAATTTGGAAGGAATCATTTACCAAGACGTTCCCAGGACAGAGATCATCACCGAACAATTTAAAAGGACCGTGATTATCTTTCTCGGATAGAAAGCTCAACGCTATAGCTTTCATTAGATGACGACAAGCATATTTCTCGCGACAGTCCGTGGAATCGTAGATACTATTCCGCTGTTCCTGCAGATGCGTTGATTGTGACTCAAGCAAAGAGATAATATAATCCGCGGAGCTGGTATATGTTCTCGTGGGAGTCGAATCGACAAGCCCGCACGTCCGAACCAGTTCATTCATCGCCAGGGTTACTGGTCGTTCTGTGATGCGCGACTCGCCGGTGCCTTCATCCCGACCAAGACTACCAATACGATCAAAGTCGAGTTTCCACAACTCCAGCAGGATATGTGCCATTTGTCCGTACAACACCCTGAGCATATCCCCGTCGATATCAAGATCCAGAGCTTCATCTTTACCCGATGAAGCATCCTTTCGAAGTAACTCGGACATCTTCCTCCCCTCCACCCACGTCATGATGATATACGGACCCAGACCAGTGGGATTCTCATAGTCGGTCCCATACCCAATCACACGCGGCACGGGAATGGATGTATGGTCCGCGATGTATTTCATGAGAAGCGCCTCGCCATGAACCTTTTCATTCGGGAACATGGACTTCCCCGCGAGTGGAAATCGAATCAACCAGTCCTCGCCGCCGTCGTCCCAGTGAAGACGGAAGCTGAAATTGAAGGACCCGCTGTGCATGGATCGAAGATGGCAGTCATCGCGTTGCCGATACCGGTTGGCCAGGTCACAGATGCCCCTGCCAGATTGGGAGCACCGATTCACCCATTCTTTCTTCAATCCTTCGAACCGGGACAGTGCGATATCGTCGAAATCCATCGGTTGGATGGTTTCAGTGCACCCGAGAAGGCGGATTGCCGAGGAGTATGGATAGCTGGAGGAAATGCTTCCCCAATGCTTGATGTTTGGGCCCGGCGGGTCAGCTGAGATCACCGTCGGTGCCTCGAGTCTAGCCTATTACGGCTACAGGCCGCAAGGCCCACCAGGGAAGCAACCAATCATGGCTATCTACAATACGGTGGAGAAAAACAATCCCGAGTCACGGTATCTACCCCGTACTGGGAGGTAGTGTGAATCCCACTTTCCGTAACTGATGATGGATTTGATGAAAACGACGACAGTATCGTGTTGCAAGATACTGAAGAAGTGATAAAGTGATGGGAATGGTAGAATGAAGGGAAAGGTGGGAGTGGTCTGATCCCCTAAGGAATCGCCGGTCGCGCATCCGAAACAGGCAGGCGCGCCTCCCACCCGAAACGGGCAACCGCCCCTACAGTAGTAGTATTGAATACCATGACCTTACGCTATGATAGCACTAGCACTCTTCAAAACACTCATCCTCCAACCTTTTCTGGCTATACTGAACCCCCGCGATGCGTTATCTACCCCCGCACATACAGCATCATGAACGCTCCTCTCCTCAGAAAGACCTCTGACCACTCACTCACTCAAGCACAGTCGAGCAAAGACAGGTCCATCTAGATATATCCAACCGCGTAAGCTTCCACTCCTTCAGAGACATGGTCAAAGAGAACTTACCCGAAAAGTACCATATCTATCTCCGTCCCTTACTTCCTCCCCGCACCCTTTCTTCGTTGTTCCCGTTCCCGCTGGGACGACCGACCAGCCTCAGTCAGTAAAGTGATATTGGTTTGATCGGTCAGAGCCTCCGTCAAGGCCGCGCGGTCTTCTGGACTGATGGTTTTGGGTGCGTTATCGGTTCCTTCTAAATCTTTCAAGCTGGAATCCCGGTTGGGGTCCGGATTTGGTTGTGAGTTTAGGCTCATCTTGGGAAATATCTCCAGATTTTATTTTTGTCTGTTGGTTTTCAGTAAGTTGATATTGGGATATTGGAAGGAACAGTAGCAGATACCGCTGGGCTGCTGTCTTCGGGAAGATCAGGCTATCGTGCGGGGTAGATGTTTACAGTGGAGTCTGTCATTCTTTAGTTGAAACCAATCCCAGCATGGACATGTGACTAGAGAGAGCTTGCTTTTGTATTTTTGCTCCTGCTTTTTCATTTGTTCATTTGTTCCTTTTTTTTTTAAGGAAAAGTAATGGGAGTGTTCTGTATATTAGGAACCATTATCAGAATACCTGGGCTATACCGCGACACATCTGTCCTAGGATTTGATGTCATTATAACGTCCACAGGAGTATTTGAGATAGACCTTAACATACTCCCTTGGGATTCGGATGTATCAAGCTCGCATAGTCTATAAGAAGAAACTTCACATCTCTTGAATATATCGTATCATCTGACCAGACATAATTCCAAAATAAATACTAGATAACATATGCCCTTGAGAAAACAGCAACAGGGGGCACTCACACACAATCTACCAGTCAACAAACACAAGTAATTTATCACAAAGGTCTACAATTCAAGAGCATGAACCAACATATTACCTTCCATTACGAACAACTACCCCTAATCACTACCCTGAGTATTAATTACCACAACATTACCCCCTTCCCTTCCCCTTCAAGTACAAACTACCCTCTATTACCACCTCATCTCTCACCCATCCCATCCTAATTAATACAATCACTTCTCCTTCTCCCCATGCCCCGCCGTTCCCTCCGCCAATTCCTCCGCATGTTCATAAAACCTCGGCAACGGCTCCAACTTCTGCCGTAGCACCCACACCCTGAAATGCCACCATGCGTTCTTGAGCTGATAGGAGGCGTGTTTGCGTGTCGAAACGGAGAAGACCTGGTCGAGTTCTTCGAGGGTGAGTTCTACTCTTTGTCAGCTAGGCCATTCTATACATACCTGTGGGAGAATCGAACAGCAAAGAAAGCAATAACGGAAGTGATTGGAAGGAAGGAATCTTACCCTTCGTCTCCGGCACAAACAACAAGACCAAAAACCACCCAATCACACACCACGCCGCATACCACCCAAATGCACCCTGGGGCTTAAATGCCCGAAGTAGCAGCGGCCACGTAAACGAAAGAATGAAATTAAAGCACCATGTTGTTGCTGTCGCCCACGACATACCTACCTCGCGGACTTGCAATGGGAATGCTTCCGCGGAGTAAGTAAATGGTACGGGTCCCTCACCCGGTGAATAGAATACCTCGAAGAGATACATGCCCGTTGTTACCATGGCCACTCGCTTCTTACTTGTGCTGTCGTCGGGATCGATCCAGAAGGAGAATCCACACCAGAGGAGACAGATGGCTAGGAAGGGGAAGGTGAATAGTAATAGGTTTCGACGTCCCCAGGTGTCAATTGTGAAGAATGCGGGAAGGGCGAATACCCAGTTTAGGATCCCTGTGCCCATTGATGCCAGGAGGGCTTGTTGCGTGCTGTATCCTGATTCTTGGAAGATTGTGGTCGAATAATAGGCTATCACATTCACCCCGCAGAACTGCTGGAGGAACATGACGATCCAGGAGGCCAGAGTGGCACGACGGTTGCGTGGGATGGTGAACAGTTCGAGGAACATGGTGAAGAAGTTCTTGCCCGTGTTGACTTTGCGTTCGAGTTCCACTTGGATGTATGCGTAGTAGAGGTCACGTGCGGCTTGGAGGTCGGAGGGACGAAGGGTTCGGAAGGATTTGAATGCTTTGTTGATTTTGTTGTGTTGGATTAGCCAGCGAGGGGATTCGGGGCAGAAGTAGACTTGGGCGCAGACTATGAGCGGGAGGACGACGGTGGAGCCGAGCATGAGCCGCCAGGAGAGGTCATCGGAGAGGCCCATGAAGGCGACGCCCATGATATTGCCGAGCATGATGCCGAAGGCTGTCCACATTTGCCACATCATGACGAGGGCGCCGCGGATTGGGGCCGGGGAGCATTCGGCCGCGTAGACGGGGACGGTGGACGATTTGGATCCGATGCCGAGGCCGAGCACGAAGCGGGCGATGAATAGGTTCACCCAGGAGTTGGCGACACCTTCCCAGATGGAGGCTACCGCGGCGATGAAGCAGGAGAGGAAGATGGTGCCGCGCCGGGCGAGGTAGCGATTCATGGGCTCGGTGAGCCAGCACCCGACGATTGCGCATGCGAGGTAGGGCGCGCCAACGATGAGTCCGGTCAGGTAGTCTTGCATTTTCGCGGAGAAGCGGGGAGAGGTGATTCCGAGTTGCTGGTAGGGTTAGTTGAGTAGGTTGAGGGGAAGGGGGAGGGTTACCTTGAGGTAGATGGCTTGGGCACCGTTGTTGACTGTCTCGTCCATTCCCTGCACGGCGGCGGCAAGAGAGCACATGGCTAATGGATCATCAGTATAAGATGGTGGGATTATGATGGGGTGATGGGGACTCACCGGCCATAAAGTAAAGCTGCCAGGGCTGTGACCATTTATGAGTCTGTTCCCGCCGGATGATCTCCTTGTCCTCATCAGTCAGGTCAGGGAGGTCCAAAGCGGCCTTTGGATTCTGCGATATCAGAGCACCCTTTCGGAAATCGTCCAAGTGGTCTTCAAGACCGTACTGACGACAGAAGCTCTCCACGTCGGTGAGCAGTTGCTCCCGCGGGATACCTGCCAGAGGGTTCTCAAACACAGCATTGAGACCACCCGACCGGCCTTCGATATCAAAGACATTGTGTCGCTGAGGAGGCTTTTCCGCGTGCTCGACGCTGGCAGGGCTTTCGGCCTTATTGACAGCCTTTTCTGTGATCTCTCCGGTATCCATGATGTACCGGACAGATTAGTCCTGGTAGATGACGTGCGGAGACTATTATCTCAAAGCAAAACGAGGGAGCTCAGGTTATGGAGAGAAAGCGAAAGGCCGACACCCTAAACTTTCTGCGCAAATGTGGCTTGGAGGCCAACAAAAACATAATTCAGCCGCAAGACTCTAGATTCGGCGGATTGACGAGCAGTTTTCACCATCGGGGAGCAAACCCCGGGGTGGGAGGATCCCCAGCTTTTATCGAATTTCGCGGGGAGCCTGGTCATCTGCAGTGGATCCTGTCCATGCAATAGTGATAGGACGGGATTTCGCCGACGCGCATGGGACAGAGTTCGATGGGCATGGTGAATCCTCGATGCGGCATATACCGACCGCTACGCGTGCCAGCCGCGTCTGGTTGGATTGAAAATGCTTCGACCACCCGGCTCCGTTACATCCTGGTCGGCGCGGGCACACCGCGCTCGATGGGATTGGTTGCGTGAGACCAGGATGGCCTTCCATGCGTCATTTGAGGATGGATTGGGGGATGGCCGCCAGGAGGGGTTGGGTAAGCACCGAGGCTGGGCGCGGTCGGGCGCTATGGGCCGGACGGAGATGGAGATGGATATGAGACGGAGACATGGTCAACCATGGATGGAGCCAGTGGGCAGCGACTGAGAGGCTCGAGGGCAGATCCCCAGCTGGGGAACCCCGTGGGGATTGGTAGAAGTCTCCAGATGACAGAGAGACACAGCAATGGTTAGACCACGAGACGGCCGTGGGTCGAACCAACCCAATCGCTGTGTTTATGACGGGCCAGGATTGAGTTGGATCCCACGCTATGGAAGGCTAACGTGAGCCGACCGGGTTTAGCGATGTTAGTGAAGTTAGATTCTGGGGGATTTCGTGGGGGAAATTGGGGGAATCGGGGAAATTGGGGCTGGATGCCCCAATACGGTGGGGAAACGCCTGAGGCCACCCAGAGGGCCACGTGATCCCTGTTGGTGGCGCCGTCGACTGCCCTAATCCGCCGCAAGGAGGTGACGTTATAGGATGGAAATGAGTGAATAGCCGTCTTGGAGAACGGGTTATTGGTTGCTTATGTCGCATTGGCTCCCTTGGCAGCCTCCCGTCTGAAGGAGGGGACGTAGGTGGCGGCCGATCTATCCGACGTGGCGCACCGTCCAAAGCTTGCAACCGGTCTGGGAGCTTGCAGATGACCGCGCCCAGCCCGGCGGTCCAATCGCGGGGGTGTCCGTCAGCCGTGCTGGATCAAACACAAACCCTCGTCGGGGTTGTCTAACCCGGAGCTCAGGTGCAGGTCTGAAAGGCTCTCATCCTCCATCACATGGAAATGAATCTCGCGCGGAAGCATTAGTAAGGCTGAATGTAAACCTTCCCTGGTCTTGGCATGGCGGGGTGAGCCGGCAGGAGATACATGTGTAGTGAGACAGGGCGCCTAACATGGCATCATATGAGTCAGAATGGAATTGCAAGTGAGGACGGAATAAGCAGCAAACCCAAATCCAAGCGAACAAAGGGATGGGCCTTACAACCTGGCAGTTGTTTCAGTTCTGCAGTGTAAGATCCAAGAGCCAGTTTCCCATGTTGGGCTCACAACGTTTGGAAAATAGGCTACAAGCATAACTCGAAGGCCGGTTACAAATCCGGTGGGATCTATTGGCCAAGGTGCTGTCAAGTGCCGCTCGATTTCCAACTTCCGCGTGGGAATTTCAGGTCCTTGGATAGAGTGGAAACCACTCGGCCAGAATGTTCCATTGTAGCTCAGGTGTCTGAGGAAAGGCAGATTTAAAACTATACCAGGGAAAATCATGAAGAAGCGAGTCCTTTGTTCTGTCGTGTGGCGCTCAACAGTTATAGACACGACCTAGACGGGTTACATATTATGATGGTGAGACTGAAGCCTATAGCCATACAGAGCACGGGGTAAGGCGACCTGGAATAAGCAATTTCAGTTGTAAGCCACCGTAAACTTTACCTTGCGAGATCTTCCCAACTGGCAACAGCCACTCCCGGAGGTCAGACCGTTTCTCGCGGCGCTAAGAACATGGCGTGTCAGCAGAACGCCTTCTTCCATTAGAGAGTTTGAATGGGTATTATCCCCTGGGCTTATTCCTCTTATTCTGGATCGGATGCAATGCAATCGCCTCGGTCGCCTTCTTCGGAAACTTCATTGTTGGGAAGGAATTCACTATAGGTAGTATTTCATTACATTCCTCTGTAAGAATTCGAAATTTCGGCGACGCTGTAGGGTTCGAGGCTCGTGTTATCAGGGTATTGAGACCCATCATATGAGACTCTGACATCTCTATCTTCTGGGCGAGAGCAGATAGCTTGCACATCACGTCCACAATTTTAGGCAGCAGTTTCATTGTGTGTAAGGAAGCTAAATCATGCGACAGGTTCAAAACAAGATATCGCAGTATCTTGTTTCATATAGTGGCTGATACCAGCCTAGGAATGGGCACAACGTCGCGGAACGTTCTTTGGTTACGAACGATGTGGTTGTAACAGCTTGTTTGCAGCTTAGCTCCTGGAAGTCTACTTCTCATTACTATCGGTATAACTCCGAACCAGCTCATGGTTGAGAAGGTGTCGGTTTTGGTAATAGTTGCGGCAAAAACAGTCTTTATCATTGCCACTGGAGAGTATGATCTCGAGCCATTGTTCAATGATTATGCGTGAAGTTGATCAATGATATATCACTCGTCTGACATGTCGCAGAAGTTCGAGACACGTCCGTCATGGTGTCATTTAGCAGCTTGGGAGTGTACTTGGACGGGTTGTAGGCGAATGAGAATGTCAATCTGCAGATTTTCGTTCCTCGCAAAGATGCATTTCCACGTGCTGTGTGGAGTCAAACACATCTGAAGGGGGAAACGTCGGTGTGGACGCACTAACCTTATGATCGACATATATAGCATCAGGATGACTGGGTTGTTGTTATATTCGCGAATTACCTGCTGATACCTTGTGGACCCAACACACGACTTTTGGGAAATGGCCCTCATTGATGGGATTTATTTCCGAGAACTCAAGGCAGGGCAAGGATCTGACTCGGCAAGTAACTAGACATTGTCTGGGGTGCTTTGCCTAGCTAATTTGATGCAGGATCTTGGTAGACCTGCAATGTGGCGTCGGAAACCCTGGAACTAGTCCGATATGACGTTTGGCTTATACTCCACAGAAATGCAATTGTTGCTAAATCGAGGTATCGTGTGCTTCCTAGTATAGAAAGTACCGAAGAACGTGGAATATACTTATAAGCGATGGGTCCATACCCAGGCCGACTATGAGTCCACATATTCGTTGAACAAAACTCGTCATCTCGATAATCATGGCTGCTCCCCAATTCTGGCTATACGCCCAATCCCGACTCAATGATCCCACTGTCAAAGACGAGACATTCAGGAAATGGTATCAAGAGTACCATCTCCCCGACGTCCTTCGAACAGGGTCCGTATCCAGAGGAGAATTCTATCAGGCTATCCACCCGGACAAGCAATATCGCTGGCTTGCAGCTTACCGGTGCGATGATTTAGACTTTATGCAGCCAGAGAGCTTGGCCAAAATTCCCAAGACACATACCTCCCTTGGAACAACCAAGTCGTGTATGGAGATTGCCGAGTTCGACACCCGATTGTTCCAGCAAAGTTTCGTGTTGAAGAACGGCGAGGGCAACGAAAACGGGATAACAGGTATGTTAAATCTTTGAATCGCAGGGAAATATCTGACCTGATGGCGATTTAAGGACCCGATCGGTATCTCCTGACCTGCTCCTTCCACTGTGGTAGCGATGATTACAAGGAGTTGGAACGACAATGTGTCGACGGCGACATCCTCCATGCGATTCCTGGGTCACGATGGCTGAAGATCTCCCGGCCGTTGGAGGATGAGGACACATATTTGGGTTCAATGATTGTGCAGGGGCTGGATGAGGTTGACGAGGAGGATTTGGGGCATTTGGAAGAAGACTGGAGGTCTCATTTGGCGCAGACCTTGGGATTGCAGAGGCAATTTCTGCAACCTCATTTGTGGGAACTCCTGAAGAGTCATGACACAGATGACAGCTGGAGTTCTGAATAGACGTGTAATTAGATTGAGTCTAAATCAGAGCTGATGTAGAATATCCAGATTCGTGTTATATGAACCCTGTCTGCAACGCACCTTCCCTCCAGCGAAAGTCAATAAACAGAAAGGTGAATGCATAAGGCATGTCGGCATAACAGTGACTCAGCATGCATATGTTGCATCTGCACCAGACTTTCTTTCCCTTTCGCTCTCAGTTTCTCTCAAGATTCGATCCTCTCAAGCATCTCATCTCTGATGTTCATAACCTTCGAAGCTATCGGTCTATTTATATCGCTCACCGCGTATCACAAGCTATTTGCTCGGATCTTCCAGACTGTCTCATGACTGGATCCGAGCAGATTTCTGGTCATTATAAGGCAGCCCTGTGCACAGTTTCAACCGGCTTTTGACCGATGCAAACCACCTTGATGGCTGTGTGTGCAGCACCAGCTGAGGTCTCCAATGATCCTTGGTGAACCAGTTGAAAGAGCTTTCTGGCTGCCTCGACCTCTCCCTTGGAGGCCAGCGTCCGGGCGGTTTCTTCACATGTCATTATGAACACCTCGCCCTCGGCCCTGAAATACTCCTGGAGAGGCCTGTAATGAGTGATTTGTGTCTTCGTCAGGCCCTCTTTCTCGAAACTGTCCGGGAGCTGCTCAACCCAGTCCTGGCGACCGTTGGCCTCCCAGAACCAACCAAGGGACTCCAACGCTTTGGTTTTCAATCCTGGCCTGGCTGTAACTATTTGCCTTCCAACCAAGCTCAACTCATCCCACTGAATCCATCCTCCGGGTTTCAACAACCGGGTGACCTTGCGAATGGTCGGCGACGGGTCCCCGTTTTCGACCACAATGAAGAGCAATCGCAGATGCACTACATCGAACTTCCCTACTAGGTCTGCATGAACCTCATCATTCATGTTCCATTCTCGCAGAGTGATGTTGGCCGGAAGCCACTCGGCTGCAGGTGCCTTCTCGAGGGTCATATCCAGTCCGTCCAGGGTGGCATTGGGAAGCTCTCTCGCCAGGTCCAACAGCCAGATAGCCGTGCCAGTGGCCACATCGGCGATGCGTGGACTCGGCGACTGCAGGGCCTTTGCGATCGTGGGATGGATATTGAAACCGAATGTTTCTTTCCAGAAGTAAAACAGACCATTCAGCCGGAACGCTGCAGCACTTCCATGGTCAAGACTGTAACCCAGGCTGTCCGCAATATGAAAGTCGAACTCGGAAGGAGATGGAACCATCGTGGGCATCTGAGATCCTGCAAAATAAAGTGGGAGATGAGCTGGATAGCTGGATAGTTCGCGCGGGGTTTTGTCGCTCGCCGATCACCAGCATCTCGGCCCAATATTAGGCGACGAGGGCCACTAATGCGCATTCTCAATAGATTGGCGGCCACCTCGGATGAGACTGGCGCCCTCTGAAGAGTTCACCACCTGTGAGGCGTTTAGCAGGGTCTGTCACCCTGGTCAAAGTTCTTCATGGCACCCCACCAATCAGACAAGGGATCAATCATCTGCAGTTGCGTATTAATAATCTCCTAGCTGCCCCAAGCGTGTCATCCCTTGAATTCTTTCTCTGGATACGTGCAGCGCGCGGATAGTATGCGAATACACGAGTCATCATGGTGGCTAAAGCTTCCGCCCCAAAATTTCACTGGTTCTGACATGGAGACCTTGCATGGAGTGTGTCCACTGTCCGTCCCAAATAAGGCCCCCCTCGATTGGGTGTTGTGTGTTCTTACCACTACAATCCGAAAGCCATGGGAGCCCGGAACGTTGTTGGTTCTGGCCTGAATCCAGTGGGAGGATTCATCGTGCGCCTCAGTTACTTACCGGATGAAGCGTTGCAAGACTGGACTGCATTAGATCTCGGGGTCTGTGCAAGGACGGAACAAAATCAGGTCCCGATGCGGAGACACAACCCTGATGACGAATGACGGGCGCGTCATCGGCTCAAAATACCGTCCTAATATATCCACAAATGGTTGTCCAGCGATTTCGGCAGATGGGATGACTAAGCGGCAGCTCCACGCAGCAATCATTGCCGTTTTGGGAATAAAAGAAGCTATACACGACTTCTACGACAGCCTCTTGGCTCAAACACAATGCATCGGCTAGCACTGCTCGGAGAAGCCGATTCATAGTCAATTATCCTAATACCTGTAGGCATTAGCACAACATCGCCAGTATAAGGACACACCCCGATTCAGTTCGAAAGACTCATAGGCACCGGCAAAACCTGCGTATCCCAAGGACGAAGGCCCCGTGCTTCCTCACCGAAGGCTTACGAGTCCTGGTACAGATATAGTACTTAGCTTAGGGCCTAACCTAGATCACGGCCTTGGCCTGACAGATGAAACCCCTAACCCACCAGACAGAACTGGCGGAAGCACAGCCAAGCCCTTAAAGTACCCCGGACCTACGGACGCTGGCCGGATCCCTGATCTGATAACGTCAGAGAATCCATGTGTACTAATTCGAATGATTTGATTCGCGCCGAGTGTCGATCACCTCCGCCCAGGGTCGCTTTCCCTGGGCTTCCATCCTCCGCTGCGGATCCACGTACGCGGCGCCAAGACCCTGCTCTTGGCCGGCCAGCATTCGACGGGTTCTGTTAGGGCTTTGGATTGCTACCAACTTCCGCCAGAGTCCGCGATGACGAGTCCCTGGCTAGCCGATACACCACACTTCGTTGACTGGAACGAGTCCGGCTGAGATGGTAGACGGCAGCCAGGCGAGATGGGACTGGATGACGCGGCTATAGAGGATGCCTCAACATCTCGAGGATATAAACCAGCAGCACGCCGCGGTTGAGAGGCATCAACTCACAGATCTATCGGTTTAATCATCTCACCATGCATTTCTCCAAGCTTCTCACCCTTACCGCGGCCACTCTGGCTTTCGCCCACCCTGGCGAGAAGCACGATCACGATGCCGTGAAGCGGGAGATTCACCTTCGCGATGCCCTGGCTGCCCGGGCCAAGCAAGGTGTTGATGCTTGCTCCAATACCCAGCAGGCCAAGCAGGTTCAGCAGCGCACCATCTCCCGTCGGGCCAACACTGCTCGCGAGCTGCGCTCCAAGAGGGGCATCACTGCTGGTAAGTGACCAACCATTAGATTGTTACATATCTAACAGGACCAGCTTCCCACAAGTGGCGCCGTAATCTTGCTGCTCTGGAGAAATGGGAAGCCATCAACCACAACAAGACTGGCCTGGTTGACTTCTCTCCCGCAACCTCCGAGGCAGACATCTTCGGTGCCAACACGAGCTCCATTTTGACACCCACTATTACCGACGGCCCTTACTATGTCTGGGGTGAAGTGATCCGCCAGAACGTTGTCGAAGAGGAGTACTGTGATGGTGTCAATGTCTTCCTCGAGGTGCAGTACATTGACGTCAACACCTGTCTCCCTGTCCAGGGTGCCTTGGTTGACATCTGGAACGCCAACGCCACCGGTGTCTACAGGTATGTTCTTCCCCAATGTCATTTTTTCATCAGCTAAGTATGTAGTGGTATCTCTACCAGCGGCAACTACGCCGCCGATGGCTGGGACTCGACCTACCTCCGTGGTATCCAGGAAACCGACGAGGACGGAGTTGTCACTTTCTCGACCATCTTCCCCGGTCACTATGACGGTCGTGCCACCCACACCCATCTCCTGACTCACCTCAACTCGACCATCAACCGCAACAACGGCACTCTCGAAGTGGGCACCGGCAGCGTCGCCCACATCGGCCAGCTGTTCTGGAACGAAGTCCTTCGGACTGCCGTGGAGAACACCTACCCCTACACCACCAACACCCAGGATGTGACCAGCAACGCCGATGATATGTGGAGTGTCCTGCAGGCCTCCAGCAACTATGATCCTTTCCCGGAGTTCCTGTACCTCGGCGACCGTATCGAGGACGGCTTGTTCGCCTGGATCCAGATCGGCATCAACACTACTGCTGACTACACCGACAACTCCTACTACAGCATTGCTGCTTACTACGATGAGAACGGTGGCCACGAGAACTCCGACAGTGCGGCCATGGGTGGTGGCGGTGGCTCTGGCGGTGCGCCTTCGGGTGCCATGTCCTCTGGCGCTGCTCCCACTGGTGCTATGCCCTCTGCCAGTGCTAGTGCCTAGTTTGATTCATTGCGGTGAGAGTGGGTGTATGCTTTGAGAAACATTCTTGTTATGTATGTATTAGATCGCTAGACAGTCGCCATAACCATTCTTGTATCATCCCAAAATCAATACCACGGTAACCAGTCCGAAATACAATCACGGTAGACCCATCCAACCCAGAAATAAAATACCATTTCGTGCTCAAATTATTCTTGCCATGGCCCACCCATTTTGGTTTACGGATTATGACTGACATTTATTTCGACCTTAGTAAGATTTCCATAGAAGGGTAATCGTCTGACAGATAGACAGATCCGATTACCCGATACCAACAGTCGACCTTTTAATTACCCGTCGTGTTCAAATGAAGGCTGCCTAACTGCATCCCCCATCTGACTTGTGAGACACCAGTCCGAGGTCCACACCACACCTATCCAATCAGTGGCATGCCACTGGCATGGCTGTTGAAGCCACGTATGCTAAGCTTTTGTACTATTGACTAGCCAAAGCTTGGATGGGAAGCTATTATCCAGGATATCCAGGATTTGGACCGGAAGGCTGAAATGATTCCGGGTCAGCTGCGGAGACGAAATTAGAAGCCAGGGCTTGTGTTTTCTGAGACAGCTTACGTTTGTTCCTACATTAGAAAATTCCCATCTGTTAACATGACAAAGGGGGGATAGTGAAATCGGAACATGGATCGATCTTTCTGTCCTCTGCAGCGATGCGAAAAACCTCCGGGGTGGGGCTACCAGCTAAAAAATCCCTCATGGTTTCGCTCCACCTTCAGCCCTATCGTGAGGGGAATTTATCCCTGTGCCGTCATCCAAGCTAGGAAGGTCATGCGCATTTTCCAGCCACATGATACGTTCCTCGGCTGGGAAATGATAACAAGCCTTGGGGTCTTCGGAGTCCGTCGCGGAGTAGGGATCCACTAGAGCGTCTTTCCAAGGTGCGTCGGATGTCTTTGGTCATCATAAAGCTTGTCTTGCTTCTAGATTGCTTGTATATTAGATGCATATGTTGAACATGAGGAAGTAGAGGTAGGCCATTCTCAAATTCAATTCCTGCCATGCAAATTAGTGCCATTGACTCGTAGTCTGCTTGAAACCCTCCCCATCGGATGATCGCCGTGCGTGGCTTTATCGCCCGTTTGCCACCAGGAATTGGAACTGAAATGGGCGGATTGCCGTGCCATGAGCTCATCGGTGCATGTCCAGATCCTTTAATAAATGAATGTCTCCGATTTTTGTACCGCAGCCAGGCGACTAATGCATCCATATCTATCCTCGCCATACATTGACTTTTCAGCTAACCAGCCAGAGTCGCAAAGTATGAGGCCCTTATTCTCTCGCAACATATGGGATTAACATCAGATAATCAGACTGGCAAGATGACACCTAAGGTACAAATTGAGATCAATCGCTTATTGGCACGAAATTCGGGATACACAAATACCACAGCTGCCAAGACCAACCCTATTATCACCGACGGCTATCTGGATGGAGATATCATCATTTCCATGGACAATCTGAAAGAAACCGTCGACCCTTCAACAGAATACCTAATGGAGGTTGCATTCGAGGGTACTACCCCCATACTCACCTCCCCAGTACACCAACACTAAATCCCATCCACAGGCAAACTATCCACATCCATCCATCTCAACGTCTCCACGCAACTCCTCCGAATGGCCAAAAACCTCATTGTGAGAAGGTCCACCATCCTCCTCTAAACCTCAGATCCCACGTTAATAGTTAAAACCCAGCTACTCCGAGCATCCGACATTCGCGAACTCTCCCAGCCCCATCCCCAACCAGACAACACAACCTTCATCCACCCCTTCCACTTCACCATCCCCAAACCGCCGACCCAACCTCCTCCTCCTGCTCCGAAACCGGCCTCCCCCTCCCCCCCTCCCTCTCCTTTAAACCAATCTCCGTTTACGACTCCAACGACCTCACTCTCCGCGGCCAATGTCGCATCCAATACGCCCTCAAAGCCCGCCTCTTCGATCAAAGCGAGTGTATCGCCGAAGATGAATTCCCAGTCACTTTTGCCCCGACTCATGAAGCTCCTCCGCCGATTTGTATCACGGACTTTCCTCGAGAATATACCCTGCAATCTTCTTATCTAGCTCGGGATCTCCTCTCCCGTCGGGATCTATACAATATAGAGATCGAAACCGAAGAACCTCCCCCGTTGTGTCTTAATCGTTTGAATACGGCATTTACCATCGTCCCTTTGAAATGGAGGTATAAGTGTCTGGCTCCGTCCAAACATCACCAGGTCAATAATCCGCCGGATTTATTCGCCACGGTGCGGACATCGCTTCACGCGACGACGTTTATCTCTGTTACTTCGCAGCCTCGAGTCCCGGTACAGGTCGAGGCCAATAAATTGAAGAATTTTCGGCTGCTGGGGAATACAATCAAGATTGATGGGACTACACAAGTCCGCAAATTGAGGATTGCGTCGTGGGAACCTGGATCAGATACTACGCATGATACCGGTATTTATTCCCACCTATGCTACAGTTTCGGACCTTGACTCTGAATCCTATACAGAATCCAAGCCAGAAACATGGGAATCAACCGCCCATCTCATCTTCACTTTTGACGAGAATAATTACGTCCCGCCTACATTTACTCATCCGTATGTTTCGAGGAGATATAGTTTGGTTATTGGGATTGAAGTGGATGGATCCCGGGATGGGAGCTTCCAGTTGAGGGTTCCGGTTCATGTATCGTATGATCGTGGACAGGGTGGTATGTTGTCGGTGTGTGAGGATGTTGGGGGACGGTTGGATGCGGGTATGGAGGATGGGGGTGATGATGGGGATGGGGATGTATGCTTGGGGTCGTGTATTCCGCCGCCGTATATGGCTTAGTAGATATGAGTTTGTGGAGTTGGGGTGTGTACGTATGAGAATGGTGTTAGGGCGTGGGATTTTTTGTCTTCTTGGGGAGGGTGAGATGGACACTGTAGGAAAATAAATTCAAAGGGCAATCAACAATTAATTAAATCGATATTCCATATCGCAAGCTAGGCAGGTAGGTAGGTAGGTAGTCCAAGTTGATTAAGATAGATGATATCTAGTCCTCTAGAAACTCTTTCAAGGAAATTTAATTTACAGTAGGTAGAGAAGGAAAGTATACCGATACACGAGTTTCAGTATCCTAATCCGGTATCCTGGAATCAATTGTTATGCCTGGGCTAGCTAGGGGATTAACCAACGATCGGAGATGGAATCACCCCATGAACAAACGATCAGGGGATATTTTCACCAATGCAATAATTCATCAATATTCTCCCCCAAAACAGACATCCCCTAGGTATCTACCATCCACTACCCCAATCCAACCCAGTCTACTCCGTACAGGGTACATAGTGACAAATGAGGCATTTATCGTATCTACCTACGGTAGGAGGTATGTATGGTATGTATGGTCCCGGATAACCGGCAACACTCCCCATCTCGGCAGAACCGAACCCGTACGACTCAGCCCTATGTTCGGTAGTGGGTCAGCCCTGTCGGATGAGTGTTGGGGGGTCAGAACGGGTAAGATTTACAAGTGGTTACTAGTTATGCTTTTCATTTTTCAGGGGGAGGGGTTTACTTTTTATGCTCGGTCGGAGGTTGGATTCTTGTTGGGTGATGGGCTTGAGTTTAGATAGGTGCATCGGAATGAGTAAATCTTGTGTCTTTCTTTGAGTTAACGAAATATATACAAAATCTCTGAATGGATTTTAATCAATGTACAACTTTTAAAATTCGACACGCCAAAGTCACAGTGCCCTGTGAGGTGGTGAGAGAATAAGTTGGTGGTAGTTGAGTACCGCGATGAAGAAATATGAGTGGGATTTTAGACAAGGAGTGTATAGCTCTTTATCTGATCATCTCACTTGTTTCCTCCAAATTCTTGCGCGATGTCTCCGGCAGCAGAAACATTCCCCACAAGAATCCCAAGAACGCGACCACGAAGAAAAACCAGAATGTGCCCTTCGGTTGGAGTGCATCGGCTAACATCATGGTCGGAACGGCCTGATTTATCAGCAACCGCAGGAAGAAGAGGGGTAGGTTCATACCTTGGTCAGGGCAAATCGATTAGCGTAGTGAATGCACATCAAAATACTCGTGCCGAGTGTCCGCACAGACGAGGGAAGCATCTCCGCGTTGATCAGATACTGCACCGAGTTCCAACCAAATGCATAGCCGATGCCCGTCACGTAAATTGAGGCGATCGCGGCAATGGCCGCGCGGTGGACATCCTCCGAGTGTGCGTCTGAACCCAGCGAGGACGTGACGGTAAGGTAAATAGCAACGTAGAGCAGAGCAAGCAGCTGCAATGTGATCCCAGCCATGAGCGACCGCTTGCGTCCGATCTGATCAATGAAGAAAAAGGCACATATTAGTGCCGCGGCGAGTTTCACGGCTCCGAAGATGGCGGTTTTCAGCAGCTTTTCGGATGTGCCGGTTACTCCGAGGAGAGAAAAGAATTTTGGCGCGTATGCTGTTTTTTATATAAGTGAATGTTCGGACAGAAGGGGGTGACTTACTGGTAATGGCATTCGTTCCTGACCATTGACTGAGTAGTTGCGCGGAAATTAAGAATAACAGTCGGGAGCGATTGGCGGCTTGACCGAAAAGAAGCTTCCATGGTTCCAGTAATGGCCATTTATCTTTGGCCTCATCGGCAGCGACCTGTTTTTGAATCACTTGGAGTTCGTCCATGATGCTGGGACTGTCCGAGGGGAGTCGGCGCAAGCGCCCCAGAGCCCGGGCGGCCTGGTCGGTGCGATGTGTTTTGCACAGGTATCGGGGGCTTTCGACACAGCCGAGAGAGAAGAGTAGCAGCACGCCGGATAGCATGATCTGGCAGGATTGGGGAACGATCCATTGCTGGTCGCTGTCGTTTGGCAGGTGGAGGGAGGCACCGTATCCAGCGAAGTACTATGGATGTCAGTGGCGAGCATCGATACCAGATTGATCAGATACTTACCCCGATTACAATCCCGATGTATTCGGAGGAGGCATAAATGCCGACCAGCAGCCCTCGCCAGGCCGTGGGTGCCACTTCCGCGAGGTAGATGGGACCGATAATACCCGCCTGGCCGATGCCTAAACCCATGATGAAGCGACCAGCAATGAGCTGGCCGGATTCTCCTGCTGAAGTGATGACAATGACCACACCGATAATCCAGAGCAAACACAATTGCCGCATTGTCCAGAGTGGACCGATCCAGTCACTGAACAGAAAGGCGAGCACGGCGGCAGGCAGACTCCCTAGGTGAACCATCGAGGTGATGTTCGATAATCGGTTCGCCTTTGCAGCAGCACTCAGGTCGCTGGCATGAAGGTCATACTCATGGACGAACGAGGGCAGGTTCACTGTAATAGCGATGAGGCCCTCGTCCAGTCCCTTGGCCGCTCCCAAGAGGCCAAAGCCGATGGCGGCGCAGATGATATGGCAAGCAGGGAATCCCATGTTGCTTGGCAATCAATTTTCTGCAGTATCGACCTGGCATACTGCTAAGATGTGGTGTGTGCGCCATGTCGGCACTTATCAATGCTTGGCTTGTGGAGACGGGAGACCTTGGGAGCATCAAGTCCTATGCTCAGTGGAGTTGTGGACTCGGTAGAATTCTTGCTGTGGGTTGCTTTGACGGTATATTAACCCCCAGGGTCCTCGGCCGGCTCCACTATAAGGCGGCCAGTCATCAGCAATCTGAATAATCCTTCCCGCTTAGACGGATGACCGGGACAGATAGAATACTGTATGATACTCGAGATGATAGTTATATGAAGGCTGGTGTGTAATCAAAATGAATACGTAAGACACGACGGTGTTCTGATACATTCTCTCCATCCGATCAGCTGCAGTAAAATTGCATATGTACTCAAAGCAAAAGACCGAGTGATATCAAAGTTATCTGGTTCGTCTATTAGTGATGGATATAGGGGTGAACTAAATATGGCCTGCTTACGGTGAAGCAGAGTAATTCCTCAACAACCTCGATAGAGCATTATATCACCATCTAATAGACGCAGACATTCCCTGTTCTCTCCATCTTACAGGGTAAATTATATACTGGTGAACTCTATACAAAAGACCGTAGTATGGAACGATTATTGCAAGCACCACGAAGAGCTGATAATCATTACTGGGCAGGGTTTCTGCTGAAACTTACTACTGGTGTAGTCTTTGGCTTATTCGACACCCTATTGCATTCCATAAGCACGAAATAACATGTTCAAATATTTTGGGGGGATCCACAGGGGTCCATGCTATGGGATGCAAAGCCTTAGGCAAGGCCTTCCATGCAAGACATTATTTCCCAGAAAGAGATAAATCAACTTACCACCTGCTAATTCCGAGGACGACCTTGCATTAATAGGCCACTCAATAGCGAATAATAGTATGAAACTGGCAGGGGGGGCTATCAGGTCACTGGGCGAAAATCTTTCTCGCTTTTCGTACTTCTTTGGTCACATTCGGTGCTATTGCTCCTGGATTTCTTCAAAGCATAGATGGTGGACATCACCGAACCAACAAGCCGGTGAGAAGATATTTTACTAAGAACACCAAAATTGCCGAGGCCCTCATAAGAGAATTATGGCTCTCGTTCTCATCCTGAAATTTATGATGGTCAACCACTGAAGATGAGGGAAGGTTCATGTATATATAAATGAGGGGCCACAACTGATAAAGGCCCAGTGAAGGATTTCCAGGTGGAAAAATCGCGAAAGTGCCCCATGCAACCCAGTAACAATTCAAAACTGCACACTCATCCACTACCTAGAATATCAACAGTCCCAACATGGTGTTATTCGACATTCCCAACTACCCAACCATATTTATACCTCGGCTCGGGATCGGTGAATATCATTTTCCGAGCTGATATTGTAATCGGTCAACTCTGTCTCATTGGACCTGAAGCGTGATTGCTGGATGGAAAATAAAAAAATAAAAGTAGGGGGAAAAAAGGAAAATAGGAAAAACCATGGTTCCAAGTGACTACTGCCCCATCTCCAACTCAAATTTTGAAAAGTTTGCGACAATTGTCATTTCTGCCGGCAGAACTAATTGTAGCTATCCACTTTCGGGATTTATTAGCTGAGCGATTCATGTGACCCTTTTAAACATCAATTAGGCTGCCTTATTTAACATCAAAAATTCTATAATCTTATGACCTCGGACACGAGGCTGTTGTTTGACTCAGCGATCTACAAGGGATTCAGCTGCCTGCTTTAGACGCTTCGACTTGCAGATGCGGTGAGTTAAGCGGTCAAGAGACGAGATCAGATGCCATCGGGGTATCCCGACTTCAGAACTCTGGGTCCATCTCCATAGGCTGTATTCGAGACAAAAAGAGTATCCTTCAATAAATCAGATAATCTCTGCTGAGCAGTCAAAATGCTCACACAGTCAACAAAGCTTCCGACAACCGAACAGCGACGTTCGCGCAGGAGTGCAGGAAGACCTCAGCTCAATGAACCCGGGCCGCAAAAATGTCCGAGGTATCGTCTACATGGAAATTGAGAGACTGCATCTGACGCGCACCAGACTCGAAGAAGCCAGATTCGCCGTGCTCAAAAGACCCATAGACAGAAAAAGGAAGCAAATGTTCAAAAAGCGCTGACCCGCGTGGCCGAACTCGAACATCGCATCAGCAGAATTGGAGATTTACTTCAAGCCTACAAAGTCACTCTTCAATCGACTCTAAAAGATACGTATCCCGAACTCGTTGAAGAGTTAGACAGTGTCCTGGCTTTTCTGCCTGCAGCGCCTGTTGAGGTGATGCGAGCATCTAGCTGCGATGGTCTCTCATCGAGGGAGACGGAGGCGTCCGTGCCGCGCCCGCTTGATCACAAACAATGTACAGACCCCCAAGCTATGGTCACTCAGCAACTTCCAATATCGGATGCATCCCCCCAAAACAATGTCACATGTTCCAGAGAAGCCGGGCAAAATAGCCCGCATCCAGCACCGGATCTGCACACGCACGTGGAAGTCCAAACGGTTTGTCGAACTATTGCAGCCCATGTTCCCTATTCATATTCGTATCTGGAAAGCTCTTTCACCCGAAGGCTGAAGCGATGCAGCCTGGAGCATGCCTTTCGAGTATTCATTGACCAGCACTCTAATCCGCTGGAAGTCTTCCGAATATTCCGACTTGTTCCCTGTTTCCGAGAAAGAGCCAAGATGTATCCCTACTTTGAGAAGCTGGTTACATCTTCGCTAGGGGATAGTCTTGAGATCTCAGCGCTACCTTTCTACTCGGTGGGGGGAGCGGGCACCCACTATCCGGTCCTGGATGAGGCGGGGAATCCTATCTATCCTCCGGGAGCGAGGGTGCCGCGGAGGATATTGGGTATTTTACCTATGTCTGACGCTTGTGAAGACCCACAATCTGTCGATCAGTCCCGGTCCCAGAGGCATCTCGAGCTTTGTGGATTCGGCGGCGAGTGGTTCGATTGTCGGGATGTGGAGGGGTATTTGAGAGCGAGAGGAGTAGATCTGGATGGGTCTAGTGTTTTTCCAGTTGTTTCTGGGGGTACATATGGCTGTTCGAATGAATTTCATGATATCAATAAGTCCCAGAGTGACCGTATAAGTCATGCTGGTAAGTCTTGCTCAAACATCAGGAAGAGTGCAGAATTGACTGCTACAGGATTCGATATATCCCCATCACTTCAATCCTCAGTTTACGTATTCGATCTTGAGTCTTTCGTAACAAGTGAGCCATCACTCACACCTGTTTCCAAAAACAATATTAACAAAATTTAGGATTGCTTCGCGGCATGGCTATATTGGGTCGGGCTCCTGGTTTCCGCCGACCTAATGTTGAAGATGCATTTCAATCAGCGTTGCTGAAACGTGCTTGACGTTGTGCTTGTCGATAGGATGTTCCAGTAATTAGGTATGGTAACAATCTTTCTTGTTTTTTTTTTTTTTTTTTTTTTTTTTTTTTTTCAATCCTTCCCGAAGCCGAATGTGGTTGGGACGACCTACCTCGGCCAGCTCGGCTAGTGTGAGGGTCTTGAGGTCGGATTATAATATCAGGATAATCTTAGCTGAGCCAACAAGAGTTTTCCAGCTTCAGAAACATATATATCTACTGCTCCCAATCACTATTTTCGGACATCTTAGCACGCAACTCATCAAGTTCACTCCACACCGAGCCATTACTTCCAACCATCTACCACTTTTCACAGCTTCCCATCCTGCAATCTCCCACAACCATCCCAAACACCACACCAACCAAACAAGATGCCAAACACTCCAACCTGTCTCCAGTTCCTATGGCCCCAACACCCCTGGCCCATTCTCTTCATCATGGTCATCTACATCACGCTCGTCAGACACCTCCGATACCGCCGCAAGCAATCAATCGAGGGCCCCTTCATCTACGGCAGAAGAGATCTCTCGACCATGACAACCCAAGAAGCCCACATCATTATAAACCAATTACAAGAACTCGAATTCCCATATGCATTCAACAAAGCTCGAAGAATCGCCCTGCTTAAGGTACTACCCCCTCTCTCCTCCCCATTACTCATTCCCGAATTAAAACTTCATATCTTTGGTTTCCAGGCAGGAGGCATCCCAACAATGTCAAAGCTCTTCGCAGCCACCGGCCAAAACAACAAGCGCAACTCCGGAAAACGAGCTGTAGACACGGAAATCCTTCTCCGAGAGGCGCAGTCTAAGGCCAGGGGGGATGAGAGGTATGGTATGGCGGTTGCGAGGATGAATTATTTGTATGCTATGCTAATCTCCCATATCTATGCCCCACTTTTGTAACTTCTTCTATACTTCTTATTTACTGATCTATAACATGACCAGACACGCCCGCTACCGCAAATCCAACAAAATCACCACCCCCGACCTCCTCCACACCCTAGGCGACGGCCTCGCCGAGATCCTCAACGTGATTGAAAAATCCGAATGGCGAAATCTAACCGACGTGGAGATCTGCGCTCTGGGAATCTTCCACAAGAATCTTGGGGAAGATATGAATATTCCTTTCGATGTGCTGCCCTCGTATGATGGGGGTTGGCGCGATGGGATGCATTTTGCGAAGGATTTACGGGATTGGACGATACGTTATGAAGAGGATGTTGCGAGGCCGGTGCCGACGAATGATCAGTATGTTAATGTTTATGTTGATGGGGCGATGGGGAGGTTTCCGGGGTGGATGAGGGTGGGTGTGAGGAGGGTGTTGGGGGCGGAGGTGGGTGAGAGGATGAGGGGGAGTCTTTGGTTGGTGGTTTTTCTTTTACTTTCTTTTGGTGGGGAGTGGGGGGTGGGGAGGGCTTTGTTGTGCTAATACTGATGCTGATGCTAATTCGATTGTAGTCTTGAGGAACCCGGTCCGATACTCCTCTTCATTCTGGCTTGCATTCGGGAAACAAGAAGGTTCTGCCTTCGATATCTTGCCCTTCCACGGGTAACTCCTATGAAGCTGGTACATGAGACGGCGGATCCGAAGACGAAACGATACCATTTTGTTAGAAAGGGTCTACAGCCGTGGTATATGAAGCCGGATTTCTGGTCGAGGTGGGGAACGGGAGCGTTGTTCGTGAGGATCCTGGGTGGTAAAGTGCCTGGTTCGCGTGGAGATCATTATCATCCACAAGGATATGATCTCATGACTATTGGACCGGATCCGCAGAGGGGTAGAGGAACGGAGGAGATGACGAATAATATCGAGGTTATTAGGGCGAGGGCTGTGGCTATGTGTCCGTTTCCGCATGGGAAGGCTGGTGGGTTAGATTCGATTCGCTCTATATAGGCATCCTTCATTTCAGATGCCGGTAGTTAGGGTTGACTGTTGGTATGGGTAATTGGAAGTTCCCTTACAATGAAAACTTCCTAAGCGGAAAATAATTGTCTTATCATGATCGGTAAACCAGAATGAAAGCCCCTAACATAAGTGCAGGCCAGCCTACACACGGCACCTTTCTTCATAAGAAGATAGAGATCTTAAGATCTCAAGAATCCTCAATCAACTCACGCGCAGCACTGGATTCTTCATACAGAGGACATATACCCAGCAACCACGAGACCCCGAACATTGACATAATCAGAGCAACATGACTGATAACATGAGAAATATCCATTGATCGTTGTAACAACAAAACCGAATCCAGTCATAAAAGCAAAACCCTACATACATTAAACAAACTCACCCATTCTCACATAATCAAATCATAACAGACCCCACCTATAATACTCATTATCACTCCATTCATAGGCCTTTCCGCCCCAAGCTTCCCAATCAACGATATAGCTATAGCAAACAATCATAAGCTTTGAATATAAGAACTAGGAACTGAAAGACACTAACCATTTCATGTTCCGCTTATCCCAAATAAGATTCGTGAGATTCTGATCGAGGTGCACAAAGCCAAGGTCCTGGCATTCTCTAAATAGTGATAAGTCATAATTATCCAAGAAGCAAAATGCAGATGTTGACTCACAGGTATGATAATCTAAATGCCTTCCGTAATTCATCTTGCTCCTCAACCTGTAATCCATCAACATACCTCTCAGAAACAGTTACTCCTTCAACTTTCTCCATCACAATATAATCTACAAACCCACCAGAGACCCAGCCATTCGAGCCTCGGTTTTCATGCTTCGATGTGATATATTTCGGGATGCACGAACATTTAGCAGCTGTCATAGTTTCAAGTGCTTTTATTTCAAGCAATGTTCGACCACAGATTTCTCTTTCCGGTGGCTGGATAAATGATGCCGAAGAAGAAGCGTCGTCGGGACTATTTGGAACCCTACATCATGTATATTAGCCAGTGTACATGGAAGGAGAGGAGGTAACCTTACTGCATTCGAATTTTCATAATAGCTTGATTTGAGCTCCCGATTTCTTGACAGGTGGATATGCAGGTTGACTCTGAATAGAAACCTGAAGATAGATATTCGTCGGCTGAGAAGAGGGTTTCGTGTTCTTGTATTTTCTGGGTGATTACCCATGAGGATGAGGGGTTTTTGAAGTTTATGGTTTGGGTTAGCCATTTGGGATCGAACAAACAACTTTCATTATATGGAGTCATGATGAGGAGATGGAGGAGGGTTGAGATGAGAAGTAGGTTGAATATGGTCAGTTTGGTCTGTTATGTTACAAACGACGGAATAAGAGATCTTCCGCTTTCCGGCATTTCTTATGCAAGGTGCAGATGCTCGCGGATTTATGAACCTTCTGGACTACTTTCCCCCCCTTTTTGTTACACGTAATTCGGGGCCGTTATAGAGATCTGGATAACTTTATCATGTTGTAGTATTACATGCAGCCTGGTAGATATATTACTTCTATTACACTGTCTTCTTACACATACTACCTTTTTTTCAGTTCTGTTTCCCTGGAGAGTGATACTATTATCATCCGTAAGGATACGATTTGATGACTATCGGACAGAATCCGCAACAGGATAGAGGGGCGGAGAAGATGATGTCTGATATCGAGATTATTCAGGTGAGGGTTGTGGTCATGTGTCCGTTCTCGCGTTGTAAGGCTGGTGGGTTGAGATGAGGCTATTCATTCACTCTACATTAGTGGAGTTTAATTTCCTGTTGCTTGAACCCCACAATTTGTTCTATCTACGCTGTGTATCTCTATATTCTATGATAAACTCAAACACTTGGATTATTGTATTGAACTGCAAATCGCCAAACCCACAATATATATCATCAACCTCATAAGACCTCATAAAACACACATCCCACCCCTCATCCCCTCCCTTCCCTTACACTCAAACAAACCCTACCCCACCCTTCCTCCTCCTCAAAACCCCCATCCCACAAACCCCCACACAAACCACAAATCCCAAGAACATAAACGCCGCGTCCGCCTGCGCAGACGTACACCGACTCTTCGCTTCGCCAGGCGTAGACCAACACACTTTCTCCTTGTCAACCTTACGACATCCACCGCTGATGATAGTATTATCCCATATAGTTAGGATATTGGAGCAGCTAGTTCCGCGGAGGAGGATGGCGTATGTCTGGACAATGTGTTAGCATATACATCCTCTAACACCTGCATGGATACTAGTAAAGGGATTAGGGGAGTGGATGAACGTACAATCCCCCCAGCTACAAACGCCACTCCCGCTAACCCATCAACAGCCCATGTTATGAGTGTTTGTAGCGACTCGATGAATACCCCTGCGATGCCGATGAGGGAGGCGAGGGTGCCTAGGCCGCCTGTGAATGCTGCGTAGCCGGTTGAGGCGGGGACGGAACCGATGCGTTGGCCTTTGGCGAGGGAGATGGAGATGCCGAGGACGATTATGGAGAAGATGAACTGTTGGGTGATGGTTGTTAGGGTTGGGTTGGGGACGAGGATGGGGGTGGGTAGGGTTGTACCTGGAAGCCGCGAAGGATTGCGATTATGAGGGGGTTCATATTGGGGGTTTCTTCTGGGTGATTTGCAGGTGATGAGGATTGGATTGGGGATTAAGGAAGACAAGGGATGAGATGGGATGGGAATGGGGATAAAGGTATCTGTCGACCCCTCTTTAAGGGAACCGCCCCAGCCTTGTCGCCTAGACCCCTTCGCACATGTTCCTGTCTTGGGAAACACAGCCAAGGCTGAGGTGTGTCGCGCGCCAATCATAACCTGGGATATGCTCTCACTCAGCCTTGTCGGCGGTATGTGCGTTCAAGCTAATGTAGGGCTTGCAGGGTTGGTCCTACGTGGGAGGTTGAGGGTTGGTGATGAAGGGTTGGATGGGTGGCAGTGGAGGCGGCTAGAGCCGTGAGTTTGTCTCGGAGGTGGGTGAGTTTCACATGTGGTTTCAAGGAGATATTAATAGAGGGGGAGAGGATTGGTTGGCCATGAGGAGGTGATGAGGTCTGGCGCTTAGGCATGATCATCGGGGATATGCCTGTGCCTGGCTAAGGCGGATGCAAGGGATGGTAGTCTTTGAGAACCCTACGAAAAGTTATAAAGCAGACGGCTTCCCACTAAGAATAGAACGCGGTTACTGATATTCAGTTTGGTTATAGGCAGATACAGTCTTCATTCATTAATGGATGTCTAATGGCAAGAACGACATGGCTTCGCAAAACAGGATGGCATAAAGACAAGCTGAGCAATGTCATCGATCGCATTCCACATTACATGTCATCACATAGTTATACAGATCTCATAAACCGTCCGGACAGGCAGGCAGCTAGAACGACAGCACTAACCGCCTCAACTTCTCAAAGTCAGGAAGACCCAGACCAGTAACGGGATCCCATCCCACAGTGGCATTCCAGTGAGCCCAGGGAATAACACCCGCTCCAGGAACAACCTCGTCGCTCTGGGGATCGATGCCATTGCAACCAATGGACTGACCCAAGGTCACGTCAGTAAGCGCCTTGTAACCCTGGCTATAGAAGAAAGGGTTCAAGAAGCCCAGAGCGGGCTTGCCGGCCCGCAGACGGGCATCGTTCAACAGGCCGATCAAGCCGGCGAACATCGGACTGGCTGCAGAGGTACCACCAGATCCGTAACGGTCGCCATACCAGATAACCTCATACCTATCCAATTAGTATGAATCAGTCTAGTGGTAGGACTGTACTTACGGAGGTTCATAGCTGTGAGCTGCAATATCAGGGAATCCACGACCGCTGAAGTTGGCAAACTGCGAGTAGTAGTGCTTGGTCTCGTTGGTGATGTGGTGGGCCAGGTAGTTTTGCACGGCCTCCTTCTGGAACCAGGCACGCTCGAAGTAGTTGCTGAAACCACCAGAGCTGGCCTCCCAGGCAATTTCTGGGGCGTAGGACATGGTGCCGCCCACGGCGGTCACGTAGGGGCAGGTGGCCGGGAAGATGGGGTTAAATTGGGTTCGGTTGGTGCCGTCTCCAGCGCGGCAGCCGGATCCGATGCCTAACTTGTATTAGTGATATCAGTTACAGGTAGAAGAAAACGACGTACCTTCATCTCCCGAGGACTCGAGGACACTGATTCCGCGAAGGCCGACAAGACCGATCAGGTTGCACACCCGCTTGGCATAGTATTCAGGAACAGTCTACCCAATTAGCTTAGGTCGAAATGGATCGGAATTTGCAGTGTCGTTACCTGTTCATCGTCACCGTAAGAGTTGGAAATAACGTTGGGCAGCGCCGAGTTGGGCTTGGAGAGGAGGTACTCGTAGTACTGGAGGTAGGGCTCGTTCTCGTTATCGGAAGCACTCGGCTCATCGGGATCGGGGATGAAGGGACTAGATTGTTAGCATCGTCCATACAGCTGGTGATATGACTCACGGTGTTCCAGCAGTGATAAACTCGGTCACCGGCAGAGGATGAGAAACGCCGACAAGCAGCTCAACATCAATGTCGGCCTCGGTCAGCTCGGCCGTCGACGAGTTCTGGTCGTTGTAGCCGCCGTTGATCAATTCAACGGCGAATTCCTGATGGGGAACGTTGAAGAGCTTCTCAAACTTGGCAAGATCGGCATAAGAAGCCGACTCGTTCAAGAAGCTGGAGAAGCCGACCTTGCTGCCCGACGAAGCGCTAGGAGTGTAGTTGCCGAAGTTGTACATCTCCTTCAAGCAAGAGAGAGTGATAACATCGGCACAGGTGGAGTAGTTGTAGCGCTTGGCCACATGGTGGTCCTCGAGCTTGTATGCCCGCTCGGCCAGACCATCACCGGTCTTCTCTTTACCAAAGAAGGTCGTGGGGGAGATGAGATCAATCGAGTCGACCAGATCATCAGGGATAGAGTACCCCGTCGTGCGCAGCTTCTGGGACCGACCGTTCTGGTAGTAGGCAAAGGTGGTGCTGAGGAGCTCGTTCGCCTTGTCAACGGTGGTCGCAAAATTGACCAAACTGCCCTGACGGGAAATATGGGTGATGTTGGCACTGCGCAGCCAGTTAACCACGGCTTCGTCGCTTGCAACAGGGAACAGCGATTCAACATCCTCCCGGTCCAGCCACTGGCCGTATTGGGGTGCACCCGGAGTCGACAAGGCCTTCAGCTTGGACTCGAGCTTGTCCAGGTTTTGGCGGGCCAGCGCGATAGACAGGCTGACCTGATGATCGGCACCAGCATCCTCGAGGTGACGCCATCCCGAGGGGATGGCAGCGAGCTTTTCATGGACGACCGCATTGGTGGAAGCAGCCAGGGAGCACAGCAGGGCCGTGTAAAGGCCGGAGGAACGCATTATGGAGATCGCACGAGAGCCGAGTCTGTCCAAGTTGACCGCTGGAGGCAGGCGGGCATTATAAGAACCAGCGAGTCACGGCCGGAAATTAGCCGCCCTTGCTTATCGGAGGGGACAATAACATCATCGTGCCGATGACAATGGGCTAGTTGGACCAATGGAGCCTGACGAACAGTGTGATAGGCCAATGGGTTCTGCAAGCGCACCCCGGACCAGCTGGTGTTGACTGGCGTGATAACGATGGGTCGCAACCCTGATTCCGCCCCGGAGTCCGTCGGCGCCGCGGGATCCGCGCCGCTGGCGACACCTTCAAGGAGAATGTTGCAACTGCACCACGCCACGGCTGCCTCTGTTTTTGACATTTGAAAATTATTCAGACATTGACAACAAAACTATCCCGTCTGGTGCTGCGGTCCGGAGTAATTCCGACGGGCGGCCTCAACTCCAAAGACTGGAACCTCGCGTGTAAGCGATGCCCTAAATTAGCGCGGGCGAACAAGCATCGGCAGCTTCCAGTTCCCGTCCAGATCGCCCACTTGATGCAATAGTCGTTGGGAATGGTGGGTCTCGCCTAGGCAACCAGCGGAGAATTCTCGCGTTTTCTCAGCGTTCCCTCCAACCTGCAGCCCGGTTGTCAGTCTGCTGTTGTCAGTTCTGAGGTAGCAGATTGCTGGTTACAGGTCACATTCACGGCAGGAATTGCCGAACCTCCTCTTACACTGAAGATCGATAGCTTTGTTCACGCAGTCCGACTAGCCTTAATAAACTGTCATATCCATAGTCACTCACCTGAAATGTCATCGGACGTACGGAATAGATCAAAAGGTGCTTAGAACAGCTCATTATCCAATTGATTTCATAATTGTATTACATTGTCCATATCTCTTCGATGTCCCACAATTAACTCATTCACTAATAAACTACCCCCAACCATAGGCTGCTCCCTCAAGAAGGAAAGCAGTAGATCGCCCCACTTATCGTACCAGAGTTCTGGATGAATCGACTGTTTTCATAACATCCCGGCCGAAAGCCGCCCGTGTTGTAGCTTCCGGTGCATTGGGTAGTTCTATTGCCGACTCAGCTTCTTCCTTTCTTCCTACTGGCCTATACAATATACGTACCCATATTGGCGACAACCGACAGCGATGCTGATGTTGGTGGCTCTGCTGATGTTAGTGTGGGTGATTGATGTTTGTTGACAAGCAGGTACTATACCCGGTTCCGTTAAGTGCAATGCATGTCTCAGAGTAAATTGGAGTCGGATCCACGGAACACACTCGGAACTCCGTGGTGGTTCCCTATCGAGATGGGGGTTTAGTTCATGGTGGGGAAATTCTCGGTCAAAGACAGTCCCGACTGATTGAGGTCTGGGGTCTTTGCCATGTGGGAGACATGACAGGCAATAAAACCCTGGAGATAAATAAAAGCAATAGTGATGGTGGGGAACATACAATTTGTGTCTGATTCTGCGCAATCACCGCAGGAATCAGCATCAGCGCAAGAGCCTTCAAGGAAACCATGGTGTTGTGTTATCGGTTGAAAACTTGAATGATTGAATTGCAAGATTTTCTCTTCTCTTTATCGAGCGTGCCGAGTCGCTTCAATGGACATCCTCTCGCTTTTATATCAGCTTCCAATCTTTCCTCTGCTTCTAGGATCTCAATCCGCTCACATTCCAGTCCCAGGAGCTGTCGAGTCCTTCAGCCTCCAGGAATGCTCACGATACCACTTACACTGACTAGATCACAGACTCCATCCCAGTTTGCATTCTTAGGGATTTGCCTGAACTATTGTAATCTGTATCAGCTGATTATTTCTATCGATTTGGGGGTGGGGGCTCCTGCATCCTATTAGCTCAATCCAGGGTCCAGGAATGTGAGATATTGACAGCTCTCGTCCTACCCCTAGACTCATGTCAGGTGTCAAATATGTGGGGTTGGGTGGGTAACTATCAGACAGACCTACCTTAATGATACTCCATATGTCTTGTACACATCAATTCTGGTACTTTTGGGTTTATCTGCTTTCTTTGGCTATTCTGTTGTCTGATTTCATATAATGTGGCTTTATACCAACATAATATATGAACATCCTCTGTAATTAGTCAAAACGGTGAACACGCGCCACAGGAATGTAACTTCATAAACATGCCTAGTCTACCGAGGTCTGCGTCCTCCAATACCCCCGGATCACTTGCGCATGGTCTCCATGATTTGCTGCATTCTGGGTGTATATTGTGGTGGTCGAAACAAGGGATATGGGGAAGTTAAATTTGAGGCTTAGGTCCTTGATGTTCTAGAGCTTCACGCGCACAAACTATCATAATATACTGTCCAGGCTCTACTGAAGCTGCTGTTATTTTAAATGAGGGGCACGCAAAACTGGTGACAGCATGAAAGAGATCCGTTCGTGTTCTGTTTACTAGAGGGCTACACCCCGTTCATAGATTCAGTGGACGATTCGGGTTATTAAAACAAGAGGGTGGTGGATGAAGCGAATGAGAAAAAGAGAAAGAGAGATAGATATGATTAAAGACTGTCTGTATTACTTCAGCCCCAAAATGCGCCGTGCCTCAGAATGTGCTTAAATCCCCTTTAGGGCCTTGGCCACATGCAGAGATTCACATAAGGATTTATATAGACTTTTTCAAGATCTTAATACTTGATATAGTCTGGATTGAGTAGCCCGAGGTATGTTATATACTAGACCCAGGCATTAATATATCAATAGTATCAATAAGCTTCTCCACGTTTGGAACGAAAGCTATGCCCATCCATTCTCGTAGCCAGAGAGTAAAAAAATGGCATGCGGTTAAGCTGGGCAATGTGCCTCCCTCTCAAAAACTAGTAGTACCCTTCCACCACCCCATCAGTCACAACCGACATATTAACCAGCGACAAAAAGTAAACCAGCCAATACATAGTCAATATATAGTATACTTTATAGGTCCTCTCATCCATCTCCGCCGATGTCGCATAAACGCACCTTACACCCACCGCCAGCGCACCCAGAAGATGAAACACCCCTGTGAGCAACAGACCAACACCCATGCGGCACTTCACCCAGCCCCAAATAAACAACCCTACCCCACCAGCAGCAATCAACGTCGCCGTGGCTCTTCTCAACCTCTTCATAGAAGTCGCATCCGACAAAACCACAGGAAGTGTTCTGCGCTGCATTTTCCGATCGCCGTCAATATCGTGAAACTCTTGAATGTGAATAGTCACCAGTATCCACAGCGAGAGGATGATATCCAGGTTGATCCGTGTCGATAGTTGCGGGTACATTTCACATATGACACTGTTCAGAAGCCGGAAGGTGAGGAAGGTCCAAAGGGCAGGGAAAACATTGCGGAGGCTCCAGTGGTCAAATCGAGGCCATACGTAGCATAATGCGATTAATACTTCGGATAAGAGAAATATGGTTAGGGCTTGGCTGTTGAGGGTGGTGTATATGAGCACAGGAGAGACGGTCCAGCTGATGAGCCACCTCCACTTGGCTGCGTTCACGGTAAGACGGCCCGCGGGGATTGGTCTTTGGGGTTTGTTGATGCGGTCTTCATCAATGGATGTTACTTGGTTGACGATGTCCCAGCAGTATTGATGACTCAGGGAGACGAGGAGGACTTTGGTGAATGTTCGAAGGATGGGGAATAGTGAGGGTGAGGGTTGTGGGGGAGGTAGTAGTCGGATGGAAGCCGCTGATAGGTATAGATAGACTCCGGCCCCTAGGTTGGATCTTAACAGGAGGTATGTTGTTACAATTTCGCTGATCAGGAGGGATGTTAGGGCCATGGCCTGGGTCTTGATCCTGTGGCGGGTCAGTTCAGGATACAAGTCCGATCTGATCGTGGAGAGATGTTCTTACGTTTCCATGGGTGTAGACTGTAGTGAAAGAATAATACAAACAAGGTACTCAATCGTCCAAGGTACTTGAAGTGCTTTCGAGGTATGTTGCTGTCCTTGGGAGGCATATGACATTACACCGAGCAGATTTATAGAAAATTCCCCCAGATTAACTTACGGGCTGCCAGCCAAAGCGCTATTTGAGTACGTCCGCCTGGTTTACAATTGCCAAATCAACTCAATCACTCAGTCAATAGAAGCAAACACTAACCTTACCTGGAGTTGATTATCTCGGCTGGATGCATAATGTCTCGGTTAACAGGGCGCCTGAAGTGATCCTTTGCTGGTTATGTGCAGATATATTACCGCCACCTAGAGATTAGCGCTGACGGTCTTACTGCATTTCCTTACTGATTGCTTATAAATGCGGCTATTTGCTTGAACTATGAGATACATTTTCTTTTTTTTTTTTTCTCTGCTGTCTGCCACATTTTGTGCACTGTCCTCTTCGAAGGATGCCGTATTATCCGATGTGAGTCTTTTTGTAGCATATCTACGTCCGTCTGTCTCATTCTGGTCTTTTTTAGCGATGGGCTTGCTGACGGGGCGAGATACCAGTAGTTGTTGTTGGTTATTGAGGGTCTTCCATTGGGGTTCTCTCGTATATGGTGTGGGATTCCGGCCGCTGAGTACCTGGACTATGGTGGTTTGAGCGGCATCATTCATCAGGTACTAGCAGGAAATAGGAGAGCAATGCATTGATAGATTAGTCCCATAAATTTCGACATGGTACATGACTTGAAGCAAACCATTTGGCAGAGGTACGCTGTTGACCGTTACTTTAGCACTACTACCACCGCCACCTCTTGGACAGGATTTATATTCTGTCTGACAGCTTTCTCAAGTAGTAGGTAGAGAGAAATGTGTGGTCAGCTTGGCTGTTGTGCCTATAGCGCCCCCCTTTAGAGAAGGTGGAATTCAATTCAAGTGCCGTTAGAGATCAAAGTCTATGACGTTGGGAAATGGGAAATGAAGTTTACGAGACATTCCAGGGATACATTTCGACATGGTTTTATTTGGAGGACACCTTCGAGAGAATTCATGGTTGTGTTGATTCCCAAGCGAGGTATTTGTCACTTTATGGTTCTACGGTCACGAAAGAGAATACCTTCTTTCTTAAAGACTAGTCCTAGTTTGATCTCTGACAGCACGGACGATCTAGGTTAGCTGTGGCACTCTGTTCGCTTATCCCCAGTATCCCCTATGACAGCTGAACACCACTAGGCAGACCAAATACCTGGCCGTTCGTCTCGTCGAGACACCTCTGCAACTGCACCAATCCCTCGGTCAAACAGCCACCTGTCTTTGCGTTCTTCAGATTTCCCGTGACCGCGTATGTCCATTTCTGCGCATCGCTCTTGCTACTATGACAAGCCTGGATACCCACCGAGCCACAAGTAGCAGTCAAGCACTGTGCTGCGGATGAAAGCGGGCTGATAGCACCAGACGAAGTAACCTGCCAGATCTGCGAGGCTTGTCCGTTGCAGGACTCGAACGTGACAGAGGAATTTGAGCTAGCCGTTAAGCAGTGCCCTGATGCTGTGTTGAAAACAAGGCCTGTGGGTACGACTGTGGAACAGCCCTTGGGTAGACTGATCCTGAAGACTGCGGTCGCGTGGGTGGCTAGTAGGACCGTTATGTGACTGCTGACCTTTTGGAGGCTGCTGTCCCAGAGGTCCTCTGCGGTGTATGTGCATCCTGTCTCGGTGAGGCCCAGCCATTGGATGGGGATGTCGGTTTTGACGATTGTGTTTCCCCGGTTTAGGACTGTGAGTAGTCGGTCGCCATTCGAGAGACTTCGAGTCAAAATGTCCAGGGTGTCGTCGCGACTGACCAATGTAGCTTGTTGCGCTAACGAGTCCTGGTCGACTGCGATCAGGGCTTTGTTTGACAGATAGGCGACCTCGTCTTTAGACAGTGCTGGTATGTAGGCACTGATGATTAAAGGAGCCGAGAAAGATGCCCAGAGTGCAAAGTGCGACCGCTTCTCGTCCGCTGTTAAACCCGGGTGGTCAGGAATCAGGAAGTCCGGGTCGTTAAAGTATCCTGGTCGCTGATAGCGCGCGAGAAGGGTATTGTAGTTGTAGTTGTTCATGATGCTATCCCACGCGCTGCCTGCTCCGCTGTACACCAAGATATCGGTCGAATGGCGAGCCAGCTCCCCGTAGACCGGGACCCAGTCCATCACGGTATACCAGTCTGTTCGGTTCTCGGTGCCGGCGAAGTAGGCCGGTGCTGACTCGGAGAAGATGAGTGGATGTTCCATGTGACTTAGCACTTGGTGCCAGTGTCCGTAGCGGTGCTTGTATTCCTCCTCGAGTGTTCTGCCCTGTGTCGCGTAGACATTGCAGCCATCTACCTTGAGGTAATCGACTCCCCAAGAGGCGAATGTGTTGGCATCCAACTCCTCATAATTGTAAGAACCTGGGTAGCCACCACAGGTCAGGTTGCCTGAATCTTCGTAGATGCCAAAGTTGAAGCCCTTGGCTTTGACATAGTTTCCGAGCCAAGGAAGGCCATGAGGGAACTTGGTCGTGTTCCACTGTAGGGATCCATTGTCGGCACGCTGATAGGCCATCCAGCAGTCGTCCAGGTTGATACGATTGTATCCGGCGTCTCGCAGACCGTTGGAGGCCATTGCATCGGCGGTTTCGGTGAACAGGGTCTCGTTGAGGTCGCACATGAAGCGGGCCCAATTGTTGAACCCCATGGGTGGCGTTGGCAAAAGACTGGATCGCTCGATGGAGCCATAGGTTTGGGGAAGCATGGCTGCCAGCGCGGCAGCAAAGAAAATGCCCTTTGTTTGGTTCATGGTGTTTTCAGCCTTTCCCATATTGACGACTATCTGCTATTGCGTATCTGTGAACTCCCTGGAGTTGCTTCGGTGCAGGAGAAAAGGAACCCAGCGAGGCGGGTTTTTAAACAAGGTAACCCTTGCAGAGGGGTCCTATTGCAAAGTAGACTCGCTGACAGGCCTTGTCATCCCCGCTCGGACGGATCGGAGGGGATGGCAGCTGCAGAGACACCCTGACGGCTGCTTGCATGATGCCACGGTGCCATTGGATCTGCAGCCATTCCCAGCCATCTCCGTTGGCTTATCTCCCCCGCAGCAGCGGCCGAGTTGTCCCAGCCTCGTTGGTGAATGGAGTCGATAAGAGGAATGCGGGGAGATTAGAGCGTGTGGTATGATCCTGAGATTTGATCAACAGTGAATTGTCACATTGCTGCCGTGAACTGACATTTGTTAGTCGTTTATCAATACGCTCGCCTGGATATCTCACTCAGTGGCATATCCACCCAACCTTGCAGTAAAGCTGTTAAAACAACGTGCCTGTGGCACTCCAGGCATGAATTTATCCAGCTGCAGCGAGTGCTAGTCCTACATAAAAGAACTGGGGTGTGATGGAACTACTCCATTTCTTCCACCAGCAATCCATCCGTGTCAGCCGAGGTAATTCCAAAATCTGCCACGGTCGCCAAGCAGCCATATTCTCTCTTCACCCGGCTGACACATTGAGATCGATAGTTCAGGGGTCATTCAGTCTGTTTGAGTCTTGGTGGTAGCCCTGTCCGGTCATATGGTCTGAGAGACGGGCTGGGTAGCTGTTTGCCTCTCATCTCCCTTGAGAAATACGCTCAGCTCGTTTGTCATGTTCGCTCCTCTCCTGAAAGCCAAGTGGCATCCAGCTGTCTCAGAAGCGACCCAGCTGGTGGTCTTGGCCATGGAAGCCAAGAATCCAGCTCAAAACATGCCCCAACCGTATGGAGGCACTTGGTTGCCAAACCGCACATAATTGACAGAATAACCAGTAACCTCGGTTATGCACTATCGGCTATCAGCTCAATTCTCGATTCTCTCCCTCTTTTTCAAGAGGTTGGGCGATACCAGTGCTATATCGCAAATGCTCCCTTCTCCTGGTAACAACGAGAATCCATTGAGCACAGCCACATGAGCCTTGTCTCACTGGCAACAGACACTGCCATAGACCAACCATAACACGGGTCACTCGCCGTGTACGTGATGGGACGAGTAGCAGCCAAAAGGCCGAGATATTCCCACGTCAACAGGTTTCAAATCACCTTGGCACTGTGGGCCTCCGTCAATTCCGAGGGTGGCTGTCCAGGTACCACTATACCATCGACGAGTGATCTTCAATCCCTCTTAGAGGAGGAATTAAGGTTATCGTCTCGAAGGGGCAGGCCCGGAGAAGATCCTCTAAATCCACGGGCCGATCAACGGCCGCACTAGAAATAGAAACGCTCCACCAGTTTTGCCTCTGGAAAGGAGGTCTGCAGTGAATTGAGTTACCTACTTCCCAAACAATAGTCCCTTCATCTACTAGTCAGTAGTCACATTCCTTACTCCAATCCCCATTAATATAAATCTGTAACGTATCTGCACCCTGCGGATCAAAACCCGGGGAAACGGCCGCCACGCGGGTCACCAAGACATTGTCTCATATAGTCCTGACGATCAACGACAATATTCTCCACTGGTCTCATCTTTGGGTCTGGATGACCTCAGTGTCCTTGAGTGGATATCGGCTGAAGATATAAAAGCCCGTTCAATTCCTCTCTTTGCCATCATCCTCATCATCAATTTTATTAAGCATCACACAAACTCTACTATCATCTCCCATCAAGACTTCCAAATCTCACCTCAAAATGAAATTCTCCCTCATCACCCTCACCGGCCTCGCCACCGCCATCTCCGCTGCCTCCCTCCCCGCGCGCTTCTCCCTCGTCGCCGATGACAACTCCCCCGTCCTTACCAACGGCCGTACGCATCCAAACCCTACCCTACCCTACACCCCCAACCACCAAAACTAATCAACCCAAAACCAGAATACGTCTACATCGGCAACGACACCTCCAAGCCCCTGCAGAAGCTAATCCGTACGCTCCCCCCATCTTTTCCCCCCGCCTAATCCACCATCCACCCCACTAACTCCCCTCCCAAACAACAGTAACCTCCAGCACGAGCGGCGCCCTCAGCTACCTCCCCAAGAACGCCGTCCCAACGGCCTGGCAAAACCTCTACATCGTCGAAGACACCGTCACGGCGATCTCCTTCACCGTTCCTCACTCGGCTGCTGTGCCCGATCACGCCAATACCACGGGCTTTGGGGTGAATGAGCAGGGTCTTCTCACTCATGGTGGGAAAGCTTGGTTTGCCGTCGATGGGTATGGAGATGTTCCGGCTAAGGAGGTGAATTGGTATGGGGCGCATAATTCGGAGTATATGGCGGCGAATTTGAGGGTTGTGGAGTGTAGTACTAAGGAGTGTTAGGGGTGGATTTATTGAGGGGGTGGGGGTGGTTAGGGGGAGGTGGATATAGGTATTAGTAATGTATAAATTTTGTCGTTTGGTTGGTGTGGGTTTTGTGTAGTTGGGTGAGGGGTGGTGAATGGGATGGAGGTTGGTGTATTATCTGTTGAAGTTCAGACTAGGAGACTAGAAATGGGATATCGCTTCTTTTTGGAGATTAGATGGAGGGATATGTCCGATATAAGTGAAATGGTGGGGATTGAAAGGGGGGGAAAACAGGGCTGATCGAATAGACGTAGCTACATCTGTGATGTCAATAGGTTGTCCGGCAGCTGCTCAATAGTCAGAAAATTCAAAAGGGGTAATGGGACGTGGTATTAGGATGCTGCAATTCACTGCAGCAGTATAACTCAGGTACAGTGCTAATACATTGATGATAATATGTATATGATTAAATACAGGTCAGCCCACCACCCCTTTCAGTTTCGCTCCCTTCATCGTCGTCTCGAGCCACACATTCATCTTTCGCGACGTCTCTTCCATATGGCTTAGGTCTGGACTACGCTCGAATGCGTGCGGCGCTTCAACGGCGATATCTGAGAACAACAACGCCAGAGGGGACGATTTCCAGATAAACTGGTTCCGGGTACGGATCACTGTCGTGATGAGGAAAACGAGGGTCAGCACCATCAGGACAATTGGTAGGGTTAGCCATGGCCATTGGACGTGGACAAATGACTCGATTGTCCAGGTGGTGCCGTTGAATGAGGCGGCACAGACGGCAGACCGTGCGTGTGTTGTCAACGCTGATGCCAGCGATTGGAACATGGAGTTCACGTCGGTATAGTTGCCCTCCACGCCATAGACTGCACGCATGGTATCTGATGACCAATATGGTCGGTTGCTCACGAACAGCGATCCCTGCCCCTCGATCAGTGGCGTCACGGAGTTGGACATGGCTAGCCGGCTGAGCCAGCTGACAGAGTAGGTGCAGTTGGTGCGGTCCTGACGCTGCGTCCCGTTCACGTAGCATGTCTCGGGCATCAGGGTGATGTCCTCTGTGACATCTGAAGCGGAACTGTTGGATAATGTGGCCGTGGAGATCATTGTCTCATTGTATTGGCCTTTCTGTACGGCTGCGTGGTATGTCTGGACGCAAAAGTATAAGGCGCACTCGGTCGCGCTGATCTGCGGCGGAACGCCGTAGCCGGCGGCGCTGATCGCCGTAAAGTTCAAAATAAGTGGTAGGTCGTCGGTTTGCAGCCGAATCAGGTCCAGCCCGGTGGTGGAGTTCATCAGATACATCGAGCTCCATGAGGTATGGAAGCTGAATCCGTTGGGTAGCTGATAGTCGTAGGATGCCATAGTACTCGTCGAGGTGTTGCCCAGCGTGAGATCCTCCGTGATGTTGGCGCAGCGACTACAAAACCCCAGGGACTGATATGGGGCGAATGTACAGTTCCCCGTGGGACAAGTCATCGTGAGCACGTTGCTGTTGGGCCCCTGGCTTTGGAAAAGGCCGGTGTAGATGGCTCCGGTGGTCGACAAAGGGACTTTGTTCATACCAGGGCCAGCGCCCTCACCATAGTCGACATAACTGCTGGTATTGCACACGCGGATGGAGGACTGGTCGAGGGAGGTGACCGGCTGCGCGGTGGTATTGATGACTTGCTGGACAAACGGAGCAATGGCTGCGGCCACCACGAGGATGAAGCATCCGATAGATACCAGGTGGCTATGTCTGTTAGGTCGACATGTCGGATAGATAGGAATATATCACGCACCGAGGCAAGAAGCGGAACAGAACAAAGGTGGCGCTGACAGCTCCACGGCTGGCGGCGTCCAACAGCGACAAGTCACTCAGTCGATTGCCCCGGTTAAACCACGACCACTTAAGCTGGGACAGCCCCTCAGTGATGGGAAAGACCATGGCTGCCTTCATGACCGTCACCAGGAGTGAAATCAGGGCATTGAGAGTGATGCCGTACGGCCAGTCCGGCATGGGCCGGCCATCATAATTGTAGAGGACGACGGCGATGGCGACCAGGGCGGCCACGGCAATGACACAGCTCAGAATCTCCCAGGCCCACCCGGCTCCCCAGAACCCGGCCGTCCGGGGTGGCAGCAGCATGGTCGATAACGGGCGCGCGGAGGACGGCGCCGGTTCCTCGAGATTGCGATACCCCAGATCGTACTCATCCTGAAGGGCCTTCATGTTGACTGCTGGCCGGCTGCAGAGGTCGTGAGGCACATAAAGGGGATGAGCAGGATGGTCGAGGGAGGGCTCTCATATCCGGGAAAAGGCCATCAAGCTTTGTGGGATTGATTATCTTGGCCGACGATAGCTCCTGATTGAGGCAATCCCCGAGGGGACAATCCTGCCGGGAAGGCAGGCGGTGAGGTCATTTTGAGCCACTCTGAAACACACTCTAGCCACTTCCGGTTTAGCTGGGTAGATCGCCACCGCCGGGTTGAGAGACGATCGGCAAAATATTCAGTCTCCGTCCGTGATTGGCCAATGGGTCATGGGCAGCACCGCCACACGGTCTCCTTTCCTGGACAATCTTCTGCAACGGTCACTTTCGGAGTAACTCAATCGATCCTGGCCATGTGGTGTTGTCACGTTGAACTGCGCCTTATCAGGAGATAGCTCTGCTGTCAAGACTCAAGCCATGCTTTAGTGCAGATTTTGCTCGTCTTATCACGACTTGCTGACCATGGTGGCATGTCAGCTATGGCACTGGCACCCGGTGCAATCACCTTTGTGGCATGCCGCAGCCAACAGATGCTCAGACAACAAATCTTATAGTCGAGACTGCAGCTAGTGGCTGTCTGCTAGGACAAGTGCGCGTTGGATTTTCAGATATGCAGTGTAGTATCATGCACTCCGACCCGTGTCACCCTGTGTACCGGTGGTGATCGTGTCGCTCAAAGAAGTCCAGTCCCGTTATCGTACAAATTGGGCATTGTGAACGAATGTCAGGTTGCTGAAATATTGGTGATCATGGGTATTGGGCAACTCTGTTCTCTGGTGGTTGTAAACTCAAACATCAGCTGGGGTGGTGAGACCTGGTGTGTCAACAATGAAGTCCGAGAACTCACATCAACCAGCATATCCTTGGACAACGCTCCAGTGATGAAATTTATTCTCATCATTATCCCCTTGATGTATGCGTTTGTAGATCGTTTCCATCAAACTCTCTGCTAATTGGAAACCAGAAACTCAGAGCTGGAATGTTGCGAAGATGAGGTTCGGACAATTGGTAGCCGACAGGCTAGAAAACATGTGGGCGAGCCGTGTTAGTGGTCACCAGACCGCCATCCAGCTTGCATCATCCTTTTGACCTGAAACTTCAATTGAATTAGGCACCAGGATAAAGCTTAGCATCCGACCAAAAAGCTTGGCCCAGCAGCTAACAGCCTGCCACGTATTTGTGGCTGGCTGCGTGGTCATTTCGAACCGAGACTGCCCGTCGGATCTAACTACCATTTCGGAGTTGAGGCTACGTTCTGTCGAATCTGATAAGTCCGAGACACGCTGAACGATGGACCCCATGGAAGATCCGATGAATGCCATCACAGGTCTCAAATAGGCAGTCTGCACCGCACAGGGCAGGATGTTTCTGATCGATCATGCTTTGATGCCCCACGAGTTCCGTGGTGACGGGTTATCTTAAGTTGGAATGGAGCGGCACCGGGCAACTCTTGCGACACGTAATCATGCTCGAAAACCCCGTGTTATGCCGTCTCCCAGAGGATTAGGTGCTTCCAACGGTGATGGGCGTTACGGGTTGACCATGGCGATCATACTATTCTTAACAGCCCGCAGTTGCCATTGGCGGATGCGGAAAGGGCTAGCATACCAGCATCGAGTACCTCGACTGCCCCTTGATTATTAAAGTTGGAGGAATTCAGGGATATTCCATCAACGCGCCGTACCTGACTAGCTGGTATTTATCACCACAAAGCATTTTCAGGAGGTCCAGGGGATTTTGCTGCTGCTGACTGCTGACTGCAAAAAGATCGGTACCTGGCAGTCCACCCGAACAGGCCTAGTCTCCATGGCTGCTCCCCTGATCCAATCGGATAATTATTATTCCCGTGTTAACGAGCCCACCTTGCTAGTATAATTGGTGGGAGCGATGCACTAGAGGGCACTAGTGGCGGTAGCGCGGAGACTATCTCGTCGCGTGCTCGGATGTTGGTCAGCCTTCTTTATTCCTTCAGACTCTTCCGCTGTTGCCTGTCAGTCTAGACTCTCGAACTCCCTCGGCACACTGGCCGGATTGACCCCCCGGTTTTTGACAAGACCATCTCTGCCAATCATGACCACCGCATCCTAATGATCTCCTCCTCGGGGGCTATTTTCTCCTACCACCACCACTTACCTACCTACCTGCTCGGCACCGCGTTCGATGGCCCCTTCCCCTTCTTGAACACCACGGGTTAAGCAAATAGCCGATGATGTCGAGGACATGCTCTACGCTGCATCACGTACGTGGTCACTCCGCCAGTTACGTACGTGTGGGTGGGCAGGCGACGAGGCCATCCCCCGATGGTTCGGCCACTAAGGGCCGATTGGGCCAAGGCCGGAGGGGGCCACCTTATCGAGCCCCTGCGGCCCAGCACAAAAAACGCGAGCCATCACAATTCCGCCAGGTCCGCTCGCTCCATCTTAAATGCCGTCGATGGTGTCAGTTTAGCCTGTTTCGTCAGCCTCTTCGAACTTCTCTACCTCCCCCCAGACTCTTCCCCCCTCACGCTCATTTTCTCTTATCGTCGCTCATTCCAATCCACGGCCAATCCAGTCGATTCAATTCATTCGTTTCTCCATTCCACATTCAGACTCGTCTCGCCTATTTAATACCACTACATAATGTTCGATAACGTTCTGAGCTGGTTCCGCCCCTCCGCCCAGGAGCAGGTTCAGGAGTTGTCCTGGGATCCCCTCACCTTGACCATGAAGCAACCTCAGAGTCCCCCCGCCCCCACGACGGACAACATCGTGACCGACCAGCCGGTACGTGCCATGGTTTGGATTGTATCCCGTGGGCTGCAGAACTAACCGGAAGTGATTCAGGTACCCGGGGAAGAAATGGAATTGCGTCTGCGTGGTGGTGACGGACCCGAAGATGCGTAAGTGATCATCCCGTCGGAGAATCCCCTCACCCCGCACGAACTAACCCCTCTCTTTCTCCAGCTGTTGTTTCTGCTGCCACTGCTGCAGCTGCTGCGAAAAGCTCGTCGGCAACGAGTAATGGTCGTCCCTAGCCGATTCCACCCTCGAGTCTTCCCTTTCTACCTCTCGTCCATCAACACACCACCGCCTCGCCAGGACGCCTCCATAATACTTTTGCCGGCCGGGTTCTCCTAATCTACGCTCCTTAATTTCCCTTTCTTTGTATAATACTTTGGTCATGACTTGCATCACTACAATAGATTTCATTCTTCGTCGGGGGCCGAGTGGCCTACCCTTACTATACATACATTCATTTACAGCCCGGAATAAAGATGACTTTTCGCTCAACAATCAGTGCCCTACCCATACCCGGTCGCCGTGACAAGACTCAAATGATCGAAGTCTGTCGAGATCACCTCAATAGCCACACAGAGATAGAATGACCTGATCCGATTCCTCCTGCGGGTAGATGTCCCCGGAATAAAATACGTATCCATTTCCCACCTTCGCTCCCACCACCGCAGCTTGCTCCGGGTCGGCGGATATCGATAGGAAAGCAGACTGGGCCCCTTCGACGGGAACGAACAACTTCTCGTGGGAGCGCGCGTGCTGAATATGAAGCACCTTCATGCTGTATGACCCAGGGAACGAGCTGGGCACAATCCCGGGGGGGAGGGTACACGCGGGATTGAATGCGAACATGCACCGGTGATAATCCCCGTGCGCCCACGGCAGCCCGAATGCCTGCTGAAAGAAGCTGTCGATTCCTTCACAAGATGCAAAGTTGGGGAAGTGTAGGCCAACGATGGCCACGCCACCGTTACGAACGTAGGACACGAGCTTCTCCACGACGGTGCGATTTTCGGGCTCAGTGATACCTTGATCCGCGACGATGATGGCTCGGGGGGTGTTTGTCGCAAGGTAACGTATGACCCCGGCAGCCGTTTTGGCGCGTTTCGGTTGGCCCAATTCTCTCAGTCGGTTGAAGAGGCGTTGGTACATGACATCGATGAAGTCTGAATATGCAAGGCACAGAAGGAGGACCTCTGAGCGGTTTGATGCCATGGTAGGTGTTTTGGTAGTGGGTGGTCAGGGGAGGAATCTCAGTAGCTGTGAGTGAAGTGGATGGGGGAAACAAGTCAGGGGGGAAACAGGTCAAGGGGCAACACGCCCTTATAAGGCAGTAGTAGTTTGGGACATCATCATGGTGGTACCTTCCTAGCAAATACACCACCTGCCGAGAGGCGAGTCAGGTGATCCTATACTGCTTTGCTTTGCCATCTTGCAGAGATCTTCTACTACGCATGAGATGATGGCCCGAGCTTCATGGCATTTGCAGTCCAGTATATGCGGGTAACCCGGTTGAATGGATTTCATTCCTCTCAATGATCCGTATGGTCACATCAATCAGTAAATCTTGATACCGTCATTTAGCCACTCTTTACCACACACGGACAATGTCTCCATAGTTCCATACACGTCAATTGTATCATACCCGCAATAAATCAAATACCCCTTTCCCAGCTCCTCTCAACCACCCCCGCTAATCTCCGTTCCTTGAATTGCGGCCAGTAAACAAGACTCGGGGCGACAATCTGGTCGTCAGGGCAAGTGTTTCTCAATGAGATGCACGAGCGGACGATTAATGAGTTCAAGCTCCGGAGTCGGCATTGGCCCCAGTGGCAGAGTACAATCCAAATTGAACTCACATGTAACGACCCACAAAGCTGTATATTTAAAGGGCAATTCAAATCCCTGACCAAAAAACTCGTCGAAACGAGATCCTCTCGTGCAGCGCGAAATGCAGAGCGAATACCACCTATCCACCCTTCTCGATGAAGTCCCGCTGTTTTTTCGCAAGATACTTGTTTTCTGGGTTGCAAATGATCTCATCTATCACAATGATGGCGGCCGGGGTGTGGATTTCAAGGTAGACCCCTGCAGCCGTGGCTGATGTGAAATGTATTAATTTGCATTTTCCCTCAGTTTGTCAATCACGGGTGCATAGTTGACATTGGAATCATAATTTTTGTGTCCCAGGCTCAGGAAATAACATTTTTGAAAGCTTTAGGCGCTATTGTGATCACTGGGAAATCTGCTTGGTAGTCGCAAGTACAGTGGGTGAGAAGTGATGGTTTGATGGTAACCTGTAGGCAGTGGGCAATTCAAAAGTGAAGGAAGCAGGTAAAGCAACAAGGCCTTGAGATAAACCTCAGGGCCTGACATGGGCATCCTCCACATGGACATGTTATCAGACCCGATACAAGTCCAATGGTAGTCTATACGGCTACAGATATACGGGTCTCCCCATGCTTCCACCGCGGTAGATCTATTCTTGAGTTAGTATAGCTTTTAGTCGACAACCGTGGCTGCTTTTTGACTGTCAATCAAATTTGGTTGTGGTTCCGACAGTTGCTTTGTATCTCCGGGCTCTTTCGGCGTCACTCGGCATCTCCCTATCTGATCCCTGCAATTACCATATCTACAGATCTCTTTGTACCTCAATCTCCGGAATCGGATCTGAAGCAGAAAACCCTCCTGTAGATCAAAAGCCATCAGCAAGCACGAGAACGCATTCTTCCCCTTCACTTGCTGCCACCACCAGCACGAGCCTGCATAAGTAAAGATCTGCTCAGCTCCAATGATCATCAAAGTTGGCAAAATTATGTTTCAAAAAGGTATCTGGGGTTAGCTGCCTCTACAACAAGCGTCAGGGCCAGGAGTTCTCAAAAAAAAAGCCCTACGTGGGGGTCACCCACAGCCTCAAGATCTCTGATCTCTCACGATGATCTTTCATCTCTCACAACACGAAGTTGTCAGAAAATAGAAGTCTTGCGCGCTTCCATTGCGCCAGCAGGGCTTTTTTGCTAAATTCGCAATCAATGTTTGACATTATATCCATGGGTTAATACCTGGATTACTCTGATTTGTACCCGTCTATCTCAAAGTTTGCTTTCGGTATGATGTAGATGCCATCACTGTTTATGCCTCAGGCATGGTACCGGGTACTGTCAATTACGTAAAATAAGACTCACGTGATGCCAACAGCTGAGCGGTTTGCCACAACACAACCACCACTCTCGCCATCACAACCCCGCCATGGAGAAATCAACATGCCACGAACCCCAGAGCGAGTGACAATAATATGGATACCGGAATGAAATTGGTGGAACTGGGTCGCTGAGAGAAATGCAGCGCAATACCTCGATTCGGATGTATCAACGCGTGGGGGAGAGTCTCTTCCGCCATAAATCTAGGCTGGGCTGCTTTTATGGATGGGATGAGCCACCGGAAGAACAGCATGCACATGAACCGTTTCCACCGATCTACCTCGTGATAGACACATCAACATGAATCGCACGCGATGACATCTTTTATTGATTTGTGAAATGTCACGTCGAGGAGGAGGACAGGTTGTTCTTTGCCTGGATCGACTTGCTGGATTCTTCGTTGGGAAGTGGATTCATTGAGGCGGCTGTCCGGATGGAGGAGAAGGTCTGAGGCAACCATTCACGGAGAAATATCGGGTTCAATGTTAATTTGATGGTCATGAACGTGTTGATGTGAGTTGATAATATGTCAGTGTCTGAAGGTTGGTGGTTTTGATGCTAACTGTCAGAATCTCTTCAAGCTGATACCTCTCAAGAGCCTTGTAATGATATAGTCTTAAGGGATGGAGCATTGCTGGAGAGCTGACAATCTCACCTATCGGAATCCAGTAGAGTAAAAGATATTTGCCAGGAATGATAGATGTTCGATATCGGATTTCAGAGATGCAAACGAGTGTGCAGAGCAGTAAAAGCCTCAATCAACCAAACAGACATGAGACAGGTCTGACGGGAATTCATATACAATGCCTGGCAGGCCAGTATACTCTGCTGTGAGCCAAATCATAAGAAACGCATTTTCCATCTAGCCGGCACAGAATGCTGCAGTGGAACATACTTCCATTACTCTGCTTACTCGTTGGAATGAGAACGCCATAACATGCAAGGAATCTATCCCTTTGCAGAATAATGCTTGTATCGCGGTCAGTGAAGATGCGCTCGAGAGCATCTTCCTTGGGAAAGAGATTGCAAGTTGGAATACCGTGTTGGTGGCATTGCTGAAATTCACCTAGAATTATTAATCTGAGCATGGTTACTGCACATTCTGGCAGCAAGCATTACATCACCTGCAGGACGGGCCGCTCTCTTCTCAGCGGGAGTTCCTGACCCATTCTTTGCCTTTCATTTCCGACACTCCTCCGACGCTCCAACCTGCTCCTTGAGGTAAACTCAACCCACCAAGAGCTGGCCAAGATGCAGCGTCCAACCCCTCTTGATCTGATCGGGGAAGATCGGCAGCCCATGGCCTTGGTTCGGAGACCACGGGGGAAACCTCGGGGATTCCACGCTGAATCTGCCCCGGAACCCTAAGCGGGGCCCCCTCCGCATCTCACATTTCCCCGAAACTACAGACCTTCCAACTTATAGTTCGCGGAGTTTTCCCGGCCCATGCATAACAACCATGCCACTATTTAATGAATGCCATCCCTCCCCATGGCAGAACAACGGAATCCCCCCTCCAACCCTCCCACCATGAAGCTCCCCCCGGCTGCCGTGCTCCTGAGCACTCACTCTGCCATGCAGTCGCGGTCCTCTGTCCTCATCGACTACAACGTTGCACCCCCCAACCTGTCCACCCTCCCCAATGGCTCTCTCTTCGACACATGGCGACCCCGCGCCCATGTCCTCCCCCCCACCGGCCAGGTCGGTGACCCCTGCATGCACTACACCGATCCCGCCACCGGCCTCTTCCACATCGGCTTCCTGCACGACAGCGAAGGCATCTCCGGAGCCACCACCGACGACCTAGCCACCTACCACGACCTCAACCCTAATGGCAGCCAATCCATCGTCCCCGGCGGAATCAACGACCCTCTAGCCGTCTTCGACGGCTCCGTCATCCCCGCTGGCATCAACGGCCTCCCTACCCTCCTCTACACCTCCGTCTCCTACCTCCCCATCCACTGGTCCATCCCCTACACCCGCGGCAGCGAGACCCAATCCCTCGCCGTCTCCTCCGACGGCGGCCGCAACTTCACCAAACTCGCCCAAGGCCCCGTCATCCCCGGCCCTCCCTTCGCCTACAACGTCACGGCCTTCCGCGACCCCTACGTCTTCCAAAACCCCACCCTTGACTCCTTCCTCCACAGCCCCAACAACACCTGGTACACCGTCATCTCCGGCGGTCTCCACAACAAAGGCCCCGCCCAATTCCTCTACCGCCAATACGACCCGGACTTCCAGTACTGGGAATACCTCGGTCCCTGGTGGCACGAGTCCACCAATTCCACCTGGGGGTCCGGCATCTGGGCCGGCCGATGGGGCTTCAACTTCGAAACCGGCAACATCTTCACCCTCGACACAGAGGGCTACAACCCAGAGGGCCAATTCTTCGCCACCCTCGGCACAGAGGGCTCCAACCAACCCATCATCCCCCAACTCACCAGCATCCACGACATGCTCTGGGTCTCTGGCAACGTTGCCAACAACGATTCCAACTCCATCGCCTTCACCCCCACCATGGCCGGCTTCCTCGACTGGGGTTTCTCCTCCTACGCCGCCGCCGGCAAAATCCTCCCGTCCACCTCCAAACCCTCCTCCAAATCCGGCGCCCCAGACCGCTTCATCTCCTACGTCTGGCTCTCAGGCGACCTCTTCCAACAAGCTGAGGGATTCCCTACGAACCAGCAAAACTGGACCGGAACGTTGCTTCTCCCCCGCGAACTCCGTGTCCTCATCATCCCTAACGTCATTGATAACGCCCTAGCCCGGGAATCCGGCACCTCGTGGCGCGTCATCCACACTGATTCCAACGACACAGTCACCCTCCAAACATTGGGAATCTCCATCGCAAGGGAAACGAAATCAGCCCTTCTCTCTGGAACTTCATCCACAGAACAACCCCGCACTTTATCTACCACGGGAGTCATCCCCTTCGAACACTCCCCCAGCGATAAATACTTCATCCTCTCCGCGAACATCACCTTCCCTACCTCAGCTAGGAACTCATCCACCCTGCAGAGCGGATTCAGGATCCTTTCCTCGGAGATGGAAAGCACGACGATCTATTATCAGTTCTCGAATGAGTCGATTATAGTGGATAGGAGTAATACGAGTGCTGCGGCGAGGACGACCAGTGGGATTGATAGTTCGAATGAGGCGGGGAGGTTGAGGTTGTTTGATGTGCTTGGTGATGATGGGGAGGAGGGGATTGAGACGTTGGAGTTGACGATTGTGGTGGATAATTCCGTCCTGGAGGTTTATGCCAATGGGAGGTTTGCGTTGAGTACCTGGGTTAGGTGAGTTTTCTTTTTCCTTATGGTGGTGGTGGTGGTGGGTTTGGGGTGAATGCTAATGTGGATAGGTCGTGGTATGCCAATTCGACTGGGATAGACTTCTTTCAGAGTGGGGAAGGGGAGGTCAGGTTTGAGAATGTGATGGTTTCGGAGGGGTTGTTTGATGCGTGGCCGGATCGGGTGTGATCGTGATGGATTGTGGGGTTGAGTTGGTGGGGTTTTATAGTGTATAGTGTATATGACTGGTAAGGTATGAGTATGTGTGTATGTTGGCGGAGTGTTTCCGTGATGGATGTGTGATGTGATGTGATGTGATGAATGGGTTGATATGTCTATAGTAGTATTTGGTATCTAATTCTATCAAATTAAAAAAGAAAGAAAGAAATAAAGACAGATAGGAAAAAAAACATGCTTTCCATGAAATCACGCCATCGCTATGCTAACGTCAATCCACCCACAATATTCCAGACTATTCCAATCCATATTCAGTCTAATGAACAGGTGCAGTCGGGGCACCTCCCGCGGGATGTCCCACTCTCAGAGGCGGTACATCCAAATGCTCCACCTCTACCGACGGATAACTCGCTCTAGGATGCTGTATTGAGTCCGATGGCGCATGCGATGGACGATACGCCGTGTGTGTGTAAGTACTCTTCGGTTGCTGTGTCAAATCCGGCGAGTATGCATGATGAGAAGTCGCAGGCGGGGACGGGGATGCAGATGCAGATCCCACCTGGGCCCAAGGAGGAGGAGCAAACTGTCCGCTAGTTGGACGTGATTTAGAGCCCGTATGTGAAGGAGGTGTATTCGGTGCCATGGCTGCGCGCAGTGGAAGAGGAACGCTGTTTCGGAACCCGTTGGTATGGTGCTGCGCGCGAAGGACCTCGTCGAGTTCCTCGTCGGTCCAGGTACGTCGGATCCGGACTTCGGTGGAGGGTTCGGTCGCGTAGATATGGCCTAGGATGGAGTTCCGGCACCAGGTGTCTGCGTCTTCGGGGGAGGTGAAGCCGATCACGAGCCCACTGCTGCTGTCGCGGAGGTAGGTCATGGCTGGGGAGAGGGGGAGGTAGACGGCTGTGGGCTCATGGGTGAAGATCCGGCCCTCGCGGTTTAAGCTGTGGTAGGCATTTGCGTGGGTGGTGGAGTTGAAGGCGAGCTTGAGCTCTTGTTTTTGGAAGATGAAGTAGACGTCGAATGCGGGGGGCGCGTGGTTGGACATGCTGGATATGCTTTTGATTGAGGGTGGGACTGGTGCGGATTGTAGGGTTAGAGTGGTGTTGTAGGAAAGTTGATTGATTGTCAAACCCTGAGTGATCTGACAGATATATCGTGGAGGGGTAATCATAGTAAGCACCATTGATATTTATACCTGTCAGACCAACAGCGATCAGGATGCTGACAGGGTTGGGGCTGAGTGGGCCTTAGTCCGGCTGCTATAGCTCAGCCACCCCTCAGCCTCGAGTCCCTCGGGCTCGCTCACGTCATCGGTCCCCAGCTGGCAATTTTTTTGTTCTTTCACGTTGTACAGATCTGGCGGTCAGAATCGACGTCACTGGAGAGCCAAAGAAATGTTGAGCACCATGATATTTGGTGAATTTCTTCTTTGTTCTGAGTTAGCCACAGCCGCAATGCCCTCTTCACTGCCGAGTCGGTGTATCGGTTTTGGCCAAGTGACAATTCTCAAAATCACCCATGTACCCATCACACAACGGTGATGATTGGCAGAACTAGGCCGCATGTAGATACACATTCCTAAAAAGTGCTCTATGCATACCCATCAGAAGATTGAGTCGGATCTCTCTCTATACGTGGCGACCTACTATGGAAGCTCGCCCCCATCATACTGGTGCAGGCCCTCCGCCTGTTCCCATCCCGGGACATGAACGTTCAAGAACTTGCCATTAATATGGGCTCCTAGGCAAGAGAGAACATCCAGTTCTGTGCTTGCCCCAGTTGAAACATCGAGATCGGCAATATCCGTCACCATATTCGTCCGAAACCACTGCTATAAGTCAGAACCGAGCTGGAGGAAGCAAGTCGAAATTACCCCAGGTGATACAGCAAAAAATGTGAAGCCTTCCTTCTCGAACTCCAAAGCGTACTGCACAGTCAAGGCATTAAGTGCAATCTTGACGATATTGTAGGTCGGAAAAGGCAAATCGATAAGTCGACGACCCAAGGTTATCGAGCCCACATCTGAGCTCCTGTCCGAGATGGTGAATAGCTGATCGTATTGTTGCGAGGCTCGGCGTTTACAGGTTGAATACTTTTCTTTGAGTTCCCTCTCTCAATTGTGGCAAACACGCTGCAGTTGCATCATGCACTGCTTCCACGTTGACTTCGAATGCCCGCCGCAGGTTGTCCATTGATACTACTCCATCCAGAGAGGAATCCATGATTGCAGCATTCTTGGTAAGAATGTCAAGGGCCTTTCCACTCAGGCTTTTCTTGATCTGGTTCAATGCTATTAGGATGCTCTCTCTGTCTGTTGTATATAAGCGCATCACGGTGATGCGGACTTGGACTAGGTGACCAGCTGCTGTATGGCCTCGGCCCGCGGACTGTCGCAAAGATGATAGATACCTCACTAGAGAACGTTCGCTCAAGTGTTTCACAAATTGAAGGCCTAGGCCTCTTCCGGCTCCAGTATCAATATAGGAGGCCACTTCTGCATGATAAACACAGCTTCCTCCGTTGAATATGGGGCGAGTAACTCGTCGCGATGCCGGGTTGATATTCCTTCAGTACAGGCAGACAGGCTTCTAGTTGTTTGATACAATGCCACGTAGCAAGAACTAGGTTTGTTAGTGATGAGAGTCCACTGCCTTAGCGCCTGGGATCTCTGCACCTGTGTGGACTTGCTATCGTGCTTCCACACTGATCCGCTTATCCGAGGTGTTCTACTCGATCATGTGTGTGTATATTTCAGTTGTTGAGTATAGCGCATGCATTGAAAACAATAAATATAGTGCTTGTCTGCACTGTTTACCCTTCCACCTCCGTTGAGGGAGGGACTTCGGATGGCAGTGTTGGGCCAAGCGACAATCATCACTGGGCAGCACAATACAGAGGCTAGTCCATTGCCCACCCCTGGCGATCGCCAGCCCCAGTTGACTCCCGGGGCGAAAGCCCAATGCGAGATCGGAGGCCTTAGGCGTCCCGTGCGATGTAACCTCGTGGACTGACATCTGCAGTGCAGTCTTAGCAGCTCACGTCATCAGTCCTGCAGCATGTTTTTGTGCTGACTCATTATTGTATAGGTCTAGCAGTTAGGATGCCGCTGCCGATATCACTCGGGAAATTAACTTGACTTGTAGGAAGTAAGACTCCGAGTGGTTGGTTGTTCAGCTGCAGATGTCGGTGACCGAGCATTGAGGGAAGCGAAAGCAGCACAGCACAGGCCAAGGAAAAAAGGTTAGCAATGGTCATAGATACAACTTAGCAAGCATCTTACATCAACAGCTCCTATGGCTCAGTTGGTAGAGCGCATGACTAGTAATCATGAGGTCCGCGGTTCAAATCCGCGTGGGAGCATTTCTTTTTCTTTTTCTTTTTTTTTGCTCGCGGAATTTCCTTTTCTTTAATTTGTCTTTTTGCTATCTGAGATCAGGAATATATCATCGATGGTAGTGTTTTCCTGATTGATGTTGTTACATCTTGACTGTTTTACCTCTGGCCGTGTCTGCACAAACCGGGCCCTGAATTGAATCATCACCATCCGCTGGTCGGCAAGCATTTTCTACCCTCAAACTGCTTTCATTCCCTTGGTATCCTGTATATGTAATGTTATCAATTACTTTGACGCTTGGAAATCTCTCAGAAGGCTCTTCGCCCGAAATAAAAGGGTTGCATATGGTGTTGGTATGTAGGTGTGAAATTTGTTGCGGTTATATATATGTTTCCGTTCACATTGTCCAACCAGAACTCACCTTCCAATCCTATTTCATTCGCTCTACTCACTCCAAAACTCACAGGGCAATCTATCTATCAATTATAAGTCCAATTATTAGACTTATAACCAGATCAAATTTCTAATACAAAAATGCGACCGTAGAGAGGAACGCCGCAGGATGGGTGGTTGAGCTGAGGCCCCACCGTAGTTGAACCCGCGCATTCCTTCAAGTAAATCCTTCCAATCCTTCAGGATATAGTCCATTGCGCTTGATTTATCGGTGAAAATTTTAAATCATTGGAATTGCAAACGATTTTAGTAATACTACCGCGACCTAGTATTTAATTAGTTAGCACCTTCATCGAGGGGTGGTCTATGGGGTGGCCAACGTGCTGTATACAGAACACCTTTTCAGACACATCGATAGATTTCATAGCTATTAACATTATATACATTCAGCACAAGTCTGTACACAAGACGTATTAACATGGTGATTATCATCTTCTTTCCATAACGCATCAATCCGTCAACCAGTAGCGAGGCTAATCATTCCATCAATCCATAGCCGCACCCTCCTGGCAGGCAATCGGGCTAGAGCGGTAGTTCAGCTCGGTGGTGGTGTTGTAGTTCCACCAGAAAGAAAGGTGCTGAGGGTACGACGCCGACACGTTGCAGGTGGTGGTGTAGTCGGGCAGATCCTTGTTCAGGATCGAGGTGTAGTTGGCCAGCGGGCAAGAGTAGCCAGGACCGGACTGGCAGGAGTTGAAGGGAAGGACCGCCTCGTTCAACACCAGACGGACGTAGATACCTTCGTCCGACAGAGGAGTCGCCTGGCAGCTCAGACGCTCAATGGTGAGGTGACCACCCTGGGGCACAATGTTACCGGTCGTGTAGGGGTTACCGAAGGGGATACGGTCCAGAGGGAGGTCCTCATCGGGGATGAGGACGCCCAGAGCGGCGAGGATGGGGGTGATGTTGGTATCGTGAGCACTGAGAGTAAGTTAGCTCGGGGGTTTGGATAGAAGGGGTGGAGGAGGCCATACAAGTTGAAAAACAGGGAACCGGCTTCCTTGGGACCCTGGTTGAGGAGAGTCAAACTAGCGTTGGCGTAAACGGCACCGACAGCGGCCATGTTCTTGTCTCCAGGTCTAAGTTGATAATTAGCGGGTATTTTGTGGGCATGGATGAAAGACTCACCCAGCGCAGTAGTAGTAGTTCAGATCCTCGACGTAGCCGAAGCTGACCCACTCGTCCTGGGTGAAGGCATTGATCCAGTTGGAGAAAGGACGAGCGTTGAGCTCGAAAGAGGCCATCACTGGGTAGTTATTAGCTCGGATCTCAGATTCGGCCACTAATACATACGCATCAGGTTGTAGATATCGGTCTCGGTAAGATTCATGCCGGGGTTCTGGGCGTTCAGGCGGGCAGCAGCGACCTTGAACTGCGGCATGGTGGCGGTCAGGTTGTCGCAGGTGGTCTGGTCATTGTCGGTATCGCAAGTGGGAGTCAAGCTGTCCGCACCCTGAACCTCGGACTCGGAGATGATGTTGAGAGCGGCGTTGGTCGAGTAGTTGTATCCGAAGAAACCCTCGCCAAACTTGCGGGCCGTGCCGATGACACGGCCGTATCCGCTGGAGAACATGGGGACGACCGACTCTCCGTCCCAAAGGTGACCGTAGCGAGCACGGTACTCATTACCATTGTTGTAGGCGCCCAGCAGGCCGGCATAGGGACCGCTGGTCGTCTCGGCGTTGTAGTAGCACTCGTTCGGGACGTAGTAGGTCCAGTCATTTAGAAAGGCCAGGTCACCCTTGTAGTCGGTGGTGTTGATGCTGTAGACCTTGGCCAGGGACTCTTCGACGCTCTTGCCGGCAGAGGGGGAGGGGTAGCGTGCGCCGTGACGGTGGATCATAATGACCTGGTCGACCTCGCAGCCGGTGGGAGGGTCGCGGGCGATACCGTAGGACACTCGCTCAGAGTAGGGGCCATTGCCACCGTAGTGCTTGAGGATGCTGTAACCATCGCGGAACTCCTGGGAGAACTGCTTCTCCTGGGAGGACTGGGGGGCAGCCGCGCCGTAGGAGAAGGCAGAGGCGCCAGTAGCCAGCGCACAGGCGAGGGTAATGAGGGAAGAGCGAGGCATGATGTCTGAGGATTGACAGAAGCTGGGGAGGTGCCTCAATGAGTATGGATGACGAGGGAGGTGCATTCCGAGAGGGGGAGGTCGTGGAGGGCTTTTTATACCCCTCCATCGGAGTCAATTGGAGGTGTCCGGAATGGCCTCATGCCAGACGTGAGGGGCTAGGGAGGCCGCGGAAGAAAGCAAGGCGAGTGTCCTCCAGTGACGGCAGCTTGCGAGAGCCCACGTGCCCAGCATCCAAAAGCAACAGGGCTGAGGCCAAGTCCTGGTGGACCCCGCGGATTCGAATCACACACCGGGACAAGAGGCGTGGCGCCGGACAGCTTCCCCATTGGACGGACTTGACGGTGGAGCGGCCACAGGCACAGCCGCGGGTTGGTCAATGGCAGCAGCTTAATCCGTTAGCGTATGTCGGCGGCAGAGATGAGGGGAAGCTCAACCGCGCTTATCTCCGGGGTTGCTGCAGTTATCTTCCCACTTCCCTTCCCATTGTCTCGCATTCGTGCCTTACAATGGTGACGGAGTCTGGCACTCGTGGCGCAGACGTGGTAATCCATGCAAGCCAGCGATGGAACTGCAATAGATCGGACTTGAATGCGGGTGACAGCTCGGTAGCCGCGGCTGCCCGGCCGGCAATGGCCGTCCTTAAGCTTCCTTGGCCAAAGCTTGGTCGCGAGCCAAGGCGCCAGTCCTTCCGCCACGCAGCCATGCCACTGGCACACAGTTCCTCTCATGGGTCGCTCGCATGCAAGGAACAGAAACCTGGACAGGTCTAGGGTCAGGCCACTGTATTAGCCGAGATGCAGCAGTTAGTGGCAGGATGGGTGGACGGTGTGTCCTCGAGGAAAGGCACCAAGCCTAGTTGGGAATTTCCTCCTCGTCCGTTCCGGCCCACTGGGCCAGTCCGCATCAGAGATGCTTGCACGTGTGAGTCGACGTTTGTCCTGACACGGCTCCAACGACTGATCCTTCGCCTCGTGGATAGTAGCACGAGTCATTCTTGTCCGAAAGCAACCGGGGATGAGGTTGAGAACGTGTTATCGGCCTTCTTGTCCACATGTGGTGGAAGGAGACGAGTCAAGGAATATGCGCTGCAAGCGTGTACTGTCCCTGGACGCTAACCTCAATAGTCCTTGGTCGATTAGGTGCATGGCCCTATCAGTACCACTTGGCATTGTTAGACATGCACATGCCATGTGGGACGAGGTCTCGGTATGATTCGGTCCCAGACAACCGCATCCGCGGTAGAGCCCAGAGCACTAATGCTCCACCATAGTTCGAGCTAAGTAGCTGGATTGTCAAATGGAAGAGATGAGGTCATTGCCGTCGCGATATACCTGAAGGACTATTCCTCCTCCGTAGTATCTGGCCTGCCTTATATAGAGCCAAATTGTCGAAAAAACTTTGGTCCCGAGATACCCTTCCAACCCCAGTATGCACTGAGGAAGACTTGCATGCCCCGTCAGAGGGCGTGACATGCTGCAAGGCCCACCCGGAATATTAACCCGAAGCTCGACTGAGTTGGATGCACCAGAAGTCGCATCCACATTCCGCTAGGGGAAGTAAATTCCCATCTAGAATTGACTGTGCGATTCAACAAAGCTTAAATTGCGATCGTCCTTAACAAGGACCATGCCTCTGTTTCTCATGACCAGAATGAGCTATGCATGTGATTGTGCATCATAACAGTCCACATAGCAATGGTGCCACCGCTGTGGGACGATTGCCGACAGACACACCCAAGCGCCCTTTTCCAGATGTAACGTCATCTGACCTAGCAAAGCACTACTGCAGCTCCTCTGTTCGGTACACCAAAAGTCCAGGTGAGGTTTCTTGGATAGCTTTTTTTGCTTTGATACGCCCTGCAAATGAGCTCGTGTCACCACAACGACTGTAGTTGCAGACCAGTCCCCAGAATCAACACATTTACAGCAGCAACAAAGCTATCATGTTCACTGATCGCAGTGTGCTTCCTGTCGGAACCCGGGATCCCCGGGAGCATTGGCTACGTCGGCCTGGCGCTGTGTGATGACAACTATTGGTGAGGCTATTCCGTGATTCACATCATTGCTTCGATTAACCGGTTTTTCCAATAGTTTGAGTAGATTTACAGATCCTTGATGCAGGTTCTTTGAGAAAAACCTGTGTGGCGACATACTGCTCCTTTATAATGGGCCCGATGACGAATGTATTGGGAACTCTCCAAATTATGCTAGCCGCTCTATGTTCCGTTCACTGATTGAGTTTCCTATCTAACTTTCTCGGATATAGATGGGACATAAGATGGTTGTGTCCCAGGGCCTAGAGGATCAAGGGCCTTGGGGTAATAGTGGGCAAGTAGGACTGCTGTAGATAAGGCGTTACGCAGGGGCCCAATGAGGGAAGCAGGAGCACCGACGTCAATACCGAGATTAGAACCGATCATTACTGTATCTCAGCTCTGCAGAGCCGTGACGTATACTCGGAAACTTCTACCAAGAAAGCACCGCTAGCCGAATGATTGATCCCGGACTCGTATCTGCAACGACAGTCTGTCGGGCAACAGAGAGCTGCGCATGCCGTCAAAATTAGTAGACAACATGGTTCTTTCTTCAGGACGAAATCTGCTCATGATGGGCCATGGCAGAATGGGGCGGATTGTTAGGGCTTGGTTGAGGATGATACGAACGTGTTTTCCGGAGTACAGAGCATGCGGCTGGGACCAAGTAAAGTATCCTGCCTGGGTAAGGGGAATATGGGGAGCACCAGGAAATTCAGCTACATGCCCAGCTAAATTGGATGCGTTAAAACCTGAACTGCATGCTCAGTTGCGGAGGTCATGTCGGACAGTTCCAATGTTGCCAGCATCACACCGTAGAGGATGTGTGCTCGATGCTCGCATAGAACTCTGCTTTAGGGATCGTCACAAGGCAGTGGATGAGGATGTCAAGAATCTACCTGCATTCGATATAAAACATTGAGAGGACAATCCTGCAAAAGTGTTAGTGATGAATGAGACGCATACTAGCTGCCGTTGAAGCCTGCTTCAAGTTGGTTGACTTGATTAAACCTGGCAGCTCTGTGCTGATCAAGCGCACCTCGCAAGATTACTCGCTCATAGCGAAATAAACCTTTGGAATTGTTCGGCGAGTTCATGCTCAGTGGAAACACTGCTATTAGGGTTGTGCTTACAACTGAGCACTAGAGAGCGCGACCTGCCTTCAAACCCTAGGCATTGAGGCGGATAGATAGAGATTGAGTATGACCGAGGTGAGGGTAATGGCCTCGCTGTCGATGGCATATGGATGTCTTTGCGTACTGGCGGTCGCAGAAATGTCGGATGAGGTTTTGCACGTCCACGATTGTAGCAGCATCCACAAAGCTTGTCACCCAGCGGATACATGCTTATGACGGGTCTCTATACCCCGCGACCCTCCATGCCGTGTCTGATCCGTGACTATCACTTGCGTTGTAGTGACCGTGTCTCGTGAAGGTAATCCGTAGCAATCATAGTATCCGTGTATTTATGGTAGTGATGGGAGAGAACGCGCTGTCGGTTTCTTTTGCATAACGCGCGATGCGATAATTCAGGGTGGCTGCGACGTGGTCGAGTAGGAAAAAAATGGGTCGCATTGGTCTCTGGACGAAAGAGCTGGTCAGATGCATATCCCACCACAACAGTGGAAATTGGGTGTCTCACCGTACGGGCCTTGTCATTGTCACTCTGATTATCCACGTCCGATGTCAATGAACCTCCGAGGTGGAGAGCAGACCGGAAGGCTGGAACGCAGCAAAATGGTTGCTGCTGGCATTGTCGGGATGAAGCTGGACCGGAGCTTCACTTCGCAGAGCCGGGTCTGCAGCCCCGCGCCTCTCACATGTCTTCCCCTGGCCTGAGGATGTTTGTTTTGACGGATGTCCGAATTGGGTAGCGTATACTCCGTGCCGGGCCTTGGTGCCTGAGGTGTCACCCGCCGCAGCCCTTGGTACTTGGCAGATGGTATGAAGATGGCCTTGCAGCAGACTGACGGACGTACTCCGTGTGATACCCAACCGGAACCACCGAAAAGACACGTCCTCGACCCAGGACACCAGACTAGTCCGTTGGACGGAAGCGAGAGTAAGCAGTTGCCTCGCGCTCGGTCACTTTGAACCGGGAGCCGAAATTGGGGTTAGCGTCAGGCGGACACTAACCTGAACCCCGGTCGGGATGTCTCCAATCGGCCTCCAATCGGACTGCAACTCGGGCGCCGCTGGACACACATCCGCCCGGGCCAGACCCGAGCGTGGCAGAGGGGGCAGAACTCTTCGCAATCGCCCCTCTGAGAAACAGGGCTTATGGTCGGAACTAAGGGAGATACGATTATCATGTTCCGATCGAACGGAATCCGTTCACGTAAGGCAGTGGATGAATTGCGGGAGCAGAAAGAGATATAAGAAACCGGGACGAGTCCGCTGTCATCGAGTCAAGCATCCAGACCACGGAGACCCCTCACAGCGAACCGCCCCTATCATTCCCTGGAACCCCGCCTCCCTCCCGCATCCCACCCAATCCAATCTTATCCATCCCTAAACATGGCCTCTTACCCCCCAAGAAAGTGCTGCTTCCAGGGCGTCAAGCACGAAGGTGACGCGACCGGCGATTTCATCACCATCGATGACTTTGAGGTCTATAAGAAGGCTCCCGAGGGGCCCACTGACAAGGCCATCATCCTGTTCGTCCCACCGCACGCCAGGGGTGAAGTGAGATTAAGTTAAACCAAGGCTTGGCTGACCGAGATCCCGCAGATTGACCGATATCCTTGGCCACCGCTTCAACAACGCTCAGCTGATCGCGGACCAGTTCGCCGCCAATGGCTACCTCGTCCTGATCCCCGATCTCTTCTATGGTGACCCCATCCCCATTGGTGGAGCCGCTGGCCTGGAGCTCCCCAAGTGGCTAGTGGGTGAATACAACGAGAAGAAGATCGCGCACACTCCCCCGGTCATCGACCCCATCCTGGAGAAGACCATTGCTGAACTGCGCACCAAGTACAACATCAAGGTATGTCGTCTCCCCCGTTGGATGGAATTGCCTCGCGGAGACTGATTTCGGGAAGAAAATCGGAGCCATCGGGTACTGCTTCGGCGCCAAGTACGTCGTTCGTTTCCTGAAGCCCGACCAGGGCAAGGTGGACGTTGGCTTCCTGGCGCACCCCAGTCTGGTGGAGAAGGAGGAGCTGGAGGCCATCAAGGGCCCTCTCGCTATTGCGGCGGCGGAGAAGGACCACGTCTTCCCGGCGGAGAAGCGCCACGAGTCGGAGCAGGTCTTGGAGGCGCTGGCTCTTCCTTACGCCGTCACCCTCTATGGCGGTGTCGGACACGGGTGAGTGATGCCTGAATTCGAGGAAAAGATGCACAGTGCTGACATGAACATAGATTTGCCCTTCGTGGAGACCTCAGCGACCCCAAGGTGCTGTTCGCCAAGGAGAATGCCTTCATCCAGGGTCTGCAGTGGTTCGACGAGCACCTGAAGGCGTAAAGGGATGACGGACGGGGGATGGAGTGGTTTAGTAGCTTCGGAGAATAGACTAATGGATAATGACCATGCCCTAAATATGATTGTGCTTCGAGCATTCCCCACCTGACTCCTGTGCCGGAATCCGTTCCCCGAGGGGGCCCTGTAGGACCGTACGTTGAAGCTAAGATCGAGAAAAAGGATTGGATGGGAAGGACGGAGACTACGGTTATAGGAGTATCGTAGGGGAGGATTTCTTGGTCGGAGCACCCGGGCCTAAGAATCCTGGCATGAGGGTCGAGCACAGAAGTAGTCGGAGAGGCATTTAGTAGATAGACAAACACCATATAAACAGCGCATAATGAGTTTTGAGAGATAATAAAAGTGTATGGAATATGAAGACAAGACGAGCTTCAAAGGAATTAGCGGCAGACGTGACTCACAACGGGCTGGCCATGATAGTCTGGACCAGACGCGTGGCTGCGATAGAGAGTATATTGGACGGAGTTGATCGTACTACTATGTACCTACTACCTAGAACTAGAAGCAAAGCAGGGAGTGGAGTGATTTATTACGGGGCGGTGGGTAACACCGGGACCTCCCGAGTGTTCTGGCTGTCCGGGTGGGCGGCTGCTCCTGGGCACTACTGCTAAGGACTAGTCAACTAGTCAGAGTAAGATAAGCCGTGTGCGTGCAATACTGTGTAATAAGACCAGCCCGACCGCCACCACGCCTTCCTGCTAGCTTACTACGACGGTGGCTAGTTTGAGGCGAGGATGCGCTCAATACGAAACCAACCAACGGCCGCGGCTCCTTTCTCAGCACGACCCCCGGCCACCACGTGATCCCCAGCTTAGTCGTGCGTCATTGGCGAAAACTCGCGATCGGGCGGAATCTGACACTTCACTTCCCATTTCCCATCCCCCCCCCCAAATCTACCCCCGACTCATGGTCGCATGCTATATTCCCCCCCTCCCCTAATGACTGCATCGCAGTCGGGTTCTTCTCGTTCTCCTTCTCGCCATGTTCCGCCACTTTCAGATGCCCCCGCCTCCCAATGGGAACACCGCCCAGTCCGATGCCGCCGGGAGGCCCAAGGACCGTACCCGCCGGGCATGCGAGCGATGTCGCCAGATGAAAATCAAGTGCGATGGTGCCACCACCTGCAACCATTGCCGCACCTCTTTCAATGGTGCGATCTTCCCCGCATAAAATGGAGAGCACAGACGGAAGATCGGGGCTGGGCTAACGGGCACAGACTGCGTCTATCCGGAACCACGTCGCAAACGAAAAGCTTCCCCGCATTTCGACCGTCTGCAGGAGTTGGAGAAGAGGGTTAAGGCTATGGAGGAGTCCTATCAAACCATTTCTGCCGTCAAAGACTCGCCTCCGTCCGACAAGTCCTCCACTCAACCCCATCCCTTGTCGGCAACCGGCGCCAACGATCCCGATACCGACCCAACAGATCCCCGGGCTCAGGCGCGGCCAAGCCAAGGTGAAGCCCGATTTGGTGTCTCCTCAGCCGACCGAGCCTTTATTGAGCGTCTCAAGGCCGAGTTGGGAGACTGGCCCGGGGCCGATTTCGACAGTCGGCTACGCATCAGGGAGAAACCAGGCGTCAAGCTGTTCCAGTCGGCCAACCCAGCGCCCCGGGTTGTCGCTCTGCCACCGCGCGAACGGGCGGAGCATTTGATCAACATCGCTTTGGACGCCAGCGTGCTCTACCATGTGGTGCACCGACCAACGTTTGACTCGGCCTTTGAATTGCTCTACAGTTTGGATCGGAGCGACTACGGGGAGGGGGAAATGAGGCATATCCCGCTGGTCTACGCCCTCATGGCCTTGGGTTGTCTATTCGAGCGGGTAGCCGATGGCTCGTCGGAGAGCGGAGATGACATGACCGCGGAGAGGTACTTCCACTGGGACCCGTTGTAGTAAGTGATCATGCTAACCCGCACAGGACAAATTACTTTGCGACGTGCCGTGATCTAGTGGACTTGCATGACTGCAGCGACATAGTGACCCTACAAGCCATCTTTTACATGAACCTTTTTATCCTGAGCACAGAGAGACTCTCGCCATGTTACACGTGCCTTTCCCACGCCTTTTCCTTGGCCGTTCGCATGAACTTACAGCTACCAAATTCGAGGGACAGCCTCATTGTCGCGGAAATCAAGCGACGGCTTTTCTGGTCTCTGCGACAGCTTTTGATGGTTGTCGCGTCGATGTGTGGCTATCCGCAGCCAATTCGTAGCACCGAGGTTGACATTGAACTGCCTCTGGATCTGGACGATAACGACCTCAAGTCGACCAGAATATCACAGTCTTTGCAGGACCCTGCCTTGATCCGGAGTATGTCCGGGTCTGTGGCTCTTTTAAAGCTACATAATATCCTCGATCGGATTGTGCATGAGCTGTATCCATCGGGGGGCGTCCGGCGAAAAACTAATAGTGGGTCGATGAGCCACCTGGTTAGCAACGAAATCGTTACGCAGCTCGAAGGTGAGCTACAGAAGTGGGCTGCATCGCTACCGCTGGGCTATAAACTGGGGAGAAGCCGATATGCCCCTCACTTGGAAAAGTAAGCAGAGCACAGGCCGGCGATAACCCCCGTTTCTATTAGGCTGACTGGTCATAGGGCCAAGTATGAGCTGTGGATGACATACTCCCACGTCCAGATTCTGCTCTATCGGCCGTTCCTACACTACTTTGTCGACAGCACTGAAGGTAACGGACACGCCGAGCATGGATTCCATAAATATGCCTCGGCGTGCGTTGATGCCAGTCGCAATCTCATCCATCTGACGGAGGACATGTACCGGGATGGGCTGCTCTATGGTGCGCACTGGCGCATTGCCTACATGGTTTGCACGGCCGGGTTGTCACTAGTATACGTGGTGGTTGGCTCCAAGAGCCCCGACACTGTCAAGGCGCTGAAGATCGACCTAAACACGGCCAAGCGCATGTTGATGTGCCTCACCCCTTACAGCTCCCATTCCCGCCGCCTTCACGTGGCATTGACGGTATGACCACTTTTAGTCCGAGGATCAACCTTCGCTAACTGACATGTGCTAGGTCCTGACAGCTACATTTACCAAATCGGATCACGGCTCGCAATCTCAAAGTCCGAATGATACGGTCGAGGTGGGCTCAGAAAGACCCAGTGAGCCGTATACCGGCGGACTGGCGGAGCACGCCTTTGACGCTTCCGCCCAGAGGAACCAGAAATACATCGGCCCTGTCATGGAAGAGACAGTTGCGCCCGATCCGAATGTATACCCGCGCGGCATGGAGACGCATACTTCGCAGGCCACCGCGACGGAGACCTTTCCCCTTGTTCCTGTTTCCCAACCCCCCATGACCCATTTGGATTCGACCCCGGTAGCGTCAGGGTATGCGGTTCCTTCGCTCCCCGCCAGTGTGCCGGGTGCAACCATGGCAACGCCGGCGCCCGAGAACGCCACCCCCCAATCAGCTGAACGCGTGATGGAGGCCCTGTCCGGGGGGGCTCCCACTTATGGACCGGAGCCAGGACTCTCGGACCAGACGTACTACCTGGAGGCACGGCCCTTTAATCTGCAGCGACCCACGGAGGGCGAGGACTACCTGTTTGGGCGCGAGTTTGGGGATTTTGACGGGATGACGGGAGATTTACTGAGCTTCGACTATCTTTTTTAGACCATCTCGTAATTTGTTTCAGAGTGTGCAAGTGAGCCTTAAAGTACGACCTATAATAGCTGACCATGATGCCATGCCGTGTGGGAGGGATCGTCAACCAACGGTTCTCGTATTTATTTTATTTTCTTTTTCTTTTTCTTTTCCTGTTTCTTTTATTCACGTTTCCTTTGACATTTTCCCCTTTCCCCCTGATTTCCAATTTTGCCGGTGTGTTTTCTGCTGATCCAAATGTCTAATCTGACATCCGAGACCGCAGCCAGCCATCCGAGTGGCTGCCCAGCGAGGCCCCGAGCCAGACCCGGCCGACCAGACTAACCGCAAGGTCGGATTTCGCCGGCCGAGAGCCGGGCTGCCGGAACCCCACGTCGCTACGAGCTGATCCCCAACGCTGCAGAGGGCCGGACACAACGTGGCGGTGAATCGCGTGCCGGGATTCCATGCTTAGTGCATTGGCACGGCTCCTTTTCGAAGAACTTGTCAGATTTTGATGTCGCCGCGGCCCGAGCATCCCTAAGGATGGATCGCGTCCCCCTATATATCTCATATAATGGCGCCCAGAGGCTTCGATTCCTCCAACAGGCGTTTGACACTGAAACGGAGTAGACGACCACGGCTCGATCCATGGTCTTTTTTGTCTTGACTCTAGCCCTTCGTTCCTCGTGCATACGGTAATCAGACATCATCCAGCACCATGGCGGGCGGCAAGGTAGGCATGGCGCAATCCAAGGATCTCTCCGGTTGGCCGGTTACTGACGTGAACCCTCCAGAGACCCGAAGTGCACCCAGTTCAAGACTTGGAGAAGGATATGGTAGGATGGGAGGGTGACGATGACCCGGCGAACCCTAGGTGAGGATCACTCTGAGTCAATCGCCTGGAAGCCGATCTAACATTGGACAGGAACTACCCTGTATCTCGGAAATGGTTTCTGATGCTACTGGTTAGCACTATCACATTCATCAGGTATGCTTGAGACTGCCTATAGTGGGATAGAAGATCCATGGTCACTGACTCCCCAGTCCGTTCGCTTCTTCCGTTTTCTCCCCGGGTGTCGTGTACGCAGAGGAGGAATTTGGCGTCACATCGAGTATACTGGGAACACTGTCGGTGACAGGCTATCTGATCGGTTATGTGGTACGTGTAAATTCAGTCTGTCTTTCTGCAGCTTGTGCTCACCACCCTTTCATCTAGACTGGACCTCTGATTTTCTCCCCGATGAGTGAGATGCTCGGCCGACGAATCGTTCTCAGTGGCGCCAATACGTTCTTCGTGGCTTTCCAGGTGGGCTGCGCGCTGGCTCCCAATATCTCGGCCCTGATTGTCTTTCGCTTCCTCACTGGTATCGGTGGATCTGCCTGTCTGACCACGGGTGGTGGTGTGGTGGCCGACCTGTTCGTGGCCGAGCAGCGCGGAATCGCAATGGCCGTCTACACGACCGGTATCCTGATCGGACCCGTTCTGGGGCCCCTTCTCGGAGGCTTCATCGCCCAGAGAGCAGGGTGGCATTGGGTATGTCATCTTCCTGTTTGCTCCCAGTTCATTTCCAATACTAACATCATGGTAGGTCTTCTGGGTGCTGGTCATTGCGGGCGGCACGCTCTCCGCCCTGGTCATGATCTTCAACCGCGAGACGAACCCCGTCGTGCTTATGCGCTGGAAAACCGAGCGCCTTCGCAAGGAGCTTAATCGCCCCGAGCTGTACAGCTGCTACGAACCGAACGGAGGCGACTCTAAAGCCTCATTCCGGAGCTCCCTGGGAAAGCGGTTGATCATGCCCTTCTACCTCTTGGTCCGTTCGCCGATTGTCTTTCCTGTCGCCACCTACCTCGCCACTCTCTACGGATGTCTTTACCTGCTGTTTACCACCATCAGCGACGTGTTCAAAAAGACCTACGGCTGGGACACTGAGATCAGTGGTCTCGCGTATCTCGGGCTCGGAGTGGGCTTCATCAGCGGCCAGATCTTCTTCGCCCTGGTCAGTGATCGCATCATCACCCGGCTGAAGGTGCGTAACAACAACGTGTTCGAGCCGGAGATGCGACTGTCGATCACCATATTCTTCGCCTTCTTCATCCCGGTCTCGTTCTTCTGGTATGGGTGGTCCGCCAAGGCGAAGGATTTCTGGATCGTTCCCATCATTGGACTGGCTCCCTTTGCGTTCGGCATGGTCGGCATCTACAATACGCTGCAGACATATGTCATTGACTGCTACCCCCGGTATGCTGCATCGGGAACCGCCGCCATGGTCATCACCCGGTCGCTGATGGGTGCCTTTCTGCCTCTGGCGGGTCCCCGCATGTACGCGGCGTTGGGCTATGGGTGGGGAAATTCCCTGCTGGGCTTCGTCACGCTGGCCATGATCCCGGTGCCGGTTCTGTTCTACAAGTATGGCGGACAAGTCCGGAAGGCATCCGAATTGAACCTGTAATCGCTTGCAGTGCTTTGATTTAATGGTGAAATGGGTGGTTCCCCGTGGTTAAGACACCACGGTCGGGACCAGGGAAAAATGATGCATAATGGGATTGTGATGCGTGGTTTGATTATTATTCGTCTTTTCATTTCTTGGTCTCTTCAACACGTACATATAGAGTACACTTTTTTTTTCGGTAGTATCTTGGATGGCGTTTGGCGCGGGGGAAGCAAACTGGGAGCCGGGAACCCAGTCCGAGGCTGGTCCCGGATTGTATATAGAGGACAGGACTGGGGGAGTGTTGATATGTAATGTTGCTTTACGATGATAAATAATAGATGGTGTTTTTGGGATGTGCGTTTGCCTTGATTCCATCAGAAGCAGCTCCGAACTTGGAGAAACTGACGCGCCTAGGATTGTTACAAGTCCCCGGGATTCTTCATCCCTGATCTAGATGGCAACTTTCAAGATCTATCGCTGTTTAGCGCTGATTGATGTGCTGTGATCAGATGTGATACCCCAGTGATGACGCTCCAGTACCCCCTCCCCTATTTTTCCTAGGCTCCGTGCGCTTTACACATCTAACTTACACATTTATCCAAAAGCCATTAACAAAAAACCCTAAAACAGCCAAACCACTACCAACTCAGCCATGGCCACTCCAAACACTAAGAAATCAAGAAACTGACCCTGCAAAGTGACCATGACTAGTCAGTCCATACATCCCACTCAACAAACCCAACACCCATCCATCCTACCTCTAGGCTTCATCATCCAACCCATAAGCCAACCCCGAAAACACACCATCAAACCGTACCGTATAATCAATCAATTCAGGAGGTACTCCGGATAAATCTCCCCGGACACGCAACGAGGGCCGTAAATGCGCAGGCTGATAAAGTCGTGGCTGAAGGACCTTGGCACAATCGTGGATGCGAACTTGGCTTCCTTGGCGCCAGATCCGTCGGCTGGTTCGTTGGATGCCTCCGGGTGTAAGGTCTGGGGATGAGTTGCAGGGGGGGCGGATGGATTGGTTATCGGAAGAAGAAGAAGAAAGTTGGTGTGCTTGGGTTTGGTGGGGAGTGCAAGTGGGGTGTGAGTGTGAGTGTGAGTGGTGCCAGGAATGGCATATCGAGCAGGTTATGTTGAGGTCAGTGCGATTGCCACAGCAGGGGATGAGTAATGAGTAGTTTTGGATGGTTAGAGCCCGGAATTGGGAGATGGAGGGGGAGGTGTAATAGCATTTCGAGGCTGTGAGGGAGGCTTGGGAGAGGGAGATGGTATCGCGTGGCGGGAGGTTCTGGATTATGAGGTGCAGGATTTCCGGGGGGAGGTGATAGGGCCATGATTCGAGGTGGGTGGGGGATTTGAGCCAGCAGGTTGAGGTTAGAATTTGAGAGAGGATGCGGAAGCCGGGTGAGCAGTGGGTTGCGGATTGATTTGAGAGGAGGGCGAGAGGACGAGTGGATTTCAGGGTGGTGTGGGAGAGCTCGGAGAAGGCGATGTGATGGGGGGAGATGATGATTGAGTGAATGATCCGGCCTTGAGATATTGGGGTTGAGGTGTGGTTTTGGGCCTTGAGGAGGGCGGAGCGGAGCATGGGCGGGGATGAGATGTTGGGATGGAGAATGATGAGATATCCGTGGAACCAGTAGATGTTTTCTTTGGGATACGTCCAGGAGGGAATGGATGCGAACGAGATGGGAAGTTCCACGTCAGGATCTGAGGAGATTTCTAGATCCCAGGCTGCTAGACGTAGAATGGCTATACACATGCAATTGAAGACGGGGGATTGGTAGTGCCAGGTCATTGGGTCGTCGATGTAATAGCGCCATGGGAAGATGAAATCGATGAAGAAGCGGGCCTGGAGTTCGTTCAATGGGGTGGGGGGGCCGAAGTCGATATGTAATTGTTCTGGTGCCACTCCGGTACATTCGGATTCACTGGCTGAGATGAGATTGTCTGTGGGTGAGTATCGCGGCCGTTGGCGTAGATCATCGATGCACAGACTCGTGGCTTGGTATGCAGTGGCCAGTTCGAGACAGACTGGTTTCGGCATCAAATTGCCGTCTAATTCGTCCCAGAATGTAATAATTAAGATGTTGGCCACAAATCCACGGTGTAGACCCAGTCGAAACCCGAATGAAGGGGACCGGGAAAGGGGGCTTTCTCCCAGTGTGATAACAGGAGCGATACCATTGTCCTGCGAAGGATTAGTTGTTGATATCTGGATACTGATAATGACACCGACCGTTGACCAGCAAGTTCCAGAGACCTCTACAGCCCATTGTGCGTGGTGATTTGTGTAACTGCTAAGGTATGAAGATTGGTCTGATGGGGAGTGAACAAGATGGGGATTGATGATCTGTGATGGATGGTTGATGCATGGACGGTTGACTGGACGACCTCCCACGCAAGGGTGCAGGCGGTAAATGCCTTGCCCGACGGCCACTATCGCCTGAATCTGCCACCGTATCAACTCATTGATATCGTATAACCCTAACAAAGCACCCATCATGGTAAAATAATGTTGGAACTATTTCACCTTGGAATTGTTCCACCAACCTGAGAAGTATCTCTTTTAGTCTAGTTGGAAAATTCTGTCAAATAATATGGTGAAATTGATCTATTCATAACGCTCGTAATCATGATACAAGATAGAAAAACAATCCTCGAACCCAAGTCTCCTCCAGCTCGCTCTATACAGTCTGGATCCCCCATTCCACACCTTCATCCATTGCATTCCTTCACTCACTCGTCACCGGCGCAAACGTCGTGGCCGCCACCGCCATGGCCAGCTCACCCGAGTGACTGATGCTGACCTGGATCTTGGACAGCTGCTTCTCCTCTGCAATCTTCTTCACCTCGCCATGCAACTACATATCATGTTAGCTAATCCCCACCATCATCCCCATCATCAACACAAGCAAAACTCACATAAACAGTCGGGATCCCCCCCGAGCTGAGAATCTCAATCTCATTCAGAGCCGCCCCCGCCCCCTTGGACGGCACCTGCAGACTCTTAAACACGGCCTCCTTGGCTGCCCACCGGCCCGCAAACGAGTGCGCCGGATCAGGCGCCGCCTGACAGTACTCGCGCTCGCTGGCCGTGTAGTTCCGCTCCAGGAACACCTCGTTCTCGATGTTGATCGCCGTCACCGACTCAATGTCCACGCCCACCGACGTCGATCCGTCCGTGGTCACTGCCCCCTCCACCCACTTCTGCGCTGCATTCATCAGCGGCTCGCTGGTGGGTGTCGACGGCGTCTCCACGGCTGTCAACACCCCCGAGCTGATCTCCGATGCGGAATCCTCCGAGTCGGGATGCAGGCACTTGGCATCGAAGAAGTAGCTGTTGTCGTCCACGGCTACCCGCGCATAGGGGTCCAGGAATACCCGCATCTCGTCCTCGGGAGCCCATGCTGACGTCTTCTTGGCTTTGAAGAGCGAGTTCGTGTTCAGACCCTCGATGAAGGCCCGGTTCGCGGCCTCGGCACGGCGGAGCGCCTTGAGACGATATGTCTCGTAGGGGGCCTGGTCTATGGCGGCGAAGAGATAGCGCGGGGAGATCGTCACCACCAGGCCGCCCTTCTGGCCGAATCCGAACGACGTTAGCATGAAGGCCCGGATACCCCGAGTCTGGATCGACTCCGCCGGGTACACCAGGTGGTCGAACTTCTGCAGCGCCTGGTCGACGTTATCCGCGTTGCGGTTGCCCGGCACCACGCCCGACTGCAGGATCTGCAGCCCGCCGTTGAGCATCCACGCCCCGGCCGCTCCCTTGGGGTGACCGGTCAGATACTTCTGGCAGACGACTAGCACCGGATTGCCCTTGGTGCGACCGAGGTGGCTCATCATGGTGTTGATCACCTCGGATTCGTTCTTGTCGTTGGCCTTGGTCGACGTGCCGTGGAAGGAGGCCACACCGATGTCGTCGATGCTGAGTCCCCATACGGCCAGAGCCGCCCGGATAGGAGAGATGCCCGGGTCCTGCTGGCGTAGGTCCAGACCGTATAGGTTCTGCGCCTGGCGGATCTGCGTCGCCGCAGCCTTCTCAATGACCGCGGTCAAGTGCGGCGAGAGCTGGCCCTCCTGTCGGGCCTTCTCCAGCTGCAGGGCCGCGCCCTGTTGGATCTGGGCGCGTGCTTGCTCAAACTGCTTCTGACGGAACTGGACATCCAGCAGAGGCGACAGCGATGCCGTGGTGGCCTCGCGCGCGGCCGTCAAGATACCCTTGCCTGGCGCGGGCACGGACCGGCCGACCTTGTCACCGGCCATCTGCGAGTATGCGACGATACCGTAGATCGGTACACCCATCTCGAGGGCCAGCTGAGCGGTCATGAGCAGCTGAACACCGCAGCCTGCCGATTCGACGAAACCGGCCCGCGAGGTGGCCGTGGGTCGCGATATTTCGCGCGGGGTGCGGCCTCGCTCGAGCTCCTCGACCGTGTTGGCTGTGGCTTTCATGTTGGCGAACTCGTAGGACATCTCCTCCTGCAGGTCATCGGTACCTCCCACCAGGGCTACTTTGACCTTGCCGGATTGGAGACCCTCGCAGGCCGTGTCCAGGGATTCAATGGCCGTGGCACAGGTTCCCGAGGGCGACTTGATGGGACCAGCGGATCCCATCAGCAGCATGTTGGCCCAGGCATCCATGGCGTTGGGGAAGGATTCCTGCAGAATATCGCTCTGGACGTCACGGTCGAGGTAGCGGTCCCGGTAGACGCCCCGCATGGCGATGAGACCACCAGCACCTGTACCGATGCAGTTGGCCAGCTCGGACACATGGATGTGGCGGTACAGCTCGTACGGGTCTTGGATGCCGGCACTTAGCATGGCCTGGCAGACACAGCACAACACGTACAGCGTGATGGGGTCCACCTGCGAGACAATCTCCGCCGGGATTCCGTATGCCTTCGCGTCCCATCCGGTAGGCAGCTGGCCCGACACCAACCGGTCAAAGGGCTGGGCCTTGGGCACCAGGAAGCGCGCGCCGGGCTTGAACTGCACGTTGTAGTCCTCGCCCTCATCCGAGGCCGGCGAGATGGACACCTTGTCACCGTGCTTGGTCTTGAATGCCGTGGCCACGGCCCGACTGGCCTGGAAGACGGGCAGATCCTCCTGCACCACCACCTCCTGCAGGAACTCCTTCTTGGCTGGGTCGTATCCATCGTAGAGCTCCGGCTCGATGAAGCGCAGACCCGCGTGCTCCTGGATGTAGGCGCCATACTTCTCGCCAAAGTCGGCCTCGTGCACCGGCTGGTTGGACTTGGCGTCGACCCAGCCCACGTACGCGGCGCCCTGGATGTCGCCCTCGAAGTGCTTGACCAGGCCCATGATCCAGGCCATCTCGACGTAGCCGGCCGGGCTGAGATCGCCGGCGCGCTCCATGTCCCAGCGCGTGCGGGCACTGCCCCAGGGGCCTAGCTCGGAGTAACCCGCCACGACAATGGTCTTGCTCAGGTCGATCAGGTCGCGTCCGGGCAGGTGGATGCCGGCCGTGATGGCCTCGTGGTCGGGCAGCTCCGGATGTCCGACTGTCAGGTTGGCGCGGGGCTTGCGCACTGTCGGGGCGGGGGTCTCAGGGGCCGGACCGTTCAACAGGCTGTGGTGCAGCTCGTCTTCGGCGGCAATGGCCTTTCTGGCGCGGGCCTGGTGCTGCACGGAGCGGCGGGCAGAGGTGGACAGGCCCTTGAGGTCGGCCAGCTGCTCCATCTTGCCGCCCAGGTCGGCATACACGGGGGCGTCCTCGCAGGCCTCGGCGATCTCGGGGGTCATGAGGGCCATGATGTTCAGGGCCATTTCGGCCGACGAGAAGGTGACGACGTCCTCGGCCTCGATGGCCTCGGCGACGATGTTGTTGGCGCTCATCAGCCCCGTGCCGCGCGTCCAGCCGATGACGGCGCCGCACACGGTCAGGTAGTCGCCCCAGCTCTCCGACTGGAAGCGGTTGAAGAGCGTCTCCAGGCCGATCTTGGACTCGGAGTAGAGGCCGTCGCCGCCAAAGGTACCGTGGTTGGGCGACAGAGGGAGAATGACCTGCGTCGGGTTGGCGTTGTAGCCCCGGGACTCTTTCTGCTGCTTGATGAAGCCCAGCAGGCGCAGCAGGTTGACCAGCATGGCGCGGTGGGCCACCTCGGACAGGCCATCGAGGCCATCGATCTGGCGGCCGTTCTCGGAGATGGCGGCAAAGGGGATCACGCAGTCGATGTCGCCAGTGCCCAGGGTGTCGGTGTACAGGTGGGTGATGAGGGCCTGGCAATCTTGGCGACTGGCTGCGTTGAAGGGGAAGACGGTGAGCGAGGAGCCCCGGCCGCAAAAGTCGCGGTATAGAGACCGGTAGAAGTCCATGTTGGACCGGCTGGTGGTGACAATGACCTTGGCACCGGCCGTCAAAAGGCCGCGAGTGACCTCGGCCCCAATGGACTGGGGTCCGGCCCCGGTGATGAGCACCGTCTTGCCGGCGAAGGTGACTCCATTGGAGGTGGCGGCCTTGACGATGTCGAGGTAGGACGTCGTGAGATCGTCGTGGTACTTCCAGCCATTGCCGGCTTGACGGCTGAGCCGGACAAAGGGCTCGTTCTTGGAGGTGGGCGCATCAAACCGACTGCCTCGCTTGAGCAGGTCGTAGTAGGTGTCTGGCCGGCCACCAATGGTGCGCGCAATTTCCTCGTATTCGATCACGCCCTTGGGGCTGACGGTGGTTCGGGGGCCCAGAGGGGGCACGCGGTGGATGAAGACCGGGTTGCCCGACAGGGCATCGCGGTAGCCGTGGAACAGCTGCTCCAGGGGACGCACCTGCAGCTGCTTGTCCGAGTTGCGCAGCGGGTCGGCAATGTTGTACTTGACGAGGTCGAAGGCACTGGCATTCGCGCGGTTCAGCACGCGCCAGATGTGCTCCTCGTTCGGGGTACCGCCAGGCGCCAGCAGCAGCGAGGCAATGTCGACGCGGGCCCAGTTCCACCAGGCATCGTAGACGCGGCCGCGACGGGCGTTGAAGATGGGCGAGACTTTGGTCAGGAAGCCATCGCCGAACTCGGCCTGCCAGGCCTCCAGCTTCTTGTCGGCCTCCTGCCACAGCTCTTCGCTGTGCGCCAGCTTCTGCACCAACTCGCCGCCGTCCTCGTCGACGAGCTTGCCCAGCGCCAGGTGAAGCTGCTTGAAGGCATCGTTCTGCTCCGTGCGCAGACGCTCCAACTCCTTGGAATCGATCATGGCACCGCCCGCGGCCTGACCTCCCCCGGCTGGACCGGCCGCCGGGCTGATGGTGATGCCGCAGTGGCGTCCGTAGCGAGCCACGACGCTGTCGACGAATTCCTTGGCCGACTGGGGACTCTCCAGACGGGCGGAAGGATCCAAGCTGACGGCGTAGCAGAGCACGGCCGTCTGGCGCTGGGAGCCTAGACCCCAGGTGGATTCGAGGTGGCTGCGGACGGTGTTCTGGTTCCAGCCAGCAGGGAATCTGGCCGAGATCAAGCGAGCCACCAGGGCAGACATCACCTTGCTGGGGCGGCCGGTGAAGTTGGAGTCGAGGGCAGCGCCAACGGCCTCGAGAGGAAGGTCTTCGCAGCCATCGGGAGTGCTGCCAAACTCGGCCACGAGGTCTCCGATAAGTTCGTTCTGTAGGGTAGATTTACCTAGATAGTGTGAGCCTATGGACACCCGTCGGAGGATAGTTAGTTGCACTTACCTCCGGACAGGTCCCGGATGGATTTCTGTAGGGGAACCTGGTCAAAGGGCTGCTTCAGCTTCTGGGCACTGATCGCCAGCACAATGTCCAGGGCTGACAACGGCACATCATCGACAGCCGCCGCCACTGCAGCGGGAGCAGCAGGCACAGGCGCAGCTGCAATCGGAGCGGCCGGGGCAGCAGCAGCGGCCACCGGGGCTGGGGCAGCCTCTGGAGTCTCAGCCGGGGCGGCCGGCTGGGTCTCTTCATATTCATAACAGATCTGGGCGTAGTCATCGCTGTGGGAGAGGAACTGGCGGCGAAGCAAACGCAGCTTGTCCTGCAGCTGGTGATTGCGACCGACGGTCTTCTTGCCCATGGTGGACAGGACCTTGGACGGTCCAACCTCGACATATCTCTCCACGGCCTCATTCCTCGTAAAGAACTCTTTCTGTGTGTCGATCCTAGTCCGGTCAGCGGGGTGTATGGAATCGAGGAGTCAACAGGCGGACTCACCATTGGACCGGGAAGGCAAATTGGTAGCTAGACACGAGCAGGTTAGCTTCTAGCTCGAGCAAGAACATCAAAGTCGACAGAACACTCACGCCAATAGCTCGATAAGAAGCGTTCGGGCCAGGGAGCGCCGCTCCTGCTCCGACTCGGGGAGCGATCGCACTGTTTCTCCCATGTTGAATGTGTTGGTGGAGTGAGCTGGATCAGGAGACGACGACGAGGGCCATCACGGAGATAAAAAGGCGCCTGTTGTCGAGAGCCCTTCTGATATACATACTTCTCCCCTCTCCACGGACAGCATTAATCCGGCTTGGCTATCTCTCTCCACTGGCCGAGAGATTCCGTGTCCAGAAGCGTCCGACAGGGCCCGGGGCATTCGGGCATCAGGGCTGATGAAGGAGGGCTCGCCCGGCGGCCGATTCCCGACAGCCACCGTCGGACGGAAGGATTTGCGCCCCCAACACCAGCCAGTGGTCTGTTCGTGTCGATCCCGGGTCAGATTGGCCTGTCTCATCTTGTCAGCGAATGATTTATATACGACTTCCAATCCGCGGTGGTGGTAGTGTCATGCCCTAGATTAGGACCGTCCATCCGCGCCCCTCCCTTCCCCTCCCCCTCACCCCTCAGCATCCATCCCACTTCCCCTCCCCAGATCAGATAGATCTTCTGCCACCATGCCTGATATAGCCTCCAACGGTGCCCGCAATGGCACCTCCGCCCATGCAGAGGAAAAGCCGGAGTCCCCGGTTCTCCACGTGGTGGATAGCCGCACGGGAAAGTACCACTCCATCCCGATCGTGCGCAACGCCATCAATGCCAGTGAATTCAAGAAACTCAAGACTGCCGAGGATCCGGAGCATCCGGAAGACCAGAATGAACAGGGTATCCGCGTGTTCGACCCTGGTTACTCCAACACTGCTGTCAGTGAGAGTAAGGTCACTTACATGTATGTCCTTCCCTCCTCAGTTGGCATATCATATCATTAACCTGGATCCACAGCGATGGCCTCAAGGGACAAATCCAGTACCGTGGCTACCGGATCGAGGATATCGTGGGCAAGAAGAAGTTCATCGACACGGCACATCTGCTCATCTGGGGGGAATGGCCCACCCCGGAACAGGCCCAGACTCTGCACGAGAAACTGTCCAGTGTGCCTGTCATCAATGAATCCGTCTTCAAGGTCATCCAGGCCTTTCCGTAAGTATCTCATCTCCACTTATACCCTCACCCACCGTCCCCCTCAGCCAACAGACTAACCGTCCATCCAGCCCTAACTCCTCCATCATCGGCATGATGATTGCCGCTCTCTCCGCCGTCCAGAGCTCCCAAATGGACCGCATCCCCGCCCACGCAGCCAAGAACCTGTACCTGGGCCTGCCCAAGGCCGTCGACGACGAGATCATCCGTCTGATGGGCACTCTCTCCATGATCACCGCCGCCGTCTACTGCCATCACACCGGTCGCGACTTCACCCCGCCGCGCCCGGAACTGTCCTACATCGAGAACTTCCTCCTGATGATGGGCCACGTCGACTCGACCACCGGCCTGCCCAACCCCCAATACGTCGACCGTATTGAACGCCTCTGGGTCCTCATCGCCGACCACGAAATGACCTGCTCCACCGCCGCCTTCCTCCAAACCGCCTCGTCTCTCCCCGACGTCTTCTCCTGCATGATCTCCGCTCTATCGGCCCTCTACGGACCCCTCCACGGCGGCGCCATCGAAGTCGCCTACAAGAACTTTGAAGAGATCGGCACGGTCGAGAACGTTGCCGCCAAGATCGAGCGCGTCAAGGCCGGCAAAGAACGTCTCTACGGCTACGGTCACCGTATCTACCGCGTCACAGACCCCCGCTTCACTTTCATTAGCCAGATCCTGGATGAGCTGAAGGATGAGATCGCCCGTAACCCTATCCTTAAAGTGGCTTTTGAAGTGGACCGCGTTGCCTCAGAGGATGAGTACTTTGTCTCCCGTAGACTGCGCCCCAATGCCGATCTCTTCGCTGCTTTGACCTACAGTGCTATGTAAGCGGATCTCTCTTCTCTTCCGAATCCTGAAGATAACTTCCGAGCCGTGATGATGAATGGCCTAACTAACTGGCGGTCTAGGGGCTTCCCCACCGAGTTCATCCTCCCGCTGTCTCTCCTCTCCCGTACCCAGGGTTTCATGGCCCACTGGAAGGAAGCTATGTGTAAGTCCTCCGTGCCTCTGATTCGCTACACCGGGGCCTGTTTGCCACTGGCCTGAGACGGAATGAAACCAACTAACTATGAACACGTATAGCCGGCTCGGCACGTATCTGGCGTCCCGGGCAGATCTACACTGGCCACTTGAACCGTGAGATGGAGTAGGTAGACACACGGATTGAAATGGGAAGTAAACTAATCTAATCCGTATTGAGACTATGATATGAGACAGTCCCACAAGCCGGGCAGTAAATTACGCGAGCCAGCGAGCATGTTGGCCTGAGCGAGCGAGTGTCAGGATTTGGGTCTCGGATTTCGGCGCATGATGATATGAACATAGATAGATGCATACATGATATGGACAAGCTTTTTTCTTGTGCATTGGTGGGTGGGCCGGATGGCGTCTGGGAGATAAGGACGGTAGGTAGCGAATAGAATGCTGGGGAGAGATGTTGTGTTGATAAGTGGTGCAGGGTGCAGGAGACTAGGCTTTAGTGGTTGCAGGGGTGGCATTGGGGGGGGGGGGGGGGGGTTATGGTAGTGGTGGGTGAGGATCATTATGATTGTGAGGTAGTGGGTTAGGGCAGTATGGTTATCAGTGGTCTTGTTGATTGATTCGTGTTATACTCATGTACCAAAGGTTAATAGTTATTCATTGGTCAATATATGTAACCGTGGTAGTGTACTGTAAAGTATATGATAGTGCATGGCAGCGATAGCGATACCAATACCTAGCAGGGATCACAATACATGATAAGACACTAGACATGATGGCTATCACATGAAGATACACCTGCGTAGATTGCACCTGTAGTCAAGCTATCTCGGGATTCGCATGCTTTCGTAGTAATGACACTATACTCTAGTACTTGCAGCTACAATCTAATTGTATGCATCCATATCCTAGTCCTCGACGCGACCGCACTGAATACCTCCATCTTGCAAGGATCATTACGGTTCAAGGCAGCAACATATATTCTGTACATTACTGCAGCTATCACATGAAGATACGTCATGGTCTGTGTGAACTACTGTGTTAGTAGTTGCATGCCATGGTAATATACAAAATGCTTGATGGGACGCCTTGCAAGGATCATTATAGTTAGTTCGATGCAGCTATATATGTAGCGTAGAACATGTGAATATGTGGGAATGCAAAGGGGGTAACGACTATGATAGTTCGTCCACCGGCGCTTGTCGCGGTCGCGATAGGGGTGTCTTGCAGGCATCATGACAAGTTCGTGCTGCAGTAGCAGAGGTACGGTGCAGTTTGAGACTGTCACATGTACAGACCAGCATATGCATGTAGTATATTGGGACTACATTGATAGCTACATGCATCCGTGTTGTGCTAGATAGTATCATGGGGGTTGATTGCGATCGCAAGCGGAAAGTCACGCGAGGGGATTCATGGTTGCCTGGCCTGATACAGGGATGAATGGATAGTGCTCTACTGTATCCGGATTGATGGAAGCTATTGCGAAGTAGTCTTGGAGATATCATGGCAACAATGTGTTGTCTACCTGTTGTCTACCGGGGCAATTCCGATGACTAAACATTGTAGACCAAGCAGGGGGTATAGTGTAAGTGTAAGCAAGGCTGATGTTTGCTATCACGATCGCAGAACCTGGTTAGAGCTAGAATCTTCCATGAGAATAGTCATCATTGGATGGGGCTGATAACCCGCCCACCGCGATAGCCCTACTACATACAGTATTGTGGCATCACATGCGATCGCAATACGATATCTCTCGTGAGGGGATTGTGCCTGTTTGATATTGCGATAAAGCACTTTCCTGCAGTGTTGGTCATCAGCGCGTATTAGCAATCCGACCCTGGCAATCATTCCCTGTTTCGGATGAAGGGAGCCCTGAGCTGTGCTGGTCTTCACCATCGGCCGCCCGACCGTGCATTGATTGCAGGCCAGTCACCGGCAGCTCCCTTTCAGGAAAGGAGAGTAGCTTGGCGCGATTGCAGTTTTGACAGTTATCTACTTTAATTGACTTTCTATTATGTCTGGGCAATCGGTCGCGATCTAGCGGTCAACTGGATTGACCGTCGCATGGGGGATGTATCGGGGTCAAGTTTAAGTAGAATGGCCATGTTTCACCTCGCATGATTGACAGGCCGGAGACGATCGACCATGTTGCAAGAGTCTACTTTATTAAAGTTCCCTTTGTTTCAACGTGGCTCATCGACGATGATCGGCATGGCCAGAGTGGATTGATCGGCCGCATTCGCAGTGGGCCATCGGTCGTCTCCAGCCCGCTGGCTGGCTGGCCGGGGCCATTCATTCATTCATTCATTCCCTCGTGATGGTGAGGGGAAATGTTGCTGCTGCTGCTGCTACTGCTGCTTTGCTATCTTTTTTTCTCCAATTTTCTCCAACGGTGCGTGCTATCAGATACCGGGCAATTCTAATCAACCTCCTGCACCACATCCCCAAACCGGTCAACCGAGCGGAGTTCTCCGGAGAGTGAGTAAAATTAAATTGCAGCTGCATGTCACGTCAACCGCCGGTACCGCTTGTACTATTAGTTAACTAGTGAGCGGGAAGAAATGGAGACAGATTATGGGTATTATCATGGGGATGGGGTTATTCAGCATCCCAGGCACTAGGCTCGGATGCGTCTTAGTCGCCGAACACTGAAGAAAGCGCCTCCCAATGCTCCGTAACTACTAACTAGAGTAGTTAGTAGTAGCTACCCCAAAGCCAAACCCCATAAGGTTGACGAGGTGACGGTTGGCTGGCCCACCAGCCACGCTAGTCGTTGGCCGATCCCTGAGGCGACTCCAAAGGCCAAACACTAGCGACTCGACTCTGCGGCTTGGAACAGGATGAAGGAATGTTCCAGGCATCCGCTGTACTGGTTTAGGCAGGTCGTACAGGAAGCGAGGTCTCGGACAGCTGCAGGTTGTCCTCCTGGAAGCGAGAGAAGCCCGCGCAATTGAGCGTGGGAAGGCGATAGCGCGTGGTTGGATACGAGGTGACTAGCTGGTGCCCTAACCTCGATTTCGGCATCCTCGCTGCAACAATCCCAGCTTGGCTTCCGAAACCACATGCGGGACCCACCGGGGCGAAGCAGCAGCAGCAGCAGCAGCAGCAGCAGCTGTCGATCCCCAATCCCCATCCCCAAGCAAGTTACTTACTTTGTCATTAGTCTTATGGACTTGTAGTCAGCCAACGCTCGGACAAGTGGGAGGATTGCCCTTCCTTCCAGCCTGCCTGCCTTCCTGCCTGGCGGAGCCCCCCGGGATGATGGATGCAGTCAGCAAACGCCCACCACTAACAACCCATCTTGCTGACTCCATCTGGATCCCAATCCAGACGGCCCGCGGAATCTCTGACTAACCGCGGAATAAGCAATCGCTAAGGCGCGGTCCGGATGGTTGAGGTGCAACATCGAAAAATAGAATAAGCTCTGCAACGAAGGGACCGCACGGGAGTGACGGGACCACCGACGCGACGAGGCGATCCTGCAGGAGCTCAGATGTCTTTTAGCTGCATCGTCTAGCCCCGGCTGGCCACGTAAACGGAAATTGGTTGCCCCTCCTGGCTCATGGCGTCTGCGGCCGGAGGCGACTCGGCCAGAATCCGTCGTGAACAGTCAGAAAACCCCTCCATCAGATAATGAGGGTCTTCCTGGTCTGGCCATTGCCAGTCGATCGATCTACCTCGTGGCGCCACGCCCCTCTGCTCCGTCAGGACTGCCAAGCTGCAGATCGTCGACCTGGGTCCAGACGCCCTTGTGGAAGGGGGCTTGGACCGTTGCTCGTCTCTGTCTCTGGGACATTTTGCTCCGATGGCTTGACTGGTCGCATCCCAGAGTTGCGCCCCTCCCTCGCAACTGCACAGACTGCAGAATCTTATCCATCTCCGCACGGGTTAGTGGCCCAGTTCATTGCTAGGAAGGTCCTTCGGGGCCGGAAAATGAATCCTGCAGATGGCGATGACGGAGGAAGACGTAAAGGAACCCTTGCTACAGCTTCTGCGAACGCACCCAGCTGGCATCGGATCCGGATCCCCGTCTGAGTAAGACGCTGCTGCCGTTCGGATGAAGCCAAATGATGCCCTTTCGAGGCATGCCGCGGAGAAGGGAGGGAAAGAAGGATTCACACACAGCAGCTCCCCTCGTTGGAAGGAATCCCCGGAAGGTCCAGTTCCCCCCCTGCAGTAGATGACGCCGATATGAATCCATCGGAGTGGAATACCAGACTGAGGAGTTACTGCATGTGGGTAACCCCGACATCCGGGCGTGAATTATTATCGTCACGGCTCGTTTGACTTGCCCCGTCCGGCGTTGCCACTCGGCAGGATGCAGCCTCTGCCTCCAAGGGCTTCATGCTTTCATCAGCAACCGGACCACTGCGGGTAAGCAGGCATGTCTATCATGGCGCCAGGGATGCTGCAGCCGGCCACGACGACGCGCCGGGCGGAAATGACAGGTCGGAGCACACGGACGTCTTCCTGCCAGTGGGTCACGCCTATATTAGGCCCTGTTATGCGAGATGGCACCAGCGCGGCCATTGGCAATGATACACAGGGTAGGTAGCTATCAGCGCCGCCAAGCGGAGGATTGTAAAGAACCTGATAGTCCCCTCGACCACGATGAGCCATCAGAGGCTGTAAGCCCTCAATCTGAGTCAGCGCTAAAATCCTCCGCCCACCAGGATCGAAGGCCCCAAGGCGCCATCCAGGAGAGTGATGAAGCTTGATGAGCCTGGTGCGACAGTGGATATGGGCCCGATAACGGTCCGCTGGCCTAGTGGTCGTCGTATTCCCCCCTCTCCTGTAGTACCTCCAGTCCTGGTATATCTTCTGCTGCATTGCCTGCTCGGCAGCCCCCGATGCCAGGTACTTGGCTCTCCTTAGCTCTCGTGTTTCTTGGTCCCGTGCGTAATTGATCCATTGTCTGAGCGTTGCTTGATGAGCTGGTGAGCCGACCAGAGAAGAGCAGAGAAGAGAAGAGAGAGCATCATGGCCACTCCCCGCACCGCGAGCGTGTCTGTCCAGAAGAGTAGGGTGCGTGGCACTGGCTCGTTGAGTCCGGCCTGTGATGAATGTCGCATCCGCAAGGTGCGCTGCAATAAGGAATATCCCAAATGCTCGAGTTGTCGAGCCTCCAACCTGCCCTGTGAATTCTCCAACAAGGGCAAGCGCATCAACCATACCAAGAAGCTGTATGTCCACCTTCCCCATATACCTCTTGGCCCCTCCCCCTCTGCCCCTCTCTGGTCCGTGCTCGATGGATATGGCGTTGTCTAACAGGTTCTGTCCGCTGGGGCTTGCAGAGTCAACGACGTGGAGCTACTTGGCAGCCGTCTAGGCAAAATCGAAGAGGCCCTCTTTCGTTGTCTGTCCGTGGTTGAAGCTGCCAACACCCCTCGGTATGGCTCTCCCACCCAACCCCCGTCCCGGCCTGACTCGGATGGCCGGGAGGACCGAGATGACTCTCGCCGGAGCTCGGTGGACTCGGATGACAGCTGGTCCGACGGCTCTGCGGATCCCTTTTCCCAAGCCGATCGGGATTCCGGCATTGAGTTGTCCGACTGTGGCAGTCCCTTGGCATCGCTCTACTCCGAGGCGCAGGCCGTGGGGGACCAACTGATGGCCGCCATGGGCATGGATGATGACCAGGGGGCGTCGAGTCCACGCGGGCGTGAGGCTCAAGGGTCTCCGGATGACTCGCTTCGCGCTCATCTGTCAGATGCATGCGGACTCTTCCAAGAGCTGGCCACGGGTCCGCCTCCTGTGTCGGAACCCAAGTATGATGACCTTCCACCGGCGTTGCCCCCTCGGACCCTGCTGGAAGGCTTCGTGGATGCGTACTTTGTCGAGCTGAACCCCTTCCTCCCCATCTATGACCGACAGAGTGTGATGGATGCCATCGACCAGCAGTATGGGGGCCACAGCGAAGCCCCGGATCTAGCCTGGGTCTGTTCCTTCAATAGCATCCTCCTGCACACCCTCGAGGCCAAGTCCAGCGCCGCGCGACCCGCCGGTCAAATGGGCGACAGCACGTTGGAACGCGGACTGGTCGTACATCTGCTGCTGAATGCGCGCCGTTGTTACAACAACTTTGAGCGGCTGCTTCAACCGCGGGTGGCCAATGTTCAAAGTCTCCTGAGCATGGTATGTAGCCTTTTGCCCCCTCATTAGGGTCTGGTTTAGGGGTGAAATCAAGCTGACGATCAATGCAGGCACTGGTGGCACTCAAATACTTCAGCTTCACCATGTTCGAGACGGTGTTCGCTCAGGCGTGCCAGCTGGCCCGGACGATAGGGCTCCACCAGATTGCCCCGGGCATTCCGCAAGAGACCGAGCGGCGGCACCTATTTTGGTCCCTGTTCATCATTGACGTATGATTCCCCGCACTGCTGCTTCTGAAGACCTTGGACTGATCATGACGTAGAAACATGCTGCTCTAGTGGCCGGCAAGCCCTGTCTGCTGCCTTCGTATGGCTGTGCCATTCCGCTGCCCGTGTCCCGATCCGGCTCTCTCACCGAGGACCAGTTCACGGCTCGGATTTCGCTGGCCGCCATCCTCGAGGAGATGTATCGTCGTCTGCACTCTGCCCGCGGGGCGCGACGAGGCCGGGACCAGCTCAGTCGACGTGCCAGCCAGGTTGCCCGACGTGTAGAAGAGTGGGCAGTGCAATACGAACATGCCCTCTGCCCATCCGGCACCCCCGAGCCCTCGCAGGTGCTGGCAGCCACCGAGCTGCAGTATGCGCTGTATATCTGCCGGGTGCTGGCGCAGCGACGCATCAGCTCAACAGACAGTCGTGCCAAACGGCGCGAATATGCTCGTGCCGGGCTGCGCCTGCTGCAAGAACTGTGTGATGGCGATCAGACCGGGGGACGTCGTGCCGGATACGCCATGTTTGCCAGGTAAGTCGACTGCTGCCAGACAACCACCACCGCCAGGAGCACACGACTAACTTCCCGGCAGCGTCAGCCTGAACTACTCGCTCATCCTGTTCCTCGAGGTGTACATGCAAGTGTTGCAGGATCATCCGCGGGAGGAACCGTCGGACGTGGCGCTGCTGTCATCCTTTGCGGCGCGCGCGGATGCCCTAGCAGCCCAGACCACCGCAACGTCATACACGGCGCGCGTGCGCGAGGTCAGTGCTCTGTGCTGCCAGATCGTCACCCGGCTCCACGCGCCTCCAGGGCCCGAGACCAAGGTGGATCCGGCGCTGACGGATCCCTTCTGGGATCTGAACAATGCCATCGCCGCCGAAGCCGGCTGGGGGGACCCGACAACCGCCGCGACCCCCGGATGCCTGGCAGCAGCTTGCCGGCGCATCCGGACCCCTCGCTCTTCCTCGATCCTGCAGCCGTGGCCCAGTCCTTTGCCCTGGGTCCTGGGGTCTTTGCCGACCCCGGCCATGTCATGTTTGACTCCCTGCTGGACTCGTTTGCCGGCACCGACACTGCATTAGGGCTGATGCAGTGATCGAGACTGGCCTTCTTGCCGGGGATTTCATCGGAGCTTTTACGAAGTTACGCTAATATGTCTGTTTCTAGCATGGGATTGATTCTTCCGGGCGCTCCGCATAGCAGGCTGGGTTGGCACACTGCTTGGATTCCATTTCAGTTGTTGTATCGTGATAGATAGATAGATAGTTATGATAGACCTTTAACACAATGAACATATGATCTCATAAGAAAAAAAAAAAAAAAAAAAGAATACCCCGATACCATCCCGTCCTCCCAATTCCCTTACGCAATCTTACAAACTGAACTTGTTCACAAAATGGCACGCCGGCAGCGACAGGAACTCGTCCGATGCCACCGTCGCCAAGATGTCCTTGACGCGTTCCTCCGACAACCGCAGGCCCAAATTCCGCTCAGCCTTCGCAAACACTTCGCTCGGCGTCTCCTTGCGCCGAACATGCCCGAGAGGATACTGAACCAACACTTCCGGCATCGTCGTGCCATCCGCCAACGTGACCGTCAGCGAGTTGGCCACACTGCGCACCGCCATGTCGTGATAATCCGCCGTGTACTGGGGATCCTCCGCCATGGTGATCTTCTGACGCAGCGCCTCCACGCGCGGGTCCGTCGCCCACGGACTGTCGTCCTGGTAATCGGCCGTCTCGACCTGCGCCCCCTTCAGCAGCACCACCGCCACCATGTACCGAAGACAGTGGTCCCGGTCGGCCGCATTGTGTAGCGCTCCCGCCTTGTTGATGATTGTCATGCCCGCATCTTGCGTCTTCGCGTGGATTGATTGAATGTCCTTCACCGGGTCGAGGCCCTTTGCCCGTAGCGTGTCGGCGATCTCCAATGCGGCCTCGACGGCCGTCATGCCGTGTCCTTCGGCGGTGTTCACTTTAAACAGCACCGTCTCGATCACCCAGGTGCCGAAGGGCTGGGGCAGGTCGAACTCCTTGCCCTGGAAGAGAACGTCGTAGAAGCCCCACCGCGGGGTGGTCAGTACCGTGCTGGCACCGGGTTGACCGGCCTTGGCCAGTAGGGCCAGGTGCACGGCGCGCATGCAGGCATCGCCTGCCGCCCAGCCCTTGCGCGGGCCGGTGTTGGGGGCTTGACGGTACACACGCAGCGGGTGGCCGTCCATCCAGGCGTGGGAGACGGCGCTGAGGGCCTGCTCCCGGGTGAGGGCGAGCAGTTTGGACGAGACAGCGGTGGCGCCGATCTTGACTAGGATGGTGTGGTCGAGACCGACTTTGTTGAAAGCGTTCTTGATCTGGAAGCAGCCCTGGATTTCGTACGCCTTGATCAGCGCCTCCAGCACCTCCTTCATGGTCACCACGCTGCTGGGATCGCCCTCGGCGAGAGCTACCCGGCTGCGCACATCGGCGACGGCGAGGATAGCTCCCAGGTTGTCGGAGGGATGGCCCCATTCCGCACCGGGAAAGGCATCGTTGTGGTCGAGGTAGCGGATCATGGCGCCCAGATCAAAGGCGCCCTTGAGGATGTCGAGCTGATAGGCCGTTCCGGGCAGTCGGAACAGCCCTGAGGTGGCCGGGGCGAGGGGGAAGGCTGGGCCAACCATCTGGGCGCATTGCGGGCTGGTGTGAATGCTCTCGAGGGCGGCACCCAGCGCGTCCATCAGGGCGACCTTGGCACGGGCCCAGGCATTGTCGGTGGTGATCTCGTAGTCGTAGACATAGTCAACGATGGCCTGGATTACGGCATCGTAGGGCTTGCTGGAATTGTCGTCGGCGGCAGGGATGACGGTCATGATGATGGTGATGGTGATGGTGATTGGCAGATAACAACGCACCGGGATCTGATGGTCATTCGTCTAGATTAGTCGAGACGGCGGGCTGGTGTATCTGTCTTCCTTTATGCAGTCCTGGAGCCAAGCTGCGGTTTGATCGCCGTGGTGAAGTGGTGGTCGCGGCCCGGATTTCCTCTGCAGCCGGGTTTCGGCCGCCGGATGGAATCCTCCACAGCACCGAATGCTGCCTGTCTCTCTGGCGGCCGAACCAGCCCTCTGTCGGCAGGATTTGGTCTGTCTGACTCAGCTGGTCTGTCGGTTGAAGGGAATTGACGGAGGTTTATTTTATATCTCGTCCAGGAGACGTCTTTTGCTCGTTTTGTTCCCTCTCCACGGTCGTCTATCCCGACCAAATGTCGCCCTAGTCACACACCCATCATGACTGCGACGAAAGAACACCTCATTGCCTCCCCTGCGCCCGCTGCGGACGGGTCCCCTGTGGCCTTTTCCCTGGAGCAGGGAGAGATCACCGCCACGCTGCCTGTCGGTGCTGCCGTTGCCGCGACGCTGCAGCCCTACCGCGCCAGCTGGCTGGCTTCCTTGACCGACGACAGTTCCTCGCCCATCACCCTCGTGCTGCAGTTCCTCGGCCACCTCGCCGGCCAGAAGACTCCTGTCCCCGCTGTGCAGGCGGTCTTGCAGGCCTTTGAGTCGCAGTACCTGCAGGGCTCCGACATCCACACGGCCGTGACGGCCTTGTCCGACCCACTGGGCACCAAAAAGGCTGCCCTCAGCGACTACTATGCCGCCGTGGCCTATACCGACAAGCCCTCGTTCAGCCCTCGTAGCGCCTTGTTCCAATCCGCCCAGGCCGGCGCCTCTCGCGTCACCACCATCTTCGGAGGCCAGGGCACCGCCAACCCGTCCTGCGTGCGTGAACTGCGCTCGCTGTACACCACCTACCGCTCCATCCTCACGCAGCTCATCCAAGAATGTGGCCCGGTGCTGGCTTCCCTTTCGCAACGGCCCGACACCCAGTCCTACTTCCACGGCCGTTCCATCGACCTCGACGCCTGGCTCGCCGGCGGGACCCTCAGTGAGGACTTCGTCAGCGCCGCCCCAGTGAGTCTACCTATCTTGGGTCTATTCGACCTCGCCCACTATGCCGTCATTTGCACCGTCCTGGGCCAGACCCCCGGACAGGTCGCGGCCTCTCTGTACGCCGTCTCCGGTCACTCGCAGGGCATTGTGATCGCGGCTGCTGTTGCCCGGGCCGACTCCTGGGCCTCGTTTTACGAGAACGCCCGGCTGGCAGTGGAGCTGTTGTTCTGGATCGGCTTCGAGAGCCATCTGGATGCTCCCAAGCTGTTCATTGCGCCCGAACTCATCGCCGAGACCAAGGAGGAAGGCCACGGCATGCCGTCTCCCATGCTCTCGGTCCGCGGGCTCGAGCGTCCCGGGCTCGACAAGATCCTGGCACAGTGCAACCAGGTACTCCCCCAGGACCGCCAGCTGCATGTGGCCCTCATCAACGCCCGCACCAACCACATCGTGGCCGGCCCGGCGGCGTCGCTCTGCGGTCTCAGTCAGATTCTGGCTGAGCTGCAGGCGGCCGGCGAGAAGGATCAGACGCGCATCCCCTTCAGCCAGCGCAAGCCCGTCGTCTCCCACTCCTTCCTCCCCATCAGCACCCCCTTCCACACTCCCTACCTGCAGGCAGCCTCTCAGCGCATCAAGGCGCGTCTGGCCAGCCACACCTTCACCGCGGAGCAGCTGCAGGTGCCCGTCCTGCACACAGCCACGGGCGCGGATCTGCGCGCCAACCCTCAGGCCAACGTCATCGATGCCCTTGTGGACGCCATCACCACCGAGCCGGTTGACTTCCCCGTGCTCCTGGCCGATGCGGCCACCTCCCACTATATTGTTCTCGGGGCGGGACGGCTCAGCGAGCTGGTCAAGCAGATTCGTCAGGGCTACGGCCAGCAGATCATCGCGGGCAGCGAGATCAAGCCCTCGAGTGCTGAAGTCTCCGGCCAGGCTGATCTGTTTGCCGCCACCCTGCGCCCGGCTCAGCCCTCATGGGCAGAGGCCTACCAGCCCCGTCTGGTGCAGACGGCCAACGGCCGGCTCATCCTCGACACAAAGCTCAGTCGTCTGTTACAGGTCCCTCCAATCATCACTGCGGGCATGACCCCGACCACCGTGCCGTGGGACCTCGTGGCCGCCGTCATGAACGCCGGCTACTTTATCGAGCTGGCGGGAGGTGGCTACCACACCGAGGACGAGATGCGCATCGCCATCGAGAAGATCGCCGCCAGCATCCCCGCGGGTCGCGGCATCACCTGCAACCTCATCTATGTCAACCCCAAGGCCATTGCCTGGCAGACCCGGCTCATCAAGAAGCTCATCCGGAAGGGCGTGCCCATCGACGGCCTCACCATCGGAGCCGGTGTGCCCTCGCTCGAGGTCGCCCGCGAGTACATCGACGACCTCGGCATCAAGCACATCTCCTTCAAGCCGGGATCCGTCGATGCCATCCAGGCTGTGCTGCAGATTGCGGATGACCGCCCGACGTTCCCCATCGGTCTGCAGTGGACGGGTGGTCGCGGTGGTGGCCATCACTCGTACGAGGACTTCCACGCACCCATCCTGGCCGCCTACTCGGAGATCCGCAAGCGCGACAACATCCACCTCATCGCCGGCAGTGGCTTCGGCGGGGGCGAAGACACCTATCCCTACCTGTCCGGGCAGTGGTCTGTGGCCCGCGGATATCCCGCCATGCCCTTTGACGGCATCCTGCTGGGCAGTCGCATGATGCTCTGCCGTGAGGCCCACACCAGCCCGGCCGTGAAGCAGCTCATCGCCAACACGCCCGGCGTGCCCGACGAGGATTGGGAGAAGAGTTACAAGGGCAGCGCCGGCGGGATCATCACGGTGCGGTCCGAAATGGGCCAGCCCATCCACAAGCTGGCGACGCGCGGAGTCCGGCTGTGGGCCGACTTTGACCAGACCCTGTTCAAGCACCCCCGGCCCAAGATGGTCGAGGAACTGGCCAAGCGAAAGACGGAGATCATCACCCGCTTGAACAAGGACTACGCCAAACCCTGGTTCGGCCAGGATGCCAAGGGCCAGCCGGCCGATCTGGCGGATATGACCTACGCCGGGGTGTTGACGCGTCTGGTCGAGCTGATGTATGTGTCCCACCAGCAGCGCTGGATCCATCCCTCTTACCAGCGTCTGGCCTCGGACTTTGCCCTGCGCACCCTCGAACGGGTGGCCCCGGAGGTGGACCTGGATCTGGCTCTGCTGGCCACCCCCAAGGTCTTCCTGCAGACGCTGGGCTTTAAGGCTTCCGTCGCGACCTCGCAACGCTTGCATCCCGATGATGCCGCGTTCTTCCTCCGTCGCTGTCAGGCGCGCGGCCAGAAGCCCGTGCCCTTCGTGCCGGCGCTGGACGAGAATTTCGAGACCTGGTTCAAGAAAGACTCGCTGTGGCAGTCCGAGGACATTGAGGCCGTGGTGGGCCAGGATCCCGAGCGGGTTTGTATCCTGCATGGCCCTGTGGCGGTTCGCTATGCCGGCACCAAGGACGAATCGGCGCAGGAGATCCTCGACGGCATCGCCGCCTTCCACACCCACTCGGCCCTGCAGGACTTCTACCAGGGTGATTTGCAGAAGGTGCCCCAAGTCGCCGTGGCGACCGCCACGTCTCCGCTGGCCGACAACGCGGCCGTCACGCAGACCTTCCATGCCCAGGAGGAGGTGAGCTCATTGGACCTGCTCACAGCCAGCTCCTTTGGCTGGGTGCGCGATCTGCTCGAGACTCCCACCATCATCCGCTCTGGCATCCGCAAGAAGAACCCCTTCCGGGACATCCTGGCTGTCAAGCCGGGCCAGAAACTGGTGGTCGACCACGCCGAGCAGCGCGTCGTCCTGTGCGAGAGCAGTACCGAGCATGCAGTGGTCAGCATTCACTACGACGCCAGCACCAAGCACATCGCCGTGGACCTGCATCAGCCCGGGGGATTCACGGCCGCCCCCGCCGTGCTGGCTCTCAAGTACAAGGCGCTCTCTTCCGGACTGTCCCCGGCCCTGGAGGAACTCGTCGACGGACGCAACGACCGCATCAAGGACTTCTACCGCAACCTGTGGCTCGGCGATGGCGCGAATGCCACCCAGGACATCCACGCCACCTTCCAGGGCCCCAAGGTGACTCTCACCAGCGCCCTCCTCGCCGACATGTACCAGACCCTGGGTCTCACCCCCACGGGCATCCGCCCCACAGCCCTCCCCATGGACATTGCCATTGTGATTGCCTGGGAGCCGCTGGTCGAGCCGCTCATCTGCACCGGCGTCGATGGTGATCTCCTTCGTCTGGTGCACCTCTCCAACGACATCGAGTATGTGCCCTCCGCCGAGCCGTTCCAGATCGGAGATGTGCTGCGCTCCAGCTCCCAGATCCAGGCCATTGTCATCGAGCCCACCGGCAAGTCCATCGTGGTCAAGGCCACCATCGAGCGCGCCGGCGAGCCCATCGCGTATGTCACGGCCAACTTCTTCATGCGCGGCACCTACACCGACTATGCCTCGTGCTTCGAGCGCATCACCGAGCCCGTAACCCAGCTTGAAGTGGCCAACCCCGTCGACGAAGCCCTGCTCCAGTCGCGCCCGTGGCTCCAGCTCGACGACGCCGAGACCAAGCTGGTCGGCAAGACCCTGTGCTTCCAGCTGGAGACATACAACGAGTGGAAGGACCAGACCACCTTCAAAACGCTGCAGACCAGCGGCACCGTGTCCCTGCTGTCATGGAACGGCAAGCAGACGCCCATCGGTCGCGTTTCGTTCAACGCCCAGGACTGCAAGGCCAACCCGGTGTCGGACTTCCTGCGTCGTCGCGGTCAGCCTCTGGTGGCCCGCAAGACCCTCGACGTCGCCATGGAGCTGAACCAGACCTCGGAGAGCGTCCAGATCCCCGTCACCAACACGGCCTACAGCACCTTCTCCAAGGACTTCAACCCCATCCATATCTCCTCCGTGTTTGCCCAGTACGTCGAACTACCCGGCACCATCACCCACGGCATGTACACCTCCGCTGTGGTGCGCGCCGTGGCCGAACGCTGCGCCGCCCAGGGCGACATCACCCGCTTCCGCAGCTGGGCCTGCTCCTTCGTCGGCATGGTGCTCCCCAACGACCAGCTGGAGGTGCGCGTCCAGCACGTCGCCATGATCGAGGGTCGGTTGGTGTTGAAGATCACCGCCGTCAAGGCCGGCACCGACGAGGCTGTCATCCAGGCCGAGGCTGAGGTCGATCAACCGTCGACAGTGTACGTCTTCACCGGCCAGGGCAGTCAGTCTCCTGGCATGGGCCAGAGCCTGTACAAGTCCAGCGCGGCTGCCCGGGCCATCTGGGATGCAGCAGACAAGTTCTTCGTCGAGACTTATGGTAAATACCCCATTCCCCCCCTCCCAATCAACCCAAGCTAACAATCTTCCAGGATGGTCCGTCCTCGAGCTCGTCCGCCAGAACCCTACAGCCCTCACGGTGCACTTCCGAGGCAAACGCGGTCGCCAGATCAAGGCCAACTACATGGCCATGACCATTGACGCATACCGTCCGGACGGCACGGTGGTCAAGGAGCCCATCCTGCCCGAACTGACCCCGACCTCCACCTCATACACCTTTGCTGACCCCCGCGGATTGGTCTTCTCGACGCAGTTCGCCCAGCCCTTGGTGCTGCTGCTGGAGCGCGCCGCCGTGGAGGACCTCCGTCACCGGGGCGTCGTGCAACAGGATGCCGCGTTTGCCGGTCACTCGCTGGGCGAGTACGGCGCGTTGGCGTCGTTTGGCGAGTTCATGCCCTTCACGGATCTGCTGCGCGTGGTGTTCTACCGTGGATTGGCGATGCAGGTGGCCATTGAGCGTGATGACCAGGGCCGTACGAACTTTTCCATGGCGGCTGTCAACCCGGCTCGTGTGGGTAAATGTGAGTATCCACCCCATCCCTTTCTACCTCATTGAGCGGTGCTAATAATCTGTGCAGTCTTCTCAGAAAAGGCCCTGCGCCAGATTGTATCCCAGATCGCCACCTCGACGAACGCCCTGCTGGAAATTGTCAACTTCAACGTCGAGGGCGAGCAGTATGTGTGTGCCGGAACGGTGAGTCCCCTACCATCAAATTTATATCTTGAATGTGGCTGATAAAGATATAAGCTCGAAAACCTGCACGCCCTAGCCGCCATCACCGACACCATTGCCCGATCTCCAACCGGAGCTGCTCTGGCGCGCGAATTCACCGACGCACCTGCCGGCGACAACGCCGATTTGGAATCAACCAAGTTAGTTCAGCGATGCATCTCGGCGGCGCGTCAACTGCCCACCCCCGTGGCACTGAAACGCAGTCTGGCTACGATCCCGCTGCAGGGTATCGATGTGCCGTTCCATTCGGCGCATCTGCGTCCGGGAGTCGCGTCGTATCGCAATTTCCTGGAGGAGCGGATTCCCAAGACGGAGGTGGATCCGTTGAAGTTGGTGGGCAAGTGGATTCCTAACGTCATGGGGACGCCGTTCTCGTTGAGTCGCGAGTATATTGAGGGGGTGTATGGGTTGACGCAGAGTCCGATTTTGGGGGAGGTGTTGGCTACATAGGTAGTCTGGAGTGGTTGATCGATCCATCGGGAGTGAGATGAGATGACATGTGTATATGATAGATTGTTTGATGATTTATTTGTGTGCTTTTCTTGGTCGCTGATTTGCGTGTTGTGTTGTCTTGATTTGTCTTCTTTGTATTGTTTGTCATGGGCAGGGCATAGTTGCCTGATTTGGATATGGGTGATAGTTATTATATCAATACAGTGAACTTCTGATACCAAGATGTCAATGCTGCTAGCCCGTACGCCAGAAGAGATTTATTCCTATTGTACAAGTAGAATGTAGAAGATATCCCAACAGGTGATGTTGAGTCTTCCATTTGCTATGTCTGATATCTGGCTGGAACCCTGTTTTCTCGGTCGGTCGCATTTACTCATAAAGCTCATTAGAATAACCGTACCTTCCCTGGTTACTTGGCATAGATATACGTATATTGGGGACTAATGCGGACTGCTGCACGCACGGTGTTGTTGAAATTATTCTTTTGGAGATCTTGCTGTTGTATAGATCCCTAGTGTCACGTGATCTAACTCTGCAGTGCCATTGTTTCTTACTCTATGTCGACTATATGACCCATTCCGTGTTATTCCAATATTGGTGATTAGTTGGCTCAAACTAGTCATCTGTATTGGTATTCAATCTGGTATAATTCCAATCCATGACTGACATGGCTATGTCATTTGCATCAGCCACCATCATATATATATCTCGTCCATCTGACGCGGAACCGCCAGCCTCAAACAAATCATAAGATATCGTAGTGTATACATCGACAGCATACAAAAGCAGCGCTTGACAGCACAGAAATTTACAACTCAGATGATACTCTGTATTATGACCGAGGAAACCCAGAATATCAATTCATGGTCATAGAGGCAAGTGGGATGCCGGCCATTCTGATTGGCGGCTAGTGTATGTTATTCACCCCTTAATAAGTCCAAATTTAGATCTACTTCACAATCACCAGCATCATTGGTCTAGTGGTAGAATTCATCGTTGCCATCGATGAGGCCCGTGTTCGATTCACGGATGATGCACTTCTTTTTCATCACTACATTTTTCCAATTCTTTTTTTGCATCATCTCGTCCATAAATATCCATATCCACCGAGGCATCCAGTCGCCCTGCACCTCGGGCCTGCCGATCCCAACCCACCGCTGCAGCTGCATCCTGTTTCCCCACTCACGGGACTATCTTCCACCACGGCTTTTCCATGGCCTTCCTCGAGGTAGCGATCAAGTGACCAAGATTCCGACATGGACTACTGCTTTCGGCTAACCATGTCTCAACCAGGACCATCCCGATAAGAGGTCAGCGACTAGCTTTTACCTATCTGGCGGTTTTCGTTGGCAGCTTCACATTGGCCACCGGGGTTGATACCACTAACCCAGAAGGGATGCTTCTACGCAATGGATGCGGGATCTGCTGGGTCAGTGCCGTGGAGGAGATCCCAAGCGCCCAAGTCTCCAACGGGCAACTTCAAATTCTGTCGGAGGGGCAGGCAAGGAAGCAAAGCAACGACGAGAAGGATCATAGCAGGGAAGGCGTGCCAAATCCAATGGACGGCCATGATCAACAGCTCGGCCCAATGGGAGCCCCGACGGAGAATTAACCATGGCTTGTGGCCCACTGGAATTGACAGTTGACCACTACAGTTACCCACTCTGGGTAAAAAAGAGGGAAAAAGTGATGCTATCTCTGGAGGATGAGGACCCTCTTGGTCCGAGCATCGATGGATGGATGCAGAGATTGTCGCTGGTTATCGGGCGGGCTGGTTGGTGATCGCCTAGGAGAAAGTCTGTCTACAGCCCAGGGTTGGAGGGGTGCTAAACCTAAACCCGTATAGACTTTTGTCGGTGCCCAGCCGAAGGGCAGCAGAACAACAACTGGAATGTCATTCCTTTGAAGCAGCAATATCACTAGGATATGGCCCCTAGAAAATAGGGAAAGCTGCAAACATCGCACCATACCGACATGACTCCCAAGTGCCGAGATGGTAGCACTGGGCAACGGTCCCCAGCCGTGTCCTTACTGATCCCAACCGTGCTGGACCCGCGATCGCGATCATTCCAGGATGTTTGTGTTTCTCCGACTCGGGTAGGTGGGGCCGTTGTAATGATGCTGCGGTTGCTGCTATTGCTGCCTTCATTGCTGCTGTAGATACCTCCTATCTACTCCGTACTCTGTAGTAGTATCTAGTCCATATCGCAATATCAACCCCTCTTATCCCCTTCTTTGTTCACACCTGCAGCTCAACTGTCCGCTGCAGCACCCGCGCTGCTGTGTAACTCCAGCCACCTGGAAGGATAATCCTTGCGACTGCCACCATTCACCTCGTGAACCTACTTTCGCCCGAAAGAACGAAAGAAAAAAAAAAACCACCGTCGCCCCCGCGGCGGGCAGTCATTCTCACCCCCTCCCAAGCAAACAACATCGTCATTGTCCTCCCCATCGCAAAGGGTGGACATGTGTTGGTCCAATGAGAAAGGATTGGGGCGAGTCGTGGATGAAGCGGTGAGGACGCACGGCGATCCACTCGGGCAAGCGACGATGAAGCTAAAAGCCCTAACCAACACTAAAGCACAGTAATCAGACTCCGGCGGACCCACGAACTGCTGTAGCCGCACAACAGCTGCAGTGATGCGCCCAATCATCAGCTTTCACCATGCTTAGCTCGCATCCCGGCCTCTCTGCAGCTCCAAGGCGACGCCGTTTGCACCACCGGGAGGTCCATGCTGCCCTTCGATAAGAGAAAATTTTGTCATGCCATGACGCCCGCCGCGAACTTTTTCACCCATACCACTCGGAGGGGATCCTCGCAAAGCCCGCCATCCCACTGCTATTAAAGACCCCGTCCGGCTCATCATTGTCGCTGCTCTTCTCTCTCTTCCTTCCTCCCCCCCATCTCTTCTCGCGTCGATCGCGTTGTGAACCCTGTGTGACCCGCGTTGCAGGTCCTGTATCATCACTTCTACTTATATTTTTTATCTTTCTGTTTGATCGTGGTCGTCGGTCTATCCTCCACCAATGTTCAAGCAGTACTCCCATATCCTGTCCCATAAGAGGCGACGCAGCAGGGGAAGCACTATCAACCAAGTCCTGTCCGCCGCGCAGTCCGAACCGGCCTCGGAGACTCCCACAGCCAACGAGCCCGTCGAGGTCTGGGGTTATTCCCAGCCCCTGCCCGAGGATGACGAGCACCTGAAGGAGTGCTTCACCACCCTCACCCCCCGCATTCACAAATACGACCATGTCGCCCAGCGCGGTAGCGATCGCTTTGTCCAGGACCTGACGGCCGCCCTCAACTCCGACGAGCCCCAGACCAGCTACCTCTCTTCCCCCGTCGGCAACTACGCCAGCTTCCTCTACCCCGAATGTCTTCCTGAGCGCCTCGAGACCGTGGCCTACCTTACCGAACTCGGCAGTCTGCATGATGGTATGTTCCTCCACGTCCCCCTTCTTACCCCCCGACGCGCCGCTGACGTATAAGACAAACAAAAAGGCAAAGCCCCGGCAGAGAAGCCCGACGAGCCGGTCGAATCCCCCCGAGTCGAAGCCCGGAAGAAGCTACTGGAAAAGGCCATGTCCGAGCTGTCCGAGAAGGACAAGGACGGCCACGAGATCATCGACTGCTACCGCAGCAACTGGCTGGTCACCCCGGAGGTCCCTACGGCCGAGAACTGCGCCAACCTTGATGACTATGTCGCCCGGAGACGCCTCAATGCGGGCATTGAGTAAGTGCTGTGCCTAGAATTCTACAAGTGTTCAATAGCTAACCATCATGCCAGCGTCTACTGGACCCTGATGGGCTTCGCACACGGCACCCGCCTCGGCAAGGAGGACCAGGCCGTCGTGCGCGATGCACTCGATGCCGCCGAGCGCACCATGTTCTTCACCAACGACTACTACAGCTGGCCCAAGGAGAAGCGCATCTCGAAGAAGCGCCCCGTCGCCAACGTCATCCTCTTCCTCATGGAACACCAGAACATGTCCGAGGACGATGCCAAGGCCAAGGCCAAGCAGCTGATCATCGACAACGAGCACGAGTTTGTCCGTCGCCGCGAGGCCCTCTACCAGGCCAACTCCGACCTGGCTCCCCAGCTCCGCAAGTGGATGGAAGTCCTGGGCTCGTCCCTGGCCGGTATCCACTACTGGTGCAAGAACGCTCCCCGCTACGCCATCCCAGACACCGTCGAGGAGAGCGAAGAGGAGGAAGAGGCAACCGAAGAAGACGGGTCCGACGAGGAAGAGTCTTCCTCCGAGGACGACACCGAAGATGATGACGATGACGAGGAAGAAGAGGAAGAGGAAGAAGAGGAGGCCGAGGAAGTGCAGCAGCCCGAGAGCGAAGAAGCGGTCGAAGTGGCCGTCTGGACGCCTCTGGCCCCCGAAGAAGAATCCCCCGAGGTGCAGCTGGACACTTCAGCCCTACTCGCCCCCACCAGCTACGCCCGCACCATCGCCGTCAGCACCCTGCAGACCGACCTCCTCACGGCCCTCAACGCCTGGCTGCAGGTCCCCAACCGCCCGCTGTCCTTCATCAAGCAGGTCATCACCGAGCTGCAGGACTCCACCCTCATGCTGGCCGACGTCCAGGACCAGGCCGTCCTGCGTGATGCACGCACCCCGGCCCACTTGGTCTACGGCCCGGCACAGTGCATGAACAGCGCCGCCTACATGTTCGTCCGCGCCGCCAAGATCCTCACCAGCCTCAACTGCCCTGGCATGCTCGATGGCCTGCTGCAAGAACTCGAGGCCCACTTTGTCGGCCAGTCCTGGGAACTCAACTGGCGCTTCTCCACCCACTGCCCCGGCGAGAGCGAGTACCTGGCCATGGTCGACCAAAAGGCCGGTTCCAGCTTCCGCCTGCTGACTCGTCTCATGCAGGCCGCCAGCATGGGCGGGTCCACTCTGGACTTCGAACCCTTCGCCAAGGTCCTGGGCCGCCTGTCACAGATCCGTCACGAGTACCTGGGTCTCCTGGACTCCAGCGCCCGGTCCTTCGGCGAAGACCTCGACCAGGGCAAGGTCACCTACCCGATTGTTCGGGCCTGCAACATGGACCCGGCCGGACGGGCCATCATCTTCGGCATCTTCCGTCAGAAGCAAGCCGGCGCGGTGCTACCCATCGAAAGCAAGCGACAGATCGTGTCCCTGGTACAGCAGACGGGTGCCTTGCAGGCGACATACGACCTGATCCGACAGCTCGGCCGCGAAGCCCTGAACGCACTGAGCGAGCTCGAGACGGCCGCCGAGGAGGTCAACCCGGCTTTGCGCGCGGTGGTGAAGTCGCTAGGCGAGGTGCCGGCGCCGGATCAATTGTAAATTGATCTGATGATGATGACACAACGTTCCTTGTTTCCCTAATGTCTACTTTTCCTTTTCTTTCTCCCTTTGGTTTGGGTTTGGCGTTGTGATGATTGACGAGACTTTCCTTGATGTAATGTTATGAGGGCTAGCCATGTGTGATGATTAATGAATGATTCTATGCCTGATTTGATCTTACTTATACCATCTGTAGTCCGTACATGGTGTTGTAGTAGTAGTCATAATGCATCATGCCATTGGCTAGACTATTCTCAGACTACTAAGTATTCTCGGTGGTGCCATAAGGTGGTACTTTTGTCCAGTGGTAGGTACTTTGGCCCCCTACCCTAACCCCATCCTCTCTTAACCCAAACATACATAAACAATAACATAAGTCCAAGCATAATTAACTATAAACTCCCATAGCAATGTCCATCCCAAACCCACCCCACCCACCAAAAATCAACCTACAACGCAATAAACACCGACTTCAACTCGGTCCAATAATCCGTCGCATACCGACTCAACTCCCTCCCCTGCCCACTGGCCTTCCACCCCCCAAACGGCATATCCAGCGCCATTGTCGGCCCCGTACAATTAATACACACACTGCCGGCCTCGAACCGCTTCGCTGCGCGCATCGCCCGGGATAGATCCCGTGTATAGACGCTCGCGTACAGCCCGTACTCGGTATCGTTAGCGCGGGCCATTACGTCGTCTTCGTCGGTGAAGGTGTTTACGATTACCACGGGGCCGAAGATTTCTTCTTTGAGGAGTTTTGAGGATTCGGGCACGTCGGTTAGGATGGTGGGTTGGATGAAGAAGCCTGGTTTGGGTTCGGGGTTACCGCCGAGGTGGATGGGGATGTTTTCGTCTCGGGCGAGTTGGAGGTAGGATTGGACGCGGGCAAATTGGGCGGCATCGGCTTGGGGTCCGCGGGTGGTGGTGGGGTCGAGGGGGTCGCCGCTTGCACCGAGGGAGGTCATGGTGGCTGTGAGAAGGGAGAGGAATTGCGAGGCGATGGAGCTGTGCACGTAGATGCGGGAGCTGGCGATGCAGACTTGCCCCGTGTTGGCCAGGATGGAGCGGGCCGCGGCGGGGACGGCCTTGGAGAGGTCGGCGTCGTCCCAGATGACGAGAGGGGATTTGCCCCCGAGTTCCAGGGTCACGCTCTTGAGGTTGGATTCGGCGGCCATGCGTTGGATGGCGCGGCCGGTGGCGGTGGACCCTGTGAAGGAGATCTTGCGGATGTCCATGTGGCGGGCGATGGCTTCGCCACAGGGCTGACCGTGGCCGCTGAGGATGTTGAGGACGCCGGGGGGGATGCCGGCTTCGTGGGCGCAGCGGGCGGCCACGAGACAGCTGAGAGGGGCTTTTTCGGAGGTCTTGACCACGATGGTGTTGCCGGTGATGAGGGCCGCGCCGACTTTCATGATCATGGTGGGCACGGGTCCGTTCCAGGGGATGATGGCGCCGCAGACGCCGTAGGGTTGGCGCAGGGTGATGTTCATGAAGTCGGGGGTGTTGAGGGAGGAGTCGCCGGTGATGTCGAGGGCTTTGGCGGCGAAGGTGCGTGTGATGATGGGGACTAGACTGCCGAAGACTGGGGAAGTGAGCGTGGTTTTTCAGATTGAGAGAGGAGAGAAGAGGGGAGGTGTTACAATCGTGATTGACGGGTTTGCCCATGCAGATGGCATCGAGGTAGTACATCTCCGGCATGCATTTCTCCATGTTGTCGGCCCATTTCTCCAGGTAGTGGGCACGTTGTAGAGCGCCGAGTTCGGACCACGCTGGGAAGGCAGCTTTGGCGGCGGCGACGGCGAGGTCGACATCCTCTGGACCAGCCTCGTAGACAGAGGCACTGTGGGCTTCGGTGGCAGGGTTGTAGAGATCAAACTGGGCCCCGGATTGGGACGGGACGAACTCTCCGTTGATATATAGACGATTCTCGATGACCTCGGGCTTGCCGGGATGCTGAGAGGATGATTCAGTCATGGCTGTAGTGGTAGAATACAAAAAAAATAAGAGCTGAGTGCTGGAAGATCAAGCAGCATGGTAGAGCAGAAGCCCGGCGGATTGATATAGGGTCATGGTGGATGGGGAGTGTAGCACGAGGATCTGCACTAGTCGTTGGTGTAGCCGATCGCTCCTATCAGAAGAGACGCAGGATTCGTGTCGCACGTCCTCCACCCGTGGATCAATCCGAGATTGCTTTTGTTGCACTGGATGTTGTCATGGCGTGTCAGCATGGAGATGCTTTCCTCTGCTTGGCCTGCTCGTTTAAGGAGGGGTGCACGCCAAGGGCTTCATCGAACACATCGCCCTTTCCAGTCCATTGGCGGGTCAGTGCTGGGCCTGAGCCCACCTGGATGACATTGAAGGATTGCTCAATGGTGCCTGTCATTAAACTTCTGCTGACTCGTCTCCACTTCTCGGCCTCCCCACCCGATCCCGGTTTGTGGTGTTCTGGAAGGCACTTAGGGCCCGCTGGACATACTGGCGGGTCATCCGGGATGATTGGTGTGATACCTACCCCTGTTCAGGGTCTGGTCAGGTGGCAGTTGGATGAGGTTGCAGCTGGAATCGACTGCCTGCGTCGAGAGGGGAAATGATGTCAACAGACACGACATTTCCGCTGGCTTCCGGCGAGGTCTGGGCCATGACGGCGTGAGACGGAATCGTATTTCCACCAGACTTGCTTGGATGATGAGGAGTTCTGATTCGATGGATACAAGTACCGCATGGCTGTGAAACAGTCTTCATGGAAGTGGTGTGATGATTGCCAACTGGCCAACAGGACGGGAGATGCCTCGGCATTTGGGTGTCACTGCCAAGTATCCAAACATTGCAAAGATGCAAAATGCAAATCGGTGATGCAAACCCCACCTTTCAAGTCGGGCCCACCCGCACAAACAGTGCAAAACAATGCGCTGCTGCTGATTGGCTGCCTCTCCTGGTGTAAACAGCACAAACCTCTCAAACAGTTTGGATGGGGGCATTTGCATGCAAAGGGGTCATTCTTCTCATACAAGTGCGACCAGCCCCCATTTGATAAAAGGCGTCAAAATGCTTTCCACTTGTGCAGCCATAGCGGATTGCTGTTCTGATTCTGATATCCTGTTGCAGCCATGACCGGGTGCATTTTGTCCGTCCTGCAAGCCCTGTTGGGCGATTCCCCGTACTTCCAGTCGCAGCGACACTCGTGCCACCATCACGGCCATCACCATGGCATCGAGTCCGTCGAGTCCATGGAGGCATGGGCCCAGTACCGACTCATAAAGCAACTGCTCTGTGTGCGACATCCCCGCGACCCGCTCGACCCAGCTTTACTCCACGACATCGAGCAGGTCCTGCTGGAGGAACGCGCCCACCGCGTCCTCATCGATGCTGCCTCTATTCCAGCGTTGGCTCCCGTAGAGGCAGCCGATGCGACCACCCTGCCAGCATCCCTCCATCTCTGGCAAGGTGACATCACTACCCTGGATGGGGTCACGGCCATCACCAATGCCGCCAATGGCGAGATGCTCGGCTGTTTCCAACCTGCCCACCGATGCATCGACAACATCATCCACGCTCGTGCCGGTCCCCGCCTACGAGAGGATTGCTTCCGTCTCATGAAACACGGACGGCGCTTGTTACCTGTTGGCCAGGCGTGTGCCACGGCCGGCTACTGTTTACCAGCACCATATATCATCCACACTGTCGGTCCCCAGCTCGATGCTGGTCAGCCCGCCCCAACCCCTCAGCAGCGCAACCAGCTGCAGCAGTGCTACGAGGCCATCTTAGATGTCGCGGAAACCCTCCCGACATCCGATCAGAACAAGACCATCGCTCTCTGTGGCATCTCGACCGGTTTGTTTGCCTTTCCCGTCGAGGAGGCCGCACCCTTGGCAGTGGGAGCCGTCATCGGCTGGCTGCAGAGTCACCCTCACACCACCATCACCAACATCATCTTCAACACCTTTCTCGACGCCGATACAGCAATCTACCAGCTTGTACTGACGGAAATGTACTCTCCCGTTCCCTCCCTCGCTGCTCCGCCCCAAGTCCACGGCGACTCGCTCAGCCAAGCTAAAGCCTGGCTCGCCGCCGCCGATACCATCGTGGTGAGCTGCGGTGCGGGTATCTCCGCCGCCATCGGGCTGGACTACACCTCGACTGCCCTATTTACAAAACACTTTCCGGCATTCAAAAAGTATCGCCTGCGACGGTTATACGATACCTTTGACAGGACCCTCCGTGACTGGCCGTCGGAGAACGTCCGGTGGGGATTCTATTTCACCCATCTGGCCATGGTGCGTCGCTGGCCACGCTCGACTCTCTATACCTCTCTTCTGGAATGGCTGGCCTCCAGCTTTGCCTCCGACCACGTCCACGTCCGGACTTCCAATGCCGACGGAATGTTCCTCGCCCATGACCTGCCAGAGACGCAGCTATCCACGCCTCAAGGACAATACGCCTTTCTCCAATGTCTGAAAAACTGCCGCCCGGATGCCGTCTTCCCGTCAGCACCATACCTGGATGCTGCGCTACCGCATCTCGACCCGGTAACCCAGGTCCTGACTGCCGCGGAAAAAATTCCGACGTGTCAGTTCTGTGGGGGAGAAATGTCCATCTGTGTCCGGGCCGGAAACTGGTTCAACGAGCGGCCTTTTGAATCCGGCGAGGAGCGGTGGCATCACTTCCGAGAGTCGTTTTTGGCCGATCGGCGACGGAACGTGGTTATTCTCGAGCTGGGCGTTGGCCTATCCACCCCCGGGGTGCTGCGATGGGAGAATGAAGAACTGGTGGAGCAGGGCGAGGGCCGAGTGCGCCTGGTGCGCGCGGGCCTGGGAGATGCGGCGCATGTTCCCTGGGAGTTGGAGGCTGAGCAGCTGGCCACCAGCGTGGAAGGGGATTTGCAGGATATAGTCAGGGCTATTGTTGCTCCCATGCAATAGCCACAAACCCACCGACTGTACATATGGGATTGCGATGCGGCCAAGGAGAGCTCAGGAGTATATCATGTTTAAGGGTTACCACAGTGCATAATCTAGAGCATATTTCTAGTCTGTTGTTCACGCAGCTACCAGATGACGCCAGTTATTTCCCGCTTTCTGCAGCATATTCCACAATGCCATCCAGAGATGGAGATTTACGAATTCAACTTGCAAAATTTCCCCCATATCAACCATCCGGCCGGCTAAAACAACTTCTATCCCTCGTCTATACTTATATCCAACGCTCACCGACCCATACCACCAGAAAGTCTCAAGAATCACTCAGAGATACCTCCTTACCGTTCAGCCTTTCCTGAGAACAAAATTCTCCCCGCCCCAGCAAAGTCCGTAACTATCCAAAATCAGCCCCAAATAACAAATTGTGATCATTATCAACTCACCGCAACAGACATAGCCTCATCGGCCTTCAAGCCCAATCCAACCCCCCACAGCACGACACCACCAGTCGGCTCGACCGCAACAAAAGCCGCAGACTCCTTCTCCCCTCTATTCTGAACAAGCGCTTCTCGGACCCGAACATCCAGCCCTCCCTGACGCAGCAATTCAGTCAAAGCAGACGCCAGATCCATCCCTGATCCCTCTACCCATCGTGCCCATGGATCTACCTGCACAAGGGCCCTGACACCAATGCCATTTTCACGGACACTGCTGCGATAATCCCAGATGCGTTCCTGGTCAGCCCGTGGCTCTATGTATTCCTGTTGGAAGAGACGGGTGATTTCAGCTTCGTCTAGTTCTCCCCCGTGCGTATCCGCGTGGGAAGTCACTAGACTGGCGAATTGGACGCTTAATGCGCGAGGTATCTCCAGTCCCAGAGTCTGTTTGATGACCCACGCACTCCCGGCTTTACCGCTCTGCGCTGTGACGCGGATAATTGCCTCGTGCTCGCGACCGAGATCCGCCGGGTCGATGGGAAGATACGGGATCCCCCATGCATGGTCGTTTGGGATTCCCTGTGTGTCGCGCCACTCGTGTCCCTTCACGATGGCGTCTTGGTGCGGACCGGCAAAGGTACAAAAGGCTAGACGTCCGGCGTACGGGGCTCGAGCGTGCACGGGGAATTGGGTACAGTCTTCGACGAGAGAGACCACTTCGGTCATGTTATCGAAGTACACTCCCGGGTCGATTCCCTGCAAGTATAAGTTCAGAGCTAGTGTTACTAAATCGACGTTGCCGGTGCGTTCCCCGTTGCCGAAGAGACAACCCTCGACGCGATCGGCGCCGGCGAGCTGGGCCAGTTCGGAGGCTGCTACGGCACAACCTCGGTCGTTGTGGGGATGTATGGATATGCAGACCTTGTTGCGGTCTGTGATGTGGGTACTGAAGAACTCGATCTGGTCGGCGAAGACATTGGGCATTGCCATCTCGACGGTGGCGGGGAGGTTGAAGATGATGGGTTTTTCGGTTGTGGGGGCCCAGGCGGCTTTGACGGCTTCGCAGATCTTGATGGCGAATTCCATGGATGAGTCTTGGAAGGTTTCCGGGGTGAATTGAAGCATCCATTCTGTTTGGCGGGCTTCTGGGGATGGGGAGTCGATGGTGAGACTGCGGACTAGCTGTGTGCATTTGACGGCTAGGTGTAGGGTTTCTTCGGGGCTCATGTGGAGGACTTGTTGTTGGAAGCAGGGGGATATGGCTACGTAGATATGGATGATGGCTTTTTTGGCACCCGTCGCGGCCTGGATGGTACGGCGGATGAGGTCTTCCCGACAGGGGGACATTAGCTGCAACCATACGTCATCTGGCACCAGGGAGGGCGTTTCGATGAGGCAACGTGCAAAGTCGAACTCGGTTTGCGAGGCGGATGGGTAACAGGCCTCGATTTCTTTGTATCCGGCTTGGATGAGGAGTTGGAAATATCGGAGCTTCTGCTCGATGTTCATGGGCTGGGAGGGTTAGTACGGTCATACAGGGATGGAGAGGCAGGATACCTGGGAAAGAGATTGATTGCCATCACGAAGGTCGGTTGATAGCCACCGTGGATGCTTCACTAGCTTTCTGGATGGCCACTGTCGGTTGGGATTGTTTAATACTGGGAATTCCCTGTATTTTCTGGAGGGGTCACGAAGCCTACCAGTGACAGGGTATTAGTATGTCGAGTGGGAGAGTTCATAGAGAAGGCCAATCCAAAGTGAACAAGTGGAGTGAAGGGGCATACATACATGGGCATCCTGGCAAAGTGGTAGGAATGTACAGGGTGTGGAAGAAACGGAGGGCCGAGTATGTTTATGCACGAGCAGTCGGCAGCCGGATGGATACATGCAGGTATTTATACCATCCCAGTTGTAAAGACAAAAGCAAGATCTATGATGACGAAAAAGCAAGCATACTCTGGGCAATCTCGGTGGCAATACAGCCCCCAGGGCTGAAAGAATCCTGATGATCGGAGATGAAATTCGGAAGATCGAGTCACTGAGATAGATCTTTAGCGCCACTGCTTATCCACGAAAGATGAAATCAAATCCCGGTAGATGTTGGTCTTCATTCGTCCATTGCACCAACACTCGGTCCTGGATCTCATTAGCTTGGGAACGGTGCAATGGTGGAGAAGATCTTGCTGACTTGTGAAACCAGCATGGTGATGCACTACCCAATCGCAAACAAGACCTGGGATCGATGCACAGATCTAGGACGGCCGATTGCATGGACCCAAGTGTGATCCCGGTCTCTGCATTGCATCTGACCTATATTGCTTTTGATGATCGACAGCCAGATACAGTCGGACACCTGTTCAGATCCCAGCTTTCCCATGTTATCAGCACTTGTAAACCCGAGGCAGTAGGGTCCGAAGCCTTGGACCCACGGAATATGGCGAATAGCGGTCATGCGTTGTGTCTGAGGTTCAAAGTCATATCCCGATCTGGCTGGGTCTTAGCCAAAGATCTGGCCTTTCTGGCTGCAGACATTACCTCGGAATAAATCACCCCCGAGACAGAGATCCCGGTACGACAGGGTTACCTGCTCTTGAGAGGAGGGGTTGAAGTCTGATGACGAGGCTGGTGTGAGATATTGACATGTAGACCCTGGCAGAATGTGCCAATAGCCCTAGCCGTGAATGAGCCTACCAACCCTCTCTTTATTACTCATGGAATTCACGTTCAGGGGCTTACTTTCTTGAACATCAGTGTTGAGGATACAATGCCAGACCATATGGCCTGCCACACAGCACAGACATCTCTGGTACCTAGCGTTAAAAGGCTGGTCAGCATCAGGCCGAGTTTTACCACTCTTTCATATTCAAGATATCTGTGTAACCACTGATGACAATCATGACCAATTTTGACTAGATGCAGGGCCATTTGACCAATAGTGTGTTGGAGGAACACAGATTGGGTGTCAGCATACTCACACGAGCAGACTGTAACTGGCCACGACAATGATGCATCCCGGTTGGCCTCTAGCCTTCAGTACATGGATATAAGGACAATCTTTACTCCGTCTAACAACAATCGACTTAGTTATATCAATGAAGATCTATCCTATAGGCTGTTTCACCCTCTCTGTTGCCAAATGCCCTCTTTCATACCTAGCTTCCACCACACCTCATCATGGATAAGATACTCTACGGAACCCTATGCCAGCAACTGCTGGACAAACTATCCTACGACAAAAACCATGTCCCCTTTCGCCCCTTTTCCCAAGATCTCCCCCGTCCATCCTGGTCCACCCCAGCAGAATGGAACGCCGCTATAATGGTCTCCAAGCTCTTCTATTTCTATATCGACGAATTCACCCAACAGAAAATCCTCCTCTTCGTTGCCCATTTCTGGCGCCATGATCGCGGTGATCCCACCAGCGTCTCAGCAGCAAAGACATTCGTCCCTACGCTTCTCAGCTCCACCGATCAACTCCCCCAAGTCCAACAAGACTACATCTCACTCCTCCACTCCCTATCCCACGACTACAACGCCTTCGACATCGGCCGGATCTTCAAATCCGTCGTGGATTTCATGAGCGGCGTCATCGCAGAAGCAGAGTTCCTACCTCGCATTTCCCAATCCCCCCCGTCTGATGGCCAATTCCTCCGTCGAATGACAGGGATGGGGGATGCGTTTGCGCATTTATGTTTCCCGCGGGCGTTGAACATCCCCCCTGAAGATTATATCTTGTTGATTCCGGAGTTGGATAATTTCATGGATCATGTTAATGATGTGTTGTCGTTTTATAAGGAGAGTATTGTGGGGGAGGAGGCGGAGAATCATATCCTGCGGCATGCGAGGTTGAATGGGGTGAGTGTTCAGGAGAGTGTGGAGCATTTTATGATGCTGGCGGAACAGAGTGCAGGGAATATTCGGAGGTTGGCGGCATGTACACCCGAGTTGCAGCGGGTCATGGAGTTGTTTTTGCAGGGGTATATACGGTTTAATACCGAGTGTCCTCGGTATCGGTTGAAGGAGTGTATGCAAGGGATTGAGTATAGGTGGTGGGGTGTCTGATGGCTTTAGTGCTGGTCTTTATGTCTATGCTGGATCTACAGTGATTCTGCCAGAAACGAACGAGTTGGTGTGTTTGGGATTAAGGTTATCAATCAACCCCAAGGTTTGGTGTGAAGAGTTTGGTCTATTTCCGCTAGACGAGTACATTGAGTCAATGCGATTGTTGAACCCGTAACAAGTAGTTTTGTAAGGGCTCGTGGAGGCCAGAATGATCTACTACATGATTGAGGTGATAGGCTGCGAGGAAGGCTCGGACACGACCGAGAGGCCCGACGGATGCCCCCGAGATGCTCATCCCCGAGAAGCTGAGCTGTCTATTTCATCCTCCACTTCCCGACACTATGCCGCGTTGAATGTTGCGTTTACTGGGCGGCATTTGCAAGTAACTGAGTTCAGGTGACCAATACCTGGTTTGTATTTCCAAGTGATCAGTGCAGTGTCGCGTCTTGATCTAGGATTGGCTATCTCAACTACGAATTTGGTACAATTGACAGCAATAATAGATCTTTGTACTGATAACAAGCTAATCTGTCATTTTTATGTAGACTGTATCCCCGGTTTAGTGTAGAACAATTCCGCCCGATCATCTAAATGACCTGCTCCACCCCCCGTGTCCTCTGTTGGCTGATATATCTTCTCCACTGCATTCACGTTAGCAACGCTATGCAATGGCAACTCCCAGGCAAGCAACTCACCATCGGATTCAAAAAGTATACCGGAATCCCCAGCAGTAAAACACCCCCTACCACCCCCGCCAGAATCCCCATCGCCGCCGGATAACTATACTTGGCCACCATCGGGTTCAATCCATAGCTGACCCCAAATCCAATCAAATTCTTCGTCCCCACAACGGTCACCAACGCTGGACCCGGATTCTTCTCCCATGCCTCGGTCGCAAAGGATGTTGTGCGGATGAGGGTGGAGACAAACGAGACTTGGTAGAGCGTCCAGCCCATAAAGGGCCCGCCCCAGGTGGCGTTTCCATCCGCTGTGAAGCCGTACAGGATTAATGAGGCCACGGCAAGTAGACCCGGGCCAATGAGTAAGAGAAGGTGGTGTTCAGGCTTATGGACCCCCTCGGACCGTTGGGCCATCCACACAATGAAGCGATCGCCGAATATACCGGCGTACAACATGCCACCAAGTCCGCCAAACACGCCACCGAGATTGATCAGGCCGATGCTGGCGGCGTCCCAGCCGTAGTTGTACTGCAGCACGGTGTTGTAGGTGAGGGAGACACCGACCGAGCCGCCTAGGATGACGGCAGAGAGGAGAGTCGCATAGATGATACCCGGGGAGCTGAAGGTCTCGAGCATCTGCCACCAGGTGAGAAGGATGGTGCGCAGTGGACGGGGAGACAGGCCGGGCCATAAGCTGAGCATCTGGCGGTAGGACTTCTTGGGCGGAGTTTCTTCGCCGAAGTTAGGGCCAGGGTGGTCTTCTCGGGAGAGGTATTCCTGGGTCTCTTCTGCGTTAAGGACTCGCGTCACGCCGTACTGATCGGTGACGACGACATGATCATCGATGATGACGGCCCGACGCTGGAATCGAGTCTCGAAGCAAGAGAATAAGACAACTACCAGGCCGACGGCGACGGTGATGACAAACACCCAGTAGAACCAGCGCCAACCCAGAGCAGCGACCTCGTAGGAGCTGGCCAGCGTCAGGAGACTGGTCACGATGTTCTGGGTGGCCCAGTAGATGCCGTAGATGGTTCCGCGCTGGTGGATGAAGGTGACTTCGGCCAGAATCAGAGGCAGGAGCTGCCGCGGGTCAGATGGATGATAATAGGGGAGAGTGATAGTCGAACCGATTCAGTTGCCCCGGTCGCAAATCCCAACAAAATCCGCAACCCGAAATGTTGCTCCCAATTCTGCGAGAGGGCACAGCCGACGAGGGAACCCAGCAGGACGGTATTGGCAATGAGCATGACGGGTCGGCGGCCGCAGATTAGGGCCAACGGCAGGATGATGTAGTTCCCTGGGATGTTTCAGCTGCGTATCGCATGATACAAGGTGGTTTTCTCTTACCAATTCCCACAAACAGTGAGGGAAAGGTCGAGAGCCATACGACCTGGTTGGTGCTGTGGCCTTCGGCGCCGTACATCTGAAAGAAGACGTCCAAGACCGATCCCAGTCCGCCGATGACGGAGAGAGACATGATGGCTGTGCACATTAGCATGTGCTGGACCGCTGTAAAGGATGGACGTACAGAACCAACAGCAGCACACCACGATGCCTGTCTTCTCCCAGAGGGCCAAGTTTAAGGGGTCATTGGGGTCATCGCTGGGCACGGGGAGACGCTGGATGCGACCCGTCTCGTCCACCAACACTTGCTCGACATGTTCCAAATAGTCGATGTCGATCTTTTTGTCTGCCATCGTGGTGGGGTTCTCAACATCCTGGAGTGGTGCCTTTGCATGGATGCATGTTGGCGTCTTTTATCATCTCGACGAGCCGGTTGCTCTCCACCATCGTTCCGAGGGGGTCAATGCGGCATGAGCTTCCATCTTAGCAAGAATCACGCTTTGCAGAATCCGGGGAATGCGGGGAACTGGGGTCGTGGAGATGATGGGCGCCGAGGCAGCACCCCGAGCGAGGGGTTGGGATCCTTCCGAGAGGAGTGTATATATCCTGCGAGGGACAGTCGGGGGGTTGGATGCGGTCAACTGAGCTGCTCAAAGTAAGTCAGTTTGTCGGCTTTGTTGAAACTGGGTGCTCGCGTATCAGGATTATTCAGATGGCACGATCAGCTTTGCTTGCTCGCAACATGGGCCGAATGGCCTGGATATACCACTGGAGGATGAGTCGGTGGAGAGGCCCGGTTTCGGGGCGGTTCTCGGGGAGCTCCGAGACGGCGCTCAGGCCGACTCGACCTCGAGGGAAGCATTGATTACACCAGCGGTGGATACCCAATATCCAGTACGGAGTACAGTGGCAGTCCATCCCGGCACTTTCCGAAGCTCATTCCCTTCATCCCTTCATGAAGCTAGGTAACCGCCAGGCCTCGGCGAGGCTAAATCACTTCTCCAACTCTGTACTGGTGAAGTTGCATCAAGCATGAATTGCTATTCCTAATTGACTCGAGGTACACGTCCCTCCTTTCCCTGCTCATCTGAATAGTGCCACTGGCGTGCTAATTCCAGCCAATACCCTCGGCTACCTACTCGTCGGGCACCAACAACCGGTCGATATCAGGTCCTGCTCACCAGATTCGATTAGCAGCTTCCAGATCATCTCCCACGCCGCACTTACCGTATCCCTCTTCATATGCGCTAAAGGTAATGACATTGTCCTCTCCGCTCTCCAGCTGGGCATTCAGCACCGACGTCGCTGGCGTGTTTCCATTGTCGGACGGCAGGAACGCCAGGATCTGCGACTTCCCGTTGACGGTGACGGTCGCAAACCGCTGAGAGGAATCGCCGTTTTCGAAACGCACCTGGATGGTGGTCGTGGTCGACGCGTCGCTGGACACGTCGCGGAACTCGAGGGTGCCATTGTCGGGGCCTCCAATCCATCCGACGGATTCGCTGCCCGAACAACCGCTGCACGAAATGACGGTCGCTCCATTCGAGAGCACGTTGCTGGAGGATTCGGCCTCGGGATCAGTTTCATCGCCTCCGGAAGACCAGGTACCATCGAGGGAGGGGATCCAGTTGGAGCTGTCCGTCTGTAGTCGCGGTTAGCAATCCGCAGCCGGGAGCAATCCCGAGGGTCTCACCAAAGTCGCATTGGTTCCGTCCAAGGTCAATGGCAACCAGATGTACGTCGAGGCCATCAGATTCGTCGAGATCCAGCGGTCGCCCATGTACCTGCCAGTGTCAGTGCAAAGGCACATCAGATTAGAGCCTCCTCACATCACACTATCCCCGACCTGCATGACAAAAGTAGTCTGGGAGTCATAGGTGTCGGTTCCTGCGGTCGCAAAATCGCTCCAGTCGCTCCAGGTGCCATTGAGGTCCGTGGAGGTGGTATACTTGTTATCGTTGGCAGCTGTTTATCGCGGTCAGTGGGATTCAGGCTCTATCTCCTCGGTGGTCACATACACCATCCTATGGCTGGTCAGTCCAGAATGCGTAACAGAAGGGTTGAAGACAGGCTAACCGGTCAGTTGCGACCCGAACATAAAGTACACGCCGTCCTGTTTGTATAAGGCCGGGGCCTCATAGTGCTCGGGGAAGAGATGGGTGGTGTAGGACACGTTGAGGTAGTCGTCGGTCAGCCGGTCGATTCTCAGGCCGTTGGGGCGCTGGCTGGTTAACGGATGCTCCTCCATTGAGGCTGCTGCTCAACTCACATCCTCCGACAGCAGATAGGCGGTGCCATTGTCGTCCTTGTACAGCCCAATGTCACGCGACTGGTGCCCTAAGGGCTGGAACGATCCCCTGGGTACAACGTGAGCTGGTCGTCCCTATGAACATGCCCCGGATGCCTACAGATAGTCATATGTTCCGCAGACACTCGACGAGGTTGCCACCCCGGTTTTCGCTTCGGCGTACGAGCTATCGTCGATATGCAGCCACATGACATATTGGGAGGTGTTGTCGTTGTAAATGATCTTGGGCCGTTCGACGACCCGGTCGGGGCCCAGATCTCCGCTACTCTGCAGGGAGAGGAGCTCACCCACCAGGGTCCATTCGACCAGATTCTGGGAGGCTCAGGAAAGATGCTCTAGAAAGGGAAGCGATCGGGAACACAAACGGTACTGGAGTAGCAGTTGATGGACTGAAATGCGCTGCCGTCGGTGTGGTTCTCCCCGGCCCAGTAGTAAACCGAGTCCACTTCGATGATGCCTGCCCATTGCCATGTCAGAGTCATGCCATACTAGGTCCTCGGGGTCTGTACCGCCGCCGTGGGCCTGGATGTGCTTGTTGGTCCCTTCTGCGGTCCATGTTGCGCCCGGAACCTGTCTACATTAGTCGACCGAAGCCTCTCGCCGTATGATGACAGCGCTCACAATTTGCAGCGATGCAGCCGCGGCATTGGCCAACGCCAGGGAGGTGAAAAGTAAACCAGTCAGCATCTTGCTACGGTCAAGACGAGAAGGTGTGCGAATAGACTACGCGGGCGCTTGCGTCTGAAGCCAGGGCGCTACATATATGCTGGGGCGAGGGAAAGAGGGGCTTTCTGCAGAGTCCAGATGACAGGCCATGATTGGGGGAGAAATGGTCCGTCGGTTAATTTAAGCTGACACTTCTTCAGGGTTGCTGCCAGGGTCTCCTGCAAGTCCCATCCTTCTCTTCTCGTCTTTCTCCGGTGGAGGGCCCCCCGCAGTGTCTTCCGACCTGCTGCAAGGAACAGCCCACCGTCTGCAACCTGACGCCACCGGGGTACTTAACACATGATCAGTTGCATTCTGGATGAGCAGATGAAGAATTATAGCCATTGCTGAACATTCTCACTACCTAAACCGACATCGGGCTGAGTTGAATAGCTAGCTAATCTGCGGGATCGAAAAGATACTGCTGGCCAGCTGCGTGATTTCCTCCACCCCAAGGCCCTGGAGCGCCGTGAGGATCGCGTCAATCATAGCCTGGGGAAGTCCTTCCTTGGTCCGCGAGTAGATGTCAATGCCGGCCGGGGTGAAGTGGGTTTTGGCGAAATAAGTGACCAGCCACTGGTTGCCATCGGCGGCATTGCCGAAGCCGAGGCACTCCCAGTGCGAGCTGGCGATGATCAGCCAGCCCTTGCCCCGCCAGTCCCAGGCGCCGGGGTTCCCCGGGGTCGGCGTATCCACGCCATGCACCGTCTTCACATTCTCCGACCCGATGACTTGGTACCTCACCAGGTCATCGAGCTTCATCGGACCGACCGAAGTGAGGGGCAGCATCTGGTAGGTGATGTTGACGTTGCACTTGCCTTTCCACAGGGGCAGGCTGGAGTGGGTGACATGCCACGTGCCGAGGAGGAAGTCGTTGGTGGGCGGGACACACTTGTTCCCCTGGCTCGCATAGATTTTGGGGAGGCCGACGAGGGGAGAAGCCATGGGTGGGTAGTTCACTCGCGGGTTTCCGGGGTCGGGCGTGGGGGAGCAGCTTGATGGATGGATGGATAGATATCAGGGGGAGCAGCAGGTTGCCAGGGGTTACTTCCATTCGTTACTTAAACTTACTCACCTCCGCTGGAAAGCCGGCCCGGGATTGTTGACAGCATCCCTGACCCATGATTCGTCGAGAGGAATCGGCCAATGGCTGGCCAGGATCACCCAGGATCAAGCCCGCCAGACATTTATCGGATTACGATTCCCTTTGAGCCCAACAACAAGAGAAAAGGTTTCTTTGGGGATACAAAGTCTGTGAATTTGCTCTCAGCAGAATAGGCAATGGCATTACTATCACCAACCCATCCCAAGCTGTTTGTCCAGCCTGCCCGATCATCAAACACCATGCATCGCGATTGTCACCCTACGCGTCTCCACCATATCAGGCACAAGATGTGTGAAAGAAGCCCGAAGATGATTCTTATCCCAAGAGCGCTGATGTGCCATGCATCATGTCAGTTACGCTTTCGTCGCTGGCTTTACGTACCCCCCGCCAGTGATCTTCTTGGTCGTCCCGTTCAGCCATCCATTTGACGACGCGCTGGAATCATAGTACAACGGGTATCCCGCACTATTCACATTGCTCAGCGTCGTGTCCGAGTCCATCAAGTTATTGACCACGGTGTCGTTTGTCAAGATCCACGTGGAAGTCGCATCCAGCGACACGGCAAAGAACGACGTGCCATAGCCAGAGTACGCGGTTCCTGTCAACGAGGAGTACTCCGTCAACGACCAGCTGATACTACTGCCATTGTACGCCACGAGGTCCCCGGTCATATCTGACTCAGATACCGTGATGGTAGCCTCCGCAGCAGCCGTGGAATCCGCAAAATAGCTAAAGTCCTGCGTGACCTGCGAGTGATTGGCAATGACCAGGATCCCGGACGTGGTGTTGATGGTGGTGCTCGCAATGTGGGAGCTGGCGATGACATTGCCGAACCAGAGCGCTGCCGCGGTGTCGGGGAGGACCGTCAAACGAGTGTTGGTAAAGTTGATCTCGGACCCTGATCCTCGGGTCCCAGACGAGAAAATAACTGCACCCGCCAGCAGGCCCGCGGTGAGATCGGAATCGTGAATGTCAATCTGGGCCGTGTCCAAGAACGCAATGGGGGCTTTCTCTGCATACCCAATGATGTTCTCGGCATAGACCGTGCCTTGGCCATAGATAATGGCACTGCCGATGCCGGCTGTATGGGCGACCGAGTCGTACACATACACATAGCCCCGGGGACTGTCACCCGCAAAAGAGGAAGATCGGTAGGCGCCAGAGTAATGTTCCAGATTCCTGCCGACGACAGTGCCATAGCCGGCCGCATATAGGCCGTGCGAAACAGGGCCGGAGCTGTACAGGGTCGAGTCTGAGATGGACACATATGTGTTGTTGCCGTAGGAGTAGACTTTGGCTGCTCCATTGTGAACCGTCACGTTGACATGGTCAAAGTACGCTACAGACTCATTGGCAACGTTGATGGCAGCATTCGAACCGAAGAAGCTGGCCTGATACAGATCGCTCGAGTATCCGTGCTTGATGATGGTTGAATAGGAGACATTCACTTCGGAGCTTTCCGTGATGACAAGGACGCTGGTGTCGTTGGCGGAGACTGCTATGATCTCATGGGAGAGGTTCTCCGTTGTACTGGAGTATTCATATGCCCCGGTGATAGCATCAACCTGGTAGGTGGTTGGGGTATAGTCCCAGTCCGCTGTAAGAGCATCATCGGCTGCACCAGCGACAAGATCAGCAAAGTCACCGGGGTCATGGATAGTGACTGTAGCCGCGCCAAAGGCAGAGAGAAACAGAAGAAGAGGCAACATTTAGATGCTGAAAACGTTGTGGAATGAGAGCATGCCACGGAGAATGATCATCGACGCGGACGTGTCGTGTCTGGTTTATGGATCAGCCAGTTCTCGGCATCGCCATCTAATCCATGAAATCCCCCCACACAGCATCCATATGTCTGACGCATCACCTCTCATTTGAAAGCACCTTGATTGGTTCCCACTTATGATCAGAACCCCGAAAGCAAGGGATTGAATGGGGTAATGTCTCCATATCGGCTCCACATCATCATCACCTTATTCAAGCTTAATGTCTCCCCATCCACAACGCGGTAGGGTTTCTATACAAAAGTTATAGCTATCCACAAGCTCACCCCAACGAAAGCCGTTCCTAGTCGATCGCCGGCTTCTGACATTGGACAAGAATTAGTCTAGTTTCCGTCAGAAATCTTCCCGGATATCTACAAAATTATATGAAATGAATGACGCAGTTGGAGTCATCCGGAGAGATATCCTCGTGGAGCCGAATTCTCTTTGAACGACAGGCCAACATCCAAGGGAGCTCAATCCCTGCTTGTCAAAGTCTGGTGACGATTGCTGTAGGCTGGCCTACAGATAACAGTATGCGGAGAAGAGCGGAGGTCCTCACACCACGAACGAGGATCTGGCCTTTTGCAGGCAAGAAATGCTAATCCCCAGCCCCGCCGCATTTTCCCCTACATCGCCAGGGTGAACACTACTGACAAAATCCAGGCTATAGGTAGTCCGAGTTCTCAGTCCAGGGAAAGCAGTTTGCCATGCAGCCACAGGGAGCGACTCCCGAAAGCCGCTGATGGGCCACAGTGCCGACCGGGAATTTGGATAGATGGAGTAATAGGCATGGAACACTGACAAACCATAAAAAGGGGTCATCGTAGGGCCTCAGTATAATCCATGAACCCAAGAAAGTCGTCAGCCAGTGGCATTCTAATCATCCCTAACGATACCTCGGGCGGGTCGAGCTGGACGTGGTCCCTTAACGCGGGCAACACAACCGGTTCAGCATCGGTGCATCTCGATTCTAATAGCACCTGGACCTTTACGGGTAACTCATGCATCGATAGCATCAGCCAAGAGGATGAATCCGGCATCCTCACCGGTCAATGTCGGGTGACGGAGGTTGCGTAGGCTGGCGAGACAATGGGGGCGTGAGCTTGACCCGACTGGTCCTTCCTTCCCTCCTCAATTGGGGTAGTTCCACAGTACTATACCCCAACCCACGTGTAACTAGACCAAAAGCATGGCCAAAGTTCTTAACTTAATCAATCGGGATTTGCTGTGGTGAAAGGCTTGCCCCCGCAAAGACCGGTCGGAGGTTCATCGCCGATGGCAGTCCGACGGGCCCACCCGCTCCGATGCATTTATGGCTGCTCTTCCCCGCGTAAACTCCATGACAACTACACTTTGTCCATCACATTTTCCTTCTTCTCTCTATTCACTACTAATTCCCCTTACATCCCACACTATAATATAATCAACATGCCACAGAAAATCACGGTCGCGGTGGCCCAGGCGAGCACCCAGGCGACCACCGCCGCCACGCTGGATGCTCTGCAGAAGGTGACTCGCCATGCGGCCAGCCGCGGGGTCCACCTGATTCTGTTCCCAGAGGCCTATCTGGGGGGTTATCCCCGAACATGCGACTTTGGCACGGCTGTGGGAGCCCGTGCCCCGCATGGCCGGGACCAGTTCCTCGAATACTTCCATGCCGCCATCGACCTAGGCGACACGCCCACGGGGGCAGGCGATGACTGGGTGAACCGCAAGTTGCCTCTGCCTCGCGGCAAGGAGTATCGCGGTGATGGAACGAGAGAAGCGTTGGAGAGGATCTCCCGGGAGACGGGCGTCTTCATTGTGTGTGGCGTGATTGAGCGCGCAGGGGGCAGTCTCTACTGTTCCGCCATCTATGTCGACCCCCGCGATGGTGTCCTGGGCAAGCGGAGAAAGGTCATGCCTGTAAGTGGATTCACCCCACGAGAGGGAAGTCATGTTGCTAATTCAGTGTTAGACCGCATCGGAGCGTCTGATTTGGGCCCAGGGCTCGCCCTCGACCCTCAAGGCTGTCACCACCGAGCTGAATGGCGTCCGGCTGACCATCGGAGCCGCCATCTGCTGGGAGAACTACATGCCGCTACTTCGCCAGAGTCTGTATTCCCAGAATGTCAACCTTTATCTGGCCCCGACGGCCGATGCCCGGGATACCTGGCTGCCGCTCATGCGGACCGTCGCTGCAGAAGGCCGCACCTTTGTCCTGTCCGCCAACCAGTGTGTGCGACGTCGCGAACTGCCGGGCTGGATCACGACAACCTCCCAGGGTGGAGGCGATGGGGACGAGTATGTGTGCCGGGGTGGTTCCTGCATTGTGGGCCCGTTGGGCGAAGTCCTTCGTGACCCCATCTGGGAGGTGAGCACGGACGATCTGGCCGATTCGGAGGACCTGGGCGCCGCGCTGTCGGTGACGGAGATCGACCTGGAGGATTGTGAGCGCGGGCGGTTGGATATCGACGTGGCGGGCAGTTATTCGCGAAATGATGCTTTTAAGTTGACGGTGGAAGGCCTGGACTTGAATCCCCCGCCGCAATAGAGTTGCTGAAGCTGATGAATAAATGAACTTCAAGATGCACACCAATGACTTCCAAAGTCTTCTCCTGTAGGAGCGAAATATATATGGTTCCAAGGTAATCGGATATGTTCTGTCCGAAAGGCCGCGCAGCGAGAGCTATGGTCAACCGGAGGATCATGAGATCAATTAGCATGCCTTTGAGAGAGGTCTCTCTGAGTAAGGCATTCAGTGGTTGAAATCTGTCAGGGCAGCATTTTGGCTTCCTCGGGGAGAAGGGATGAGTGCAGCCTTAGGCAGAATGTCAGTTGCCTGAAATGACTCAGCCCTTACCTCAGCGGAGCCAAACCTTTCCGGGAACTGCGTGGGCCAATCATTTTCTCCGACATCGTCATCCTCTCTTCCTCTCCCATGATTTACTCGTTCCTCCATGCTGGCGGTATGTAGTAACAGGCGGAATTGCACACACAATGTCTCCCAGTCCTGCGTCGACACCTCGCCTGGCGTGTCGACGCTGTCGCATTCGCAAGCAGAAAGTGGGTGTCGGCCTAGTTGGAGTAGAATCACTGCTAACACTGAGCATAGTGCAGCCAGCCTCGACCATGTACCAACTGCGTCCAGGCAGATGCAGGTAACTGGCCTCGATGACTCTATATCTCGCGATAGCTCGTGCTTACATCCGACGCGTAACTAGCCTGTGTCCCCAGTCAGCGACCAGTGCGACAGTGTCACGTTAATCCAGAGTGAGCTGGCACTACCCATGCTGGCAATCATCAAGCAGACACTGACGCTCTTAGATACGCTCGCGCCTTGGAGGAGCGGATCCTCGAGCTCGAAGCCCAGCGAGGTACCGATGTCGATCTGCCCTCAGGCCATCTGCCGCTGGACCCGGCTCCATCCCCGAGCTTCAGAACCACCGACTTGCGCACGTCAGAGTTACTGGGACCGTCGCAAATTACAATCCCGCTGGATGAAAGCCCTGGGGATGTGACATCCCCGGCGATTGTTGATTGCTCGCGGAACGGCCAGAACATCCAAGCAGCCAGCACCCCCTCGATCACCATGCTCCCATCCGTTGCTCCTAATTCGCCCAATCCAGCGTTGGAAGGGAACAACTATGTGACAGGAATTCCACCGCAGACGCAGGATGAACTGGTCCGGATATTTCTGGAACGCGTGAACCCGCGCTATCCATTCCTCCATGAAGAAACCTTCATCGCCTGGTACGATACATGGAAGAGCTCAAGAAGCTTGGGGGTGCCTCTACCGCTGGACGAGCGATGGAAGGGCTTCTTCATCAAGATGGTGAGCTCGGAGACAGCGAGTGGCTTTAGATCGCAGGCTGACTTTGCTGCAGGCATTTGCGGTAAGCCTTCTGATCGCTCCCCGGGTATCGCCCAGCGACATGAAAGCTTCCCAGGTAGGAACACTCTCGTATGGCTTTGTGCGCCCGCTGAACGTTGCAGGCGCTGTATACATCTTCCCTGTCGTCTCTGGATATCGTGTTCTCCTGTCTGGACCCGGTTCTGCATGCACAAGCCTACCTACTTTGCACCCTGCATGCTCTTCACTCGCCATCGTCGCAGACCGTTTTGACGATGATATCGGCCGCCATGCGTTGTTGCGTAATCGCACAGTTGCATCTTCCCACGGTAGAGTCCAAGGCTGAAGACCCACTGCTGGAGATGCAGATTCGACGTCGGGTGTTCTGGTCCGCGTATGCCATCGATCGCTTGATCAGTTGGGTGTATCATGTTCCGTGCAGCCTCGTCGATGAAGACATCCAGGTTGAGGTGAGGACCCCTTCCTACTTGGTAATATTGTAAAACTGACTCGGCGAGACAGCCATTTGCGAACATGAATGATGATGAGATCAAAACATGGCAACCGAGGACCGATCGGCTGGACCAGGTAGAATCCATCCCGCGGAGGACTCAGGTATCCTCTGCTCTTCATTTGATCCGGGGTAGACGGATCCAATCCCGGATCCTGAGCATCATGATGCGTGCCGACTATGACCAGCGATTTGGGGCATCCCATCAATGGCGTCTCCACATGTTGGAGATCCTCAACCAGTGGAAGGCCCAGCTGCAGCCCCATAGCGACCCGCTCTCCAGAGGCTATACCAGCGAAGGGTGGGTGGGCATGTTATACAACTATACCGTCCTGCTCTTGTACCGGCCCACCCAGGCGAACGTGTGCGACATGGTGGTTGAGGGATGCGTCCAAGCCTGCACCGACATTGCACTGACATTCTGGACATATCTCAAGAGCCGTCAAACAGCCCAACTGTGGCCGGGGGTGAGTACCCCCGACAGAACCTCAGACACTTGCTGACAGCATCCTAGTTGTTGAGCCAGTTTGGAATCGGAATCACTCTCCTATACTGCCTCTGGGTCATGCCCCCAGCTCGTCGACCCGCCGCCCTGCAGTCGTCCAAGGTGGGCACAGCCATCCGAACCTTGTCGGTGATTCTGGCAGTCCTTGCGGAAAGGTGGACCCAGGCCGAACCCTTGCGAGATGTGTTCGATCTTCTGGCGGATGCGATTCCGGTTCATTGTTCACCGGATGATATGGGAGAGAGGCGCATCTCGAGGTCCTCGACGGATACCATCCAGCATCAACTGCCCCGACTCCATGCGATCGTCGTGAACAAAGACATCCTGCGCATGTTGACGGAGATGGCGACGGAGGAATACCCGTGGGATGACGACCGGACAGCCAACTTGGCTGGATGGTCATCCAGCGATGTGCATACGGCTCACGACTGCCCGCTGTGCTGGGACTCCCAACCGGGCCCGGAGACCTTTCCCCCGGTCGGATTTGCGTCCGGGGACTTGTGGCCGGCTTTTGATGGCAGTACAAACAACTCTTTCACCGTCTCGCCCGAGGGATACCCACTGTTTCCCGGTTTATTGGGTTCCATCGAGTTCTGATGCCTGTCCGATGACCTGGTCTGGTTGAGACGAGGGCTGACTAGCCGCTCGGCTATGCGCATCGTGGCTTAGCGGGATGGCGGCGGGCTCGCCTTGCCCGCCGACGCCCCCTCCATCCCCAACTTCTAAGAAACCCACGGAAGACCTTGAATCTTCCCCGAAATGAAGTCAACAGGGACCGAAGAGGATGGGTTCGTCTTCGTCAACATCTCCCGGCCCGATGAGATCAAATCGGCCTCCACGCAGCGCACCATCCGGCGCCGCGTCATGCGGGAGATTGGGCGGGCGCGTCGGACTCACGCCCGGCCCCTCACCTGGACGCTGGCCCTGAAACCCCCGGCCGAGCCCGGGGTGGAAAGCATTCCGGCGTCCCTGGATCCATGCAACACCACCTTCTATCCCACTCCCCTGGATGATAGGGGCCTGCAGCTCATGCACTTCAGTGGGTCTCTACTAGCCCAGGCTTTCAGACTCTACTAACTTACGTAGTGACCAGTGACCGCGACTACGTCTTCCGTCCGTTTCGAGCCGTATGGTTCTCGATGGCCTTGACAGATGCCAGCGCCGTCCTGGTGGCTTTGGCCAACGCGGCCATGTTTCTCGATCAGAAACAGCGGGTCCAAGCGTATCGGTATGAGACAAGTGCCGAATGTCTGACTTACTATGGTCAGTGTGTGCAGCAGGTTACGCGGCGGTTGGGCGATGTCCGGGAGAATCTTAGTGAAGGGATCATCACTACCATTTTGGGATTGATCTGCCATGATGTTGGTCTCCACTTGCTTCTCGATATATCAATACTGAATGATAGATAGCTGTATGTTGGCATGCTGGATCGCTGGAATACACATATCTGTGGCCTCGGTCGCATCTTCCAACTAAGAGGGGGATACAAAGGTCTCGATGACAATGTGGCCCTGTTTGCTGGCTGGTACCTCCCCCACATATCCTTAGCAAATGCACTTGGGCTAAATGTTCCGTTAGGCTTGATGTTGTAGGCAGCGTGATGGAGGACTCGCCTCCCCGGTTGCCGCGACCGCCGGGGTTTGCCACCCTCCCACCCGATGTCATGAGCCCTGACTTGAGCAGCCTGCTTAACGACATCGCTCCACAATATGCCTCATTCTATGAGATTGCAACTGCATTCAACCACGCTAGCTTCATCATCCAAAGCGTGGAAGAGAGTCTCCGTCACTCCGCGGCATTCTGGAGACACGAAAACAACCTTACCGTCATTGAACTATTCGGACCAGCCACGCATTTCCTCCTCTCCGTGTCGCGGCCGAGTGAAGCGCACTGCAGTGAAATGGGGTACCACTTCCTTCAAGAAGCCATACGGTTAGCGCTGCTGCTTCTGCTGGCAGCTCTGAAACAGGATGTCTTCCTCTTCACGTCACACGAATCCGACCACCTGCGATACAAGTTCTCGATGCTTGTCCCACAACTGCGCGAAGCCGATTATGATGACTCTTGTGGGAAGCTATACCTCTGGGCCCTGGTGACAGTATTACTACTTTCCCATTCGACACAGCCTGGTTTATACATGGACGATATCCGGTCGGTACTCGACCGTCTAGGCATTACGGCCATCGAAGGGATGAACATAGTCAACAATATCCTTTCGATCAACATACTAGGAGCCCAGGCAACTCATCTCCCTCCAGAACTAGTCACATCCTCATGTACATAATCTTTCTCCAACATGATACCGATGTTCAACCACCCACAATCCCCCCACTAACCGAGATAACCTGCCCAGATATCCACCGACTCTTCTCCGAACACAACAAGAGCACCGCATCCGCGACATCCTCTACGGTCCCTAATCTCTCCTCCACCCGACTAAGAGGAACCATTTTCTCGTTGATCTTCTCTGCCACATGGGGCGGCAACCCATCTGTATCCACTGGACCAGGGGAGACTGTATTCACCGTTATGCCGCCGTGATTGCGACCCAACTACACATTCCCATTAGCACTCATCCTTGAGTATTAGAGACAGGGTAGACATACCTCCATCGCCAACGAAAACGTCAACGCATCCATCGTCGCCTTCGAGGCACTATACAGTGGCGATCCCGACACGCCCAGCTTCGACGCCACGGACCCGATATTAATCACCCGACTATGCGGCGGCATGTGCGATACCGCTGCCTGGGTTAGATAGATAGGACCGAAGACGTTGACGGCAAAGGTGGTCGTTATGGCCTCGGGCGTAGCACTGAGTACCGGACCCGGGACTCCAGTGGCGGCGTTGTTGACTAGTTTGTTAGTGGAGATCAACACGATAAGCAAAGATGTATGTACGAACCTAAAATATCGATCTTTCCAAATGTAGTGACGGTCTCGTGTACCAGTCTTTGGGCTTCTTCCGGACGGGAGATATCTGCCTGCACGACGAGGGCTTTACCTCCCGCGGAGGTGATTTTCTCTGCCACCCCGGCAGCGGAGGGGGCCGTGGATGACGAGACGTAGTTGATGACGACGGATGCGCCATGGTGTGCTAGTAGAGCAGCGATGGCGGCGCCGATGCCTCTCGTCTTGCCGGATCCGGTGACGAGGGCTACTTTGCCCTGGAGGCTGAGGGAGTCAGGTTGGGACATTGTGAGAGGATGATTGTGAGAGGATGATTGTGGGATGGAAAATGGGCTTTGGATGGGAATTTGCCTTCCTTTTATGTCTTTTCTGTGCTCCGTCCAGGCAGGGAGAATGGGCTAGAGGGGAGCGATTTTCACGAGCAGGAGTGCTGGTCATGGCCAGATGGGATGGTGAGGCTATCCACAATTTCCTCTTTGGGCAAACGGTCCCCGGCCCCTGCAGCAGTGAATGAGCTAGTCCGGATGCGGTTAGTGTGATGGAGTATATTCTCCACGTGTCTGATTGGTTGTGCTCTTCCTTTTGCTTGTGGTTGGCCTGGTGCGTCTCACGTCAGAATCATCCATTGTAGCCACATAGCCACTACTCATCTGACATGACATGTTCGACTGGGTTACTGCTAGATATTACCGGCAAAGAAAGAACCCGCTGAAACTCGATATACTACAGGCAGGTTGCAAGCCACTAGCCTCACTAGATGGAGGATGTTGGTTTCACGTGAATCACATATAGGTGTCTCTCTAAGCAGATATTTCTCCTCTCTCCATTAAGCAGATATACATGTCATCTCATAAACCTCATAACCTTTCAAACATCTCCCCCTAATCATGAAACCCTCCATTCGACCGCTTAACCATATTGTACGAAGCGACCCGACTCAACAACTTAACCTCCCTCGGCTTAACAAACATCGGAGTAGTCACGGCCAGATAATCACGGTAATAATCCTTGGTGATTTGATTCTACACTGTGTTATCCATGCCCAGCATCCGCAACCCACAGTAGTAAATACATACCTCGAGTAACCATTCCTTCGACTTGGACCTACATGAACCGGTTAACCACTGTTACCATCTCTCCGAAAAAAAGAACATACCAATTCTCCACCCAACTCAAAGTCCCCGGCTCCTCAGGGGACTGATAAACCTCAAAGAAAGTGCATTCAGGCTCGCCAATCACCTTCTCGTAGACGGGCCGGAACGCCTCCCAGAATTTGGGGAGGTCAGAGGGGTTGATGTGAATGGTGATGTGGAGGGAGAAGCCTTCGGACATGGTGATGGTTGTATTGTAGAGGATGATTAGGAGGATGGTATGAGTGGAAGATGCAGGATGATGGATTATATAGGGCTTGTCTTGCGGTTGAATTTGTCAGCGATTGGTCATATATTGATTCCAGGTTGATTCAATGTGGGCAGTTTGTCGAGGCTAGTATTTGGAGGTGGTGATGAGGCTGACGTTTGGGTCTGGTTACGAGTCGAAGGGTGATTCGTGCCTCCATCTGATCCGTAAGCTGTCAGCAATCCTGGCTTCACGTGTGGACGTCTCGCACGGACATGTAAGATAGCTCTAGGGTTTGAAGCAGGGTATTGCGTAGTAAGCGGGCGGACAGATGTGGGTTCAGGTTGGATTATTTGCAAAGTATGCTAGTATTAAGCAATACTAGGTTTAGTCTTGCTAAAGAAGTTTCCAGCTCTGAGACTTCTTACTAATCTAATAAATTATATGTTGGAGTGGCTACTAAGGCGATTCAACCGTGTAGAATGAGATGGATGATGATCTAGCTAGGGGCCTCGTAGGCCATCTATATGGACTAACTAGCGGTGTAGGGAGGAGGGTCACGTGACCCTACGTTGCCTACCGGCGTGGGAGCCCATCGGGGATCCCAACATTATATAATTTTAATCTTCTAATTAATTATTTTGTTTATTTATAATATAACTTAAACTATATTACCAGTATTTACTATTTTAGTCTAATAAGGATCTCAAAGAGAATCTGAAAAGAAAAAGGTTTTTTAGTCTATATTTAAATTATAAATTTAAATCAGATCTTTATATAAATTCAGACTGTAAGTCTAAATTAAGTACTTTATTTTTAATAATTAATTAAATCTTTCAAAAACACTTGACAGAGTTTTTTAATAGTACTTAATAAAGATCTTTAATAACTTTCTAAATATACTTAATAAAGCTCTTTAGTAGCTCTTTAAATATACTTAATAAAGCTCTTTAATGATACTCAACAGAGCTTTTTAATAGTTCTTTAATAGCACTTAATGGAGCTCTTTAGTAACTCTTTAAATATACTGTCAAACCCTAGGATCGCTTCCCTGTCCTGGTTAGCTTAGCTTCACTGGCATACTGTTACAGACCCCTGCTAGCCAGGTTACTAGCGAAGCGGACTGGTTAGGCAGAAAAGTGACGACAAGGCAGGACTCGGACAACCAGCAGCTCTTATCGAGTAGAATCCCGGTCTGAGTAACGTTCGGAGCGGCGCTGTGTCACATGATCATCTACCATCGGATCTACCCTCGAGGGTATACGGAAGGTATACAGGAATCCAGGAACGTGATTGGATCGACCCTCGATCTACCCTGAGTGGTATATGATATGGTATACGGAGGATAGGATATAAGGACACTCTCTCATGTACTTAGCTAGTTCTGTTCTTCGTGCTCAATACAACTGTCTTTAAGTAACCATACGTTTTGGAAAGCTTAGCGACAACACTCGTCCGCACTTACTTACGGATAGCTGCGCGGCACTATCTGGCCTTACTTCTCTTCTCTTGTTCAGGACCAGTCACCTTTAGATAGTCACCAGCCTGACTTACCTCGATTCAGTTCGAAGGTACGTATTGGAACCAAAGCTAAGCTAACAGGAACAGGGAGAAGCGATCCTAGGGTTTGACAGGGCGCAGTCAAGCACAACTTAATAAAATATAACTTAGTTTAATATTTAAAAATATAATACTTAATTCAGATCTACAGTCTAAATCTATATAAAGACCTAATTTAGATTTATAATCTAAATATAGACTGGAGAATCTTTTCCTTTTCAGACTCTCTTTAAGACCCCTGTAAAACTAAAGCAGTGAATACTAGTAATATAATTTAAATTATATTATAAATAAATAAATTAATTAATTAAAAAGTTAAGATTATATAAATTATCAGATTAATAAGAAGTCTCAGAACTGGAAACTTCTCTAGCAAGACTGAACCTAGTATTGCTCAGTGCTAGCGTGCTTCGCAAATTATTCTATCATCAGAATCAATGTACACAAAGGATGTCCGCACTGCCAATGGACCTCTATGTAAACGACATAGGGATAAAGCTACTCAGCCGTGGTCACTACCGTCCGCGACTGATGGGTCGGAAACCCGGTCGTGTCAAACTCCAGACTGCCACTACTCGTCTGACTGATGCTGGTGCTCTTGCGCAATTCCTCGGGCTCGTTCGTGACGTGGAACTGACGATGCTCCCAGATCTCCAACGGCTGGTCCCGGGCGATATGCTCGCCAGATTCCGTCGGATCGACTGCAGTGCGCACCTGCGACTTGTCTCCGCCCCGGAACCTGGATAGATGGATGGTCGAGCTGTCCAGCCGATTGGTATACTTCCCGTGGCTGTGGTTGTAGGATGAGTGGGCTAAGAAGGCCCGCCAATTGAACAACCGTCGGAACAGAGTCCAGGTTTGCGGAATGTTGGCCACAATGACGGCCGTGGCTGCCTCACGGACATACCAGTCCACCCACTGGTCGCCGTACGGTTGGGACAGGGAGTAGTACTTCGAGAGGATGGAGCAGAGGATGACGAAGGCGCCCAGCGAGAAGACGGCGCACAGGGTGATCTTCTTGAGCAAGGTGAGTTTGGCTTTGACCAGCAGGGGCAGCGGGATGGCCATGATCATCAGGTCGGTCAGGATGTTCAGGGTGAGGACAAGGATCAGATGGTCGCGATAGACGGAGCACTGCAGGTTCTTGGGAGGGACCGACCAGTACGCGGAAAAGGGACGGCACCAGGCGGCGAAGAACAGGACTTCCACGACGACGAAGCTGAGGGCGCAGAATACACTGATGAGTTTCACGATCCGGTGTTGGGAGAGGCCCGAACTAAATGGCATCAGAGAGGTTGAGGGGATGCTTAGAGGGTGGAAACCCACGTCATGGTGGAATACAACAAGAGCAGACACGCCTTGCATCCCCAAATGGTAGCCAGCCACATCTGTTCCACCACAATGACTAGTTTACTGCCCGTGATACGATCGGGGATAGACGCAGGGTCGATGTCGTCGAACTGGTCCGGGGGAATCTCGTTGGTGCCATGTTTTTGTACTTCGACCAGGAAAACCGTGAGTAAGATGTAGAAGACCTAAGGTGGCAGTGAGTCAGAGGCGATCGTTGGAGGGAGCATCGTGCAGGCAGGCGTACGACGGTGAAGAGCATCAGCAAATCCTCAATTTGGAGATGGCGGGGGACGCCCAGCTGGAGGACTCGGGAGACATAGCGCAGTAGGGCTGTGGGAGACGGGTGATCAGCATCGATCAACATCCAACAGCATTGATTTGATCGGCGTGTTGCCACGCCGTTGCAGGTGGCGATCACTTACTGATCAATACCACCACCGCTAGCCACACCCAGGTATTGACACTGGAGGTCATCCTGCCGATGAAGGAGGGCTTGCCTGGTGTAGAGAAAGACACCGGATCAGGGGGTGATGGGAGAGCAGCAGGTCACCCCCCTTTTCTTTGTCTCGCAGCTCTGGATGTCGACCCTTGCCAGAGATAAGGATCATGGAACCCAACGCCACGCAGGCGGGGTCTACCAGTGGGTTGCAGGGAATGGAGACGGCCATTGAGGAAAAGAGGAAAATTGACGAACGACAGGCCTGGTTCTTGTAGGAATGTCTGGCCGAGGCCCCCCACGCCTCTTGAGTCTTGACACCCAGTGACCCAAGCCCTCGAGCCTCGTAGAAAGGCCCACCCCCGTCTAAATCAGGAGATTCCGCGCGTGCGCACGACCGCCGGAGATTATTCCATGCTTCCATCTCCGCACACTGCTACACGTGGCTCCAGGCCCGATCGCGGCGATCGATCGGGCGAAGGAAGATTTAGATGATGACCTGGCGAGCCATTGGGCTCCATCTGGTGGGTGGAAGGATGGTCATATCGAGGGGGTCGATAATAACGCCACTCCCATGGAGTCGAGGTTTAACCAGCTGAAACTATCCGGGGAGGGGGAATGATAGTAGCAACAACGAACAACGAACAAGGAAATTATGCTTGACATCACTGCGTGATTAATGGCGCCGTCGGCCGGTCCAAATTTATTGGTTCCGGCCGAACTAACATCGGAGCGCCAAACCTTATGGTGAAAACTCTTCTTACCGTGGCTTCCTGACTCACTTCTCCCACGCAGGAATTCCTGACTCGGTTAATTGAATCGTGAGAATGCTGCAAGGTCCACCGCTTGATGTTTAGCTGGGGTAAAATTGATACTGATGGGGTTGATGGGTAATGGAGGGGGAAATGGGGGACCCCCGATATCGCGGGTAGGGTTGCTTGCCTGCTTTCTTGCTGCCTGGACTCTGGAGGCCTGAGCCCCTCCTCCTCCAGCGCCGCCGGCATCATTTCGGCCTTTGTCCGGTGGTGTTTAGCGTCAGGGGAAGAGACAAGGGTGGACAAGGTTTCAGGCGGGCATCTTATCTCTCACCATTCAGCGGCACTGTCTTTAAGCTTCCACCTGGCACACTCCGGCGGCGTCCGTTCCATGGGTTGATGCTGCGCACACCCTCAGCAGTCAACCCTCATTCGCGGGAAAGTCCGGACGGCACAACCGCTGCATGCCTCGACCCCTTCTAGAGTCTAGACGTAATGCACTTGGCTCGTGCTTCCTACTTACTCTAAGAGGCGTTTGCTCACTCCTGTTCCTCGGGTTTCCGGAGGCTTCCCGCGGCGCGGCTGGCTCGCCGTCGACAATGACGCCAATCTCATCCAGCGGGTGCTCTCTGGTTTCGGGAAAGGAGAAAAACACCATGGCCAGAATGCCAGCAAGGAAGACACAGAAGACCATGCCAATGGGGTTGCAAAGAGGCCACCACCCGTGACCCGCAAGATCCAGCATTTACACCCTATAATCCCTACAGGACGTGTCACGTAAAACTCCTCACGTGTGAGCAATGTTATCCATTATGGAACGGGGAATAATAGCATTACTCTTCCAAACCCGCGGTGCCAGCCTCGGCCATGGCCGCGTAATTGCCCTGAATGCAGAATGTCTAGTTCGACGTATGCGATATTCCGGCTCAGGAGGGTGCCCAGGTTAATGATCATGTCCAGCTCCTGGGCGGTATCGACCAGCGCCAACTGGGCCTGCAGCACACTGACGGCGGTATGGTCACTCCCATGCAGCAATCCGATGAAGGTCTGGAGCTGGGTACCGGTGCCCTCCAAGAGCTGACGTGCCTGACGGACATGAAATAGTTGGGTGATGAATTTCGCAGAGATTGCTCTCGATCGAAACGGATCGTTAACTGAGTGGTCAACCACGGAGGCAAGACTGTCACGTCGCCATTTCTGCACCACAGCACAGAATTTGGGTCTCATCAACCAGTTGGTCTTCCCCATACTCTGGACATTCCCCGGACTTCCCCCGCAGAAATCACGCAACCTCGATCCGGGTTTGGCATAGCCTGCGCAAGGCTTTATATTTCGCCCCAATGTAGGCCCTAATAACCCAGCAGCACTGTTTCATTGCATATCCTCTGAGGAACTCGGCTGGGCTCTTGTCTGGATGTGTTGCCAGCGTTTTTGAGGACAGAATGTAACACCTCTGTATACTTAGCGTCGTAGTCACTCACTCGCAGATTGAGGACGCCATGCGGGCCTTTCATGACGTCGTGCAAACTGGCTATGTGCACTATATCAGAATAAGCAGCTGCTGGGTCTGGCAGTTTCATGTTATGTGGAGTGCGTCGTCCCAATTGGCCTGGATCTCGGGGGAAGATGATAATTACATTGTAGACTACGCCATCTCTAACCCATTGGCACCCTTCGTTGTCTGCCAAAACTTTCACAATCTTATCATCTGTATGTGTAGCTAGTGGCACAGGTCGATGAAATATGGGACAGAGAGGCTTATTCATACTATCCAGTACCGAATTGCTCTTGAAGCCCTAGACGCTTTCGGTAGACAAGGCCATCGCTCCCCCGTCCTGGAATACCTTCACACTACCTAATGGTGAAGCCGCCGTCCACTCGAATGTCCGCCCCATTGACCATGCCACTGGAATCCTACATGTGTCGTCAGTACGAGTGGAATAGTTACGATCTATGATTGACCTCATTCCTTACCTGACACAGAAAGAGGACCGCGTCCGCCACCTCTTCGGGAAGCGCGAACTTGCCGGTGGGGATCGTTTTCAAAAAGGCCTCTCGCACCGTGTCCTCCCCCCAGGCCTTCTGTCCCAGGGCAGTCCAGGCCACTGTCGGGGACACACTGTTCGCCGTAATGCCGCGGCCTCCCCACTCGGAAGCCATACTGCGCGTCAGCCCCAACAGGGCGGCCTTGGAGGCACAGTAAGCCCCGTGCCGGTGTAGGGCCACATGCGCTGCTTGAGAGGCAATGTTGACGATGCGCCCCGGTGGCGGGGGGCTGGGCGAGGATTGGGCCACCTGGGCAGCAGTCATGTACAGCCTGGCAAAGGCCTGAGAGCAGAGCATCGGGCCCAGGACGTTGGTATGCAGGTGTTTCACGGTCTCCTCGGGCGGGGTGAGCTCCAAGTCGCTCAACGACACGTATCCGGCCGTGTTGATCAAGATACTGGGGAAGGCTCGAGAAGACTGAGCCGGTGGTGAGGGAGCCAGAACGTCTTCTTCCAGGGCGCTGAAGACGGATTGGACCGACTCCGGGGCCGTGATGTCACATTCATAGGTCTGGATCCCATCGCGGGAGGAAAGCTCGCCGTAGCCAACCTCCAGCAGCTGGTCTCGCCGGGTGGCCTCGAAAGGGGCATACAGAATGGCCAGTCGGGCGCCTTGCTGGCGGAGCTTCTTGCCGATGCTCGAGCCCAGGCCACCTGGAATGGATGGGAAGGTCAATACGACGGCTTTTTAATCTTCCTACGAGTGGAGGGGGTGGGATGCCCTACCAAGGCCGCCCGGGAGAATGGCTAACCTGCGTGCAAAGGCCATGATGTCGACGACCAGCGGGATGGATAGGGAAAACGGGGAATGAATGAAGCCCGTCGATGAGAAGGCCCTCGGCGGCTTCCCCGCATCCGTCAGCCATGACGTCATCTCCCCTGTCGGTCGGCTTTGTGTCTACAATGGAAGAATATCGGTGGGTGGTGGTGGTGGTGGTGGTGGTGGTGGTGGATGAAGCCTTCCTCCACGCTTCGGCCGGTCTCCGCGCCACCCCGGTTACTCTATCTCACTATTGAGGTTTATACAAGGCCAATGCCACCATCTGACCACTCCGAACCAAGGGTCCAACACGTCAGGGTCGCCTGCCGAGCACTTGCAAGTGCTGCATTACAATGGCACCCAAGGGGGCCCTACTGGATGGTACTCGTGCAAGCGCATATCACCACCGAGGAGCGACCCCAGAATATCCAATTTGTCACTGGGGCCCTGGACGGGTCTGCAAGGATCTGTGATGGCACTGCAGCAATCAAGGCATCTCAGTCGGGGCACCCGGGTCCATACCCTGATCCATCATGATAGGCCTGCCATCTACGGCACCGTCTAGCCACTGAAACCCAAGGGCATCGGCCGATTAAATCGTCCCCTCCACCACCTTGAGTACATCCTCAAATGTATCAATGATATGATCCGGCTCCAGCCTCTCGCACTCCTCCGGGTCGCCCTGTCCATAGCGACACCAGCATGATTTGACCCCAATGTTTTTCGCGTAATGGATATCCGTCAAGGTGTCGCCCACCATCAGTACCTTGCTTACGTCCAGGCCGCCCTCCGTCCCCAGGGCCTGCAAGTTGGGCCACAGAACCTCGGTGAAGCTGGACGGGTCCGGCTTGCGCTGCACTCCGGCAAGACCCTGGCCCAGGATGAGGGAATCGGGAAAGTATTGCAGCAGGTCGGTCTTCTCCAAGGCGGCCTTCACCGCCACCGCGACCTTGTTGCTGATGATGGCGATGGGCACCTTCCGAGCATGTAGGGATTCGAGGACCTGCCGGGCGGCGGGATACGGTCGGGTCTGGGACTGGCCATGGATATCATAGATCCCCCGGTAGGTAGTGATCCATGCAGACTCGTCGAAGGTGGTGGGATCGGGGTGCAGACTGCGGAAGGTGTCGCTAGGGGGAGCGCCGGTGGAAACGAGAGCGCGGATGTCGCGGGGCAGGGGGTCGGGTGGGAGGGCAGCAGCTGCTGGAAGGTCAATTGGATGGAGTGCTCGATGGCATCGTAGGTGTCGAAGATGGTGCCATCAAAGTCGAAGATGACGAGGTTGTACATGGCGGCGGTGTTGGGGCTTCAGGGTTCAGGGGGATGGAATTTTGCCCGTGGTTTGAAATCCTTTGGAGAAGTTTGACTCACCGCCGCCCGCCAAGACCCCAACCATGGCTGACGCGGTGCCTGAGGCCTGAGCCAGATGTCCAAAACAGGACCCTTTAAGCTGCAACCCGGATAGATCTGCTACTTCGTACCATGGGCGGCAAAACCTTGAGGAACCTCTGACAACATCAAGAAAATCCCATAGCCGGTCTTTTACCTCGCATGAGGGACATTCTAAGCCATGCTTCCCGGCCTCAAGCAGGCGGAATCCCAAGGCGGTGAGGACTCTGCCACTGCTTCAGCTGGGCCATTGCCCAATGAAGGTTCGTCATCGATGCTCCTCGCCATGGCAGGGACTTAACTGCAAGTACGGGACTTGATTATTGCCCTGGGAAGTATAATTGCTAACAACATGCCCCATGTCTACGCGTCAAATCTGCATCATCGATCTTCATGTTCTGTTCTGCGTCTATAGCCAGTGCAAGGGCCAATATATATAGCCGTTACTGCACCGGACCATCGTGTGCACAAGGAGAGTTTGAGGGAGATCTGGAAAATCTACACCCACCAAGTCAATCTATAAGAGTCAATTGATAAAGATCCACCAAGGTATTCCTAGACGCTAGTGACAAGGTATAGTCGCCCATGGGTGACGACAGCCGTATCATGCTAAAACACGGCTAGGATATCCTCAACATGCCCGACATCCAAGTCAACGAGGTGACTGGAGATCCCTACCGCAAAACCTGCCGGGTGCCCTACGTCGAGCCCGAGTCGGCCCCTCCAGCTATCCGAGACAAATTGCGCGTGCTTCCTTTCCGGCGCAACATCCTGCTGACTCTCGCTCATTCTCCCGGGCTCTTCCCACATATCAGCGGTCTCCTGGCTGCCTGCTTCGATGGGAAGCAACGCCTGCTTCCGGTGTTAGACTGGCAGCTGATTGTCCTTCGGGTTGCCACGGTGCTCAAAGCAAAGTATGAGTATGATGTCAACTTGCCCGTGGCTGAGGTATTCGGGTTTCCCCCGGACAAGATCCAGGCGATGGGGTGCTCTCTACAAGACGTTTTGCAAGGAAAAGGCCCCTGGACACATCGCGATCGGGTGATCCTTCGAATTGTCGATGAACAGCTGGACACGTATGAAAACAAGCCCGACACGATCACCGATGCTCTGAAGGTGCTCTCCGTGGAGGAGCTGGTGGAGGTATTGTTAATGATTGGTATCTATGCTTCGTTGGCCCGGGTTATGAAGGCCTTGAAGGTGGACGATGACCACCCGACCCCTGATCTGAAGGAGAAGATTAGAAGTGCTATCACCGGGTAATGGAAGTAATTCCCAAGTTCGATGTTAAAGATACACCAGGAGAATAATTCACAATGCTGTTCATTGCGGTAGACTAGGGTAGTGCCAAAACCGTGGGAGATGGACGGTCATCTGATGGTTGCATATGCCACAGATACAACAAGTAGATAGCCAAACGGCGAGGGCCGGATGACCCACTCTCAGCCGATGGGCGGAAGATAGACTTTCAGGCTGACTCCCGTGCTTTTCTTCACCGGCTTTTGAGTTGTATACTATCCGGCCACCTCCGTGGGCGAGATATCGGCTGCCATTGGGAGATCCGCCGGAGTCCCTGACGAGTGGAGGCCGCCGGCAGGCTAGGGTTCCTTAGGGCCTCGGGAGGGATGCCCTGACGGGTGAAGATCGGCGGACCCTGAACCTCTGGCGGACGCGAGTGGAAGAACGTGTCAGGAACCAGCCTATCTTATCGGACGCCAGGGATGCAATGTAACCTCGGAGTTCCTGGTCGTCCGTCTGTCTGCCCTTGAGGTCGGGCGATAGATAGGAATCCTCCGACGAGACTGACGAGGACGAGGGAGGCCATGGAGGGATAAATAGGTCATCCTATCCAGGGGTAATGGAGATCAATCAATATACACGAACACACCCTCTCCATTCACTCCAAAGAAGGCCGACAGCTCGCAAACCGACCGTCACCATGTTCCAGATCAAGGTACGACGACGGACTCCGGATCGTCACGCAGCCTGAAATGGCACCACTGACCTATCCACCCAGACTATCATCTCCATCCTCCCCCTCTTCCTCTCCGTCTCGCTCGCCTCCCCCTCGGCCAGGAAGAATCTGGAAACCCGCGAAAGCTGTGACTACACCTGCGGAAGCACCTGCTACTGGGCCAGCGACGTCAGTGCCGCGCAGGCCAAGGGTTACTCGCTCTATGAGTCCGGAGAGACCGTCCACGACTACCCCCACGAGTACCACGATTATGAGGGCTTCGATTTCCCCGTTTCCGGCACCTACTACGAATACCCCATCATGAGCGACTTTGATGTGTACGATGGTGGCTCCCCCGGTGCGGATCGGGTCATTTTCAACGGCGATGATGAATTGGCGGGTCTCATTACGCACACGGGCGCCAGCGGGGATGACTTTGTGGCTTGTACTTCTTCCTAGGAGGGATGGAGGGTGTCGGCCTGAAATAGGGTGTTATACAAATAAAAGACGAAGTATGATGTGGATGTCAGACCCAAACTAGAGCTGTAGTTAAGCATTGAGCCGAGGAAGGGGCTAAGGCTTGTTCTTTCTCCGACCACGCCGACCACGCCGATCCGATCCGATCCGATCCTCGGCTTTCCTTCTCCCTCTTCTTTCATCGATTGTCCCTTCTTCACCCCATCGCGCCAGGAACGGCACCACTGCTTGTAAATATGCCGTCACGACGTGCAGCCTGCGAGGCCTGCAGGAGGGCCAAGCTATCCTGCGATAATAAACGGCCGGCCTGTACTCGGTGCAAGAAGAGCAACCGAGCGGGCCTCTGCATCTACCGTGCTTCTCCCTTCAAAAGGAGACCAGGGCCAAGCCCACCATTGCCCAGAAGGCTACAGTCAGAGTAAGCTCGACCTGGAGCGACAGACTGTGCAGTCCCCAATTAATGGCCTGTAGTGATCCATCCCCAGGTCCTTCAACACTATCAGGTCTGGCCCGACCCAATCCGTACCCGAACCCGGGGTACCTGGGCTCATCGAGCCATACCACCATCTTCGATCACATCTCGCAAGATTGCACCTCAACTCCTGGGTTGCTTGATACTACTGATACGGGAATGTCGTTGTTGCCATATCCTCCGATAACTGATGAGCATGTCCTCCTCCAAGGGGCCAATGCTCTGCGACTCCTCTTGGATGAATACCGATTGACCGTCATGAGAGACCTTGTTCAATTCTGGCTTGCAAAAGGGACGAATCTAGCCCTCGCAGAATCATTGGTAGAAGTATGCAGCGAAAGCGTAGTCCAATTCTTCACGTCGGTGTCCCAAGATGAACACTGGCATTTGGACTGTGCCAGGCTTCTGTTGCATAATTCCACGCAGCCATTGAGATTCCATTCCGATACCCGCTTCTCGGAGTGGGTGTCCCAATTTTCGGACGCCAGATTACGATGGGAGACCCTTGGGATCTTCTTCCTTGCTGTCAGTCGGGCCACCATCGATGTCGCTGCCTTCCCGCAGCTTTATGTGACTCGCGAGGCAAATTGTGCTTTGCGCAAGCTTTGTACCAAGCTAAGCGACCATGCCTTGGAGATTGTATTGTCTCTGGACTGCCTGAATGATCTCCAACTGGTTCTGCAATACGAAAATTTTATCATGCACTCTTTCGTGGATGGCGACCACAGTAAGCCATTTGCTCTCCAACCTCCCTGGACTTGGAATGGCTGATCCCGGTGATAGGTTATCATGCCTGGCGCAGGATTGCAGATGTCATTTCGTCCATCTTTGCCTTGGGGTATCATGACGACATTGATGCGAAGCCCGACACCCCTGATTTCCTCACACAGTTACGGAAAACCGCATTTGCCCGGGTATATTCCGCGGACAAGAATGTCGCGATCTTTCTAGGCCGACCACCACGCATGACGAAACGATTCTCCACCTTCCAGATCCCTGCTAGTTTTGCTGACCCAAGGGCGGACTGCTTCGCATGGGACCCAGATGGCAAAGCGAGCTACAGGGCAGAGACACGATGGTCGGCGTTGTGCGCGTCGCTAAAAGAAGAGGTCCTGGAACTGGCTCGGGATAAGAATCATGAGATGAATGCACAGCGTATTGGGTATCCAACCACTGTCCCCTCGTGTGTGAAACATAGCGCTTATCAAAGTAGTGCAATTCAGATCCAAGCCGAGACACAGTGGCAAGCCCTTCCGACTCATTTCCAGCTAGAGGGCGGTCTTACCGATCATGACCAGGTTTCATCCTTTGAGAGAGACTTCCTGATTAGTGTCCGACTCAACCATCTTCATGTCCTATTTCTGCTTCGCCCCCTGATGCTCAACACCCTTTCGGAACCGGACTCCTCGATTATCACAGTGGCCGGTGAAATGCTGGCGCTGGTGGTCGAGGCGATCGTCGTTCGAGAGCAATTAACCAACTCCGGAACAAGTCTTACCTGGAAAGTACGTGATGCACCATGACTCATGTCCAATTCCCAAAAGCAGGGTCTAACACCAGTGTTTCAGATCGTTCATTATGGTCTTCCCGCTGCTGGTATGATGCTACTCGCAATGCTCAAACAAGGCAATGCCTCAATGCCAGCTGGACTGTCCAGAGCAAAGGTACTACAGGATCTGAGCGTCTTCGTGGTGGAAATCCAGAAAGGAACCATCGTGATGAGGGGAGATCCAATCTATGTTTTGCTATCAAAGGCAACCCGAACTATCCAGAAGTTGCTGGAGTCATTTCATTCCGGATCAACAGAGTATGAGATGAAAGGAGGTTGCGCCAATGTAAATATAGGGGATGACTGGGGAGTTACATTGGGTCAAGATCTATGGGATTTCGATACCGGATTCTGGGACAGCTTGGTAGACCATGCCTCGCCTGCTATCCTGGATCACAGTTTGACAGCTTCGCAGGCCTAGGAACCTGATGCAAACTCCCGCTTCACAACATCTGCAAAAATCTTCACCCCCTCTTCTAAATCCTCTCTAGCAGCAGCAGCAAAGGTCATACGGAAATGTAGTGTTTTGAGGGGAGGTCTGTTGCAGCCAAACAAGGAGCCTGGTGTAGTTTGTACGCCCTCCATGAGAGCCTGTGACCCAATTCCGGTTTCAATCTCTGCAATATGAGAGTGGGGGTCCTCCTGAACCATCGACTTCTGGAATCGGGGATGCTTCTGCCAGTCTAGACTGATCCAGAGAAACATGCCGTACGTTGGTGCCACCCACGAACAGATCTGCTGGGGTAGGTATCGGTCGCAAGCATCCAGAAGGATGTCTCGACGGACGCGGTATTCCAGTGAAAGGCTGTCCAGCCAGTTGAGAAACCCCTGATGACCCCAGCACTCATCGAGGAGCTTCCATGTCATCCATTGGGAGGGACCTGCGACAGCCACCGTGCTGACATCCTGGTAGCCAACGAACTTATCGATGATTTGGGCACTGGCAGTGACCCAACCGACGCGTAGCCCCGGAGCAAGGATCTTGGATGTCGAATCTATGCGTACCACGCGCCCAGACCCATCGATGGACAAGTACGACGGAAGACGAGTGTTCTGGTCTGCTTCTTCAGTGCGGCTTCCAGTTCGAAGGAAGTAATAGGGATCATCTTCGATGATTATGAGGTCATGTTCTTCGGCGATTTGGTAGATCTTCCGTCTTCGCTCGAGAGATTGGGTGGCACCAGTCGGATTTTGACCCGAAGGTATCGTATAGAAGAGTCTAGGCTTAGGTCCTCGTGAAGGATCCCATACACTCAGAATGTGTTGCAAGTCATCTGCCCTCGGCCCTTCTTCATCCATTGGAACCCCGTGGATGTGAAGACCAAGCTGACGGGCCCCTTCCAGCGCGCCCGGGTAGGTGTACGCTTCCATCAGGATGTTATCGCCTCGGTTGCAAAATATCCGATACGCCATTTCCAAGGCAGAGGTGGCACCGGTTGTGAGGCAAACCCCCCAATCGGCGTAGGGGGGATCATGAACAATCTCCATATGCTCAGTGATGAACCGAAGGAGATGCGGCGACCCAGCAGCGCTTCCATAATTCAGCGCCAAGGACAGGTTGTAATCGGCGCCCTGCTTCGATGCAGTCTTCATGAGCAGTGCTTCTGGGCTGTCCTGAGCCGCGGGTCTTTGTAGTGTCGGCTGCATTGCTTTGAAGATGAGAGAGTTCCAAGGGTAAAAGTCTGGAGTCGGTCGGCCTGTCCCAAGAGGAATTATCTTTCGGTTGCTGGCCAGGCTGGCTGACTTTTTCATAGCCGAGCCCAGAAACCCGGCACTTTCAAAGCTGAAGTGGTGGGCTAATGATCTAGCGCTTGGCTTTCTCCGCGCATGGGATGATTTGAAGGCATCTGCAGAGACGCTGGCTCCGGTTGTGGTGGGCAGAGGTGCTGAGCCAGCGCGGAGAGACTGCACATCGGCCACGGTGAGGGGAGCCATGATGATTAAAGGAGAGCTGAAGGGATACACTGGCAAATGAGTCGGACCAGCAGGGTATTTAACTATTCATCGGACCTCCCTCTACACTCGGGGAAGTTTTCGGTGTAGTCGGAGAACAGCTATCATGTCATATACATCGATGACTCGATCAATCGGAGAAAGCAACAGTGAGATGCTCGGGGTAATCGGATCGGAGTAAAGGGGACTCTCGCCGATAACAGCCAGTACAAATAGTGAACCACAACCTCATGCAATTTGTTATACTCTGCCTTGCTTCATCATCTTCTTCACTTCCACTTCCGCATCAACCTCTTTCAATCATGACACACACTCAACCTTCTTCGGGCACAATCAAAATTGCAGAGTATCTTCTCGCAAGACTCCAACAACTGGGCATCCGGTCAATCTTTGGAGTGCCTGGTGATTACAACCTCCGGTTACTGGACTTTGTTGAACCCGCCGGGCTGCATTGGATTGGGAATTGCAACGAACTGAATGCCGCCTATGCGGCAGATGCATACGCCCGAGTGAACGGTCTCTCGGCTCTGATCACGACCTACGGAGTTGGCGAACTATCGGCCATCAATGGCATTGCGGGGGCCTTTACCGAAAAGGCCGGCATCATCCATATCGTTGGGACCCCGGCGCGCGACCTGCAATTGGCACGGAAGAAAGTGCATCATACCCTCGCCGACGGCGATTACCGCCACTTTGCAACGATGGCATCGCATGTCACCATAGCCCAGGCGAATCTCATGGATCCATCTACTGTCCCGGAACAGATTGATTGGACACTCCAACAGGCCATGATCTACAGCCAACCCGTCTATATCGAGTTGCCGGACGACATGGTGGATGTCACCATCAGTGCCTCTAGACTATCGACGCCTATTTCGGTCCCTGAACGCCTGGCATGCCCGGACGAACCGCTACAAGAAGTTCTGGAACGTATTTACAAAGCCCAGCAGCCACTCATCCTGGTTGACGGAGAATGCGGATCGATGCGGATTCTTGACGAAGTCGATGAGCTGGCCAAGATCACTGGCTGGCCTACATGGACGACTGTCTTTGGAAAGGGACTAGTGAATGAAGAACTCCTGAATGTTTACGGGCATTACAATGGTTCTCTGGGTAGCAAGGCATGGCAGGCCTACTTCGACTCGGCAGATCTGATCATCGCGCTTGGGCCCCATTACACCGACACCAATACCTACAATTTCACAACCATCCCACGGGACGAGGTTTCCATTTTGCTCTCTAAGGCTATGGTCCAGATTGGCTCCAGGCGCTATCGTGACATCCCCGACGGTTTTCTGTTCAGACTACTCAGGCGCCTGGACAAGGATAGGGTGCCCAAAGTGCAAGCCCCTCCTAGAAGCACTGCCACTGAAAACCGAAACATGATCGATCATGACACAGCTTTGGTCCAGAAGACCTTTTATTCCTACGTCAACAGAGCATTCCGCCCAGGCGACCTGATTCTCACCGAAACCGGTACGGCCGCTCACGGTGGAAGGCAGTTTAAACTTCCTCCCCAGTCACGTCTCTTCGGACCGGCAACATGGCTATCCATCGGGTATATGTTACCAGCAACCCTGGGTGCCGCAGTTGCCAAGCGCGAGTTAAGTGAGAATGCCAACGCCCGTGCCATTCTGTTCATCGGAGATGGCAGCCTCCAGATGAGTGTACAGGAGATCAGTACTATTATCAAGGAAAAGCTCAACGTCATCATCTTTATCATTAACAATGGAGGATATACTATCGAGCGTGCAATCCATGGAAGGAAGCAGTCCTACAATGACATCGCTTCCTGGAGACACCAGCACACTATCGCCTTCTTTGGGGGTACAGAGGAGCAATCTGCCAACAGTTTCAGCGCAAGAACCTACGCCGAGCTTGACAGAATCCTGGAGGATGATCGCATTCAAAAGGGAAGCGGGTTGAGAGTGGTGGAGGTGTTTATGGGGCAGGAAGATGTCGAAGGAGCTTTGTTAAAACTGATGGAGGATCAGATCTCAGCGGAACAGCCGTAGAACCGACCGTTTGTGCCTTAAATGTGTTACATAACGAGACTCTTACATACCGCGATTGCCCTGACTCATTCAGGGTGAAATATAGAGACAATGAGCCGATAATCCTATTGCCTTGATGGGGTCAATCGCACCGGGATGTCGGCATCCTCCTTCAGGCCCTCCCAGCGGCTCTTATACACCCGGCCCTCCTTCATCACTCCGAGGACACAATCCTCCGGCCGATCAAAGATGGTAACATCTTCTAACGGGTTCCTATTGAGGACAAGGATGTCCGCCCAAAATCCCTCCTTGATCTGACCGATCAATCCTTGTTGCCCCACCATCTTGGCTGGGTTGATGGTTGCGCTCTGTAGAACGGCCAGCGGACTGAGAATCTGGGCCCTGAGCGCAAACTCCCCCGTCTGTGCCAAACCCAGAGGACCAAGTAGATCGCTTCCGTAGCAGATGGTCACGCCCGCGTCGGATGCGATTTTGAGGCTGCGCAGGCCGGCGGTCAGAACTTCGGTGTTCTTGGCCTGGCCATTGGCGGGCAGATAGCCTCGCCAACGAGCCGAATCCATCTCGGCGTAGGATATCAGGGTCGGGGTCAAGTAGATGCCCCGGGCAGCCATGATGTCCGCGACCTCCTCGGTGATGAAATTGCCGTGTTCGATCCCTTTGACGCCATTTTCGATACAATGCATGATGGCTTTCGGGGTATAGGCATGTGCGGTCACATAGGTGCCGGCGTTATCGGCACATTCCACCATGGCCCGGATCTCCGACCCAGTGAACTGCAGTTGATCCAACCGGTCTGTCGGGGTTGAAACACCCCCGGAGCCCATGATCTTAATGAAATCAGCGCCCGAACGAATCTCCTCCCGGACGGCCGTCATGCATTCCGGGACGCCGTTGCAAATGCGCCCGAGGCCATTGGTATGTCCTCCACAACATTGTACGTGGTCGTGGGCGCTGCGAATATCTCCGTGCCCCCCTGATTGCGACAGGGCATGACCGGCGATGAACAGCCGTGGGCCAGGAAACACGCCGTCTTCGATGGCCTGTTTGAAGGCCAGTTGGGCACCCCCGCAGTCCCGCACGCTGGTGAAGCCGCGGTGGAGCATCTGGGTGGCCACATACGGCTGTCGCAGGAGGGACACGTCGTTGAAATTGCCAAATGCCATGGAGAGGTTTTGAAACCCGGGCACGGCGACAAAATGCACATGTGCATCAAATAATCCGGGACAGATGTACCGGCCCTGGCAATCGACGGTCAGGCAGTCGGTCGGCAGCTTGTCGGGCGGAGTGGATAAGACTGCCGCAATCCTCCCCGCGCTGATCACCACATAGTGGTCTTTCTTGATGCTGCCAGTTCCCACATCGACAATGCAGGCCTTGGAGAGGAGATAGGCCCGAGGGGGTGAACGGAGCCAAGGTTGGATATCTGATGCGGATGCCATGTTGAGGTTGGGACAAAGTGGAGTAGAATTGAGATGAGTGATGAGAAGAAAGATGAGGGGAGGAGGGGTCATCGTGAGGAGGGGTCGGCACACCACCATTGGCTATCAGCATCCATCGGATAAGGCCTCGGCCAAGATTGACGATATACGTATCTTTTTTTCTCATTCATTCAATTACTTTTTCGGATCAAACGGATATGTTAGCACCATTCATATGTTATTGTCCGTGATAAGAATGGAATTGTGTGAGATACCAGCTAGCTCGCCTGGGGTGGCATTGAAAATATGCACACCGTGAAATACTAGGGCAGGGGAGAGCATGGTGTGGAATAAGCATACTTCGAAACGTCATTTCGCCTTCCGAAACCCGTACTTAGACTTCTATCATTGGTAGTGTGTTTATTATTACTGGTAGATCGATCATTTAAAATAATTAATCTGCTTCTCTCCGGTCAATACATATTATGCAAAGTGAGGCCCAAAACTTGCACGATCTGGCGAATTACAGATGAAAAGCTCTAGAATGCCATCAAAAAGCTTGGAAGTACTATGTAAAAACCCCATCCATGCCTTCCAATACTAGCGATGGCGCGAGTGCAGGCTGTTCTATCAGGCGCATGTCGAGGAATCTGGCTCCTCGCAGACGCCAGCTCTGGTAGAATGACTACTCGCTGGAGGAAGGGAAGCTTATAATTGCTACGGGGGTCTATACACCGGGCAGAAAAGTTCTTGTAATTGGCTCTTGCAGTAGTGGACCCATGAATGGGGAATTGACGGATATCGGGGGAGCAATTCATTGAAGAGTATCCGAAAAAGACGCGAGGATCGTATACTATGACATAGAACAAGTTCCAAGCAGCGACTCCCATGGCGCAAAGGTACCCTTAAATATTTATTTGTTCCGTAGAAAGCTCCTCACGAGCAGGGATATGAACAATGTCTTGTGGCTGAGAGATATTTTGGCAGGAGGATCCTTTGCACTAAATTTCGGATACTGACCGAACAGAGACGGAGGGAGGCTGAGTTAAGTCTCTGCTTTTATGATAAGTCCGTCAAACTTTATTGATTAACCGAATGTCATACTCGTGAAGGCGATAAGCATCGTCAAGACCTAGTCACCATGTAACATTTGCGTGGCGTAGTGACCAACGCCAGGCTACACCCGAAACGGAAGAGTCCACGTCAGCTGGATAAGCTCTTAGATAGGCCCCAATCCATAATATAAATCTTGCAGTCGTGCACTTAAAATGAGTCTGGATACTTGAGGCCCTGTAGGTTGCGTTGTCGTTGTCCTGGAGTAATCGGTCTGTCTGTGTCTCTGTGTGTGGTAGTGTGGTGATTGTGGTCCATCCCAGGCATAACACTGTGACAAAGTCATTCGGCCGAAAGCACATGTCCCCAGGCGAGCTGCTCAGGGGAACCGACAGCCGATGCCGTAGATAAGGATTTCTGCAGCCTTAAAACCTGAGATATAGCTAATTAGCTATAGAGTATAGAGCCTCAGCCCCGGTGCCAAGGACGCCTGTCTCCATGGGCCCCGCTTCGTCCGGACCCTCCTGCCTGGGGAAGTCTAGTCCCGTGGGTTAGTCCCGGCCTTCTAGTCATCCTATAGGCCGCAGCCTATTACCAGAAGTCTGCTAAGCATTCATCCACGTAATGCATCTGAACATCACCCGACCTGTATGTCTGTGAGTAGGGTCGGATAGTCGTTCTTTCAGCCATATCTGCAAATTTTATCATCACGCCAATTACTCTAACGTCAATGGAATACTGAGACTGAGAGGAATTTTCACTTCCCTCTTAGAGATATTGAATCGAGGATAGAAAGAAGATACAATGCTGTTGTCTATTACTGGGGCGAGGCATCTTCTGTTTACCAAGTGCTTCCATGGCTATGGGACCCATTTATACGAGGAATGCTTGCAGAAGTGGGCCAGTGTTTGAATACTAGTACTGCTTCCTTCAGCCTCCAAATCCTGCGATATTGCACCACTGCAAGGAACCTTGGCTCCACCATTCCCTTCACCCGACAGATGATAGTTCAAAACGCGAGCCCCAACAGAAGAGACAAAGACATAAATACCTCGATGGTCTCTTCTGTTCCACGACAGAGCATTTCAACCAAAACCGTCATCGAATCCTCCATTTCATGTTGGTATCTCCCATTTGTTGTGCTTCTTGCGCCTTCATATCTTGACACAGGCTTATAGAGCTCAAGCAGACAACAAGCATACCACCAAGACCGAGAGCCCAAAACAGTACCATGCGCGTCCAAATATTGACAGCCTTGCTCGCCGGTGCCACCGCCTGGTCGCATGTTGCAGCTGCAGCAGAGAATAGCACAGTTTACGGACCGGGTGCACTGAGCATAGACGTCGCGACGAGTTTCCTGGATTGTCTGAACACCACTGGCACAGACTACCGGCTCTTCGTCGATGACGGCTGGACTGTCGTGCTTCCGGTCGGCAACCGCACGATCGAACTTGAAGCTACGGACGGGGCGCTCTACAACTGCCTGACAATGCCGGAGATCATGTCCGGGATGCAAGTTGCCGCTGAAGACACCACCGAGTTGGATGAAGCACACCATAGCAGCATCCTCGCCGATACGGCCTCCTACGCCTGGCTCGTCGCCCAGGGCGCGCAAGGCAAACAGGTGGTGGGAAGCCGGGCGGCCTCCAGCAGTAGCAGCAGCAGCTCGGAGGACGATGGGCTCGCGCGACGGGCGGATGGCCTGCAAAAACGCACGCACTACCACTACTATGCCTATCTGTCGGATTACTCGTCCTGTGCCAACGAGGATCTTTATGTCCGGTTCGGTAGCACCTGCTACAACCACGCGTCCGCCTACGCCAGTGTGCAATTCGACAACGCCTTTTCCAGCAAGATCTTGACGATGAAGATCTGGCCCCATCACAACTGCTCCAAGGGGAACCTGAGGCAGTTTACCGTCGGGCCCAATTCAGTGAGCAGCTGCCATACGAGGACGACCTATTCTTACCACGGTCACTATAAGACCTGCAGTTGCTAGAGGAATCCCGTGTTCACCACCTGGAAGGTTGAAAGGGGGCTGCGGAATTAGATGTACCTAATTAATATGCTTATTCTTGCTCGGATCACCTATCACACCATATAATACTTGACGGAATTTATTGCCTCTTCACCTTTAGATGTGAAATGAAAGTCTGTATGGCTTCTATGACTGAAAAACATGTTGTTTGCCGTCTTTGAAGGATCGCGGCAAGCCCCGAGGTAAGCGGCTGTGCATATCCGGCTTTAGTTCGGAGTCCGGTGGTGCTTATGCATCCCACCGTCAAGTCGGATATACAGCTACGGTGGATCGGTCTACGAGAAATCTGAGATATTCCTGCGGCTGATCGCTTGTCGATCTCCGACAAAGTCCGGATATCTAGACTATATATTTGAAGCAATCTTGGTAGTTATTGTTCCCTGTTCCTAATCAACGAGTAACTCACGCACAACCATACCGCAAATCCCCCTGCTTAAAGATAGGATGTCTCGCACAATCAAGAACGTGGCTATTGCTGGGGTAAGATAAAATCAAAAGATTACATGTCCTAGGTTAACCAGCTGGTAGGCTAGCGGCAATGTTGGAGCCCGAGTCCTGAGTGCATTAATAGACCTGAAGTTCAACGTGACCGTGCTTACTCGCAGTTCCAAATCCTTCCCTTCCACAGTTCAGGTGAAGGTGGTTAACTTTGATTCCCTGGAATCTTTATCCGCTGCCATCGCCGGACAAGACGCGGTTATCGATACTACCTTCTCTCTGGAGATTGAAACACCACTCCGCCTGATTCACGCGGCGGCGGAGAATGGCGTTTACCGCTTGTCTGTGAGCCCTACATTTCACAACCCGTTAACATTAGCTAATCCTCTCTTTCCACCCTTGTCCAGTATAACTAGCGACTTCGGACTCGATCCTGACCTCCCAGGTGTTCACGATATGCCCGTTTTCGCCCGGAAGAAAGCTTCATACGAGGCCGTGAAGAGACATGCTGCTGAGAATCGTTTGACATACACCCTGGTCGCCTGCGGTGCCTTTCTCGATTGGGGTATCTCCTCGGGATTTGCAGGGCTGGACATGAAGGGAAAAAAAGCTTTCATCTTTGGTGATGGAAACAATGTTGTTCCATGGACGACAATAGATGAGGTTGGTGTAGCCACTGCCCATGTGCTTTTGCATCCGCAAGAAACATTGAACCGCCCCGTCTATGTTCATTCCGTGTTCATGTCGCAGAATCAACTTCTTGCCACCTCAAAGGCAATTCTAGGAGCTGACGGGTGGGAGACCACCTATAATGACATGGATCAACTATTCAAAAATGCGTTGGCAGATCTCGAGGCCGGCAACATCAGTACTTCAACCTTCGAAGTACAAATCCAGTACTGCCTAGCCACTAAAGCGCTTGCACATCCCTGGGCAAGAGATGACAATCTTCTTTTGGGACTGAAGGGCTGGGAGATGGAGAAGGTGGAAGGGCTGGTTCAGACAATTGTCCAAGAAGCAGCGCAAAGCTGAGAATATCGTTCCTCCTCGAAAACAGACCAATGTGATAAGTGAACTACAGTCAATGAAGATACCATGTTCTTCTCAATTCAACGAATGCATCTTGCAATCTAGAATACTGACGCCAATAGAATTCTCTGTTCCAGATATCACTAAAAGACTCTGTCATAAATCCCCTCGATAAATTTTCTGAGTGGATCTTGGAAAAGTAAGCGGTCTAGTAAACATGTTATGTGAGGATTACGTAGAAGCCAATCCGGCCTAGCAAGAAGCAGGCCAGTGTGTCTGTAGAAACCCCATCCCACTACTGTGTTAATCTAGGATAGAAGGAGTTTGCAGCTAGAAGCCTCCGCCTCTACTCTTCTATAGTACTTCCCTGTAATGCTTCTCCTCAAAAATAGAGTTCCAGACTATGCACCACTATCTAGAGTCTGCATACAGAGCCAGGCAAGCTACAGTGGAAGGTCCCACAGTTTCCCTTTATGAGTGCAATTAAGACGGTATCGGCGGAACATGCAGTGTAAAAAACATTTACCACTTACTAATGCACTGTGCAGCCTCGCCCTTATCTTAACTCCCCCCCACCTCAGCATATCTGCGGCTTATGATTCGTTCAAAAAAGCAGGGACCTCGGCCCGGATAGAGCGGGTAGTCAACAGACACCAATTGGACTGACATCTACGTCTACGCTGGGCTGAACGAGGAAAGGGGCATCTGACCACCTGCATGATTAGCAAGAGTTGGCGGCGCTCGGACCGCATCTGGGATTAAGGCAGTAAGCAGCCTTGTCAGCCGCATTTACGCTGCCCCGCCCCCCAATGGTGGTGGTGACCATGCCTGGCAACTACTATTTATGGGGCTTTATTCCCCTCAATCTACCTCGATGCCGTATTTATCAAAGCAGACAAACACATACAGGGCACGCCATCTAATATGGCACATAACAACCCCGAAAGCGAGAGCCAACTGTCGCTTCTGGCACCAAAAGGCTCAGATGGCCAATCAGCGGAAAAGATTGCACCAAAGCCAAGGAAGAAGGGGCCGTCATTTAGAAGGGATATACAAGGCTGGTTATGGGATTTCTGCGGCGTGGCTCTTGCTGGAGGTACCCTCGGCGCCATCATTGTGATCTTGGTCAGGTATGATGGACGTCGCCAGCCGGAATGGAGTAACATCTCCCTGAATTCGGCGATTTCCTGGCTCAGCACTCTCGCCAAAGCATGCATCCTCTATGCGGTTAGCGAAAGCCTAGGCCAGCTGAAATGGGTCTGGTTTGCTCAGCGGAGCCGACCACTGTCTAACCTGGGGGATTTTGATTCTGCAAGTCGAGGAGTCCGGGGAAGTGCTCTGCTCTTGTGGGCGTTGAAGGGCCGGTAAGTGATTGACCGAAACTCTCTGAAACCCCGGGGGTTCTGACCGCGGCGTAGTCACTTTGCAGTCCTAGGCAGCATGACGGTCCTCATGGCATTGGCCTTCGAGCCGTTCATCCAAAACTCGGTACAATACGTTTCTCGCTCCATCGAGGACCGCTTTCAAGTCTCTTTACTCGGAAAAACAGTGCAGTACAATACTGTTGGGCCACTGATGGGAGGGGATCGTATGTGTGCCATCAACCGCCCTAAAGCCACCGCTATTCTACAGCATTGACTAATGATCAACTCCCCCTGAAGTCTACTACGTGGATCCTGTCCTCAAAGCCAACATCTACAGCTCCCTGACAAACCAAGACTCGACGCGCCCATGGGCAGTCCCGCAGTACACCTGCCCGACGGGCAACTGTACCTGGGATGCAATGGCCAGCTTGGGCTTTGAGTCGCGATGTACCAACATTACCTCCTACCTCCATCGGAACTGCACATCCTTGAGTGATACCAACTCCACGAACAATGCCCTATATAACTGTAGCATATCTCTCCCCAGCAATCTGGGCCTCTGGTATATTGCCAACGGAGACGCCGCAACATTGTCAGTGATTGCACCGGAGTCACCAGAAGTAGGGCTCGGATACCGGGGAACACCCTTTGAGGTGGTGCAATACATCCTCGCCGCGGGAACCAACGCCAACGGCACCGGCGGCAGCGGCATCTCCTCCACTCTCACCGAGACCAGCCTCTTCACAGCCACTGAGTGCGCCCTGGTGCCTATCGTACAACTCTTCAACGCCTCGGTCTCACTGAGCGTCTATCAAGAGAGCCAAATCGCCAACTGGACCGCCAACGAAACCGATTGGGCGGGTATCAGCATCACGCCGGTTATCCCCTCAGACACAGGCCCCTTCTCCCCGGAATTGAATCAGACATTTGGATTTGGAGACGAGGCATGGGTTGCCACTTCATATTATATCAATAACCTCTTCGCCGGGCGGGTAGTGGCCGCATCAGACTCTTTTGAGTTCATCTCCGCTGCGATCACCTACGCGGCCGGCGACACGCTCGAGGCCATCTTCTACGGCAACTTCACGGCAACCGGCTGCATGGCTGACGATCCGCTCACCTGCGCCATGGGCAACGTGGCGGCTGCGATGACCAAGACCATGCGTGATGACGCGTTCAGCACCGCGGTCGGCTTCGATAAAGACGAGGATGTTCACTCCCAGCAGGCTGTCGGACATACCCACGTCACAGTGTTGTTTGTTGAGATTCGGTGGGTATGGTTGGCGTTGCCAGTGGCTGTTTGGCTACTCGGGGCAGTCTCTTGCATTGGTGCGGCGTGGAAGAGTTACCGGGCAGGAACGCGGCCATGGATGACCAGCCCGCTACCACTGGTGCTGATGGAAAAGTGTTGGCAAGATAGGGATAGCAATGGGGAAGGGAACGGGGTGGAAATGGCAAACTTGAAGGCCTCCTCACCGGGCCAGGATCCTGAAACACATGCCCTTTTGGGAGGAGACGATTCTCTGAATGACTATGAGCACAGAGCTAGGCAAATCTCCGCTAAACTCGATATTGATAACGGTCGGTTTGCATTAGTTCGATAGTCTCTCGTTTCCAGGTTGTTCAAAGAAACCCTGACATCCCCTTTCCTTTCCACGCCCATGATGATGAAGATCAGCTTATCCTTACATATAGCTCCTCCAGAAAATTCTGTATGAGGACACTGATAGCTGATTAGACCATGCCATGATTGTAGTTTATATATAGGGGCAGAAGGTCATAATGTTCCAGGTGAAGTGTTTCTCGTAAATTAATGGATGAGTTATGCTCAACGCAAGACATTTCGATGTGATTACCGAACCATGGTAGTTCCAAAAGTATACGAAGTCTGCTAGTATAAGTGGTTTAGATTATTTTCCTCTGGCTGCCACGTTTATCACTACTACAATAAAAAGCAGAAGCACTGTTTCTGACAATCTAATCCTTATACTTTCAAGAATATGTATGACAGACTTCCAAGGCAAAAAGGAGGGAGAAGCTTAGATTTTCCTCCCAACTGTGATTTACGCCCTCGATCTCTCCCTGTCAAAGTGATAAGAATACCCCCTTTCCAACGCTAGATCCTAACAAGTGTGACCCGATGCTACAGCGATATCTACATCAGCTCCAATATCAATCAACCGATCCAGGACATCATCCCGAATTAATTCTTATCAGGGTTTATTAGGGTATTATTAGGGTTTATTAGGGTTTATATTAGGGTTTATTAGGGTTTATTAGGGTTTATTAGGGTTTATTAGGGTTTATTAGGGTTTATTAGGGTTTATTAGGGTTTATTAGGGTTTATTAG